ACTTCTACGACTGTACGTCACCGTAAAAAATTTTGTATATATAAATTTGTAAGAAACGTAAGTAAATTTTATTAATTTAATTTTGCCAAACGACTTGGAATTTTATTGCATAATTGTTTATGACCTTTATTAATGTTTCCCCTTGTCAATATTTGCGCGAATTACTTTTAACAAAACGCAAAAACCGTTTGTGTTCCGTAACATTCTGTGGTTGTGCATGTAACATTATCTTCTCGGTTTTCCCTATCAAACATATTAGTTAAGGTTAAGGAGCGGTTGTGACAATTTGCACAGTAACAATTACACTTGAGCAAATGTGCAAATTCCCGGGATAGCGGACATGGTGCGGGGGGAATTTGTGGATGGCCGTTGTCGTCGTAATGCGAATACACTGACTCTAGCGTATGTATGCAGATATATATTATTCCACTAATAAATCGATACAACACTTTTAACTGTCCAGGTTTGTCAAACATCCACAAATTAGTCCCATGTAATGCTATCACAACAGTCGGCGCAACGTGATAGTTGCTGCATTTAATACTCTCGATTTGCCGCATGAATTAGTAATTTACTGGGTCAGATTTCTCCGCTACAGCAAAAATCACCATGTAAGCAATCGATCGGTTTAATGGACACAAGATATTGCAAGTAAGTAATTTTTTTTTCGCTGACGTAAGTTCCACCGGTGAAGTTTCCAGAAATGAAGAGCTGCTCGAAGGTTACAATTAGAGAACAACGTAGCAAATGCAGCGGGGTAACACATTCTTTATAACACTAAAAATATGTGTGTCTGTATATGTATAATGTAAGTACTGAGTGTCAGCATCTAATAAAAGTTTTCAAAAAATACTGGTTTTGCGGTTTTTATTGCTAGTTTAGCTGTTAGTTTAATAATGAAACTGCTAAATAACGTTTTTATTACCAATGTATAATTGAATTACAGTAAGAATAGTACAGGTGGTACAGGTCTGGTGATGACCAATTTAATTGCTTCAGTCAAATTCAGTATTAAACATGAATTTTGTCGTTTACTTACTATAGTGTGAGACCTCTGCCTATACTAAATTCTTGATATTGTATATAATTATTTGCTTCAGTAATCATTAGAAACTGCTACGGAATAATCTACGATTAACTGTTAATTATTGCTTAAGCCGTATACTGCCATCTGCATTAAAAGATTGCTCTGTGTACGATCGACCTTTGCCGAACTAATCTGGAGGAAAAGTGTTCCCACGCATAAAAAGGCCATTGTATACCGGATGAAAGAATTGCAGAAGTCCCCGGCTACTGCGCGGTCGATGTCTTTAATGGACGCGTGCAAAGAAACTATGGACCGGTTAAATAGGGATGAATAGATTTGTACGGAGAAATTAAATGGGCTAAATGCGCTAAAAGCTCTTTGATTCCTCGCAGGCAAACAGCTGCAAATGAGAGATTACAGTGAGGATTTGTGGATCTGCTACTTGTGATGTGCTTTTATTTGGCCACAATCTAGAATACATGTTTAATTAATCCGTGGTAACTTCTTTTCTTATTATAGACTTGCTTTTGACGGGTAAATCTGAATAGGCTGGTAAGATGTGCCTCATGGCAGTTTTACGTAATAAGCAGTTTTTTGACAGCGCTCTCGTGATCGTGAATGCATTCTAACTCCCGTAGGCATGAAGAGCTTCCTGTATTCTTGCCTATGCCTTACAGATTCAAATTTACGTTAAAAAGAAGCAACATTAATTAAACAATGCAGTGCATTACATACAAGCATACTATCTAAAACAATAATACAATATCGTATTTTTTAGACACTATCGTATAAAACCTGAACTTTAATTTCACGTTATATAAGCATACGAGTACGAGCATACAGTTTACCATAACATTAAATATAACTTTATCGCTTAAAAACAAAACATAGTGCTTATTTTTAGTTTTACAAAATACAAAAGCAGCTACAGATTTCCATTAGTGCCCTGTGTCCGAACGTATTAATATAAAAAAATATGTACAAGCATTTACCAGCGCACGCAATGCTACCCATCATACGAGCAAACTACAGATAGTAGGAATGGTTGGCAACACCTTCTTTTTAAAATTATTATTAAATTAAGAACTGAGAAAGGAAATGAATACTGTTTATACATATTTCTGCATTTTAACAATTCGCACAACAATGAGCCTTTGACAGTAGTTTTGTTTTACACACTTCACATCGTTTCAGCTGGTGAAGATTTAGTCAAATAAGCGTTCAGAATGTGTCGACTTAACGGACACTCGACGTCCAAGTGCCGCAAAAGGATAGCGCAACGGGAGCGCTACTCCATGGACTGTTTACATAGTTTTATGGAAGGTGTTAAGGATTTAGAGCAGATCCCAATAGTATTCGGATAGAGGGAGAGAATATCGAGTTTTCTTTAATATCAGCTGTGTTTGAAATAAAGTGCCTGATTTTAACTCCCGACATTTTTTAATCCAATTTCCATTGAAACGAATCCTGTAGCCGGTAAGTATAAGCGCCGGCTGTATAAAGTGAATGTTGGGATTCGGGTTTCCATTTCCAGTTTAATGCATCTGATCAACATGGTGTCCATGCTCTGCTCGACCGTGGTGGATGGATCAAAACGCTGACTTAATTCATAGAACATTTCCGGGCTTCAGCTGTCGCGGATTGAATTTCTTCTCTTCCATAGTTTAACTTTTATTTATCCGACTATGTGAGGAATAAGTGGTCAAACTTAACACTGTAATACACTAATGCATTGCATTAATCCACAGGAAATACAAAACAAAATTCATTTTTCTCATATAACAGAATTTTTTGAATATATGATATATGAAAACCTTATTTTTTTTAGAAAGGTTTTCCAAACTGGAAAAGGTTACCGCTATGTGGAAGACACTTCAAGACAGTGAATTTTTCTGCAGTTTATGCAAATTAAATTCAAATTATAGAGACTACGCATCTGGTCCTTTACTAGTTACGTGATGCTCGTTTTCGAACTTCATTTTTTTCATCGTACAGTAAACAAGGCAGTCATATAGTGTGCTATGTTAATCAAATTTCACAAAAAGATCTATTAATTTTAATTCTGCTAAAATTATTAGAAACACAAAAAAGCCAGCTGCCGGAATAATGTCACGTACACCAAAGTTAGTACTTGATAGTAAACTTGAAATTTATTTATTGTAATCATCAGTAATCATTACTATTAGGGCGTTAATAATCCCAATGGAATAAAATTTACAACCGACGAACATACTGTGCAGAGACGCAGACTGTGTCACACGTTAGGTTTATGAATCACCTTTCACGCTCTAAAGCCGGGCTGCTCACACAATCGCGTCAAGCGGTAGTTGTGACAAAAAACAGCTATCGAACAGTAATTCGCACACAATGCATATTAAGCATGAACCAGCTCGTTTAATCTGTTGAGGCATTTGATATTTCTTTTCCGACTTAGAGTTCAAGAAGAAAATCTGTATTGAAATTATGGATTTATACCGCTATTATTAAGGGATCAGATTTTCTTGTTGGGCCGCTGGTATTAAATGTGCGCATAGTGCCTGTGGGGCATGTTGAAGAGTAGTGTGACAGGCAGGCCGCAGTTGTCGTCAGCTAGCTCGATCGGCCGGCTAAGCGAGCGTCTAAAGCGTCTGTTGTCACCCATATATATATGGCCACAACAGAGTTAGAGAGCGCGGCTAACCGGGATTAGGAAATGGAATATCGCCGCACAACACAAAACATCATCATCGTCGTCAACGTGATCAAACCAAACGGAAAAAACACACACACACATGCAGCCACTTAATCCTCAACAATCAAATCGATTAATGGACACAGATCGGCATTTTTGGCCCGGCTGATATACAAGCCGTCAATTCCATCATTTGATCTAACCACTAAATCCGGCATCGAGCTGGGTCATGATGCGCTAAGCTGCGAAAAAGAGAAAATGCCAGCGCACCCACACCGTATTAAGCGGCTCGTCGGCATTAAATGGCCACAAACTGAGAAAACGGGTTTATACTTTATACCGGGCCCAACTGCTAAGTGCCACTGATCGAATTCTTCACAGTCAATATTGACTGCGCTCACTGTTGTTATCTTTATCTAACAGGAATTTTTAACAAAAGACCCATGATTTTTAATGGAAAAATACAGATTATTCACACTGATCCCTGTAAATGGCATTCGTTGTCCGAACGGAAGATGGCGGGGTTCAGACAGAACGAGGCAAACGCCGAATACGCATGCGAATACTGTGCCGGGCCCCGGCATAAGCCCGGCATGTTGATTTGCTTGTGTGAATTGCACTTGGTCGACTTGTCCATGTAATTTTTAAATTATTACATTAATTTGTGAATTGTTGATGACTTTTTCCATTTTTCGAACGGCTACAAGCGAGTTTAACACCGCAAACAAAACGCCTCTACCTGCAAACAAATCAGAACAAAGTTTGTATATGTGTACATGCAACACACTTTTCATGGAGTTGTAAAATTTTAGCGACTACGCTGTCATACGTCTCGGAAAGAACGAAAAACAGGAAGGAATAGACTCGAAGAATTAATAACGCGACGTACAGAATGCAGAGCAGCGATTTACTGACAATGTCGTATCCTAAATATCTAATACATACCAACCTGTTACATCACAATCGGCGTAGTGACTATTTAACATTCAAAAAATCTCAGCATAAATAAGAATGCGGACTCGCGGAGCTTGATCGGTATTTGCATGCAGTAAATTCGCCATTGACAACGCGCACTCGTAACCAATGGGAAATAGCGGATTTTTTGCCATATAGACAAAAGGCCCGGCTATACCGGTGGTTACTGGCGGGTACGGTGAAAATGTGCCGATGCTCAGTCCTCAGTCTACTGGGACCGGCTTTCAAGTGCTCGATAAGCCCCGCCCCGCTATTTGACTGCAATTTATCGTTATAAAGCCAATGTCAATCGGGTTGATCAGCCGGCTGCTAAATGGTTACAAAACGGTGAGTACAGTAGAAATCAGTTGTTAGTTCGACACCTTCGAGTAATCGGGTCTAGCAGTTTTCCAACAATTGTCGAAACAATCAGCCTTAACCGTTTTTCTGGCCGGCCTCGCCGACAACATGTCACTGATGCCGAATCTACCGGGATTCTTACCGCATCCCATGCATTATTATTTATCCTCGTCGGAGCAGATGAAACAGCATTATGCGACGGTGGGCAGCAATCCCAATCCGGTGTCCATGTTCTCCATAGATAACATACTGGCGCCACGACCTTTGATGCCGGCACGTTCATCCCCGTCGTATTATCCCCATGGATTACATCCGGCAACGGCGTTTCATCCGGCAGCAGCCAGCGCCGCGGTCGCCGCGCATTCCGCCGACATAATGCAAGGTATGCGCTCAGAGGATTCCTGACATCGCGATGGCACCAAAATAACATCTAAAAATAATATTTGCTACTCGAATAGCTTTTGTTTTGTGGCCAATTCAAACGGAAATTTGCCATGAAATAATTAAATTTCTTCGTAATTTCGTTATCAGAATAATTAAAGAAAGCTCTTGCACGTTATTCTGTGCGGTTAACTGCTGTTTACAACTGTTAATAACTACAAGTCATAATTATTTAAATTGCCAAGCTTACAGAAGATTTCTCATTTGCCTGATATACGAAATACATTCATTAACGAACTATCATGCTTGCGATAATTGGTTGTTTTTTGTAAAGTTTGAATAGTTTCTTAAACGATGCGCCAAGTTGTCCTTTTAACGTACTTTTCGACTGTAAATGTACTCAAATAAGTTCAAATTTAAGAGATAATTAAAACGCTCTTATCACTTACTCGCTGTAATGAAAAACACATAGCGATTTGTGTAAAAGTGGAAGTATTTAATTTTTCCTCGTACTGCCCTTTTATTTTTGACTAAATACAGCACGTTAATTTAACAATACTTCGTTTTGTAATAAACCGGAGCGGTAAAATCACGATGACCTATCAGTGTAGCCAGTATAAGTACTAAGTAATAACTACGAGTACTATTAATTTTTAGTGATTGCTATTTATTGGCAGTTTGGCATTATTTTATTCGTGCGTTGTCACTATTGCATGGGAGATCAGATAAACAAAACCAACTTGCGTTTTTCCAAAAAGCTAGGGTAAAACGTGAACAGAGCTACTACTAAGTCCTGACGATTGTGTGCTATCTGTTTATTATTATTATTGTTTTTACTACTAAAGCAGATAAACGATCTCTTTTATCAGCAGTCACCCTATTATGCTTCATCAGGACACTTTGAAGCACAGATTTCCGTGAATTTTGCTTTTTTAAAGTTTTTTTAAAGTTCTTGAAGCGGAGCTCTTAAAAGTGTGTAGTTAGTTTTGTTTACAGTTTGTCTGGAGTATTTTGTTGTACTGGACAGTTTCCGTACATTGCAATCATCATTGTAACAATGTGGATATTTAAGCAAAAATGCGGTTACACAACAGTTCAGTGTGTTATTCTTTTTCTTTATGCTTTCTTTCAGCATACCAAGCCATGTTTCCAAGCTATTTCGCTGCTCATATGAATTCAATGCACGGATTAAGTAATGCCACGCAGAATGGACAAAAGCGAAAGCGACGACATCGGACAATTTTTACCGAAGAACAGCTGGAGCAGTTAGAAGAAACATTTAACAAAACCCATTATCCGGATGTCTTATTACGCGAAGAGCTGGCTATGAAAGTTGACCTGAAGGAAGAACGCGTAGAGGTAAATTGCATACGTACGATTCTCGAAAATCCGATAATCTGTTTAAAATTTGGTTGCATATATACATGCGTATCAACTGAATTGGAATATATACAGTAGTAGCATTATTTGAAACACCATTTACTTACGATTTTCTTTGTATACATGACTTATCTTGTTCATAAAATAATTTTTGTTTGATTACTAACGTTTGAGAAAGTTTGGCTGTAATATGTTTTTGCTATATTTGATCGCCCAACGATTTACGAGTACAATGCGCATACAGCAAGCCAAGATGCGCATATACACGTGCAGGATAAATGCAATTCCGGCATAATCAGGCTAATTACTCGCGTACAACTTTTATGGACGTATTCAGTAGCGTATTCATGTTTCGTAATTGTTTTAACACCTGACTGATTAATTAGAATAATTATCAGTGACAAATCGGGCAAATATGTGTATAAGCCGGTTGAATGGCGGATTCACTTGATTACAGAGTGCAGTGGCAAGGGATCAAATTTTAGCGATTAGCCTCAATATGTTATTAACGGGGGCCGCAACCGGCACCGGCTGATTGTGTGGGCGGCCTCCGCAGCAGTCAATTTGAGTGCCCCGCTGATGAATTGTGACACAAAGCGACATGTATAACAGATTGTCAACCATCTAACCAATTAAATCAATAGCATCTCCCCTGTACACATATTGTGTGCCTGTATACAGTATACATTTAAGAAGCAAATTCCCGTAAAAGAAGCTTAAAGGTCTTCCTAATTAAATCGTTACATTGTGGCAGTCGGAAGCCCCGAAATGTGTGCTTGTGCGCGGTTAGTGCCGGCAGTGAAGACTGTACGGATTTAGTAACTTAGTGGAACAGAAAATGGCTGGGGTGGAAATTAATCCAGTTATCCAACTGAAAATAATCTCCTTTCCCCTGAAAGAGCAGCCGGTATTGGCACATTACCCGATTCCCATCTTACGATAATAAGATTAAGGAGAATCGGCAATTACTGTTCCGCTGAGATCCGCGTTCACTATACGCAGTGTACGCCCACTACTCGCCGCGAACGTATTCGCCGGCATTTGTGCGTTTCACATGGCATTCCGCTTTTAATACTGCAGGGTTTCCATTATCTGTATTCGCTGAAATTTTAATAAAATTTATATGATTATTGTAATTATTATTAGTGTGGTTTCTATTTAAAATCCTTTTTGCAAAAATTAACAGTAACATTGCTCCTTCGACGCGAAAGTAATAAGAATACCTTTATTGTTAGATAATAATAGTATTATTATTGCGATCTACTGTTTGGACAGGTTAAAATTTTATAGTGAATAAGGCACAAAGTTTTTAAAAAGCAGTCAGGAAGAATGTAACATGAGTGCAACGTATTGCGTTGGACACGTAAAAAAACTGGTAACTCTATCAGTTATTTTGCAACATGGTGTACGGAATTACGTATGCGTACATGATTACTTTACTTACATCCATTGATTTTTTTACCAGGTTTGGTTCAAAAATCGACGAGCCAAATGGCGCAAACAGAAACGCGAAATCGAGCAAGAGCACGGACGGAAAACAGCCGCGGTAGCCGACGACGGTCTCTCCTCCAGTGCCGGCACCGTGCACACTACCAGCACGGCATCCCTGGCGGATGACCTTTCTAATCCTAGCTTGTCCGACAGCGACGACGACGATGCAGCATCCTGTAAATATACCCCACGCCCTGAAGCCGATCATAGACGATCCAGTGAGGTCATTAAGATGGAAAAATGCCCAAAGAGAATCAAAAAAGAGTTGTAGTGTGTCTTTGCAGAGTTGAAAAATGGTCTTTGCATCCAAAAGTTTTACAGAAATATTGCAGATCTCAGTGCACATTCTTATTCTGTACTCTCAAGTTTATAACTCTGTATTTGTCCGATGTTTTATTTTGAATATCGCATTCCTGTGTTGATTTGTTCCGTTTCGTTAACCGACTTCATCTTTGTAATGTTACCATGTTATAAATGTCGATGTACAGCAAAATTATATTAAAGCGGCTTACCGGAATTACAAAAGTCAGGTTGTCCAAAAAGGTTTGCTTGTTACTTTTCCCGTAACAGCACACCAGTGATGCAGCAGAAAATTGGGAACTAGTTTAGCACTTAGGAATTTGGAGCAATTAAGCACCTGAAGCTGGTGTAAGACTTACAAACCAACGCTTTTTTACTTTAACGTTTTTTGTAACCCTTTCAAGCATATCTTTATTGTGTACAGAAGTACATAAAGATACTTACGTGAATAAAATTTCGCCAAAATATACAACTAGGCTACCAAAACTTGCTAAGAAAATTCTAAAACAAAATATAGTGTATCTGTACGTATACTCTGTAAGCGCAACTTCAATTCTACATCTACCTTACACGTGACTATCCATTGCCGGAGCACTTACGTATATATTTTATAAATGGTTATTAAGCTCCATGATCCCCCGTGCATGCAAAGAGTAGGTTGCTTTTGTAGAGCATTTGTTCGTTGCATGTATGATAAAATTAATCAGCCTCCGGGAATTTGATCGCTGCTTATTTGTTGTATATTTATTGTCCACTGCACTGGTCAAAAGCGCATAGAGTGGTCAGGTACAGGCAAAAGTAAACGGCTCTGTCCACGGCTCATATTACAGATCCGCGGTGTTAAGCGTCAAAACAAGCTCACTTAACCACACCACTTGAAACGTGTGAATAAAACACTGGAGAAAATGGCGGAAAAGTAAACTAATTCATTGATTACTGCAGTGCGGACACCTGCGTTGTACATTTGTTATATGTGCCCGCTAGATATGTGGTTTTCTTCGCTCCTGAATATAAGCGCTACTTGAGTATTCCTCCGCATCACTGTAAGTCGATTAGATTTAAGGATCAAGCTGCTGCTATTGTCAGCTGTATATCCGGGGCAAGAAGAAAACTCTCGGCATGAAATGTACACCGACCACTGCAGTAGCCTATTGTTAACCGGCGTACGTGCCCTTTTATGCCATCGAGCAGGCACAGGATTAGGCTAATTAAGCACAACATTGTATCCCGTCCCTCTCCCATGAAGAACACTCCATATTCTTTAATACGACAATTTAATTCCGATACCTGATTGTTCTGGCTTTTCTATGGATGTGCACATGCACACCTTCATCCACTCCAGAGATGTATACAGTGCATTATACGGAACACATAGTCCATATAAATCTCTACTACACCCAGATTCGTATGTATGTTTATTCTTTCAAATCAAAAGCAAAAATCGTATTGATTTCACTTTAATAGTGGTGTTAAGCGCAAATTCAACCGCCGAAATAAAAAGGTCGAAATTGTTCAGTTTTGTGGTGTATACTGTAAACACTGTTCTGGGTAGAGGAATATCCGCCTGGCGCCTGCAAAGCTGAATTAATCTTACGAATGATGCAATCTTTTTACTGTATATACGGGTACATTCGCATACGCATGACTTTTGAAAGTTTCGTACGGATTCTGTATATAGTCGTACGATGTGTCGATTTTTTAAAAGGTAGAACTAAACCCGGCAATCTTGAGGAAAATAGAATAATATGAAGATAGTGCAGTGTAATTGGCAACTGGACATGCACAAATAAAACATGAACATATGATCATCAACATGGTCATAACAGATAGCGGTTTGTATCATCTGTATATTTGTATTTTATGTTATTGATGCTGTGAATACTGACATGTACAATACAAGTTGCATTAAGCGGCTTATCGTTGTTATACTTATTTGGAGTTTTGCATATGTGCATTAAACATAATAAACGTCAGGATTAGTTTACTGTTGACCCCTAATATAACATTAACAGTATGTTTTCAGTGCGTAATGTGTAATTTCGATATGAACAGCGGTCAACGATGTGTGAGATCGAGTCAGTATTGTCAAGGAAATGCGAAATATAATTTTCAAACGTATAGTTCGTTTTGTTGTGAGTAAGCGCAACATCCGTGTATAATGCGCGGCCTGTCCAATCCCGCCTGGAGGGTCCCGGTGACGAAGGGGGGAATAGGCTTAGCCAACAGATGGATATGATTACTGCCAGCCGCTTATCGCTTAAACCACAAACCATCCAACGGGAGCTGATCGTTGCGCCAAAAGGCATCGAGCCGAGCTCATAATTCTTCGTTATTAATCTGCCGATTTAGCGGCTTCAACAGTGTTGGCAGTGCCGGTGGAATTGTGGAATTCCTGTTGTGCGCGCTGTCGTTGATCTTTGAATATATGCGTCAGTATTGCAAAGGCGCGGGGACGCGAGCAGCATAATCCCGCGTTATGGCGTTGTTCACATGCAGGCAGTGTTTTCAATCTGTAAATTAAATCCTTTAGCAGGATATATCTAATATGTATTATATATCGATATGCTATTACACAGCCATTGCACATCAATCTATTCGCTATATGCCGGTATGACGATCATCCGCTCCTGTAAAGGAGCATCGCTGCCGCTTAATCCTGGCTAACTGATCGATTTATGTTTGTGCAGTTTAGCAGAAAAATTATTTAATAATACAAAGTTTCACAAGGCTCGAAAGGCTGCATTGCACACTGGAGTGCCTTCGTTGTAGAGTTCAATTGCAGTTTAAGCGCGTATATATATGACAGTTATTTCCAGATAAGAATGGAGATGCTAAAAGTGGCCAAGTGACATCCGAATCAAATACATAACAAAATTTAAATTGCAGAGATCCGAAATACGAAATTAACACGACCAGTTTTATTAACATAATATTATGTGCATTAACTTATTTTTATTATACTGCTAAACTTTTGAAAATTGTACTTGATACTGCGCCATACGCAACAAAATACCAAGCAACGTAGTAAGTACCTCTGTACCGTATATAAAATTGCTTCGATCGCACGAAATTATTGAGTACATAAGTAATTATAATAAGTACATAAGTGTAATATTCTTACGGCAGCTTCGGGATATATGGCGTATGCTGCAATGCAGCAACTCCAGTACTAGCGGCATGTTACCGGTAAGTTTAGTTTTTAATTAAGCGAAAGTTTGACAGAGCGCCAAGTTTTCCATATTTTTCTCAAAAGCCTGATATAGGGACGCAAATTCAAGTTTTTGAAGAGGTTCGAAGGTTTTCCTGATAGAAACTTCACTGCCGGAAAACAACATAGCGCGCATTTTTATTGTTTTAGCATGGGTTTGCTTAGCCGTGTTGATTGTTTGTTTGTTTCGTCTTGTTGATTTTAAAAGAGTTCTCCAAATGGCGAATGGTTCAAATACTTATGTGATTCATTAGATGTTTTGCATGTTGGGTGTTTTAAAAACTTCGTTCTTGTGCACTGTTTTCCGCTGTTGCTTCAACGGAAGCGGTAGTCTTTTGTGACCAACCGCTTTGTCTGGACAAATACCAAATATCATGAAACAAAATTTAATGTACTGTAATTTAACGATAAGGAACGTTAACCTTATACGTTAACGGAGCTGCAAATAGGCTCATCATCCATCGTATTAAATTTGCTCAGGTACTGTAAGTATTTGAAGCAGTGCCGGTGCCGTTCTTTATTAAACCGTGTGCGTGTCTATTGCAGTATACAGAGCTGAGAGCACTGTACAGTACAGAGTGTACGCTGCTCAAGCAAACTGAAAAACGGTCTTCAATTTTGCCCTACCACCAAATTTTGTGGACTTGAAATCATTAAATTGTCAACACTTTTTTCTGATTTTTGTTAAGGAGAATATTTGGACCTTTGGTCGAAAGATGTTTAGTTCAAAATACGTGTAATTCAAGTGCTTTCGGACCGTCAGCATCCTTTCTGCGTGTTGGGACGTAGATAATTCAGATTGGCGTAGAACTACAATTCGCCGTTTGGATCGTTTGGATGCGATTTCATTGTGCCTGTCTGTTGTTTCTAGCTTTGCGATGCCTTCGAAACGTTGGTTGAGTTTCTCACTCCTTCATTTTATCAGCACTGTGATTTAGCACTGCTTATTATAAAATTTGATCGAAAACCTGTTTATTCTTGCTGTTGGTGTGCGTGGCAGTTGTATGTTGGCTTGATGGATGCAGCGATGATTTACGCGGGAGAACAAGAATATCACAAAGGTGCTCGTGCGTTTCGCTGCCTGGCCTCGCGTATGCGGGGTCCGCGGGCCGCGTTGTACAATCCTTTATCCGTTTTTTATTATCTGGGTGATGCCGTTGCAGGGGATGCCGTGTTTGCGGTGTGGGGCGATGCAGAAGGTCCGAAGCGGCGATGGTACGCTGCGTTCGTTTTGGGACCTGCCAAACAGTAAGTTACTTACTGTAAGTTACTTACTCTAAGTAAGTAGTCAACTGTTACGGGCAATCGGGGGTTTTTCGTTTTGTGATTACATCTGAATAATCCTTTCTGCAAATTTGTATGAAAATTACATTTTGGAATCCTCTTGTAATGCTCTTGATCTAACAGGAGTGAAACTTTTTTTGTACCAGTTAAAGTTCCGACGTTGTCACGTGCAGCAAAATAATCGAAGTGCAGTTTCGAATTCCATTTGCAAAATTCTGAATGCTTCGGTTCAGTGACTACCCTTGTTTTTCTGCTGCACGTTGTGGTGCTTCTGCTGTTACCATTTTTTACGCGAAGTTTATAATTGCGTCTAGAGTAATGGCAGAATTTTCAAAGAAAACATGATCCTGGGAAATAGGTTTTGACGCGATATTTCGAAAACTGAAGGAAAACTCAAAAGTCTGCTGGTTAATGTCGTTACATAATTTTATACTTCGAAATTGGGTTTTGTTGCTGTGTGTGGTTTGCTAATCTTTTTCATGGGTCTCCAAAAACAGTAATTATTTTTTTATCCGAAAAATAATAATAGGCTTCGGATATGGTATTTCGACACTTTGCAAAAAAAGCTGCTGATCTTGAAACTTCTGTTGTTATGTGTGGTTGAATAATGGTCGAATAATCTTTTTCATGGATCTCCGGAAATGATAAATCTTTGTTAGTCTTTAATTTAACTGAAATTATGATTTGTCTATCATTTTAGACTACTTTGTACGTCATCTTTCTTATCTCGAAGAAATTATCTCACGTTTTGGTTGCAGTATATAGCGATGCTCGACACTTTGTAATTTTGGCTGATTTTGCAACGTACTTCTTGCAGCTCGAATCTGCTGATCGAGTGGGGCGAAGGTGGCACACAGGCCGTCGTGCCTCCCAGGGATATGGTACGTGCCCGCCAGCTGCTGAAGCCCGACACGCGCGTGCATGTCCACGATTCGGACAAGAACGATTTCTACCAAGAAGTTCTCATTATCCGATATCTCTCGCACCACCGCTACGAGGTCCGCGGCAAACGAGGCCGTGTATTCAGGTGTAGCAACAGCAAAAATTAATTGTGCATGGTGTTTCTTTCTGTTGCCTGCGCACAGTTTACTCGTAGTATTAATGGGCGCAGATTCTGATCGTTCTACTGTGCACGGCGCCTCTGTTTTCTAATGTGTAATTTGATTATTCTTTTCGGCTGCTTTTAATTTTAATGGACCGAGGGAACCTTCTTTTATTATTGACTTTTTTAACAACTGTGCTTTCTTGTTTCTTAACTTTGATCAATCAGATTTGATTTTTAATTATTTATTAATTGATTTGCTTATTATTTTAAAGTTTTCATTTAACTGGATTGGTTTGATTTCGTTACCTCCGATGATGCTATACTTACCTTATTGAACAGTGACTTATTCAACAGTGTTGGCTTCTCGTATTTTCCATGTGCAGTTTAGACTGATGTTTTCTGGAATTAATTTGGTTTTTTGTTAGTGTGTCGTTCTCGGATATGATGATCGATGACATATTCGTGGAGATCTTCCGTCGAAAGCGTGCTAAACAGCGACTTCCGCCCAGTAAGAGTCGAAACAATGCCCGTATAACAGTTTGTCCGTGTCAGGTCACTTAATTTGCGTTTTTTAGGACCTTTCAGATTTTTTTTCGATGAACAGGCAACGTTAATTGGCGTTTTGTTTTTCGTTAATTTGTTTGTTGCTCGAACACCGAAATCGTCCTTTTTTCCATGTTTCTTCTTATTTCCAGAGTGGATGATTGACTATCCTTACTTGTGGTATCGCAGTCCGCACTTGTTTCTGTCTGAGCATTGGTTCATTTTCACCACACCCAGCAAACTTCCGCCGGAGTATTCGGTGGAAAAATGGGAAAAAATTAAAAAGAAAATGGCGGCAATTATAGAATGCCGCGGCGGTAAAGTCGTCAACAGCATGGAAGAATTGCTTCAGGTATGGACCATATGGACCATAGGACCATGGACCATATGGAAATATACACGTTAAGAGATGCATCGCTTTTATGTATTGACAAAACGTTGCGGTGATTAGGTGGAAATAAAACGCTTCCGCTTCCTTATTGCACCCGATTCCTGTCAGACTGTGAAATTTTATCAGGCTTTGGCGGCCAGCATTCCGTGTATGTGCCCAGAATGGATACTGAGAATGCAGAGAAAAGATATGTATATTGAGGATAATAGTCGTTATCGATTACCGACACAGCGAGGCAGCCGCGGTGAACCTACAGTGCTATGGGGGTATGATACTTTCGACTGGTTCATTTATTGTTTGTTTTAATTTTCAGCGAAGGTTATTGCAAAACTACCCAAACAGACATTTTACTTTTTCTAAATAAAAATTGCATGTTATGAATATTTCACAGCATGCTGATCTTTCCTTTGCTTCAAGGTAGTACAGTCATTTAGTGTTTTGAGTTCATCTTATGTACCTGTAAAAATTCTCGTAAGGGTACTGCGATTTAATTTCTTAGTAAGTATGTAATGACTAAGAAGTAAGGTCAGTTTTTTTGTTTACAGGCAAGAAAGGCCGCTGACACTGTTCGATAATCTCCGGGTGTGCTTAGTGCAGAATCAAGATCCAGAATTTTGTTCTACCTGGACACTGGCAGTTAAGGCAGGGCAAGGAATAGTGACGTGCATTCCAGATGCAGTTGATGATTTTCTGGGTGAGCATTAGCGCATTACCTTAACAGTTTCCCGCTGTTTCTGTGCTCTATACACAGTATGGTTAAAGAAACGGCTCTTGATCAGTTTTTTCTGTTTGCATTCTCTTTTTAACGCTTGGCTTCGTTCTCGTTGTCTCTTCAGAACCTGACTTATTTTCTGTTTGTAGATATGGAAGCCTTTGACGTGGTTGTCGGTCGAAATTCCATTTCAGGCGGACTGAAGGATCAGTTTGAGGAGAACAACATTCCCGTTGTCGCTGAACAGTGGCTGGTCAAGAGCTTGATTTATGGCGAGAAGCCGGAATATGATCATCCGGCTTTCTTCCTTAAAACCAGACGTGACAGCAGGAAACGGACACGTTCGCTGGAAGTGGAGGAAATGGACCCTCTGCCAAGAAGGTCAAAATATCGTAGTGGATACTTGACAGAAAATGGATGGCATTGAGTTACGATGCTCAGTCATCAAACTAGAAAGGTTTTTTGCAGTATTTCCCTTTTTTTTCCGTCTAAATCTATTTGTGGATGGTTCAAACTTTTTGGTTACCACTGCGGTATCGTGGTCTGTTTATAATTAGTTCGTTATCCAATTTGTATGGTTTTAGGGAACACAGTTTCTGTTTTCAGTGGGCATTTACCTTAATTTTCGCAACGCGGAGTAAATTATTTTTGGTGTTTACATTTGTTAATACCTCACCTTTGATGGCTTGATTGCATGGTGTTCGGCTTACCCTTTCTCGATTGCTTATTGGAATGAAACGTTTTTTGTGCAAAATTTAGATGATAACAGGGAGAAATGGAAAAAATAGAAACTAAGGTTGCTGATTGAAGAAATATGTTTCGGTTTAGAAATTATTACAGACCACAACGTACAGCTCCATGTGTATTGTAGAATGTACAACAGCTTATTCTGACCATAAGCCGTGCAAAATTTATGCATGTTATCAAATGCCATAATAATAAATTTAAAATTTATTTAATCATTCTGTCAATCACTACAAAACTAGAATTACCAGTTTCGTCAACTGATGCTTAAAAATTGCAGTACTCGTACTTATTAAATTATCAACCTGCTTCCTTCGCTTGGCGCTTACAGTTAGTGCTAGGACATAAGTAATTAACAGCATGCAACGAATCAACGATGTGAGAATCCTCCAAAATACCATTTCATAGTTTTTCAGGTCGGATGTACAATTTTTGACAATCACGTTCGTTGTCAAATTTAATCGTTATTTCAGGGAACGCTTCCGGTTGTTCGCTGAATCATACGTACTGTACAGGGAAGTACGGTATCATCTTCGACCACGTGCTAACTGTACAGTGGCTGATCTGTCATACAGGCACATGCGCACACATTCCCTGTTTGGATTAAAATTCAGCTGTGGTTTCTTTGATGAACAGAGAAACCAGCCTGATCAGAGTCCGTTGTCTGTGGTTAAAGAAAACGTTCCCAAACTTTCCTGATTGATGTTGTAATCGCAGATTATTGGTTTCTTTTCGTTTCTGATCCTTTTTTTCTTTGGGAGCCGTTTAATCTAGGGATGCTGTAGCTGTATCACCTGTTGCTTCCAATGCAACATCCAGCGTCAAAACTACTTTTCAACGCAGTAATTAAGCCTAGTGGTGACTTTTAAGATTTCAAATTATTCTAATATTCTCAGAAATCTTTTACTAAGTGTCAAGCGTCACGGATGCCAGTCTACAGTATTTTAGCCGTTTTATTTTATTGGTGATTGATTGATATTTCCACGGTAAATGGCCCGTTCCCCGATCCGAGAGCTCTCCGCCTCCAAGTTGCCCGTCTCATCCCTGTTGGGCAGCAAACCTCGGAAGCGCGTGCGCTTGTATAATGAACGAATTCTGACGAAAGCGGAGCATCGTCGACATCTGCAGCAGCGGGCTCGTCGAATGCGCCAGCGACGTCCCTGTCGCTTCCCTCCGCTCTGCCACCATCCCCATGCGCGATATCAGCGATTGAAACCTTACACTCGCATTATCGAGATTACGAAAACAGCTCCCGAAGGTTAGTGTACAGATACTGCGTACTCCAGAAGCCTTGCTAACAGGTTAAAAGAAGCCAAGAAATCACTGAAAATGCGTTTTTGTGAGTTTTCGTCTATTTAATGTGCAGTTATATTATTCGTGATTTATGATGCATTATCAGTAATTTTCACAGAGGTTCCGAGTTTTTACGTTGTTGTAGAGAGCTTGGAATAATTTTTTTAGGCGACATTTTACACAGGATCATTTAACAAGCATTTTTAATCAGTTTAAAAGAGAATTATTAATGTTAAATAACAGTGTTCTGGGAATCGATGATGTTGTTATTTTTATACGATGACTGGCTCCTTTAATATGCACAATTTGTTTCAAGTGTGTTAATGGTGCGATGAAACATGAAGCAGAATTTCTTGTGATGTTGCAGATGAGAGTCTGTGTGCAGCTAACCGAAAGTATCAAACTCTGTGTCGCGATCTGGCCAAGGATAACGCCCGCCTTAAAATGGAAAATAAGGATTACCGGGAAGCTGTGCAACAAGGCTATTCCAAAGAGTGAGTTCTTTTAGTGAAGTGCTGTAATCAGGTCTTGAAAAATGTACGAGTAGTCTGATTATCATGAGTATTAAATGAAGAAATAAATTCAAAATGAATTTAATTGATCATGTTATCCGGAAAGTTTAATTACGTTATTTAAGTTCAGTGTTTCGGAATTGGTTACCTTTTGAGTTGCTGGTAGATAGATGAATCTGCATTATGTAGAAATAATTTAGCACCAAGTTTTTTTTGTAGTCTCGATCTGTACGAATCGCAGCATGCACACTTGCATTTGCGCAATGTTGTGGCCAAGTTCATGGTGACTGTGCGTGATGAAGGCAGCTTTGTGTTGGTAAGAAAAGCGTTTGTTGCATTCGTGGTAGTGCTTGCAGTTTAGGCTTTCGCGTGTTTTGTATAGCCCAATGATCTTCTCCGTCTAATGCCAAATTATGCCGAGATTGAGGCGAATCCTGCTGGTAGGTGAACTGCGCATGCCAACAGATATTTTCGGTTTGTTAATACTTGATACTAATTAAAATTGGAATTTTCAGTTCTGACTCCGCCAAAGCTGTCTATTAAGGTTGGGCCCCTGACTGTCAAAAAAGGAGTGGCCGTGCCACCCGATCTTGGTAAACCTACCCTACGAAACGCTACGATTAGTCAGATTTAGCATCTTTGATAAAATGTTGGATATAAAAAAAGGTTGATATAAAATGTAGTATATTTGACAGTCTATCGTCATACGTTTTGATATGTACATATGTGGCACAATCAGCTGTTTCGGAGTTAATATGTGTAACAGCCAAATTCCTGGTCCATAAAGTTTTGCGTTTTGTTGGTTTTCTTTTGCGCTTTTATATGTGAATTATCAGATTTTTTGCTTTTCTTCTTTGTTGCTTATTTTTTGCTGTTTTGCTTTTGTGTGATCCGCTGCCAGCTTTACAACTACAGTTTCAACCGGCAGTTACCTTTCCCGGCGCAAATATTCTCGCATGGGTATAATTCTTTTTCGGAAACTTTGTAGATCCTCTGCAGGAAGAATTCCAGCCGCGCGAAGGTGCCAAGATCGTGCGCGGTGTGTCGCAGGTTGCCAAATCTGCTAAGTTTAAGAAGCGCCACACCGCTCTTCCCAGTGATCTGCTCAAGTCTCTCAATGCGGCGAGCTTGGCGGATAGTCCGGTGGCCTTACGCGATCAGTCACCTCTTCCAAGCACTTCCCACGACGACGACACCCGCCACACTCCTACTTCCACCGTCAAAGACCCAAATCCCGTGGATGAGTATGATTACCAGCGGGAAATCGACCGAGCCAAAGAGCAGACACCGCCGACCAACAAGCGCACGGCGGCGGCGTTGAATGGGGAAGCCCCCAAGCACCGTCCCCGTGCCGCGCGCCGCTCCAACCTCCCGGTGACGGATGAAGCGTCCACCCCGAAGAAGCTGTGTTTTCAGAATGACGACGCTACAGCGGAAAATAACGATGACGATGCTGTAGAGTTTCTCATTGTGCCGGTGAAGAATCGGAAGTTAAGCGGGAAGAAGAAGACAGTCGAGGGTGATGGTGGTGTTTTCAGTGAAGCGTCCGAAGAGGATCCCGAGGATGGGGAACGGTGCGCGACGCCGCCGGTGGAGGCCGGAGATTTCGGACGGGGACTGCGGCGATCGGCGCGCGCCACCACAGCCCATATCAAATCCTTGAAAGAGCCGAGTTTAATGAAGAAGATGCGCCGTCCCGTGGACATCCCGGCGCTGAATCCGTCGGCAGAACGGAAGCGGGTGTCGCGCGGCACACGCGGTGGAAGTTTCGGTAAAAGTGGCCGCAAATCGGAGGAGCCGGCGTCAGCGTGAGAAAACACGGATCTGGTAGGAACATAATCTCGGGCTGTATGTTTTTTGGTTCAAGATTGGCTTTACGCCGTGGAAATAGTCAACATTTTTGTCCTTTGAATGCTCTTACCTTTTTTTGTACAGTGGTCTGCGTTGGGTTGGATAATACTTGCACGTTTAGCGTTTTATGGAGTATTCTGTATATTTTATAGTTTAATGATCCGCCGGTTTGTTTGGTAATGTGTATTTTTGATATTATGACCGGCATGTAGACCGCAATAAAAATTTGATTGCGTTTTATTGTGGGAAACTTTTTTTACAGGACCGGGCTGTAAAACAAATTAGCCGGCATTGTAGCGTTTGCCGCCGTTTTTCCCCGGCTGCAGTCGACTCGCGTTATTTATTATTCTAGTGGCGTAAATGGTGTTCCGGGAGAGATTGCGGGTTGGGTATATATTCAAGTACGGGTTTTTATCAGCAATCGGCATAATTGTCAGCCGGCAGCAATGGGGCATTGTGATTGTGTTGGGCTGTGCATTAGCTGATAGCGGAGAATTCCCCGGCAAGACAAATGACCAGTGGAGCGGATGTGACAGTGAATTAGGGGGATGAAATTGTCTCCGTCCTGTGCTTGAGCAGTTGGAGGATGTGCTGTTTTACGATAATGATCATCAGATGAGAGGGAGAGCGAGAGATGGGGAGTGGAAATGGGAACGAGATAGACTGGAGTATGTGTAACTGTGTATAGATGTGCAGGGATTCTATCAAAGCTAAACAAAATCAATGGCCAATACGCGCGGATCATCCGGCGTTTTTCCCCCCGTTTCGTAGATCAGGAACGCGGGCCCAGTGTCAGTAGTTGAGAGTTGATTTCGTATCCGCATCCAATTCTCCGGCTGGTATCTGTTGTATGTACTGTGTATATATATCGGTGCAATGTGGAGTTTATATTAGATGCTGAGGGTAATCACCGAGCTGTCACGCTTGATTGCTGGCATGGTGGTATGGGGATTGTGCCGGCTGTTGTAGCGTTTTGCCTCTTAATGCTTTTCCTTGGGAATTTATTTTGATTTTTGCTAAAGCAGCTGGTATTAAACCGTCAACGCGGCGACGTATATGATGTCGTTTATGCGTTCCACGATGGATCCGTGTAGTCGGAATCCCTGTCCACTGCAGTACGCCTGTAAGGTGGTGGCCAATGTGTCCTTTGCGTGTATCTACGAGCCGCTGTCCACCCTGCCCACACCCTGCACGCAGACGGTGTGTTTCAATGGAGGATCGTGTATCGCGGCGTTTCCCAGTAATATCTGTCTGTGTCCGGTGGAGTGGACCGGGGATGATTGTTCGGGTAAGTGTCATGGCATTTGTCATGCTGTTATCGATTTCTGGTGTCGGATAATTGTGTAGTTAAAAAAGCATTTGCTCTGAACGTTGCACACGGGGTTAGGATGGGATGACCTTACTTATATAATTTTCCTATTCTCGAAAAACGCAAATATGTTCTGTACGGCAGCTTTTAAAAAACACATACGCATTTAAAATATTTTTATATTGCCTGGAAAGGTGAAAGTTAAGACACTTTAAAAATTTTTCCATTATAATTTTTATCGTTTACAAGAAGGTTTAATATCAGTTTTGAATGATGCTTGATAAATATAATAATATAATTCACATGCAATCGAAACTCCATTTCGGCGCCTATTCATTGATTTTCTTGCAATTTTTACGTGAATGTTTTTGACTCGGAAAGCTGTCCATGTTCAGAAACCTTTCAACACAGATTAAATATGTACACGCAAATCTAAATAATTTAAAAACATCATTTTCAGCACATAAACGGCACATGGAAGAAGTGAATACGCAATATAAGGATTGAATTTGCACTGGGACGTATAAAGTACTTATTTTCTATCTTTTACGCCGTTATGCATGCCGTTTTTAGGTTATTAAGATTTGCTATTTTTTGAAAGGTTTTCGTGCGGTTTAGAGCTTTCAAAGTGGAAATCGTTATCTTGCAATTAACGCCAATGAATGGGCGTCGTAATGGAATTTTAATTGCGTGTCTGTCGCCGGTTGATTAATATTAAATGCAGTTATACGACAATGCTGGCCGGCTGTACTGCCGCGTCGATAGGCGGGTATTGGTGGGAACGTAATGATTTCGCTAACTGTAAGCACAGCATATCCAGATGGCAGCTAATCGGGATTGGCCCATGGCTTATAAATGGGATATTATTTTCCCTTATAACTTCCAGACAAGATACTATTGATTTCTTTTGAGGGCTAAAAAAATAGTACCCATTCATTTCGTATTCCACTTCAACTTATTAAAGATTCAATGGAAGTTTCTCTGGGAAACGAGTAAAGGGATGAATCGCAGGGATAAAGTGGAACGCCACAGATGCGCGCCGGTCAGCGCAATTGAAAATGTTAATCAGATTGCGCTGCTGCGATATCCATGACATATTGCATGCCGGGGTAACCAGGCGTATTTTCTCTATGTAATATTTTAAAATCTTTTAAAAAAATTAATCGAGAAATTTAGTTGCACATGTTTCATGTTAACTGTAAGCATCATGTAACTTTTCCCTGAAAGGCAGCATAGCAGCAGAAGTAAAACTTGTGACTATGCTTATTGCACCGAAGCTGAAAAATATACATATCCTCGGATTATTTTAGATAATATAAAACCGTTTTAGGAGTGCAGTACTTAAGCGTCTGCTTGTACAGTGCTATCTTGAGTTTTTTTATAACGAATTATGACGAAAAAATCTTGAGTTCTGTATAACGAATTTTGTGAAAATATCCACTTTGTAAATAATTGCAAATTTTAACACATAATTACATTATATGCAGGTTCACAATGCACAACGATTTTGGAATTTGGACTATGTTGTTATCGCTTGTTATTGTATACAGTAGGTCCGGGCACTAGTTATACGATATTATGTTGCGCATTTCTACCAAGTAAGCAAATACTGTATATGTAATGCTTATAAGAGTAATATATGCTGGATAATATCGATCTGTGCAAAAGGTAAATATTACCCAGAATTTTAATGAATTTCAAATCGATTTCGTCTTTGACATTTTCTAGCATAAGTAATCCTTCTTTTAAGACATGCACGCATAGGACACTGACGTCTCTAATAAAGGAAAACGCGCAGATTGCCCGCATTACGCGGGGATAATAATGTGTTAAGTAGCTCTTAAAAGTCCGGTATCTCATTTCCGGTGCGCGTAATACACGGAAATCAATCCCATCCTCCATAAATTCTCTTATTCCCGCGGCCTGCTTAAATACCGGTCATCGGGCGCCGCAGTGCATGCGTCCCTTAAAATGAAATCCAGCATGTTACACAAACATCAATCCAGTAACATCAACATACTCGTGTACGTACCATGTTTACTCTCATACTCAACTATCTTGGGAAATTGAAAACGCTACAGTTTATAAAACTCATCAGTCTGTGGGTTTTCTGCAAGCCTACAACTCACCAGTCTAGCTATCTGTTTCTCTAGAGGATATGTATATAGTACGGAGACATAGTTACATACCGTATAATTATTTTTTTGATAAACGATTATGGTTATATGTAGTTGTATACTTTTTATATACGCGTATTGTTAGTGATACATACCGTTATATTTTTTATATAGGTAGTTACATAGTTACATTTGTTTTATATAATGTATATAGATATTTTTTATGAATTTCCTCTTGTTTGTATATATAGTACGCAATCCCAACACGGACTACACGGAATACCACCGCGTCCAGCAGCTGCACCATGTGGCCGTGGCTATCGGCGTCCTGGTGACCGCGTTCCTCCTGGCCTTCCTGCTGGTACTGTGCTGTCACTGTAAATCCTCCCGGCGGTGGACGGTCTTCAAGGAGCAGTGTAAGCATCTCCTGGGACAGCCGCGTTCAACGGATATTGAGCCCATTGTTGACATCAGTTCGGTGCAGAAGGCCCGCTTATGCCCGGAAGTCGTTTACTTTACGGCGGCGGCCAATCAGGAGGAGACGGCGGGCGCCGGCACGCCGGTGATGCAACAGTCGTATTATGCGGTAGATGAGAGGCCGCCAATTTCCAGTCTGACTGGACGACCGTTAATAACCGGATCGGCTTATGCCGCTGCACATCACATGGAGCATCTGCGAGTATGAATGCAATTTAACATACTTAACGGGCGAACCGGCAAAGTTTTCTTGTTGTCTATATTGCACCGTGTGGGCGCCACACGGATGCTTCAATCTGACGAGAAATTGTTTTTTCTTCAGAATTCAGTATTTCATTCAACTGCTCGCTTCTTTTTATCGCTGCATATGCACAACGTATTTAACATCCAGTTTGTTGTAAATACTGCATATTAATATTTCGGTTTTATTGTGACCGTATGAAATTGAACAAAAATTAGGTAATTCATTCTCACTTATGTCTTATAATAACTGAAACGCGTACTTAGAGGATTTTAGATATCCAAACGTTTACGGTGCTTTAAAGCATGAGTGCAACTGTGCAACATTTTTCAGGGATTCTCAGTCTGCAGGATTCAGCATGTACAGCAGTGCACAAGTGTACAATAAGCTTGGAAGACACATTACTTAGGCCAATGTCAAAACGCCGGCAGAATTTTCTGCCGACCGAATTTTTGTGTGGTCAAAATGCCGGCCGAATTTTCTGCCGACCGAATTTTTGCGTGGTCAAAATGCCGGCCGAATTTCCTGCCGACAGAATTTTTGTGGGGTCAAAACGCCGGCAGATTTTTTTCAACATTTTCAATTGTAAGTAAAAATAATAAAAAATATTACCTGCCTCGAGGCATACTTGGCACGCGGTGTATAACAAAGGTTTGGGAATCTACACTTATGCAATTATACCAGTTTCTTTATCGGCACGATTTTAGTGTTGCTTTGACAGGGTGTATAAAAACTCGCAAAAGAGAATCAAGAGGCCGCGCAAAAAAGACAAACAAGGTGCCACAAAATAGGTAGAAAACCAACTTAAAGCGATCCTCGCATAAAGTAAAGGGTTAACATATTATGTACTGTATTCGTTTCAGAAGAAGCTTCTACCTGTACCCATACATGTTCCATCGTCCGACAAATAAGCAAAATTAAAGGAGTATGCAATGCGCTTTCAGAAACCAATCATCTAATCATATACCTGACATATACCTGCTGTGCTGCGCGACGAATAATGTTATACGTTAAATGCATCGACGAACGCATTTTCTTTGTGAGCGCGTCTGCGCGTAGAAATTCCTTGCCGGAAGTGCTCCAATCTAAAATAAATTTCGAGTATTCGAAATTCAAATACACTACCGTTTGAATTCCGAGTAATCGGAATTGCAATTGCATGCATTACAATTCCGAGTAATCGCAATTTAGAAGGGCGCTGTTTTAATTGCGAGTATTCGAAATCTAATTTCCGACATTCCAATTCCGAGTATTCGGAATTGCAGCGCAAATACCTAATATGAATTTAAATAGGTGACTGCTATGCGCCCCGACAAACCGGGCGCACAGAATTTGGCTTTGCGCCCCGAATTTCCGAGTGCGGAAATATCGGCGATTTGTGTGTTTTTCGGAGGTTTTTTATATTTTGTTTGGCTTCTTTTATTTATTTAACCACTCATTTTTCCTGTTGTATTGTCGAATACGCTAGATTGCTTGAAGAGGTAAGATACCAGAATGCACCCCCATACCCAAACTTTAGGTAATATGCGCTTTCCATAAAAAATCTGGAGAAGCAATATTAAAGTTGCTAACTTTATCGTGTCTGTCCTGAAGTAGCACTTCAGTACAGTACAGCCGTAAAGGTTGTAGCGCGCATGAAAGCAGGACAGCTTGCATATGCCTCAGCCTTAACCTGGGAATTTATTAGCGTTAACACAGCTACGGCAACAACAGCGACGAAGCGTAATGATTAGGCTTTATGTATCGGTATTTGAGCATTTGGTGAAGACAAAGCACCGGAACACGGGTCACCGGCGCAGCCGTCCGCGTCGTCCTAGCTAAAACAACCCCTCCCCCCCGTGTCCTCGCAAAAGAGGGTGGGCAGCAGGGAAAAACGACTTGATACATGTAAATCAACTTTACTTCGACACAATAGCAACTAAAAGGTACTAAACACAGATGTGCATTCGCTGTGCGAAATCGTCAATCATAGTTGCATTGCTTTTCCGGTATCCCAACGACACACCTAATGGCTTTTCTCGGCTGGACACTGGTTAACCAAGTCGTGAAGCCTTGCAGCTTCCTGCACTGGGTTAACCGGAATTACCGTTGCTAATTCTATGTAGTTTGCTACAGTTTTCTGCATGGAGTGAAGTTGAACTTCCGTGCCGCTCTAGATGACCTATAACAATTGTTACTCACAGAACTTGATACCTGCCTTATTAGCTTGCTGTAAAGGAGAAAATCAGGATTTCTCAGACTGATTCCGTGATGTTTTGAACAACCTTTCCAATAAACCAGGCGGTAAAAAGGGGATAAACAAAACAAAAAGTTAGCTATTAAGGGCTTTCAAATTCTGCAGTTCTCTTTCAGCTTCTGCTCCCTGCAGCCTTAAGGATAATTCGAGTTAAAAAATTAAGTTAAAACATTCTAGTGCCGGAAAAACAGAAATTTTTGATATTTCTGCGCCCGAACATTCGGAGCGCACAGCCAAAATCTGTGCGCCCAAACACTCGGGGCGCACAAATAAATTCTATGCGCCCGGTTTGTCGGGACGCCCAGCCATTTCGTTTTAAATAATCGGTTTTCTATAAAAATTTTTATTTAAATTTCCGTTATAACGTACTTACCATCAAACTTCATACTACGCAAACTAGTGTTGTTCTGCGATACATTATATAGTATAACTGAACATTTATGACCAAATTAACTTTAATAATCGAATGACAGTAGAGTTTTTAAACTTTTAGCGCTCTGAAAATTTGTCTTAATGATAAATATTCGGATTTTATTTCACCGCATTTTAAATTTCGAGTATTCGAAATTCAAACTACTGCATTTTGAATTCCGAGTAATCGGAATTCAAATTACGGACTTTTAAATTTCGAATATTGTATTCGAAAATCTAAAAAAATACATTTAGATTACTTGGAATTGGAAATACCAGAATTTCAATTCCGAGTACTCGGAATTGGTATCGAAATTATTTCGCATGCAATTTCGAGCACTTCCGGCAACACTACTTCACGAGAGTCAGCTGTGCCAGTCTAGACTCTGAAGTTCTGGCTCATCTCAGGTACGTTCCAAAAGGAATCAGACAAAATCACACTTCGGTGTTATTGCCGCTGTGGCATTGTTGAACACCTTGTTTGTCTGTTTTGCGCGGCTTTTTCTTTCTCTCCCGGTCTCCCGGGAGTTTCTATGCACGCTGTCAATGCAACAGCACTAAAGCATGCCGATAAAGATCCTTATGTAACTGTAAGATCCAGATCTTTGTTATACACCGCGTGCCAAGTATGCCTCGAGGCAGGTATTATTTTTTAGAATTTTTACTTTTAGCTGAAAACGTTGAAAAAATTCTGCCGGCATTTTGACCACCGGAAATTCGGCCGGCGTTTTGACCCCACAAAAATTCTGCCGGCAGAAAATTCGGCCGGCATTTTGACCGCACAAAAATTCGGTCGGCAGAAAATTCTGCCGGCGTTTTGACATTGGCCCATTACTTACAAGTTATAGATGTAGTTTTACTTATTTGATTTATATTATTACAGCTAACCATAAGAAGAAGCTTTATTTTGTGCACCGCGATAATATTATTGCCTGAAGCAGTTGGCCATGGCAAAAACTAAGTTAAGTTTCCAGATTTTCATGCATGCTCAAATAATTAGGCGCATATATTAAAACATGATAAAAATATTATATTAACACGAGCACTGTAAAACCACTACCCGACGACCCCACCGGAAGTACTTAACGATAACACCGAAAAATGCTTCAATAGTCTGATATCAATGTGTTCACTCACTACACCGGCTCGACTCACTACACCGGCTGGCAGTCTTTTTACTCTTTTAGGCCGGCATAGTAAATAGTCGCTGCATTCCGTGCGGCCCGTGTCTGTACGGTGTACCGGGCCACCGCCCACCGGCATACATACCTACTTACGCTATGAATGACATCAGACCGCAGAACGAATTATGAATGAACCATACAAACCGCTGAATGAAGCCGATTGGCTAAAAAGCCGCCAGTTGCCCAGGTATGTACGTATGTACCTATCCACCAGAGTTTCAGCCACATTTTATTAACACAGCATCCAATGCAAACCCACATGAGCGCATGGTAATAATCGCCTGCATCTGCGTACCAACCCAGCACTGATTCATGTCTTTGTTGTCTGCACTGATACGTGACGGACAGCCTGTGTGGTCGTCGCCCTTGAAAATCAGACCTGATAAAATCGGCTTTCATTCCTGGACGAGTGAAAACGCAGAAGAGCAGATCCAGGCGGTCGCGCGGATGAGTTTGTTCAGTTGCTAATTTTTCAGTTTCGGGGCCGGTTCTTTCGCAGCTCCACGTTTTCTGGTAACATTTTTGCCCATATTTTGTGGCCTTTTCCTCGGGTGTCGGTTCTTCGGTTAACCAAGGAAATTCTTTCCCATTCTCTCGGTTCTTTTTCGGTGCAGTTTGTTTTTGTACAATTTTTTGGTTAAGCACACTGCGACAGGAATGGCGTACACTAATAGTCCCAGCTATGTATCGGGAACCGGGCCGACCTTCAGTACTATCAGCGACTTGATAAAAGCTGCTACGGCTAGTGAGGATGCGCCTCTGCGACGTCCTCCTACCGAGGGATTACGCAGCGACCTGCTGAACGGACGCAGTGGCAGTCAGAACAGCAGCCTCCTGACTGATCACATGGAGCCGGATGCCATGAAACAGCATGACCGCTCGCTGAACTCCTCGCGCCAGGAAGCCCGCTCCCGTCCACGCCTGCGCGCGGCCAACGAGAAGATCCTGGAGATAAAGAATCGCATCTTCGTCGGTGGCCTGAACAAATCGGTAAGATTGTAAGAACGCTTTTTTACGTGCGCAGTTATTGAGCGACTGCAGTCAACGGTGTAACACGGAAGTTTCCACAAATGACAGTATCATGGATTTGTCATTTTTGTAATTTTTATCAGCTTGCCATTTATTTCCGTACTTCACTAAAAATGGAATTTTGGATTAAGTTGTTCACTAAAAATGGAATTTTGGATTAAGTTGGGTTTTATGAATTTATGTTATAATTTACACTTTGTAGAATGATATATTGATGGATAGATTTATTGCACAATTTTTCATTTTAAAATTAATGCATTTATCCTTTTTCGTATCAGCTTGACTCTAAAAAATTCAAAAAGGCGTTATCTGTTTTAAAAAAAGTGTTTGATAATAATTTCTCCCGTTCTTCCTGCCGTAGTGGCTGTTTTGAAGAGAAAGGCAGCCACTACCAACTTTGAAAGGATTAAAAAAAATTTAAGTTCGCTCCGTATTTTAGGAAAATTGTACGTCTGCGTTTCAAGATTGAGTTGTTGCTCAAGTTGTGCAATGAAATTATCTGCACTGTTAAAACTGAAAGAAACTAATTTTTCGATACAAGATATTATTTATTGCATCACTTCCATTTGCTAAAATTAATCGGAGCCATTTTAAAATTTTTACAACGAAAAACTAATTTAGTTTTTTTATTGTTTTCCTAGATTAATGAGGATGATCTGCGCGAACTGTTTGGATCATTTGGTGAGATGCTGGAGGTGCAGATCAAGTTGCGCGGCGATGAAAATGCTCGCGGGTGAGTTTTCTTCTGAACTGTGCAGTGATCGATTCTTATTCGAGAATTTTTCTGGTCGAAATTAGGTATGGCTTTGTGACGTTCAAGACACCGTCGGACACGGACAAAGCGCTGCGAGCTGTAAGTGCTGCTCTACTCTGACTGCTTCTATGCTCCTTTGTGCCATGGTGACTGTATTCTCTTGATCGCTTTGATGTTCGATAGGGTGCTGGGGAATCACTGAGTATTAAAGGTCATAAGCTGGTAGTGCAGCCAGCCTATCGTCGCGTGGAGAATCATGCAAGAGGTGAGGATACTCGGCAGTCACGTTGGATTTGCTTTTATTCGTTAGCTTGACAGTGCATTAGTAATTAACGATAACTGTAATACTTTTAAAGATTTTTTTTGTGTTTTACAACGCTCACAAACTGCACGTTGTCGATTATCTTTGTTTTCTGTGAAACCGTAATTCGCGAGATTTAACCTGGTAGTTAAAATGTTGGAACTTTTACATATTAAATTGTTAAGCCTTTGTGTATTGTAGTGTACCAGCCTTGTGTAGATACGATAATTTCATTTGATGAGAACGACGGTGATTGGGTAGTTTGTGAACATGTCTTTCATTTGACAGGTCTGAATTCACTATCGCTGAACGGCAATCAGAGTCCGGCTGGTCTGCTCGGTTCATCCATGATGATGTGTCCTACCATTGGCTCATTCCCGTCCTATCCGTTCGGTTTTCCCGGTAGCACCCTTCCCGGCACCTATCCGTTCTATCCTTCACCTTACTATCCAGTAAGACATCTTTTGTCGGTAGATGTGAGAATATGATCATGCGGCACGGCGGAAATTCATGCCGATAACGGCTGCTTTGTCAACTTGAAAACTGCTTGTTATGAAGCTGAATATTTTTGGTTGTTGTACAGGAGCTGCGGATCCCATGTCGCGCTGGCCGTTGACTTATCCCATGCCGAATTATCCGTGGGGAATGCCGATGGGAAATTCCGTATCGATGCCCTGTCCGACTCCGCATGGAATCCGATGCCACCGTATTTGCCGGCTGATCGTCAGGTGATTGATGGAATATTTTGAGTTTAATTCTGACTGGATATTAATGATAAATATATTTTTTAGCATTTCTGAGTGTCTGGTTAATGTACATCGAATTTAGCTACATTTCATTCCCAGTGATAAACGGAGATCAGCTGTGTGTTATCGGTCAAGTCCATTTGAAATTCATTTGATATTCAAGATGAATTCATTGTTTAAATTTTTTTCCAGCAGATCCCGACGCGTCCAAGCTCATCTGACCCATCGGAAAACGATCAGTTCTCACCAGCTCCTGCCGGAAGCCCAAATTTTGCTTATCCACCGGCACCTATTATCCAAGTGGACAGTGTAAGTTCGAAATTGATCATAATGGGAATTTGGAAACAGAGGCTGCTTACATTATAGCGAACTTCCATTAGCGAAATTATTAAATCAATTGCATGTTAGCAGATTTGAACGTTTTCTAATCGGCTTGCATAGCAGGCGTGAATTTTGACCGATTTTGTAGTAAGCCATCGCAATGGTTCTGTTCTAGTTGAGCGACGATCCGAGCCTGTTTCATTTAAGCCGACCGCGTGGCGGCAGTGGACTGAAGGGAGACTTTCATGATGCCGATAATTTGGGCCGTATCCTGGGTGCTCCCAAGTACCACATTTCGCCGGATGCCCGCGCCCGCAAATAATGGCTGAAATATGGACGGATGAGTTGATAATTTTGTGTAATTTTTTCGTCAACAGCGTTTTGCCAAATGTGTACAGTTGTACGGGTCGTCTGTGTTTATGCTTGCATTTCAGTTTTTGTTTTTTCTCTGCGCGCGCGGCGGTTGCAAAAGGTTTTATAATTTTCCTCTTTTGAACCGGCTGGTTTCGTGGTTTCTAAGCTGTGTTTTTTGTACAGTTTTAGTGTGGTGAAAGAGTCGAAATGTTTTTATTTTTTCAGTTTGATACGTGGATGTGTGTATGGGTTTCCTTTGGTTTTTATCATGTTTGAAACTTCAGTTGGCTTGGTTGGGTAAGCCCTTTCAAAGATTTTACGTGTGTTAATTTTGTGAGAAGCATTTTGTGCTCAGTCACAGACTCACAGGTGATGGTTTGAGGAGCTGCGTTTTGATAAAGAGTATTAAAAACATTTGAGTTGGATCGGGTGTATGCTTCTTGCTACAGAAGTATAGTAAACGCAAAGAACAGTAGTTTTCCCGAGGCTGCATTACTACTCGTAGTGTTTTTCACGCTTTAGTGTGGTGCGGTTAGTGGGGAGCAATTTCAGAAGAATTTGGTTATGATTACTGTAGATTCGTAGAATGAAAATTTAAATGCCGTTTGCTCTTACGCATAAAAATTTAATTTGTTGAACAGTTAGTCTGTTACCGTGCTAAATGTTTATGCGTTATAGATACCTGTTTGATGTTTTTACTATTATTAATGAAATTTTTCATTATAATAATCTACATGCTTAATGAAAGCAGTATCGCAGTTTGCACTACAGGGACGAAATAACAGCGAGAAATTCGTGAAATTATGAGAATATTAATAAGTATATCGTAACAGGGCGAAATTCCCTGTACAGCAAATAGTTTTGCCCGGCAGCCAATCGGTTTGCTCGCTGCGAAAGCCCGCCCACCCATATGGACCAATCGTAAACGTTCTCCGATTCGTTATTCCACGTCAGGGCAGCTCGTACCGCGTTAAGATCCTACGAAGATTTCCCAACCGTTGCTCAATCGCACAGCGTGGGAATACTGCATTGCTTAACCTTATTTGTTTTATCTCTGTTTGTTGGGGATTTGTTTTGCCATACGCACTCTTTTCCTTCAGTTAACCCCCAACTACTGCTATTACTTCTTTCCTGTGCTTGCATGTGACAGGGGAAGATGGTGCGCAGTAGTCAGCCCACGTACAAAGAGAATGCATCGCGGCAGAAGGAGAACATGCATATGAGCCTCGTCAATGCGCTGGCCAGCCTGGAAGAAGCCAGCCGGCGGACCTTCAATACGCGCATGGAAGAGCTGATCTTCCCGGAGAAGATCTGGCTGATCTGCGAGACCAACCTGCTGTCGCGTTTCATGACGTGGGGCGATGAGAAGGGCATGGTGATGATTAATCTGGCAGAGTTTGAAGACGGACTCCTCGCCAATTACGGCACCACGCATCTGTTCAAGGTACCGTACATAGTACATACAGCGGCAACGCTGGGAAATTATATTCGCCAGCATAGCAGTAGTTTTCTTTCGGTTCTTGATTATATTTTAGCATGCATTCTCCACCCTGAAAACCATGCATTCTCCACCCTGAAAACCAAACTATGACAGTAGACTTCTATATAAATATTTAGTTTGAAATTATTTTGTTTAATTAAACGGTTAAGCCAATGATCCGTAATTATTGTGGAAGCAACAAGCAGTTATTTATTAAGTTTCCCTTATGAATCATTGTTTGTTCGTGTGCAGTACCGGTAGTTGCATGGCAACATAAAGGTTGCACCGCTGACCAGAAACTCGAGATCTTATTTTCGTATCAGTCCGTCACCATCTGCGCCGTTTTCAAAAGCACAGTCTTTAATGCTTGGCAACCGAGATTCAGCCATGCAACGTTATAACACTGCCTTTATTCTGTATTGGAAGCGTTCGAACTGCTTTTGGAAATAAACAGTTGATTTATACAAAATTTGAAGATTATTTTTTAACTACTTATTTAGCAGTTAGAACAATACTAATTAATATCAAACAACGCGGTAATTTATTGCCGCTGCTATTTGAAAATACTTATATCGTTTTAAAGTGCTTTACAGCGCCTCATGAGGCACCAAGAAAACAATCAGAATCCTATTAAAGATTATTGCACAATGATATAGGTGTCGTTTTCCGGTTTTAAGCAAATAATTCTGGCATTTGGTACTTCCCTTTTTCAAGGCACATAATAGTATATAAATTTTTATTCATCGTAAGAAAGTGTCATCGTCACTGCGCTTGAACTTTTTGTAATACAAAGTAGTAATTTTGATTGATGGCTGCTGCCTATTAAAGATATTTTTTTTCATAGAGTTTAAATTGCTCTGCACTTTCCATGCGAAAAATCGCCAAACAATTTTGCAGTGCGTTTTCCGCACCGTGATCTTACAAGGCTACTTGCACAATTATCGTGGACATGAGAATACGTAATTCCTTATGTCCAGAAATTATTGCGGAGACAGTATACGTATTTTGTGTGCCAGAGCATATGCCACAGAAAGTATCAAACTTATTGCAAACATTAATACAAATTGAAGGAAAATATTGTTAAACAAACAAACCTGATGTAACGAATGAAACATTCGTCTGCGTTTACCAATTAAAGTAGCGAACGGAATGAAAGTAATGGCTTAAAAGGTTGTGTACGGAAGGAAAAGCAGTGTTAAAACGTTACAGGAATTCACCGGGTGTAAAAGGTTGTGAGCCGAGTGGCGATTATAATTAACGATAAACTCTTCAGCAATTTCGGGCTAATCCCAATGTATTGTATTTAGTCACTATTTAGGGTAAACCATTTTGCCACACAGTACGTGACAGGCTGTTCGACTACTGTAGTACTGGTGGATTCAGTTTGCATTATGTGCCAGCATTTGCATGTCTTAATTTTTTGCTTTTGCAGACAGGCAAGCTGGTGTCGTTCATCCGCCAATTTAATCTGTATGACTTCAAGAAAAAGCGCGATCTGTTCCTGGATTTGGATGGGCAGGGCAATTACACACGCTTTGGATTGTACTACCATCAGTATCTGCGCTCGGGTGATCAGCAGTTGTTGGCGCGATGTGCCCGGAAAGTCGTCAAACGTCTACCCTTGAGCGGCAATAGTGTTCGTGTGATGAAAAAAGATTCCGAGTCCGATGAGGAGACTCAGGAGAGCATTTCCAGTAGCAAGGTGACGATCGGTGTCTGTTTATAATGATTAAAGTTGACGAAATACTGTATTAACTTTTTAGCAGTTGGCAGATGTATCGGAGTACTGTATGAAGTTACTATGAACGCTTTGAGTTATGCATTCAGCATTACAAAGTCGGTAAAGCAAAACAAATAAGTAAAATCTCGTCACTGTACTAAACACGTATGTACAAGTTTGTACTTTTACAATGCGTTCATGCTTACATTTTTCAGGGTATAAAATTAATAAAGTTTAAATTACTTACCTGTTACTGGCTACTGCATGATGCATATTACTTACGTTACGACTTACGACTACTTATAATATTATTGTATGTAAACTTATGGCAGCGCTTACTGCTTGCAGTAACGCACTTGCAAAACATCTCATGGCCAGAAATGCTATACATACTACGGTAGTGATACTACAAAGTGCACATCTGATTTCATAGCGTCATGGGACAACAGTTTTATTATCTTTCAGGGACGTCGTCGTCGTGTGACGTACAGGCATTCCACAGCCGATGGCCCTTTGAATGTCCCGTCCAAATCCGGCGTCATCAAGCGAATGTCATTGCGCGTGGCCAACCGTCGCGCAAAAGGTACAGCCGACAGCATTCCTCTCTTCAATAATAAGCACGCAGGTTAGTTACTGCCAGAACTGACCATTAGAAATTTACATCGGCATCCACAATCCGTCGATGTACACTTGAACTTGTCACAGATTGGAAGTGTTTAATACAGTAATGATACTTACCATAGTTTCGACTGAATGCAGTTTCTGGAAATTTTGCGATTGTGAAATTTTATTACAATAGTAGTACCGTTACTGCATACGACGGTACAGGAAGCAGTTTTGCCTCGTTGACCATTTATTAGGACGAACGAATACAAGCACCCATTATATTCGTGCATCACATAATTAAGCAGTCTATATACATTATAAATAATAGTTTTAATAGTAAAGTACATCCAGCACGAGCACAATTGTTGAATACACTCTGTAGTGCGAAATATTACTTTAATTCGAAGCATTTGCTTCCCGCTTTTGCTGTCGCGGAATGGGAATAAATCTTGTACAATACATACTGTATACTTTTCAGAGTCAATAAAATAACTGTTTGTTATATACCTACTTGGTAAAGACCGGCAATTATGTGTAACACAGGGATGACGCTGGGTCGATAGCGCACACATTGCAGAACGTTAAGCTGAACACTACGTTCCGCTAGTAGTTGACATAACTACCAACCGACTCAAAACGAAACACTAGGTAACTAGCAGATCAAAACAAACCATCGAGCTGATGCTGCCTCTCGACCGTTCCTAATACACAAGCAGCATTACATCGTTCAATGCTCAACCGTTGCAACAGAAAACGGTTGAGCATTGAATACTACTGTATACTTATATTGCAGATTTAGGCTTCATTTGGCTACATTAATTTTATTATTACGAATTTTCTATGCACACCCAAATTTTCTTATAGCCTAATACAGTACGTAGTATAAAAAACAATTACCTACGCTATGTACTGTACTCATTATTATAAAGATTGTAAAGGTCACTTAACTGAACTTCGATCGTATTCAGAGTGCTACCTCGTTACGACTGTGAATTTAATAGAGAATTCAACCTGCTTTTGTTTTCTAGTGGCTCGAAAGAATCGCGTCCGGACGGAACTGCAGCGCACCAGTCTGATTCAGCGCTGGCTGGAGATGCCGAAAGAATGGTATGACCTCCCGGAATTACAGCGCCGCCGTGATCCCACCGCGCGGTCACTGTTCGAGAAGTACAACTGGAATCTGGATCCGATGGTGGTGGGCGATCTGGCGGCACTGGCCAGCTACGGGATGCGGGAGGACCACAGTGCGCCCATGACCGATGAGGAGCTGCTGCGCTGGATCAAGGATATGGATAAGCTGCCGGTGCTGTTGTCCGTGGTGTCTGCGCCGGTTTTCCATCGCCTGTAAAATGCATACTCTTGATATCGGGGTGTTTGCTTCTGCCTCAAATATTTAGCCCGTTTTTGTTTTGTTTTTTTATCAGAGATTCTACTTTTTATTCCCGTTTGTTGTGCTGCTTTCGGCTGTGCTTTTTTGGCTGTTTTCTTGGTTTCGTTTGGTTGTCTTTTGTAGTAGTGTGTTGTGCTGTGCTTTTTTTACTGCTTGTACCTGTATATTTATTTTATATCGCTCAATTTACTCCCGACGACTTTTTGATAGCGGCATGGTGTGCTGGCATTCTTATCGTTTTGTATCGTGTTCTTGGTTTTTCTATCTGTTGCTTGCTGTATTGTGAAGTTAACAAAATGCAGTGTGCTGCAAATTACTTGGTTGCGTAGTATGATTGGTGCTTATCTGCAAACTTATTACTGCAGACATCTATGCTCTATAGTAATACGCATACGAAGTGGGTTGGACGATATCTTATGTACCTGATAGGAATTTAACAATTTTGAAGGAAAAATTAATACAAATCAGTCTGAGGCGAAGTGAAAGAGCAATAATTTTATTCAAGCCGGAAGGAATCGTTCGTGCTTTCGGCAAGTTTGAGTTAGGCGCATAGATTCACGCAACCGCCCCCGGAAGACAACTGTACGAGTATCTCTTCTGTGCTAACGGCTAAACGCTTTCATTGCTGATCCAGCCAGCCAGCCTGTTGATCACTTAAATCACTTGATCTTTTTATCAAGTATGACGGTTATAGTCCTACTGTTTTTCAAATTACACCATAAATTTTTACGGAAAATCTGCTTTTTATGGAGCTATAGAACGTTGCAAACAAGTGAGTTCTGATATTACTGGAAATAGCGCCGGACCTGCCTATTTTTATGATTAATTTATCGTAAATTCGTAATGACGTGCTTCTGTAAGTGTAGAATGTAGATCGAGTTTTTTTCTGCTTCGTTTCCACGTTTGTAACAATTTTGTTTCAGTTTTCACGAAGTTGTTTTTCAATCGGTAATATCGGTTTCATCTTCAGAACACCAGATTTTTGGTTTCGATAACGCTTTTCGGGTTAACATCACTTTAGAAGCAGTAGATACGGTACTGCACGATGTACGTTGTTCCTATGTCCAGTGTTTTACTCGTCGTTGCCTAACTAGACTTTCGCACAGTCATAACCTGCTCACGGTAACCGCTATTATGGCGCACAAGTACGAATCCTTTGTGAATTCCCAGCGTCGAGGCACGGTCTCCGAGATCAGCAGTCGTTGGCAGAATGCCCTATCGAAAAGCGAGCTGTGCGATGTGGAATTCGCCGTGGGACGCCTGTTTGGCGCCGTGAAGAGACTTCGCGCACATAAGTACGGTTGAAGTTTAACAGCGTCCACCTCCGTTATGGGTTAGCCAGCTGCAGGATGTTGTTGGCTTAGTCGGCAACACACATTGGTTTTCTTAGGTTGACTCTCAGCATCAGCAGCGATGTGTTCTACACGATGTTCAACGGGAGCTTGGCCGAGCGTGCTGGCATCCCCATCGACATTCCGGATATTCCTGCAGACGCGTTCACTAACATGCTTAGGTAGGTGCTAGCGGAAATTACATAAAAATTCTTAAATTTGTCTAAAATTCTTGCGAAAGTAAACGCTCTTAGCCTTGTCCTTAATCGATTTCTTTGCAGTATGTTTTCATGTGTGAGTATGCGTAATTACTGTAGAGCGATTTCTCGTTCCAACCAGCCAACCGGTTCATCGTTTTCGTATATGTACCGATCGCTTCGTCCTTTTTTTATTACTTACTATGTTTTTCAAACTACATTAATAACATTATTATTATTTATTTAATATTATTTTTCTATTAGTATTAATTTTAGCGATTGCAGTAACCAAACTCCAGTAACGCAAATATAGTATCATGTTGTAATTTTTCTGTCACTTTGACTGTCCACCACTGTAAAGAGGCACCGGCTGCGCACGAAGATCATAAATTCCTTCTTATTACCGTCCATAGATCGCTTGCGGTAATGGATGCCCAGTGTTTTCCCGTTTCAGCTACATCTACACCGGTGCCGTTGAAGATCTCCAACCGGAGAACGCAGTGCAGACACTGTACTGCGCCGATAAGTACGACTTGCCATGGCTGGCCGAATACTGCACGGACTTTATTCTCGATGACTTAAAAGCCGACAACTGCCTCATGTATCTGGAAAATGTGAGTATAGTATATTTCCAGGCAGCCCTTGAAGCATTTTCTAAACGGTACCAAATTGCGCTATGCGTGTAGGGCATCGTTTTCTTTACGCTGTGAGGACTATTTTGTTAATACCGTAAATCTCAGGAAAGCTTGCGTTTCGATTGTATGCTGGAGAAAATGTACGCGTACGTTGGAAGCCCTCTCCGTATGCAGAAGGGCGGGTGATACTAGTTTTAATGCAGTACAATATTTTTAACGCTGTGCATTTTGACAGGCGAAAAGCTGGACTCCAGACTGTGATGTTGTGGTGGAGAAATGTTTGGACATTGTGGACGCATCCACCGCGGGCGTTTTCCAGTCGGATTATTTCATCAAGTTGGAGCGCAAAACGCTGGAGTTGATTCTACAGCGCAGCACATTGTCAGCGGAGGAGAATGTCATCTATATGGCTGTCGAAGAGTAGGTTGCACCAACGATAACCGGCTTGCTGCAGACCATCACTTTCTTTCTCAAATTGTATCAATGTTTTTGAATGTTTGTCTTGTTGCGCACAGATGGGCGAAGGCTGCCTGCCTTGGCAAGAAGGTATCTGCTTCTGCAACCAATCGGCGCCAAGCACTGGGTCCGGTATTTTTCCTTATCCGCTTTGCTTTGCTGACGGACGCTCAACTGACCAACGGACCGGTTAAGGTTGGTATTAATTATGTCTTAAAATACAGCTTGCACAGCCAAGTTCGAGCAGTAACAGGAGTTTCTCACCCTCCAACTTTGGAATCTGAAATTTTGAAATTTTGATTTTTGAAGGATAGTTTTAGATCTGAAGTACCTTTCGGGATCATGTTTCCATGCAAATACATATTAAAGGTGTAGGAAACAAGAGCCAGAATATTATTTTCATTTTTTTGCAAGAAATAAGCATTTTCATTCAGTGTTGTTTCAAACGCTGTGGATGTTTGAAACGTATAAGGTGGTAACGTAATTTCCTAGGGGTCCCTCCCTAACTTCTGTGGAAACACTCACATCTTGCCGTAAACAATCAGTGCGTAAAACAACCACATTCCGCAGTCGGCACTCTCTTTAGCATACAAGATTGTGGGAGGCAGAACTGAGGTCACCTCGAGCATTGATTGCGTAAAGCTCTGATAACCCCTAATGGATACCTTTAGGCCTACTCAACGGTTTCCGAAAATATTGGTTGGTTTTTTTTGGAGTTGCAGTTATAAGCAAATTTATTTCACAAAACTCCCGCAGCTTAGATGTATATTGACCTGTTCAAGGTCGGTTCCAACTGCGTTTAATATTTGCAGAGTGGTCTACTGAATCTCAAAGAAATGCGTAAAGTTTTGATACAGAAGCATGGAACAGATGCCGACGCATCCAAGGAAGGTCCGCTGGCTTTTTTCTAAAGAGCCACGGAAGCTGGTGACGTGTCGTTTTCTAATCAGATACACGTATAAGCTGATGGAGAAGACTTTCGTGCTGTACACCGAAGGCAGTTATTATCCTGCCATGGTCACAGGAATTGATGAGGTGGATTATGTTTGGATTTACGAAATGGAAGCACACGAGGAAAAAGGTTTGGTCTCCGTTAATTGCCACCATTCTGTTCGTGCCTCCGTTCGTGCCGCGGATATTCTGAAGCGTGGTTTGCCGGTGGAAGTATACATTGATGGAGAATATAAGAAGGCGACGTACGGTTCGCTACGGGCTGGACGACATACGGTCTGCGTTGGTGACCGCGAATACAGTGTGGAATTCACGAAGCTGAAGATTGCGCGTATTGATGTTGAGAACTGGCTGGCTGATCAGCAGTAGCGAGTCTGCGACATGGATGGAATTTACGACGCCACCGGTTCTCTGGTTTAATTTCGCTGATTATCCTTTGTGATGTATCTTTACATTAAAATTTGTTGTCTATGTTGTTGCCGTTTGGATACACACAAAATTTTTGTTTTTCTTTTTATCATAGGAAATAGTTTTATGTGCAGATGGCAGAGTCAGTTTCCGATAGATTTATTTATTTGTCAGTTGTCGTTTTTTGCATTTGTTGCATCAGTGCTTAGTTTGATACTAAAGATACGTTAAAGTAATACCTGGCAATTCCATAAGTGCACTCGTACTGCGCATTACTTATGAGATGAAATATAGATATGACAAAATATGTCTAAGTGAATGCATAATCGAAGAAGGTCGACCAGGACAAATTAACGCACTTATATCGGTATGTAACAAAAATGTTTTATAAAAAAAAATTGGCAAGCAGGTCCTTTCTAAGTGGATTTATCATTGTGAGGCGTCATGTATACGAAGATCGCCCGGTATTTTAGATTCACTGTCCACATTTTCTTTAGTCCCAGCTAACAGTCCGTATTGTGCTAAAACATCCAGGAAGAATTCAGTGTTATACTGGCGTAACTCGTCTAGTCCACCGGCTTCCGCAAACTGTGACATATTATGGATACTGAGCTGCAGAGATGCTTCGCGTAGCCTTTTCAAATCATGCTGATTGGATAATATCAGCATGCGAGCGGCACTGGCCACGTTCAGGGAAGAGCACAAGCATTCCTGACAAACGGCACGGAGATCCGCGAGATCATATTTATCCGCGGCGACGACAAGCTTTTCCGCCATAATGGAAAGGTCAGCACATGTTGCAGTGTACCTGTACAGATTTACCTATTAGTGGTAATACCAATATTGTGTTTTCTTACAATTTGTACAAAAGACCGATTCGGTATTACAATAGGTACTTATGTGTAATTAATTTATACAGTGCGTTCAAATGCATGCACACTTTAAAAGGGCAGTCATGAAGGATCGAAGGTCCGCGCAGGTCAGCGAATCTGTTTGTGCAGTATAGTTAGGTATCATTATCAACTTAAAAAATACGTAGTCGCAGCGAATTGAACGCAACATTCTCTGGCAAAAACAAATAAATTAAAGCGAGCATTTTGAAAGAATGTACTTATGTGCTGATTACGATTGTGGCATTGTGCAGTACTTGTTTACATGAATTCCAGCATTGCCGCTATCGTCTCTCCATCCGTATCATCAATACGACAAATACCATTTTCAGCTTCCGTTGTCGGATGTATTAACATGGCGGCGAATACTTTAGAGCGAGCGATGAGGATGGCTTTATGAACAGGAAATAATCCGTTATCCGACGACACCAGCACCATATCACAGCCCTCTTGCGATGTGTACAACTTCCGGAGATCATCCAGCAAATAACTGGCACCGATTTCCATCGGTGTGCTTAAGCGATCCACATGGAGGGTATGTACTAAAAATTCTATCACAGCCTGGATGCGTAGTACATCGTCCTGGATGTAGCGCTGACCGGAAGCGAAAAGCTGCCGGTGCGAGATGAACTCGATTTTGCCCCAAGAAGGAAAACCGGCATTGCTGTGCACGAAGGGTTTGTTGCTGGCTGGCGGTTCATACAGAACGTTGCCCTTGTCGTCAACAATGCTGCAAAAAATATAGTAAACACAGTATATGCGATTAGCTGCCTTAGGCGATTTCCACTTAATGCACCTCACGTGCGCATCGGGTAATTATATAACTTTCAAAACGCAAAAACAATTGAACAGAGCTCAAGTTCTATGTACCTCGTACAATACGTGTATTCCAGCTATTAAACCACTGTTTACGTAAACTCACGATTACCTGTATATTAAACAAAATTCACAATTTTCTTTGTGGCAGTATCAAAATTTCAAGTGTCGATATAGCAGAACTGATCGTGAAATACACACATGGAAATAACGTGAAATACACACATGGAAATAACGTGAAATACACACGTGTACGTATATGCCAGTTATGACCTTCGTAAGCAGAAAGACAAACTCACATCTTCCCAAGGAAATACAATAATCATCATTAAAGTTTTTACAAATACAGTAGGTACGGTAGTTGTAGGTTAACCACATAAAATTATCATCCGCATAATTATGATGTAAATTAAGTTACACAAATTACGTATTACGTACGAGTAGTAGATAATTCATCTAAATTTGTAATGATAAAGTTTTTTGTGCACGTACCGTAGCGTATGAGTCGCAGCAATTTCTTCCCCCTCTTTCAGTTTTTTGCAGCAGACAAACAACGAAACAAAATCTTCGTCTTTTCCGCCGCTGGATTTATTCTTCACACGGTGTAACGGTGTCATTTGCAGACACCATTCCGCTCTGCTGTTTTTCAGTCCGAGATTAAACACTCGCACCGGACCGGAAAATATTGCTGTGGTCAAGTGTTGGCGGAACTTGAATTTATCCACCCGCCAGTTAATAACTACATTGGCCAATGTTCCTTTCGTCTCCGTATCCACGGTGGCGGAGAAGGATTTTGTAACAGGATCACCCATAACGTAAACAAGTACTTAAGTATACGTTTAGTAAGTACACTGTTTATGCGGCTCATACACAACAAACTTTATGCAGTATTTTTGGCGTCCAGTAATCGTAATTGCGATAATGCAGGAACACACCAATGCGAAAATCCAGAACATAATTCAGAATTCGAACACTTAATACGCAAACGCACATAAAAACTTAATGAACCTACACGATAATAGGTTCCATACTGCGAGGTATAAGATGCGTAATTATAATCCGAGGAAATTGTGGTTAATCATTTGGTCATAAACCTGTTTCGTGTGAGTCAACTGCGGCCCTACTCCGCACTGGCAATGAAAGTAATTCTCTAATAATTAAAGTTGTCATGAGTACGAGGAACTTCCCTGAAGTACTTAATTTATCGGAAACAATTATTGCGTATTGTATTCAGATTCGCTTAATGCAAATACTCAAATGTGTAAACAAAGACATTCAGAGACAACCAAATTTTCAACAGCAGACACTGCAAAACAACAACCCAACTTCAACGTAAAGTGCATGCCTGTGTACAGCCACACCTTGACTACGGGTCAGGTACGTGGTCGCCGGCATCTTCGGCTTTACGCGACAAGATAGACAGGGCACAGCGGAAAGCACTGCGGGCGATTTCTGATTACAAGGAGCGGGTTACACCCGAGCTGTATCAGAAACTGCGCATCCTGCCGGTGTACGACCGTTGGAAGCAGTCGGAAGCGGTTTGGTTGTATAAGATCTACAACCACGAAGCATACCATCCGCCGAGGTACATGGTCGAGATGATCGACTTCACGGATTTCGGAATGCGGTACAACCTGCGGAACCCAACGAGAATTGCTGCCAGAGCGAAGAAGAAGATCGGAGAAGGCACGCTGGCCATGCGACTAAAGAACATCTTTGAGCGCATACAAAAGTTAACTTGCATATACTCAGTGTTGATGGTGGGATTTTTCAAATTTGCTCTCCGAACAGTTGATCTGTCTTAGAAATTGTTATTTTGTTTAGTGTTGTGCCGACCAGACGTTGAAGTCCCGTTTAGCGGGTTGTCTGCTCCTGATGTAATAATAATAATAATAATAAAGGGAAGTAATATAAACCAAAACGGCCTGCACATGTCTAATCTCACCGCAAACGGCTAACAAATGTACAACAGTATACAAAATATACAACAAAATGTACAGAGGTTTACATTTTGCAATATTACAACGGAATAAAGGTAAGAGAAGTTCAAAAATACCGAGAAAGAGATCGATCCTCAGGTCAGATCGTGTAAACTTTAAAAACGTAAAATTTAAAATGCAAAACAATCCCGGGCTTCCGTTGTTTTCACGCAATGCAGATACGTAGACCAGAAAGAATTTTCACCATCGCCATTCACAAAGTCTGAAAAATGCAATCGAATTATTATGCACACCAACCTGTCATTACTATCCCGCTAAAATGTATACAAAATAAGCCGGAAGCGTTGTCACGTCTTGGCACAGATGTTTATTGTGCCACTCTGGCCGGATAGATACTGAGTAATAATGATAATAATGGAAATACTCGTAGTACCACATAAAATGCGTCCTCTACAGGTCAACACAGTCATGCGGGTTGCTACGCGCTAATATGGCGCGTAGCCACTACACTACATCTTCACCCTTAAAATGAAGTGAAAAAGCAGAACATTATGGCAAAATGTCGAAATAATCTTCCTCGACATTGTAGACGGTATTGACCTTTCCTTCTTCTTGTTGTCCTTCTGCTGGCATGCCCTCTCTATATGGCCTTTCATGCCGCAACCATTGCATCTGGTGTTTTATACCAGCATTCTTCTGGCGTATGCCGCCAGGATCCACATCTTTACATTTCCGCCGGGACGGCATCTCTTCTTCACTTCCACTTTCGTCATCATTCTCTTCCTGTCTCTTTCTCTACTGCTCTTCTCCTCTTTCTTCACTCTTATTTCTCGCTTCTTAATGTTGTTCACCACATTCTCTTCCACATTAGTTTTTCTCGCCTCTTTCACGCTTGTTTCATATTTGATAGCAATTTGGAGGGCGGCGTCGAACGTCTTCAGCTCTTGCAGCATTAGGTAGCGTCTTGTTGCGTCGCTTTTGACGCCTGCCACGAGCACAGCACTTAAATTCTTCTCCAGCACTGTTGCCGGAAAGTCGCATAGGATCGTTTTGTCACGTAAACGTGTCGCGAAGTCCACCAGGCTTTCTTTTTTCGTCCTGAAGACTGAAGAACAGCGCCCACTCGGTTATTTGGTTCGTGTACGGGCGTAGGCCGTTTCCAGCTTCGTGACCAGTTCACCCAGTGTGAAGTCGGACGGCATCTTGGGTTTGCACATCGAAACTAAAAGCTGCAGGGCCTTCGTGTCCAGACTGTTTATTAGCAAGGCACGGTGCTTGTCCGTATGAAGGTCGGTCAGCACAGTATAATTATCATACAAAAACTTCCACGCCTTCCAGTCCATGGTTTCCGGATTGAACTTGGTCAATTGATCGGTTGTGGTCGTCATTTTCGATCTCTTATTATATAGCGCTCGCTTTCCTCTTCTCCTTTCCCGCTTCAGAGTTCAGAGAATACTACACTTCACGCCAATTGTCACGTCTTGGCACAGATGTTTATTGTGCCACTCTGGCCGGATAGATACTGAGTAATAATGATAATAATGGAAATACTCGTAGTACCACATAAAATGCGTCCTCTACAGGTCAACACAGTCATGCGGGTTGCTACGCGCTAATATGGCGCGTAGCCACTACACTACAAACCGTGAATGCTATACTTACGTAAACGAATACAGCATACTGTTAAATTTCTTACAGTTCGAAAAAATTGTTGTCACAAACTAACAAATAAGTAAATACCATCGATATCAAATAAAACACTCAAACACGATTCAAATTACATATTTAGCCGGCAAAATCACAGAAAAGCTATAGGCAGATCGAAATAACCGAAATATAATAAAAAGACTTTGCTATTCAGTATATTTCTGAGCAGTCTTCGATAAGCGGCAATGCGCTGAAAGCTAAATTAGCCAATGAAAGTAAAGCAAAATAAGTAGCACACTCACCAGCTATAGAAGCCGCTACAGCATCTCCAAATCGCACCACTAAAAATTCAGACCATTCACCACCGGCAGGCGATGATTTTACCAAAGAAAGCCCAAACAAGTCTTACCTTTAACCAACAACAACAAGATTAAAACCAAAACAACCATCCACGGAAAAAAACCTCGAATCCCCTTTCGCATCCGCACCTAAACCAACAAGCAATGGTCGTTGTGATTCACATGATCATGAGAAGCGAAAAACAATAAATATTCTAAAGTCATAAGCAGGTTAGTCCTCACTGCAACATTGTACATTTACAGTACTTCCGTCTTCAGTAACCCAATTTCCGTACCGTGTGTTCTGCCACACTCTGCGCACTGTCCGCGCTTTCATCCGCCAAGGCGTCATCACCGGTATCGATGTCCATACGAATGCCGCTAGATGCTTCTTGCTCACCGCATGCCGCCACCAGTTCTTCTGCCGGCCAGAAAACATCATCATCTCCAATTTCCTCATCATTAACGGCACAATCTGGCAAATCCACAATCGCAACTGCAGTTTAAAAAAATGTTTTCCACTGGATGCAACAAAACAGCACTCCCAACTTTTCTCAATCGGACAACAAAAGTGTACGTAATTAACTGATTTCTATCTACATTACAGATATCACACCTTTTTCTTCATCCACAATCTCTTGAAAACTGTCATCCAAAGAAACCGACGATTCCAGCGATTCCGGTAGATATTCATCAGCACCATTACTATCACAGACTGCATTACATATAACTCGACATCCGATTTCGTTAAGGGAATATGGTCACTTCCACACACTTCTTCAACTTCTGAAAAAATTCTTGATTACACAAAAACATTACAGGAAGCCGAGAAAGTATCTGTACTTCTAGTAATACTTTGTTAAGCCTTACCGGCACCGTAGTCGGAAACCAAAAACGATATGACTACTCAGTAGGTAATTACTGGCGTAATTAACAACCGTAACATACACAGTTTGACTTTCGTCAGTAACAAAACCAATTCATCAACGAAATGTCGAATTAATTAAAGTACACCCAGCAAAACGACACCGCAATGCGAAAATTCTCTCCAATAACCAATGATACTGCGCAGTCGTCTCACCTGAGCATTCGCTGGTGCCACTGCCGCGACAACTGTCACTGTCCTCGTCCAACTGAATACCCGAATCATTCGTGTCCGGCTGCATCTCCTCCGGCTCGTCATAGTACGCCTTCTTCGGCAGTGGATACATGTGAAAATGGTTAATACCGCCGCGCATTTCCTTTCCCATCACGAAGTCGTGATTGCGATCGATCTGGCGCTGCAGCCGATCCGTGTCCCAACCGACCCTTTCCACTTCCCACGCAATACGTTCCCGAATGTACTGGGAATCTTTCAGCCAATCCGTATATGTTGTCTGGACGGTGTCGTCAACGTGCTTCAATTTGTATGTCAATTCATCCACGCGGTAGGTCAGCTCTTTCAGTGAGGTGGCGAAATACTCGCGGTCAGCCTTCATTACATTATATACATCCACCATGATCGAAGATTTCAGCTCCTTCAACCAGTTGTTTTCCTGTAATCAAACTACAACTGTTACTTCAAATGGTTTTTAACTAAATAAACTGAATTAATTACTAGCAGTGGCACTAACAGAATACGCTAAATAAAATTACGTATTGGGTACTGTAATAGTACATTTTCTTTTACAGAATAAAGATTCATAAGAACACACATGCTACTCGATCAACGCTTGGAATAACGGGAAACGAAAAATTTTGCCGATCTGCAGGCTGTACTCGTAAATCGGTATGTCTGCTAGAATACGAATGTAGTAATTATGATAATTATTACCATTTAAAAATATAATACATACATCAAAATCATTATTCCTGCGCTCGCTAATCATACTTATTCATACATAATGCATCTTTAACAATTAAAACAGGCTATGATTAAAATTAATACAATAATCAAGATAGGGCTAATAATAATTAATAATTATTATTACTTAATATACTATCGCCGCTTAATATTAATTTTAAAAACCACCCAACACAATTTTGCCTTTACATGATTAACGAAAGGAGCCTGATGCCGATGATAACCGGAGCCAATCGCTACAGCGTTCTGAATGACAGGTTTCCGGACGCTTTGCGGCACACCGTCTGGATTATACCGTGGTGGCCGTGGACCAGGTTTCTGGTCTTCCTTGAAAATGGCCAAGACTTTCTGGTTCGCATAGACGCAGAATTCCTCCACCTCCTTCTTGGACGGATTCTGGCAGCCATCGCGCATCTGCCCGAGGAGATTGCTGATTTGATTGCGAATTTTCTGAGCCGTCGAGGCACGCTGGAGTAATGGTGTCCCGGGATCGGGATGGACGGCCTTTTCCAGCATCCGCTTCACTGAAACCGCTAGCATTACCACTGATTAATAAAATCCCAGCTATCAAATACATACTGCGCTGGTAATAATCCGCCGTTGCCTCGCCGGGATGCCGCTTCACCTGCTCATCCAGTTGATCGCTATCGCAGGATGCAACAGGCGGCGCGCTCAATATCGGAGTTTTCAGGACATTCTCCGGTTGTGTTGTCAAGCTGGCTATGCTTGTATTGGTTACGTTTAACTTATAAAAGTGTGGCATGTCTGATATTAATAAGGTTAACTTAGGAAAAAGCGCCCAAAGCTGAAGAAATCTCTAGTCTAGACAATGCCGAAGATCGAAGAAACATGAAAATGATGCGCAAATAATCTGTAAAATCAACAGGCTTGGCGCTTTGAGCTTTGATTCATAAGGAAAGACAGAAAAGCGGCACAGGAAAAATTGAATCACCCATTACGTCAGCATTTTTATATACGGGTATGTACCGGGATATTGCACCAATGCGCTCAAACTGTCCGCAGTGTCATGCAGGAAGATTTCATCGTCTTTACCTTTCTATCTCTTGAATTCTCTTCTATTCTTTCTATTTTACTGCCAATGAATCTTTCATTTTTCTATTAATATTGCTTGTTTATCACTTCTGAAAAATGTTCCTGGAAGAATGAAGACAACGAGTTGAATTCTAAAACAGTCACCTAAAAAATTCAAATACGAGTGCTTTCCCATGGAATGTCCAAGCAATATGATGGCTGCCACTTGAGAGCGGTTGGCACGTGAAGTGATTTTGCAGTAAACTGCAAGGTTGTAAACAGTTCCCTTTTTCCACCAGCCGTTCTAAACTTCTTCAGGAAATTAAAAAAATTTTTACCCTTTCATTTTAGTGATTTTACCCAATAGAGTTGCGATCCTAGTTAAGTTTTTCCTTTTCTTGATCACTTGAAGCGATCCGGATTCAAGTAGACAAGAAGGGGTTGTATCACTGGCAGAGTGCTGGAATTTTGGTTGTGCGATTACTGAAGGACACAGTGCACCATGGATTCTGCAGATCCACTGCTGAGTTACCTTTTGGAAATGGGTTTCCCGCAAAAGAAAGCGTATGTGAGCTTCTCGGTTTATTATTGTCACGCAGTCAGATTTCTCACAAATACGCTTTTATGCAGAGAGAAAGCGTTAGCTGCCACTGGCCACGGGAGCGTGGAAACCGCCATGGAATGGTAGGCATGCATTGAAACCGCTTTAGCAGTTTATGTCATAGTCTTGCTTCTCTTGATACATAACTTTTATGAAGTATCGTTATTGACATTTCGTACAGGATTTTGTCGCATCCCGATGATGATGGCGAAGAATCAGAAGGGAATACGCAACCTGCAGGTAAATAGGTTTTGCTCGCGGATTCAGAAAACGGTAGCATCCAGAAATTCTCAGTATCGGAAATTTTTTATTTATATTTAATTCATTATTTGGATTATTAAATTAAAATTGATTATTATTAATGTAGTAACCGGGGTTATGATTTTTGCTTAAAATGGTGGCAGGGTCCAAGAAAATCTCGATGTTAGAAAATTTTTTGAGCATTTGAATCCCGAATTTCAAATTTTTAAACATTGATAATTAATTATATAGATACTCGTACAAGTAGTAAACTGTATATGTGCGGCTTTCGGGGTGGTCGAATGAGTAGATTATCTTTTAAATTATTCTTATCTTCCAGGAGATTCTGCTCCTACGATGAAGCTACCTTTAACTGAAGCCGAGTTGGAAGAGCAAGCGCGCAAGCTGGAAGAGCGTCGCGTGCAGCGCCGTGCGGAAGTGGCTGAGCAAGAGCGCAAAGATGAGATTGAACGGGAAAAAGCCCGCCGCGTCAGCGGTCGGGAGATCCTGGATGCCAAAGAGAAAGCCGCCCAGGTGGAGATGATGCGTATTGCTGAAGAGCGGCGTCGTGAGAAGATGGAGGATAAAAAGGCCAAAGAGAAGATTAAAGCGTTGATTGAGGAAGATCGCCGCAACCGGGATAAAGAGCGTGAAGTGAGTTTTTTTATTATTTTTTCTATACTGTGTGCAGTAGTCGTATTATTGCTACAGCAACCACTGTCGGGGAATGTCCCATCCGTCACTCCCACGCCGTTCTCCACTCCGACCAATTCGTCAGCCAATCTGGATCAGAATGCGAAAACCCGCATTCAGGTAAAGATTAAAATGAAAAAAGTCACTTTTGATTTAAACGAAAATTTTTTGTTTAATGCAGGTACTGTACTTTTTTAATTTTGATCGAAGTTTGAAACGCCAGCTTTGCAAATGAATGTAACATTGTCGTTATGTGCGCCGCTAGCGAACATGCGAAAGAATCAAAGGTTTATTTTGCGGAAAAGTTTTTTTCATTTTCCGGTTGTTAAGAAAAGTTGAGCCTGAATAGTTATGATACTTCAGTCAATTAAAAAATCACATGCACCAGGTTTAAATTTGGTACAATAAAATTTTGATTTTCTCACTTTTCTGCTGTCCAGATTCGTATGTTTGACGGAAAACCACTGGTACAGTCCTTCGGCATCAATGAGCCACTGAGCGCTGTCAGACTTTACGCAGAACTCAACCGTCAGGATGGTGAGATTGGCCCGTTCGGCATGATGACCAACTTTCCAAAGAAAGAATTTACCGAAGATGATATGCAGGCACCGTTATTCTCCCTGGGTGAGTCATATACAAATCTCATGCATTATGCATGCTTAAGTAAAACGCTTCAGATCGATATCCCGAAATCGATTGTAAATAATCAGAATTCGATGTACTGCATTTGCGCCTCATTAGTTCAGTGTTTTCATTTCTGTTGGCTTCTTGAAAGTGAAATTTGCCTTTTAATTAGTTGTTATGTTTTTACTTTTAGCTTTATATTGGGCGTTATATTGTTACAGAAAAATTATTTGTACTACTGGTTGGTCAGATCGTGCTTGCAGTACGAGCTCAATGAAAATGAATGTATTCTTACTTCACGATTTGTACGAGTGATTTGTTCGTATAGGTCTCGTTCCTTCCGCCACTCTGATTGCCACACGGAAGCCATCATCATTAAATTATTGATTTACGAATTTGACAGTATAATTGTACGGTCTTTCCTTTCCTTTGTAAAATCTTCGGTTATCATGTATTTACAGAATATTACATGGTTCAGTTTAGTTACGATTTTTGTTTGATTTTCGAGCACGAATGGTCTTGAAGTTTACTTTATTTATGATTTGCGAACTAATAATTATTTCCACAATTCCTGGTTTATTTCTAATAGCGAAATGAGTTTGTGCCCGTTCAAATGGTGCTGCGACAAATATCTGGGATCTGAAGAGATAAACATTTTCCGTGCGGGGCCCGTTTCAGAACTTTAATCAGTACAGGAGGTGTGATTCGTACACTTGGTTGACCCTGATAAATCCGGATGGCATCGCTGTTAAATTTCGGGATAAAAACATGTTACTCTGGAGTCTTTCGGCCAGTGCACCAACGGATGAAGACATGCAGAATGTGCACTGTATAATTTCTTAAAATACTTGCCCACATCGCTGAAGATATTGCGAATTTGTACCAAAAATATACGTACCAATACAAAAATATACAAAAATATACGTACCAAAAGTATACGTACCAAAAGTATACGTACCAAAAATAATGGAATTTTCGTGGTAAAGAACGACAACCACGTGGGAAACAACAAGTATCACATTATCGGAATTCTGTTTTACCGTATTTTTTCTTCCAGAATTAATATGATTGTAAACAATATGTTAAATACTATAAACAGTTCTAAATTTAACATTACGAAAGAATGTGTACATATCTGTTCTGGCAAGTACTAATTAATTGTAACTGGAGAAATTTAATTCGCTTGAGATTCTTCCCGAACCTGGAAATCAGAATTTACTTGGAGTGAATTATTCAAATTTACACCTTCACATAAAGCAGATTTTACTTTCAGTTGTAAACTACGGGTAGCAGTAACAATACGTCCAGTATTTTAGTATTTTACTAATTTGCATTTTGCCTAGTCAATAATTTTTCCAAGCCGGTTGGGCAGTGGACAACGGCTACATATCCTGAAGAAATATACCATATTTTCGCTAGCATAGATCACCTCCCAAAAAGTTCCTCCAGGAATATTATCACATGGAGGCGCTACTTTCCGGTTTCGAATGGGTGCTGGTGGTCAGCACGCCCTAAATTAACACCCTCAAATTACGCAAACAATGTAAAAATAAAATTAAGCACACAGTAGTAGTGTACTGCGCACTTATTTTGATAGGCGCTTTATAAGCCACGCCGATACTGCGCAACATACCCAGTTCCCTGTATACACCTATTCGCGAACAAATACTCACGTACGGGCAGCTTGGCTGTCTGATCCGTTCGACTTCGAATCGCTTCGTTTTTCCCTCGTTTGAACTTCCAGTCGGCCCCAGTGTCATGTGCAACTTCAACCGGGGCTTGTTTGAGCTGGAAAATTCTGCCGACTTTTCTGACGCCATTTTGCTGTCCTGACAAGTCGCCACGCATTATAACCGCCTTTATCGAGAGTACTAATATTTTAAACCGCAATAATAATTTTCCCGTTTACTGCACCGATTTTCAACACTTAGTAACGGTGTTGGGCAGGCAGTTTTTCTTCCCTTACAACAGCCGTTGGTGGGGGCTTACACGCGGACCGTTGGCAACCGAGTGTGGGAAGATCGCGAAAACAGCATAACGACTGCTCTAAACGATTCCCGTATGCCATTCTAATTCTCCCATTTTTCGTTCCCTTAATATTGCATTGTGAATAACGTGATTTTCCGGTTAGACGCAGGACACAGCGTGTCCACTCCACGCGATAATGGAAGACGATCGTGCGCTTTTGAAAGTACCGTCCGCCCGCAAAGCCGTCCGCGCACAGCCCGCAGCCAGTGAGAAGCGGTACTTCAACTCCCGAGTCATGGTCAAAGGCAACTGGACGCGGGAGGAGGATGCGTTGTTGGTGCAGCTGGTGCAGGACGCCCGCTCCGCTGGCCACGCGGAGACCGACCCCGATGCCTCCGGACCGCGTGTGACGCACTGGGCGGAAATCGCCAAGAACCTGCCTGGCCGTGTCGGGAAGCAGTGCCGCGAAAGGTATGTGCTGTGAAATGTTTGTCTGCAGTTTGTTGGTTCATGGGCGCTACGGGAGTATGTTGTTTCGAAATCGAAAACAATGTTAAAGCTCACTGTTAATAAGCCGTTACAGTTAATGCAGTGATTTGTCATATTTCTTTATCGATTTTATACAGAATATATTGCTCCCGACTAAGTGAAGATGCTTGAAAATTATACTTAAAAATAAAAAATTTTTGAACGTTTTTTATACTTACGTGCACGATTTTTCAATTTCGAACGTTTCTTTTAATTTTGACGATTTGGTTTTCTGTAGTAGTATTATTGACAGTTTAAACTGGCATGGAACGACATCTCTTTGCGGCGGCTTTTCTGAATTTGAAAACATTTTAATAAAATTCTATTATCAAGAATTTTGCAAATTAATCTGGTTCTTCATTGTTTTGGTGGAAAGCATGCCAGGTGGATGCACCGCGCATGCTTGTCCAACATGTTTCGAACAACGTTCCCGGCTTCCACATGCCGTGTGCTGATATGCACGCGTGTGTGATTACGTAAGCGGCGGTATGCGCATTTCACATGTAGTCAGTGTAGTGCAGCGGTATTCGTGATTCTCGCCGAGACTGCAGACTGGCAGTGTGTCATTTTGACGTCACTTACAAACAGGGATTTTGGAGTGCGCCAACAGGGAATTATGCATTCGCTGTGTTTCTGTTCGTGTGCTAAAATTTTCGAGGCGGTAATCCAATACCGTGGCCACAGCATTAACGCTAAATTTAACATTACGGCAAACATGTTTATCACACATTTTTTCCTCGTTTGCAGATAATGCTTTTCTGAATATTTTCATGTATCTGTCTAATTAACCAACAACATAGTTTGCGAACGCACGCTGTTAAAAAAGTGCCGGAATAAGCACTTGTTGTTATGGGCCTACGATGACTTCCCGGCGCACCGTAGGCGCACGGCTGCCAACCGCCACAGGGTACCATCCTGGCGAGAATCGTCAGTCGTCCGTAGCAGTCGTCCAGGTGTGTGCGGTGTGCCGCTTGCTATCGCGCATCGCACGAAAAATGAGTACCGAATAATCGCGAATATTGGAATATGCATTCGTTTGCATTTTGTAGAATGCAAGCGAGCGTTGCATGGTTTATCATGCAGTTATCCTGTTTCGGCTGCGGTAATGGTTATTTGTGATTTTCTTTCCATATTAGTTAGTTAACAAATCTTGCTAATTTTCATAATCATTTTTGGTATTTTTCTGATTTTGTTCAGCTTTTTAATTTGTTACGCTAAAATTCGATGTGCGAGCGCTGTGTTTCGAGTGATCTTATCGGTGTCTGATTGTGAGACTTTAGTTTATCGTTATGAACATTTGTTTTGTGGCTTACATTTACCAGTTACAACTACAAGATAATTAACGTGTTATTCGACTCCTGTTTTAGATGGCACAATAATTTGCGGCCTGATTTGAAAAAGGGAGAATGGTCGTTGGCCGAGGAAGTGATGATTTTCAGTTGCTGGAGAGTATGGGGTCCGCAGTGGGCCAAAATCTCCCGTGCACTGGAAGGCCGTTCGGACAACCGTGTGAAAAATCACTGGAACTGTCATATGAAACGCCGTCTTGAAAAGGATAATGAGTACGTGGCCGTTGTGACTAAGACCGTGGAAGCTTTGGATTTGGTCAGTGCTCTTCGAGATATCATGGTAAGGCTGCAGAAGATATGTTTTACAAAACCTACGTCCGTTTTTGTGCAGAAAGCCTAACACTTCCTCATAATTCATTAGTTGCAACTTCTGTTTTCATTACACGTACACGAAAATGGACTGTTTTGCGCCGTTGTAAACTCGTGAGTGTTTGAATTATAATGTTTCAAGACTTATTTCACTTTGGCGTTTTTTGTCGGTTTTTACTTACAAGTATTACTCGTAGTACACTGGGAATTGCATTTGGTTTATTGTACGGCTGCATGCATGAAAATATCGCTTAATTAATTTAAGTGAGGGTTTAATTAATTTAAATTGATTAACTTGCAAAATTAACCAAGAATACTAACTGAGTTAATTTTGCAAGATAGGTTTTGTTTTAAATTTCCACAAAATATTTGTTTAGTGATGTGATGCAGTACCTTACTCCAGCATTTTGGTACTTTTTTCAGAACGTGGAGAACAGCGAAAAGGCATTTAAAGACCTGATCTCTCCGCAAATTGTCGACTATCTGCGTACAAATCACCATAATGAGTTGGATTCTCGCACAAGCTCCTACGTTCCACGTAGCACATACGTGTCTCGCGCAAACGGCACAAATCCCGCGATCCCCGAAGAGAATCTCCACGGCTAAAGCCAACAGCACGGGAATTGGTTCCTTCGCGGCATCCTTACTGGAGAAGCAGCAGCAAAAAGCGGCAAAACGACAGCAAGAAAATAAACCGGATCAATGTACGACCGATTTGTTAGAGCCGGTTGCAAAATTTTCCGAGCTCTCGAATGGCACAGATAGTGCCGCGGCAGATGGATATATGGACGAAGATGTCCCGGAGGTGAGTGATACTACAACACTTCGCAGTTAATTTGAGATTAGAAGATTAACGATAGGTATCATTGAATATCGGTATATTTAAGGAACAGTTTATAAAATCAAATGCAGATAAGGCTTTTATACGATGTAATAAATTTTTGTATTATACATGGGTTACTTTTTAATCAACGTGTAAGTTATTTATGAAAACCGTCTGCGGTTATTTATAAGACTTATGCCACGTAACCTGACTTAGAATATCACCGTCAACATACTGGAACTTAACGGCTGACTTATGTCATACCATTTGTTCAGTTTGTTCAGCTTGTTTTAATATTGTTCCATTTCTGCAGGAAGAATTTATCGAAGATATGGATGAGTACAGGCTTCCCACAAAGCCGCCCACCGTCGCATTTGCACCCAAAACAAAACAACCCGTTGCCAAACCCCGGCGGACTGCACCATCACCCGCAAGCGCGCGACGTCCCGTTTTCTATCGTGTCAGGAAGTCTCATTCCCGTCAGCATTACAAAACCGACGACGAACCCCACGCCTATGCGGCCATCAGCCAGGCTCCGCCGGTCCTCCAGCTGCCGTCGGTTAACCTTCTCGAGCAGATGCAGCAGGCCTCCAAGATGGAAGCGGTGGAAGCGCTGATCAAATTATCCACACTGACGGCACCCACCACAACCGCTTTCGTGCGTCGTGTGGATCCCGTCCCAGCGGCCCGGGATGATGTCGAGGAGTTGACTGACAAGAGTAGCGGGGCATCGGAAGTAAAGGGTGATAGGGCCGTTCGTCGCGGACGTCCGAAGCGCTCCGAGCCGGAAGTTGTGGCGAAAAGAGAGGAAGTGCGAGTGGAGATATCCAGTAGTGGTCGGCCCGTACGGATGAAGCGCGGCACAGTAACGGATATGCTGCGGGCTTTTGACCGGGATATTGACGAAGCCTTGGGATAAGAGGTAATTGTCTACGGGTAGCTATTATGGATGAGAACTGTTACACCGGGAATTTTTGTTATATATACTTACTCAATATATAATATATACTATATAATATATGAATTATATAATATATACTTACTTGATAGTTAAAAAACGATTGCTCTATGCTTACTGTTTTTGATTTTGCTGTTTTAGCTATCAAATGCCTAAGTGAAAAATCTGGCGAAATGTTTTATAAGGTATTGGTTTCGATTAGTTTGGTTCGCGTTTTATACGTTCAAACTGGTGCAGTGTACGTAATTTAGATCCGCTTATCTGAAGCAGATTTAATTTTGTTTGTTGTTATTTTAGTCTGGAATGCGGAGCTTCGTTCCTTGTACAATTTATTATTTGTTGGAGAATAATCGGTGCTTCCGAAAAAGGAGTTTTCCGTCGTGACTTGCTTTATTTTTGCTACATTCTGAACAGCATTTGTCAGTCAGTCTTCAGTTTTACACCGTTCTTGATCCAAATGTATTAAATTTTGCCTTGTGATGATCCTCTTGTCTGTTGTGACAGAACTGTCGATGTTAATTTGTGCCATGCAGGGACATGGTGATATTACGTTCAGGTTTATGCTGTTGTTTATTTTCCGGACGGAGTTTATTGCAAAGTTGTATTGTTTTTTCGGAATAAAGGCCTACTCAAACTACTTTTCCAAATTAACACTACATGAGAATCAATCCGCCACAGCAAAAACTAATTTCCAATGCTGGAAAGAACGCATTAATATTACATGTATTCCCCGCAAAAATCGGGGATCAGGCGGATGACGATTATTGCGTTCCTGTGTTATTATGAACAAGGTTCGTGTGGGATGCGATTTCAACAGTAGCGGAAGTGGTTTTATGACGCTGGAACGATTTCTAATTTGTCCGATAGTACGTACACCGACGTCCTTGATGCGCTATTGAGCCAGCCGAATAAAAGCGTTTTACTCGTAAAAATGTAGGCTGGAGGAAACGGCCGACGTTGCCTACATCCGCGTGCCTGATGACAGTGGAAAATAAGCTCCAACAAAAGGTAAAATCTCATAATCCACAAGAAGCAGGTGTTTCAATGGATGTCGATGATTACACGGCTCCGGTATTGTTGGCTATTTGCTGTAGCAGCGGCTGATTGTTGGCGAAGTGGACGGAAATCGATTTCGTTCAACCATACTCAAAAAGGTCACTGAGAAGCCGGCAGCATGGTGTGGAGTATTTTTTCCGCATTCAATATATCCTGGTAAATTTAATCAAATTTAGGACGCTGGTAGGTAAATGATTGGTATATAAGAAGATCGGTTTTTATTGAAGTTACATCGATGTGTCGGCAATATTTCTGCTAAATCGGCAACTTTTGGGTGTGTAGTGGACATTACATTGGTATTATATAGCTCATCATCCGTGCTGCTACATTTTTTCTTCTGATTTGTCATCCGCCAAATAAACACCATGGTATTTTCTAAGGCTCTGATTCCACTTTCTGTCAGTTATTTGATTGTGGTATTGACCGTCAGCTGCTTTGCTGCGCCTTGGCCGGAAGCTGGTAAGCACTAAGCATCGAACAATAAGCTACAATAATATCTGTGGACTGTGGTTATATTATAATTGTATCGTATCGAGTCGATAGTATCGCTCAGCTGTTTGGGAAAAAAAACTTGCTTTTTCTGAGCTGATCATAACGAGCAACCGAGACGTTTAGTCGTTTACCGACTACTGGGGACATTTGCATGTAACTTTGTCTTATTCGTCAAATACTAGCTGAATATATTGTTTCGAACAATACTGTGCAGTAGAATTTCTAATCGTAGGACGTATGCAGTTTAATATCGGGAAAACAAAAATTTCCGTAGTTTTGTTATCTTGTATTTGCAAAATATTTATAACACTCTGTCTGTATATCAATATTCAGTATAATATTATAAGTTTTAGACCTGACAAGTGAGTGAAAATACGCCAACCCATCCACAGTAAATGAGTTTACTGATCGAATATGCGCGTGGTACGAATTTGGTTATGGATGTTGTATTCTTTGACTGTTGACCTTTTATAACGGATTCTTTTGCTGTTACCTGTTTTCTTTATACTACGCAGCATATTGCAAGTTTGACGCTGGTATTATATTATGCTAACCGTACTGATCTCTATACATCGCTCAAGATAACCATAAAATAAATTTATGAAATCCGCTTTTGAAGTTTTTATGGTTTACAAGTTGTGTACTTACTTATTTATTTTATTTCAGTTTTAATGTTGTAACGCTAGCCAGTGTCGATCCTTATATTCTGATCCCCGTTTTGTTAATTATTGCGAAGTGAGTTAATCATACTGTATTGTCATTTATGGACGCTTGGTAGAGAAGCAATTATTGTAAAATTTTTAATCTTATTATAACAAATTTTAGTGCCATCTTATGTTGGTTATATATTATTAATTTAACAAAACTACATTTTTTTAAAATCCAGCAAGAACCGGTTGTTGTTTTGAATGCGTGTGAAATATATATGTCACTACTACGTAATCTGTACAATGCATACACTCATGTACAATTGTACTTCTACAGATTCAATATTCTTAAAGCTTTTGTTTACCATGAATTATACTGTGAAATGTGTTTGTAGCCTACCCGGCACAGTATGGCGGTGTGTTTCCGCGGGCGGCCTATCTGCCGTATCCCCGTCCGGGCCTGGGACTACGCTCCGTATCCGGTAGGAATGAGTCGACCAAGATGCTGCGACCTGAGCCAGCCGGTGGTCATATCCGATTACTCGTAGGTAAACGGATGCCCTACTACAGCGCCATCAATGTCATCGACGATCAGGATGATTTCCTGAGGAAGCGCGCCATCAACGACGACCCGGAGCCCATTGAATTTCTCGGCCGGAAGTGAATACACAGAACGCCGACGTTGGGATACACCGCGGTGTTGTATGTTCCCGTGATGCTAACCTGATCTCGATTTGACCTTTGTATCTCAAATTAATTAAGCACCTATACTTACTTTGATCCGATTAAATTTTTTATTTAATTAAATTCCTTTAAAATCCGACTAGTTTCAGTTATTATATCATTTAAATTTGTATGCTTTTAATTCATTTCGCCTTCACTTAAGCTTGCAAGTACTTATACAAATGATAATTCGCCGGTCGACTATCGTCCTTTGCAATGCGTGAGGATGTACAAAATACTGCTACTGGCTGTTTGTGTATTTAAAATTAATAATGATAACGACATACTCGAACTGATTGTTTTAAGTTTAAATACATACTTTACATAAACACAATTTTACATTCTGATTGTTCGAGGTTCGGGATGAAGAATTTGAAACACTGCAAGAATTAAACTTAAATTTTATGTAATTTGCCGAAGTACTTATACTCGTGCGTAGAATCCTTTAATTTAATGCGTTGTCGTCGCATGCTCATAATATTTCTATCAATAAATTATGCACAATGCACATGATCTGACGAAGAGATCTTTCTTATTAACTAATTTTATGCACAGCTGCAAATTTGTACTATATTTGCTCGAGTTGAGCAGTGAGCGGCATTGAGCGCCATTAATGTTGAATCGCAAACTGGAATATAATAAAGTATCTCCTCGACATTGAATGAGTTTATGGAAATGCTAGGGACAGCTAGTCTGCTACTACCATTGGCAATTATCAAACGCAAACGTTGCTGGCGCGTTTGGAGAAACAAGGACCGATCGCTATGTAATCGGCATTGGATTTTACTTGACGTAATAAATTCGTTAAAAACGCATCGAGTCTAGGCCATTTTAGCTGCATAAGCTACCCTTCTGAATTGTAGCAATCTACACATTGTTAAAAATATGAGTGTAATTCAAACAAAGCGCACCCGTATTCGTATTGATTTAAATTTTAAGCACATGACTTGCCGCGGCAGTAGCAGATCAGCGGTCGAACAATTCATTCAACGAATAAATACAATTCAAATCATAAAATTAATGCTGCACCCGTACTGTTCTATTTCTAAAAACAACGGTCATTCCACATTTTTCTCCGTAAGATATCTCTGCGTAGCCGATGAAAAAGACTTCAGCGAGAAAAATTAGCCGCTCAAATTTCACTGCCACTATAAATTTACTGCCATGCTGTCATGCTATAACTCATTAACATCTGCTTAGGGAATCAATATGGGTGAGAAGGACGCCGCCAGTAGCACTAGACACATCGTTTTAATTTGAATCTGTTCATCCGAAATACAAAACAAATAAAACAATGCGACATGAGAGATGGTTTTACTTCTCCTTACTGGTCCCAGCACCAGCACCCTTCTCTTGAAACACGTATGTTAAATAACATTTCCCGCAATATTGTCGGTTAAAATGATTGGCCATGAAAGTCCCGGCGCCACATTCTTCGTTCGGGCATTCCCGGCGCAGACGAGTGATCTTTCCGTTTTCGTCGATCTGCAGCACAAACATGATGATGTAGTGAGAACAGTCGAAATACTTCTTACGAATATTAAACAAGCAAATAGTAAGAAACAAAGGCACTGACAGCGCTTATCCAGTTAAACCAAAGTGCGCGTGCAGTTTGCCGAATGTTTTACCGAAGTCAAACTTTCGACACTACCTAACACGCTTCTACTCACTCGCATTATAAATAAATTTTTGAAGTATTTAAATGTACAGTACACGCATAACGCATTAGCCAAGATATACTGAAGTACTGTAATTTCAGGCACAAAATTTAGAAGCAGAGTACAACTGCAACAATTTAAAATGTACTGCGTCCGCAAAGAAATAAATTCTTAAATCTAAAGTAATGTCCTAATTCCTAGAACTCCTAATTCCTAAATTAATGTCAGTGAGTCCATTCAGGGCAAATTCCTTCCTACGTACCTTGTAAAACTTCAGGACCGCTAGCTTGACCTTCTTCCTCTTGTGCTTGATCTTTTTCGGGGTAGTGTAGTTCTTCTTCTTCCTTTTCTTACCACCACCGCGCAGGCGAAGGACCAAGTGGAGAGTTGACTCTTTCTGAATGTTGTAGTCAGACAGAGTCCGGCCATCTTCCAGCTGCTTGCCAGCGAATATCAGACGCTGCTGATCCGGCGGAATACCTAAGTAACATTTAAAAGCGCTATTAGAATCAATATTATCGCGTGAATTAACTATCACCGAAAGTCATAACTGATTAAGTACAGAGAACCTAAAGTGGCGGCGTCACAATGTCCCTGTACAGGTTATACGGCTATTTACTATACTGAACAGGGATGACTAAATGATCAGCTATCCCTTGACTGCAACGAGAGCGAAACGAAGAAAGATTCTTATTTACCTTCTTTATCCTGGATTTTCGCTTTCACATTCTCAATGGTATCCGAAGGTTCGACCTGCCCGACACAGAAAAGTTATTAACTAACTCATTAACAAAGATCTTATCCTGTGCTACAGATGGGAACTGGAAGGATCCACAGCAACATTATCGGCGTACGCCGTACGGTTACCTCAAGGGTGATGGTCTTTCCCGTGAGAGTTTTCACGAAGATCTGCATTTCGGCGTTCCTGGAAGCAAAACTTCCGTTAAACTGGAAAACAACAGAATCTTGGATCAACTTACGGCCAATCAGCCGCGGACAAGATGATAAAAAATCCCTGGAACCAACACTCCTGTGTGTCAGAAAACTGCGGAAACTAAAATCTGCAAATAATTTTAGTGCCGAACAGCGGTATTCGCGTATGCGTTTATACGGACTGAACTGAACCAGTTCGCCACGATAACTGGCGCTGCAAAGCTCTCCAATTCGAGGCCAGTATGGAAGTAAGCCACTGCAAGCGCGGATAAAATATAAAGGGTGGAGTCAGCCATACCAAGGCGAGCAAAGATTTTAATGACGCCCGTTTTTACGTCTCGTTCCACCCCGCGGCAGCTCCACGAGGTAGCAGTTACATTACCGGCTTTCTCAAGCCTCTCTAGTTTTATTTTTGATTTTGTATTTGGAAAAATATTTTAATCCGAAACTTCTGAAACTGATAGTGCATCAGCTACGAAATGGGAATACTGAAAGCCAAAATGAAGTCTAAGGCGAAAAAATCCGCTGCTTTATAGTTTTCTTGTTTTTAATGTGCAAAGGCGAAGAAAATGGGTGCTCAATGCTCATACAGACTATGGCAATGCCGGCAAACAATACACAAACGTCCCCCAAAACTTTGCTTTTGTCAAGTTGTATTATGGATTGATTTCTTACAGAAACTTACAAAGTTAGGTGTAGTTTCCATCATTATATAATTAAATTTTGTATGTTTACACGAAGGGTTTGCAATGACAGCATAGCTGGATACAACAACAAAACTTTGGTAACGCCACTTAAAAATTTGAAATCAATTTGCAGACAATTAGGCTATAGTACTTATGCCATAGAACAAATAAACAATGCATTGGTCAGGAGCTCGAAATCTGAGTAACGCTGACAATAACAAAAAAGCAGCACAGCGCCGCTATTAAATACACACAAACGAGTACATCACAAAACTAGAATTTTCAAGGTTCGGCAAACGCCCATATAAAGAACAATAAGCGTGCGCTGCCTATAAAGTATAAACCAATTAAAATGAATCAAAATTTCAGCAGTAAAAACAGATGGGCTTTGTTGGCCTTCCTTGGGGGTGAAAAGCCACTGACGCACCCCGATGTTTGGAGGCCAGTTTCAGGGGCGAACATTTTGTCTGACTCTTGAGCAAATGAACCAACACGCGCAAACAAATCTCAATCCCGATTTCTGCTAACCCACATCGGAATTTCTGAACTCCATATTTTCTACCACGCTTTTAACAAACCAGCGGAGTGGCTCTTTAAATATAGGATTCGACAGCGGTAGTTCAGTGCGGATCGTTTTGGTTCCTTGGTTTTTCTGGGCGTATTCTATCGCGATATCATTCACCCTATACACAAGACAATACAAAACAAGTTACGTTACGGTCAACACAAAAAATAATAATAATACACAATCAACCAACAAAAAAGATGTGACATGATCTATACAAATGCGCTACAGTTAGCTTTCAAATTTACAGCCTTCAACTTACCAATCCTCAGAATCCTGTGCGAAAGGAAAATGGACCTTGTACCAGTTTGGCCCTTCCGCGGTCTGTACAGGCTAAAACAATAAGCGCCGACTTTCGTTAATTATGTCACATTTTATGTGCCACAATTACAAATTTACAACATCGTATGCACACCACCTAAGTACTGTAATATACTAATATGTAACAAAATTATTAAAACTTGAGGCCGACGATTGGGAGCAAAGCACCAGAAATCTGCTTACCGTTAGGTATACTTGCACGAGATATTCATCCAGGTATGCTGCATAGACAATCCCTCTTTCGCGCAAATACTGTTGCACTTTCATGGCTACTTTTCTGCGCTGCTGCTCCGCTGCTGTGCCTACAATAATTATTGTCATAGAAAAAAGCATGTGCAGCGCCTACGTAAAATTACAATTGTGGTCAGTTGCAAAAAAAATTAATAAATACTCAACTTTTGAATTATAAATGCTCCGGTATAATACAAATTTTTTTGAATAATATATATACAATTTGACGAAATCTAATGTGAACACGATTGTCAACCGTATCAGAGATAAAGGTTACCGTACCCAGAGATCAGACATAAAGATCAGAGATAAAGGTTACCGTACCCAGAAATGTGATGAGCGTCGAGCGAAACTGCCCAGCTGAACGTTCGTCCAGTTTGCGATCCTTTCGAACACTCTTCCTCGGTGCGGAATGGTTGGTTAATTCTAAATGATAGACCAGCTCATCGGGAGTATTAAACGATTCATTGCAGCGATCCATCGGGCATCGAAACTGGTTCTTCGGCATGTGCGTTTCGGCCATGTGCTTCTGCAGGACGGGCGGGCGCATCGGACGACTTTTACAAGCACTGCAGTTCTTCCAAAGGCATAGTCCGTTTGAGCTATCCTTTGCCGGCTTCGCGTGGTTCCGCAGGTGATTAAGGAAATTCTCCGGTTGGTACGTTTGGAAATCGCATTCACGCCATCGGCAAGAGTAGGATGTCGAGTTGCCACCGTCGCCAGCGCGGTGTGTGTTAACAGATTGCGAAGTGCTGGACGATGGCATGTTTTCGCTGTCTTCGGACTGAAGCGGAACTGTTCTGCTGGGCGCTCTGCTGCCACTCTGATGGTTCTTGCGTCGAGTAGAAGACATTGTAACTTCTATACGAGTATGAAATATTGTCATGCAAATTACCAACATCAACAAAAATTTCGCCGCGTCGAAGTTACAGCGGAACAACGAATCAAAAAAGATGTTATGTCTGTTATGAGTTTTTATTTTGTCTAAAAGGCTAGAACCCAGCGAAGAACGTTCAGAAGCGACTGAGTAAACGTGACTGCCGTCCGATCGTGCAACTCCATCGTGGACAACGATTGCTTAAAACTTTTAATAAAATTTTTAACAAAATCAATTTTCCACGCACTCGTATCCGTATACGTACAGTATACGGATACGTATAATTCCTGCTCGCTATATTTTTAAGCGAGGTCACCACGCTAACCAAAACACTTCCAAAAAACTAGATCATTAAAATCAATAGTTGTCCTTAAATTGGCCATGGTCCACAACCGCGTGACATGAGGTTTGTTTTAAATTCATCCGCCCAGGTACGTACTGGCCAGTGGCCGGTTAGAGATGCCGCAATTATACCGAACCTTGTATTGTACCGGTAATGGTACAAATAATGGTGCAGTATTATGTATATCACTGTCCATCATCCATATACAGATATGAAATAATTTTATTCTTCTGTAGTACTAGTACGTATTATTTTTTTTGTTAGCGCGAAGGGGAAGATTTGTCCTTTTTTCATACGGCATTGTTGTTCGTATGGTTTAAGATGACTGACATCAATTTTATTTTGGTGTTCGTTATTTGTTTGTAAAACTGAAATTATGCACATGATCGTCTGCGCTGTATCCGTCACTATCCGTATATAACACGCTAAAACTGGTACGTAAATGCATCTGCCGCCACCACTTGGATACAAGACGGTCATTTTTCCGTTTAGCACTAAATTATGCTCTTTAGATAGGATAGTGTTTATTTCATTAACGCACTTTATCAGGTTGCGCCATTCTTTTTGCATTTATTATTGCCTCCAGCTTATTTATATGTACGCGCTTACGAGTCAGACGTCGGCCAAGGACAGTCGCGGTATTCTGAGTTATCTATGGCCAGTCAAACAAATTACAGATTAGAATGTCAGTGCTGTAGACGCATTAGCTATAGCGTCTGTACTCGGTATGTACATTAGCACACATGTTGAAATTCATCAAAAGCTGTTGTATACAGTTTGTTGCACTGGAAGCACTAAAGATAACTCTTGCATATTTTCCACCGCTGTGATTGCCGATACATTTATACCATTTTACCACCATCGAGGCATATAATTTCCGCCTTTTATCCGAACTCCTTTGCGGACGATTTTATTGACAGCGGAAAGAGTTTCGGGGATTGCGGAGCGTGCGCACATTTTATACAAAAAATATTATAACCGGAAATGCAGAACGAGTACAGGCGATCGGTGTCGGTCAGCGATGGCGTGGCCAAGGCCAAAGCCTTTGGGAATTTACGGGAGAGAATCAGCCAAGCTGGAGAATATTTTGATAAATGGGTTGCCAGCTGGAATCAGGCGTGCGGCTCCGTACTGCTGGTCGGCGGAAATGATATTTTAGATCTCATGCTGAATGATCTGGTACGTTCTAGAAAAGCAGGTTCAGTAAGAAAGTTTTTTTAAAAATAATAGTATATTGTAATTATTACAAATATGATTACAAATTAGTCTGGCTTAATTTAAATTTATTTTAACTGCACTTTGGCTTAATTTAAATTTATTTAAATTAATAATATATATTGCGAACGTTGCAGTATGGTACGACATTAACGAATTTGTTGATAAATATTTTGTTAATAAACGAAGATTCATCCCGCAATGTGCGACAGCTGAGATGAGGCATATTATATCTTGCATTTTAGATAGCTGAGTAAACAGCTACCGGTATAAAGTTAGTTTTATTCTTTGCTTTGGAATACCTTTCCGGATTCTTTGTTATTAATGCAGATTCGTGATTTGCTTCAATCGTATAAGTAATTTTAAAATTTCTTAATTCGCATTTTTTCTCTTAATTTATGTTTAATATGTACTTAACTTATATAAATAGGCTGAGCGAAAACAAGAAATCGTCAAATTAGAACAAAAGATCGCATCGCTCCGCAACAACCACTTAGCCGGCCATGGCCACATTGGCCAGCACAAGGATTACGACGGCGCCGTCGGTGCCGTTAATGGATCAACAAACAAACAACGTAACAAAAATCCGCCTGGACATATGCGCTCGGATGCTATGTTGGCCGAGCGACAATCACACCCGGCATCATATAATAAAAAAATGGAAAATGGGAAGAAAAACGGCAACCACTTTGCTGTCACCATAACCAATGCGCCCAAGCCAATCAAAATCGAAGCACCACCGCCAGACACCCCGAAACCGGCGAAAAAAGCCGGGCTGCTGCGAACGAATTCGGTGACCGTTAAAAAGTATGTCATGATTGGTAAAAAATAATAAATGACCAAAGTTGAAATTTTTTCCCGAAACCTGTGGATTTTAACAGATTTAATTTGTATTATTACATTACAGCGAAAAATGCCAGGAATTAGTGGATAAGTTTCTGAAAACGGAGCAGTCGAAAATGGAGCAAGTCAAAATACAGCAACTGGGCGTTGACCAATTTATTTTCACTGAGGTATTTGACTATTTGTACAGCATTTTATGAGGATATCTAAAAACATTGCGGCACCGTCGGCGCGTGAGTTTTAATTTAGCTTTTTCAGTCATCTCTTCCACGCGTCAAGACATTCGAAGAAGCCAACTTTAAGCCTCAGCTGCTGAAAAATTTAAAGGAGTATGGATTTGAACAGGCACAACCAGTGCAACAGTGCCTAATTCCGGCGTGTCTTTCTGGTAAAACCCATTATTTCCCTATCTTAAAAAAGAATATATTAGCCTAAAAAATAACAGTACAGATCGGTGAAACTTTACATGAATAATATAGGCAAGAATATAATCTGTCAAGCTCCATCCGGTACCGGAAAAACATCCTCCACGGCGCTTGCACTGCTGCAGAAATTAGACATGGCTGTTAGTGGCTGTCAAGCACTGGTCATCGCGCCGACCAAAGAAACCGCTGACCATGTAAGAAGAGGATCCGCAGAAGCGCAACTTCCACGCTGGAAAAATTGACCTTGAACATATTTCTTCAGTAACTGCTCTTAAAAATTATTTTGTTCTTATATTTGAATTATTTATCAATCAAACGAATTCTCTCACAATCAGCATAATGTTTCACTGATTTAAAGTGCCATCAGATATTACTTCCCGAACTTTTGAGCCATTGCGCTACGACATTGCTGCAATACAATACATGTGGTGACTATCGTGACTTGGTACAGTAGCTGTCGATGGTGAAACGGTCGTCCTAGCTTTTTACGAAAAAACAAAACAAATTGAGCAAAATTATTATTTCTTTAACAAGCAAATTATTGTTTTTCTTTGCAGTATCAAACTGATGTTCTGGCGTTGGGCGAGTCGCAGAATGTGCTGTGCCATTCATGCACCAGCGGCACCAGTGCGGAAGTTGACGTTATGAAACTGAAAGCCAAACCGCATCACATTGTTGTCGGCACACCTGGGCGTCTTTACGAGCTCATCAAAATCCGTCAAGTTCTAGGTGAAAACATCAATATGACTAGGGACATAAAAGATACAGCTGTAAAATTATTATGGGTGTTAGCAGCATTTTTGATACTTATTTATCGTTTACAGTGCCCGATCAAATCAAGACGGTTGTCTTAGAGGATGGTGACAAACTCTTTTTGCCGGGTTATAAAGAGGAAGTGGAAAGCATTTTGGCTTTATTACCGGCTAATCGGCAGGTACAAAACTTGACTTCTCTAATTATGTAGCTTAACATTAAAAAGTTAAATAACATACTTTTCTTCGAAACAAAATAATTTGACGAATCAACTTATTTGATTATAATTAATGTAATCATTTTTAAAATCGCTTATATATCTAGTTCGTATTTTGGTCAATCTGCATATCAGAATTGGTCGAAAAGGTTATTTTAAACACACTTGTGCGTTTTTTGGTTAATGATCTCGCCAACTGCGCTATACCGGTACCACAGCCCAATAATACTACTACGTACACGTACTACGTAATATCGCACGGCTGTGCCGGTACCGTGCGATATTTATTTATGGTAATTGGTTAATTTATTCAAATGCTGATTTACAAAATCGAGTGATTTTCAAGGATATTCTGGTATGTTCTTCGCCGGCTACTACCGAACTGAATCCACTGGCACATCTGTTTTCCACCTCGCCGCCGGAAATCATTACCGCGCGCTGTCTATCTTTTGTCGCTGAGGGAATATACCAGTTTTTCAACGCGTCAGAAAAAACTACACGGGCTCAACAAACTGCCGGCATAAGTAAGCACTTCGGGCCAGATAACGTGGTGTTTCTGTCCAAACAGGATTTGTCCAAGGAGGAACTCGGATATGATGATGCGGCCACGTGGACAGAAACCGTTTCTGATGGCGAAAAGGTAAAACTGTGAGTCAATTGATGAGAATGATGCCATTGTAATGATTGCGTGTATCAAAAGGTCAAACCCGGCTTTTCACGTTTTCATCCATAATTACTTGTAATTTGTAGTTACGATTAGTTAGTTACTAACTTTGAAGCAGCATTTCTTTTACGAAGTATAATAAGCAATGTGATAAGTTGCTGGATAAGCAAGAATTAGCAAATTAATAAATTCGGTAATTTTTTAAATACAACCTTTTAATTTCAAGCAGATGATCGGCGTCAAGGTTTATTTACACATAGTTTATATATCAATTACATCTGCTTGTAACTGCTAATTATGAGAGTACGCTTCGGTGTTAACAGTACTTCTAGTCCTTGCAATCTTCCAGATTGTTCACACTTCCAAGTTATCCAAGGCTGAAATGGTGGAAAACTTCAAGAACAATTTAAAGCAGTCAGATTCGGCTGGTGGAAAACTGAATGTTATTGTTTTGTGCGACAACACGGCGGACTGCCGCAACTATACTACGCTGTAAGGGCTTACAATCCAAGTATACTGGACGTACCTATTTCGTTCTATCGGTTTCATGTATTCATTATTCTTTCCATCAAAACAGCTTTTTTCCCATTTAAAAAATTTAAAATTAACTTTTTGTCGAGTTGCTTTAAATTAAACGAATCAGCTTTGTTCGCTAGAACTTAAAATGTACGTATAATAAAACTGCATGCATAGCTTCATACTACTAATATCTACATCCAGGTACAGTAGTTGTTCTTACTTAATTTATTCATACGTATGTACACAGGTTACGGTTGCATCCTTTGGCAAACATGGCCATCATCCTCACCACATCCCCGATCAGTGAAAAAGTCGCTCAATTCCGTAAACAACTGGAAAAGGAGCATGGACTGTTCCTAATTGACCTCGTACTTTCCCCATAAGATTTTCATGCTGCACAAGTACAGATACCGGCTTGCTTTCAATATTTTGTGCTTTCCATATTCATCTGCTTTTCGACGTTCTAGAGTAGTTGGATCATGAAAATTAATTCTATTTTGTATTTGTCCCAGTTTGTACGTTTTGGATTGCTTTGTCTGATATTAAAATGCCACAATTTAATTATATGCATGGTTGAAATATGATAAGTAGTTTAAGTACTTTTTGTATCGATTTGGACGTTTTCTGTAAGCCAACTGCAAAGCAGACTTTCTTGTGGCCAGAATGAAATAATCGAAGAAGAAAGATTGTTTATGCGGTTTTGAATGCTGTTTATCGAATTGGCATTGTCATTGGCCAGCTTGTGAAATTGCTGACAATGCACTGAATGCATTACTTAATACCGTACCGGAAGCGAGATCAACTAGCCTTTTTTAACGGAGTACAAATTTTACAATAATTAATTGTTATACGTACGAACGAAAATAAAAATACGTGGTTTTTACGAAAATAAAAATATCTATACTTTGTTTTACATCGTTCTTTACTTCTGGTACAGCCGTTCAGGAAGGGAAAGTTATGACGCACAATCAAAACTGTATATAAGAGCTCACAAAAAAGCGGCAAATTTTTTGCAATTATTAATGTTATTAATTCTAATAGTAATTCTAATTTATTAATTAATTCAAGTTTTTATTTCTCGTTCATTGTGATTTCATCGATACGCAACCGGTTTCTTTGAAGTTTGATATTTCGCCGGTTACCGGAAAGTACAAACAAACTCTTAGCTCCGCCTCCATCCATTGATTTACCCAATAAAGAATGCCCACGCTAGCCGGTGGATAACCTCCCAGCTTCCGTGATATGCCTTGCGCTGCCACATTTTCATTTCGTTGAATTTTTGACAACAAGGCAGCGTATTGGCATTTGGCAGCGCCCAGCCAGATTCGTGTTGGATACCTCGGACGATCGTTCGCTGTTCTTCCATTCCACGGTTCGTTGCCTGTCGGTTACTTTACGCTAGTGTTTTTCTTGGGAAGATGTGGTTAAGGGTAGTGTTTTTCGGCCTTGCTGCCTGTCTGGCAGCAGCCAGCGATGTGCTGGAATTCACGGATGCCGATTTCTCCAGCAAAATCGGTGATCATCCAGTTATATTAGTTGAATTTTTTGCACCTTGGTAAGTCATGTAAGATGTTAGGGATTTCTGTAATACGTAGCTGTGGACAGGTGAAAAATTGTTTTTTTATACGGCAAATGCCACTGGCACCCAGTGTTTGTGGGTTGTGCACAAATCACAATGCCGTCGATATTCTGATTTTATGATTTTTATCAGTTCGTTTACTTGCCACGTTTACAGTCAACAGGGTAGTGTTCCTTCCTATCAGTATCTTGAACTATCTTCTACTTAGTTTTCCGCAGTCGTACGAAGGAAAGAGTGTCGAGTTAGTTGTTTGTGACTGCGGACCGCGAAGGTGATAAGGTCCGCGAAGGAGTTGAACATTTTCTTGAGTTCTTCTTTTTGGGAAACTCTCAGCTGGGAAAGATTGTAGTGTTATGAAAAATTGGATGCGAGTGGTTTCTTTGAAACATTATAAGACGTGTGATTTTATGAGACGTAACAAAACCGTGCAGATTATTTTTACAGTAAAATTTAAACTAAATTCTTCTCCATAAGGAATGGATAATATCATAATTATCAATGATAATAAAAATACGAGCGGAAAATTTTAGTTACGGGTAATTGTGTAACGTGTCAAGTGCATGGGTTAAGGTTGCTGACGTTTTTGTGGAATTTGGGATGTTATTTGAATTTAATTAATCGTACAATTTTTTCCGACTTGATAGCTTTTTGTGAAACTTATTCGTCGGCATCAGGGAAAAGAGCTGACTGGTGGTGTGAAATCGTAGTGAGGTGGTAGTGAGATGATCTTCATCAGCTTACGGTCTTACCACTTACGCTGAATAAGGTGGCTACTGTAGGAAAAATAATAAAATAGTGGCTGAATATTTTATCTTTGAAAGGTTTGAGTTAGAAGATGTAATCCGTAATACAGTTTTATTTTCAAAGTCTGACTGTAATTATGTTTTACGGAATTTTTCAAGGCTTTTGCGTTTGATCCTCCGAATTTCTGACCATGGTGAATTATGGCTTGTAGGTGTGGGCACTGCAAACGTCTGGCGCCTGAATACGAAAAGGCCGCCACCAGCCTGAAGAAGGAAGATCCCCCGGTGCCGATTGCCAAGGTAGACTGCACAGCCAACACCGAGACCTGCCAGAAGTACGGCGTCTCCGGCTATCCTACCCTGAAGATCTTCCGCAATGGAGAATTCTCCAAGGAATACTCCGGACCCCGCGAGGCCGATGGCATTGTCCGTACTATGCGCACCGAAGCCGGACCCTCATCCAAGGAATTGCACAGTGAAGCCGATCTGGCCAAATTCCTTGAATCCGCCGAGGCTGTCGTCGTCGGCTACCTGTCGGCTGGCAATGACAAGTTGAAGGAATGGTACACCAAGGCGGCGGACACGATGAAGGAGGAATTGCGCTTCGCTCACACCACCAATGAGAAACTGTTCGGTCAGCATAAGGACAAGGCGGTGCTGTACCGTCCGAAACGTCTACACAACAAATTTGAACCCGAGCATGTGGGCTTCGAGTCAACGGTGGAGAATCTGAAGCAGAGCATCAAGGACGCCGTGCACGGTCTGGTCGGCCACAAGACTACCTCCAACACGGCCAACTTCCCGTCGCCCCTGCTGACTGTCTACTACGATGTGGATTATACCAAGAATCCCAAGGGCAGCAACTACTGGCGAAACCGCATCCTTAAGGTATTTTATTGTAGTATTTCATGATTGATTTTTAGTTGTTTCCAAGAGTTATTAGGTATTTTAAAATTTTTTGTATGGTTGTGCGCGAAATAGTACTTTTTTTATACTTGTTTCCTTTCAGTCGGGATTATAAATATTTGATTTGTTGTAAACTTTTAGGTTGTCAGCTCTCAGATTGAAAAACTGAAGAGCAAACTGAGCTTCGCCGTTGCCAGCGTCGGTGAATTTGCCCATGAATTGACTGAATTCGGCTTGGACAGCGCTGATCAGAAGAAGCCGGTCGCTGCCATCCGTGATGAACAACACCGTAAATTCGTCATGAAGGACGACTTCTCCGTGGAGAACTTGGAGAAGTTTGTCTCTGATTATTTGGCTAACAAGCTGGAGCCGTACATGAAGTCGGAACCTGTTCCGGAAGACAAGTAAGCCGCTTGTTTCTCAAAGTTTCTATGTGGAAATCGATATGCCTAATGCATACCTATATGATTTTCTAATAGTGTTTCGTTTTCAGCACCAAAGGAGTCAGAGTTGTTGTCGGAAAGAACTTCGAGGAAATCGTTAACGATGCCGACAAGGATGTTTTGATTGAATTCTATGCACCATGGTGCGGTCACTGCAAGTAAGTCGAACACTGGCGCAGCAATAATTTTAAGTTTTTAAAAGTTGTGTGAATTAGGTTTATAGTGTGGTAACGATTCTTAAAAATGGTGAAAAATTTTTCATAGAAAACTGGCTCCTATTTACGATGAGCTGGCTGAGAAGCTGAAAGACGAAACCGAAATCACCATTGCCAAGATGGACGCCACAGCCAACGATGTCCCAAGTGGTTTCGATGTCCGCGGCTTCCCCACCCTGTACTTTGTGCCCAAGGGTGATAAGAAGAACCCTAAACAGTACAACGGTGGACGGGAGGTTGATGATTTCATCAAGTATTTGGCGAAGGAATCGACAAACCCCCTGAAAGGCTTCGATCGTACCGGCAAGCCTAAGAAGACAGAATTGTAAGCGGGCCTGCGAAGTCCGAAGGCGAGCGGCCTCTTCGTGACGGAAACTTGCCATTCAGACGTGAATGGGGGATTTTTATTTCGCTGATAGTGATTTCAGATTTCTTTCCATCGGTGCGTTTTGCTGTTAATGTTGACGCGTTGTTAATTTTTGTGTTATTTTTATTTAATGCTGCAGTTGTTGCTCTTTGTGTTCGGTTTTGATCTGTTTCGACCGCATCGACAAAATGAACAGAAAAACAAATCAGGGAGGATTTTAATTTCGAAAAATAAGCGCCGCTCTGCAGAACACACGGACGCGAGTCGATATATTTGATAACATTAAACACCATGCTTATTTGGCTAAACATGCTAGAGTACAGTACCACTGCAATGAACGGGGAACCACATTTTCGGTTCAAAACAAATTATATATATGCACGTAGATCCATCACATGCGAGCGGTTAACGGATAAGAATTACGATAATTGTTACGTGGGACCAGATAGGGAATAACGAAAAACGCCTATCCGCCGGAAATCGGTGTACAATGACATTAGAGACCATCCACACGAGTACAGTACTTACTGTGATGCAGTAAATGCAGTAGTAAATAGTAGATACTAGTTAGACATTCAATGTTTTTGCAAACTGGAGGTCACTATTTAACTTTAACATAATCAAAACATTATTTTAATGTTTAAAAAACATCTGGGAAATGCAGCGTAAAGTGTCCTTTGCACGGCACCTTACCGAGACCGGAAGAACGTCACGAACACAGTTTGTCATAAACAACTGGGTCGTTGCGTCTACCAACCACGAGAGGCGGCTTCCGCGGTTTCAATCAGCCGGAAACATGTCTGGCACTGCGCTGCAGGCTGTGTTGAAGTGTTCGCTGCAGTAGGAGTTGTCTTCAAAATTATTTTGATGTTTTACAGTTTTATTTATCTCCGTTTTCTCTCATATTATCCAGAATTGTCGTTTTGTTTGTCGGGAAATTTCCGGATATTTGATGCAGTTTTATTCATAGCAGGGCCGCCGTCACTGGACATCCTGGTATCGAACTGAAAAGCGGAAAAGCATACACCTTTCTGCATTGTTCGCAGCTGGCGAAAACTTGCTGTTTATATCTTTTGACGTTGTTTCACTATGGTTGCGCTGCGGTTCCTACAGCAGGCCAACAGGTTCTTCTTCGAGCGGCATTTACTTATTACCAATACTTTGTTGGGTGGTGGTTTAATGGGATTAGGCGACATCATTCAGCAGACGCTTGAAATTAAGATTTTCCAGAAAGCCGAACACTATGACTGGTCGCGAACAGGTATCAGCGTGAGTATAGTATAAATGTATTTATACGTATTACGAATTTTGATTAGTGTGGTAGCCGTATTGCTGTTTTCCACATAAAGCTGTTGGTGTGTTAAATAAAATGCTTGAATAATTAATAAGTTTGTCCCCTTAGGACGCATGGGAGCGACAGGATTTTTGCTGGGTTCGTTAGGCCATGGTTGGTATAAAATTCTCGACCAGAAATTACCCGGTGCCGATCGGACAACGGTGATCAAGAAAGTCTGCTATGATCTCTTTGTTGCCGGACCCGGATTTGCTTGGCTGTTTTTCTGGGGTGAGCACTGAACAGGTTACCGATTCCATATTGCATTTTTTTCGAATAATTAATGAGCAACCGATCTGTATTGCAGTTATGACAATTTTGTGTGCAGTTTAATTATTGTTAATATTTTGGAAAAATGAGTTAATAAGTATTCTTTTCATTTTATTTCCTTTTAAACTGGTGGGCCAATAATAGTTGCTGTTGGCTTGCAGTATGCTTCAGCGACAGCGGAACAAAATCGAAATAACGTTTTGTTTGCTAACTGTTCATTTGTTTTGCCAGAGTTTTTTTTTAAATCCTTATGAATCGTTTCGATATCGTTCACTTAAAGCTGTACATGCTGAGGCGGGATTTTCCATTATTTAATTTCCCCATGGGAGTAGTATTCATAAGCGATGCGAAAATTGCTGTATTCATACATAACCATGGCGTAATGTAAAATTGCAGGTGTCGGCGTATTGGAGAAGCGGAGTTTGAAAGAGATCTGGAGTGAATTCAAAGTGAAATTCCCATATGTCTTCGCCTTTGACTGTCTTCTGTGGCCGCCGGCACAAGCCGTCAATTTTTATTATCTTCCCCCACGCTACCGCATGGTCTATGTGGAGGCTGTCATTTTGTTCTGGAATATTGTGATGTCCTATATCAAACACACGGTGAGAAAAATCGATTAATTGTTGTCTTATGGAATCTTATAGACAGGTATGGCTCATGAAGTGCAGTGCTAGCAGATGGCGGATTTCTCATATGCGTAACTGCCGATTAATTATATGTGTTACAGTATTATCCGTGTACGCCGTAGCGTTTTTGTTCAGTGCACTACTGTAAATTACTGATTTGTTCTCTCTTGATCTGTGCTAATAAATTTAACGAATTTCCTTTGCAGAATCTCGCCCCGATCGCGTCAAAATTGTGATTTTTGGATTTCAAATTGGAAAATGTTGTTATATCTGAATTTTTGTTTCGTTTCTGCACGGAGCATATGCTCTTATCGGCAGCACCATGACATGTGCAACTGCATTCCGTTGTTAAAACGTTAACGTGTTGTCTGATGTTGAAATATCCATCGTGATTGTCACTTGACAGTAAAGAATAGAATATTGCAGAAATTCACCACTGTTCGGTTCTTTTCTTCGACCTAAACTGTGCATTTATTTTAATACTGATCCCGGTATTTGCTATTTTGTTGCAAATCTCGCAATAGGTTTATGCGGTCGCATTATGTTTTCAGTCTCTCATAAATTGCAGCTGCGAAACATGTAATCAGAATCAGACAAAATGTGATCAGGAGGATGCCGAGCATTGAAGTGATCGAACACCAAAACCTATTCAGCAGTGCAAAATTCACAGCAATGTCAGTCTCATAGCATTTCAAAGTTTCCAAGGCGAATTCTCTATCACAAACAACGCTTGTCTTATTTCGCTATTCTTCGTATAAACGAGTCTTTCCCGGCCGCAAAACTTGTCGAATATTCATATTGATCCTGGAAGTGGACAAGTATTCCCGAACATCATCCGTCCAACCATTACCGACATCATCCGTTAATCCGTCCTTCGCTTCTTGGAAGATTTTGGGAACTGTATCAAACATAACATTCTCGCAAGGGGAATCTTACTTAAATCAGAACAGCGAAAAACATTTTATACTCTCATACCGGCGTGAAAGTCCAGACGACTGGCTCCGGACATTACAAACACATCGCCGCTGCGAAGTAGAACCGCATTAGGCCATTCTTGTCGTTGTGGTCCAATCAGAAATATTCCCGGCTGCCCGAAGCTAAAAGACAAAAAAAAATGTTAAAATTTGCATTGTCTGAATGAACACATGACTCTATGGATACAAACGGGACTTTCTGATAGTAATACAAGACAAGAGCTCATTCAAACCGCTTTGGAAAAGTAGTATCTTGTTAAAAAATTATTAAGAATCGCAAAACAGCTGTCAGAAGATAAGATGATGGGAAAGCCATTACAGACGGCCATTTTCGAGTTACCTACCTAACCGAAAACAAGGGCGCATCTTTGCAGGGTTCCGAAATATCCTGATGGATGCTGAGCGTCGAATCCAAATGATAATAGTTAATGATCGCGGCCTGTGCCGTGAAGTCAGCAAATCCCAATCCCGCGGCTAGGCATTTGCATAATCCATCCACATCCGCTGGGAACGGTGTGTGCTTCGCATCGGAATATATCTGCGGCGCAAGGGAATATTGTCGAAGAGTGTGATGCGCTTAAGTATGTCGACCACTGCAAACCTTGGTGTCCCAATCGTGATGATAGCCCAGCGTAATCCTTTGCAAAAAAAAACACCACTGAATTCATTAATTTACGCTTAATTATTTAAAAAAAAATTCAAACTGGACCGCGTCTACCGTATACATGCAATGGCGCAAATTCTTATGCAACAAACACATCCATACAACGAAGATAAATGGATTTTTATTGCGTACTTCGTATACAATACCTATAGATAAATTTAATTATAATTTTACTACATATATGGTGATTTTAAATTTAGTTTACCATCGAAGTTTCCATATCGGAGACAGCTGGACGCGAGATTTCGCCAGCGCTGTTCTCTTTTTAGCCGGACGAGACATCGCAGATTTTCGCTTCGTTGTGCCATTCGATGTGTCACTTCCGCAAATATTCTCAACAGGAAACCAATCAATATCACGCCGCGATGCAGGATATTTCCAATCCGCATCCAAATTGGAGATATTTTCGGATGTTCGAGGGAAATCCATCAAACACCGTCGAATCCACTTCCGTCGGCCATCGTTCGTAAAGGGATTAGAAATCACCATCGAGCCTGCCAGAAAAATACGAGCGGTCAATACAAATATATTTGAAAATCTAGGATTTGCTGAAAAATTACAAACAACCAAATGGACAGATAAAAGTTTTATCTGTTTTTTTTAAAAGATAAAGTTTTTTTTCGGTTTTGCCAGTTTTATCATAAAACTGGCAAAACCGAAAAAAAAGATTACTTTCACAAACACTTAGCTTATCATGCTAAAATAAAATGGCAGGCAAAAATAATAGTGTGGATCAACGAAGCCATACGCAGTTACGCACGCAGCTTAATACACTGGAAATCCGAAATCAAACGGGACAAGACACACTGTACCTGGCGATGCGATCAGCTCGCGAATGCACCAGTCTTTTACTGGAATTAAGCCCATCTCCTGTAACTCGCTGTCGGATATGCATGCATCGATACAAGGATGTCGCCTTCTCTGCAAACTCAACAAAAATGCCCGTTAAAGAAAGCCAAACATATGCTTTTCAAATATTTTAGAAGACAAAAATTCCATAAACGAGTACTTAATGTTCTTGCCGTACTTTACGTCATACGACAGAGAAACTAACGACAACATGGAGACAAGGACGCTGGCAGTTCCAAAACTTTCGCTTTCTTACTTACAGCAACTCACCCATTGCGAATCAGCTGCATTATCATCAGAATTACGCACTCTAGGATCAGCTACCGTGACACCATCGTGCGCGAGCGACTCCAAAACGGGATCCTTTGCAGCTTTGAAGACTTTGAAGGCTGCTTTGAAATCCCGCTGTCGCTGCTGGCAAGGAGATTCTTCCACATCTATATTCAACATGGCACGGACTAGCACCGCCGCCTCTTGATAACGATCTACATTTATCGAAGCGGAAATCAAACTAATCCAAAAAACACAACAAAAAATATTAGCAAAACAAGGAAACGGACAACAAAACTTCAAATGCTGAAAACTCACAATTTCGCTTTTAGCCTTGCAGCCGGAAACGCAATTCGCCTGAGCGCATTTTAACAGCATTGCCTTCTCAGCGCGGTTGGTCCGTGTACAACAACCACAGTAAACTCACTAACAATAAGTTTTTGACCTGGACACTGGGCAGATGTCGGCAATAATTCCCATCGTTTTTATTGATGATTTTGCTTTTTCTGTCAACGTTTTCAGTTTCAGTGTTTAACTGTGCCGCTCGCCTATCAGTGACAAAATTTTCCTGTCTTCAGTTGTCAAAATTGTTAGATGTGTCCAAGTCTGGCTTTCGAGCAAATCCTTTATACTAAAAGAATAAGAAGTGCTCAAAATTTAACTGCGGGGAGTCAGCCCCAGCCACACACAAGACCAAACTTCGATATCTTGCTATCGTTCGATAGCTCTCATCATGTAGTAGAGCCATCAAAAGTTAGATCTGAGAAAAACAGTTCCAGTTTCATAAAAAATTGAAAAAACGTAACATGCCGAGTCTACGGGAGAAGTGAAGAATCCACCATTGCAGAACCGACCACCTCACCATTGTCTCAAATAAACAGCCAAAACCTTTTTGCTGCCAAGCAGCCACGGGCTTGCACAACGTTTCACTGGAACGAAACTTGAATGTTTATAAATTATAGGGTAGCCCTGCGTTTCTAATTTCTCATCGAAATTCAGACTCAGAAAGAAAGGAGGGTTTGATGAAAAAAGCAACGAAGAGTCGAAGCGTATCGCGCAGTTCAAGCATGATCATTAAGACAACTGTCCTCCGCAGAAGTCTGACCAGTTTTAAAGTAGCAGCGCGCCCAAGGGCAGCAGCTGGTGACTGGTGAGCATTGGAAGTACGCATTTTTTGGCAGAATTTGCCGGCTCGAAAGCAGTAACAAAGGATTTTCTAAAATTTCTGTTTTGTAAAATCTGTGACAACCAGCAGAAGGCGAAAGGCGCCTGGCAGAAAACGTTTTAAAAATGTAATAAAAATCAGCAGCAAAACATTATCTACAGAACGATATGAATTACGAAGCCGATTTAAACCGCGCGATTTGCACGGGGTCTGTCATTCGATACACATCTTACATATCAAAGTCAGCAGCAGAGCCAGCAAAAGTTTGATTTGAGAAGAGTAGGCAACGGTGGCTCCAGATGTCACGGATCATTAGAGTAGGTTTTTCCTTTGCGTCATAAATTTTCAGAAAATCTGATTGTTCTCCAACGTGTGGAATAAGAACCGAAGACAAAGCCGCAGGCGACGCCGAGCTGCGGCGCGAGCGGGGCATCAAGTGAAACATTAATCGTGGCAATTTTTTGCACGGATTGCATTCCGCTTTCCCACCATTTCCATACTGATATTTTCGGATTTAAAGGGCATGGGTGGAAAAATTATTTTTACGGGTGGGATATGCAGAAACCAGAAACGTCAAATGAGCAACATGTGCTCCATAGTTCTGAGTCATAGTGCTGTTTCCGGCATCCGACCTTGGGAATTTACGACTGCTCCAAGTTTGTGACGTGGCCATGAAAAATTATTCGCACATACAATACAACGCATGATACGAAAAGTTAACCGTGATATTTTTCATCAAAAAATAAATAATAATAATCATGATATCCTTATGATTTTAAATCGTTCCTATTCCGTAGCCGGTAGCCTATATATTGCGCAATTTGCGCGGGGTCTACTAGTCTTGCTAATAATTTATAAACCACCAAGATCATTGTACGTGTATAATCACTACACTGTATATTACCATTTTGCATTTAGATAAAATTCGAATCAGCAAGAACTGCGAACATGCAAAAAAAGCTAAAAACTCTGTGCTATACACGGCGCGAAGATTATTACAAACATCACAATTAAACCACCGAGACTTTTTGCAAATTGGCATAGGGCGCATCACGATGGCCGGGAAAATCAGGCGAACCACTCAACAATCCGCGTGCTTGATCGGACAATGCCGTTAAATAGTTCTTTTTGTGAGGATGATGCGCAGCACCCTAAAATATTTCCAAAACCATTAACTTTCAGTTCTGAAGCCTATTCGTATAAATGATATGAAAAAGAAAGACAAAACTATGCTATAAAAAAACACGAACAAATAACCGAGCAATTTCAGTTGCCTGGTTTTTATTAACCTTTTCGAACCACTGGATGCCTTCCTCTACTCGTTTCCGGTACACCAGAAACTCTCCATACAGTCCGCATAAGTCCGCATTGACCGGGTTAATATTGGCCGCTTTCTGAAAATGCGCTTCCGCTTCGTCATAGCGTCCAGTAGCAAAGTGCATCTTGCCCAGATTCAAGTGCGCCACCAGGAAATCCGAATCCAGACGGACGGCCTCCAGGGTGGCGGCGATACCACTGATGAAATCACCTCGAGCGGCATAATTCTCCCCTAAACGATTCATGTATTCGGTATTGTCCGGGAATGTCTCGTGCAGTGCCAGCAAAATAGAGAATGCCTGCTCCAGTCGTGCGCGCTCATCCAGGCGATCATCACGGTTTAGTGATTCTGAAATCACGGCGAAATGGCAATGTACGGCTTAGATCATCTTACATAATTACAACACATGTCGAATGAAACGATAATTAACGTTAAGTACAGTAGCTTTGTACTTTCAATACAACTACGCAAACAAAATTATGATTTCCTGCATATAATTACAACGCATGATGTAAAATGCTGATTAAGTAGCCTTGTGATTGCAATACAACTGCGCAAATGAAATTGCCTCATTCACCTAATAAGCTGCTCATATTTCCCAGAGCAGTGTCCTGTGAAGTATGATTCAGGAATTGCACAGAAACAGAGGCGTCGAGATTCACAAAGGCGCTGTACCACCAACCGGGCTAAAAAAATAAATAGAATCAAGTATGTACTGTACAAGTACACTATTTGTAATCAATCGAGAACGATCTCTAAATGTGATCGCATATTGGATTCTTAATAAAATGATATCAAAACTTTCAGATTATAATCAAATTATAATCAATCGAACATGTCCCAATGTATTTTCAGTTATACGTTAATGTAAGTCTCAATGTTTGAATATTAAAGTACAAAGCAAGACCTGCAATATTACTGCATAAACAATTTAAGAAAATAATATTCATGGAAGAGACTATTGTAGCCTCGTAAACTAGTCCAAATCACATTTTTTTAATTTTAACAACTGTTAAATTCGATTTTGCGTGTTACGTACCACATACAGGATATCACCGGGATTCAGAACACATTCCATTGGTTCTACTGCACGCGAATAAAATGCATCCAGCCAGTGCGTCACCTCCACACCCGGCCAGTAACCTGTGATGGGAGTGACCTCGGGCGCGTACAGCACCCAACGCTGCCGGCCCTGCAGCACCCCGGTCCACATGTCGGTCTGCCGAGTGAAGGCCACACCGGAACCGGAAGCTCCCACGCCGAAGGATCCATCCGCGAAACCAGACTGCAAGCGAAGATTGTCGGCCAATCAGACGGATTACGCACGGTCTCATGTTACACGTTTCCCATATAATTCTGACGACGTATGTACCGTTGCATTCAGGAATTTCGGAATCTTCAGGGTATCGTTGACGGTGTCCGGTGGAAACTTTGCGTAGGCCATACTGCAAATAGGTTTGTTCTTTGATTTAAGGTATCTTTTGCCTTTGTACAGATAGTGTCTGCTTACAAGGAAGTATTGCGTTTCGTAGACAGAAAATCATATACGAATTCTGCCAAGGACATGTCCGTATCGGTTTTATCTATGAAACACAATTAGCTGCATCAGAATGTTAATATCATCTGAAAACTTATACAACTGCAAACTGCAAAGCCACTACATTTCACACTTTTACACTGCTTACCATTTGCGTAAGCCAGGTCAATGCTGTTTCCATATTCGACTTTCACATCTCCATACTTCCTGCCACAACAAGCAAGAAAAGGTGTTAATCTCAAAATGATCGATAATAAAAACGCTTCAAAAACCGAAGCAAAGAGGTCAATAATCTCATATTCGGACTCACATAAAGTCATGGTCAGATTACGCTAAATCGTATATCTGTAGAAGCTGTATTCCAAAAAGCACAGTGTAGTTGTACGTAAATCGTTCATAAAATTCAAAATATTTATGAAAACTCACAGAAACCCATTACAAAAATAATTCGTGAAAAATTGCATACCACAGCAGAATTAAGCAATAAAAATCCACTGATCAGTACGCTACAACTGTAAAGCAGGTGCAATAGTACAGCATCAGCTCAGCTTTAACGCTTCATGTCTAACCATAAGGATACAGGGACAATTAAGAAATATTCCTTACTGCAGCAACCGGTTTAACGACCACACTTCCGGTTGGCTCCACGAGGCGGGTCCATCCGGAAACTGGATGATTAGCGGTTTCATGTGACGATATTCCCGGTGAAACTTTTTGGAATTGATCTTGCTGACGGGTTTGCGGACAATGTTGCATTTTCCCGAAGAGCCGCTGTCCATGGTGTTTCCGGTGGCTGCTGCCTTCTTCGGTGTTTCCTTTGGCAAGCTGGCCGCCGAGTGATGCTTCCGGCTAACGAACTGAAAAATATGAAATACATATGGTAAACTGCGAATAATGCATGAAGAATGTAACCGGAGAATAGATTTCACCGACGCACAATATGTTTCTGTGGGAATGCATGAAAGAAGCGGGACAAAGTATGGCGCGTATGGTGAGGATTTCGTACTGACCGGCCTCGCAAAAACAGCTTAAAAAACCATGAAATTACGGTATGCTGGTATACTTATTCGGTGTTGTGAAAAATCGACTGAATTACATTTCTCCAGACATAATTATGAATTTATTACCTTAACTGAAATTCAAAGTACGAGTAGTTGTCATTTCAACTGTTTGTTCATTTTTTTTGTAAAACTAAAAAACAAGGCGGCATGCTGGAGAAGAGCAAAACAGAAGACTACAATCATAAAATAATAAATAAAATCAAAAAACCATGAAATTACGGTATGCTGGTATACTTATTCGGTGTTGTGAAAAATCGACTGAATTACATTTCTCCAGACATAATTATGAATTTATTACCTTAACTGAAATTCAGAGTACGAGTAGTTGTCATTTCAACTGTTTGTTCATTTTTTTTTGTAAAACTAAAAAACAAGGCGGCATGCTGTAGAAGAGCAAAACAGAAGACTAAAATCATAAAATAATAAATAAAATCAAAAAACCATGAAATCTGGTAAATTGTTATCAAGGAAGTTAAGTATTATACAAATTATTAAAAATCACTGTTTCCAGCATTATGTAGTAGATTTACAAAAAAAATTTTATGCGATTTCAGTTTAGAGTGAAATAGGTGTGTCTGCGTAACGATCGTTTTCCCGCTTAGCCGCTTATGGAAACTGAGTAGCCCGTTTCGTCACTAAACAGCCAGAAAAGTGAAAACCCAACGAGCACTTACGTCTGTAGTGTTTGCACGTCCATACGCTGGCAGATGCGCCGAGGAACTGATCATTACGTAAATACCCGCGGACAGACACAGCACAGCCAGAATAAACTGCGTACTGGACATTTGATAAGCAGGAACCTGCTGAAAGTCTTTTTCTTCCGCGATCACTTCCTCCGTTTGCATATCCTCGACCACGTAATCCTGGCCGGTAGGATCGCTTTCCGATGGACGTCGAGATCGTTTTTTCCCCATTGCGGAAATGCTTGAAATAACCCGTTAAGTAAAAACGATGGACGCACACTTGTAATTGATATGATGAATAAAAAAATGGGAACAACGAAGGGATTTCGTATTTCACTGGCAAAATTTAAAAAAGTAGTGCTTGACTTTGAGTCTGATCAAGTTGTTTGTTGACTGATAACAGGCAAGTGGAAATTGGTCAGCGGAAAAAAACCGAAGTCGGATTAGTTCAACATTCCAAACTGATATCGATGCGGGCGCGGTCCGGTCGGATTGTACTCGTACGAGCGTTACATCATCAGACTCGTCACTAAATACGTGTGCGGTGTGCCGCTCCACAATTCCTATTTCGTTAATTCTTACCTTTCGATTAAATTATTAAATCATTAATAACGGTTAAAGTTAATAATTAACAGCAATAAAGCGGATCTGTATAATAACTAGACTAGCTAGAAAAAATCTCAAGTTAATTATTGTTTGTTGTCCATAACAAAGATCACCAAATATTGTGGAATTCGGGTTCTCCTATAGAAGTACCTTTTAGATATTCCAATTACATTATTATACTTATCAGCGGTGCGCAAAATTAAAAAACAGGGAGTGCTTATGACCTTGTGATAACAGACTGGTGCCGTTGCGCATGCTATTAATTTAGTGCTTAAACCGCCAATAAATTAGTATACAGGAACTGTAATTAAAAATTTTTTGCTGTATTTATGAGTGTACAACGTGCATTTATAGTACATAATTAATAATTAATTTACCGACATTTTCCATAAAACTGCCACGCCCGAGATAGATCTTATAATTATTCATTTTAACAGTCAAAATGGTAATTAAGTAGTGGCCGGCGAAATTCAATATGACGATGTCTAACATAATCATTCTACGTCATCATTTCGAGTGTCTCACCCAAGTAAACCTCTTATAACGCATTTCCTCACTTTGTCTTCCCTTCTGTTCACCTCTTGTATACCATTCACAAAATTCATAAGCGGCGTAAAAGATCCGACCGTATTGTAACGCGCCGGCGCCCCGCGGGAGAAAGGGCACTTCAGATTAAAATTATTTTCCTCCAGCGATGACGAAATTCCCATCTGCCTGTTTACTACATACGCGAGAACGTTGACACTAATGCTTTGCGTTCCACCACGTTTATGGGTGGTAAAAAAATACCCGCCATTATGACAATAGTATAATGAAATGTTCCCGTCTGAATGGGCCATCATGAGCGTGATACAGCCGGAAAAAGCGTATCATGCGGTGCCACTTATTGGTCAATTTACGTAAAAGTAATTGCTGCCGGCTTTGTCGACAGGACGTATCGCAGTATGTATAATCTTATCGATTCCGGTATGCAGGCTGTTACAGCACTGTTAAATTGGCCCCAGTGTGATTAAACACCGCCGACCGACACGTACCCGCCAGTGCGTAAGCACCACTGGGAATCTGCGTCGGGAAATCAGTAGCGGGATGAACGCTCTGTTCCTCTTAATTGGCAATGTACAACGCGTACAGCGGTACTTGTACACGTGTGATGTACTTGTACATGTGCGGTGTGTCACTAATAAATACATATTAAATCCGAGCGGCACGATGGGCGTCGGTACGTGAATACTATTGCGCACACACGGATGTCGTACTCGTACAGCTGCACTTGAATACAGACAACGGCACTCGTACACGTACACCGCCGGTTGCAGTGGAAGTGGACCAGTAAACCAGTGTGGATCTTCCCAATTACCGCGATCTGGCAAAAGGAGGAAATGTGGTGTATAAAATGCTATGTATATATACAATCCGGCAAGGGCAAATGTTTTTGTAACAAACCCACATTTTCATTCTGCTTATAACTCCTGCTGGTTTTCACTGGCTAACTGGCTTCCATTGACCTAGAAAGCCGCAGTAGCAATAGTCCATAATTATATTATTCTGTTGTTCTAGCATAATAACCTTTTTGCCAGCCGACAATCTTTTTATATTTATACAGCGCCGTGTTCGCCCAGTGTTGTCCGGTCCGTTTGTATCCGTGTCACAGTGTGTAATCATAATATTTCATCGCACAAGTCTTTACATTTCCTGGATCATGATGTACGGACGCATAGTAGGGTTATATTCGTCGTTTATTGGATTATTACTATTCACCGGCATACATGGAAAACCTCTCCTTCAGGTAATCTATTTCTTTCTCTGTGTAGCTCCTGTAATGTTTATACCGTGTATAATAATTTTTCTTACGTTATCAAATAACATCTATTTTCCGAGCGTCAAACCATTACCTAATGTTCTCTAACGTGAACTATATAATAATTATACATATAGATATGCGAAAATCACTTCCGTATTTTACTGTGGGAATTTACCAAGGACTCGAAATCGGTAAAATTGTTTTCATTATTAATAGTAAGATCACATTTTCCAAGTGGAAGCACAGAATTTCTAAAAATATATAGATTACCGATTAGTAATCAGATCCAGTCATCAATTACACGAGACACAATTTGGTGTTAATCATGCTACCGAGTGACACGGCAGTATTTCGGCAATACTTTTGTATAAGCGGACTTGATCCGCCGGTAACCACAGTAATTGTAAGCACAGAGCATGTATACCGGCGTATAAAGTTAAGGTGAAAAAAGTCGTCTATATTCAATCCATGCCTTTATAATTATTTATAAACAATCTGATATTCTTGTATAATACTCGAATTTCAATGTTCCTGGAGGCAAACCAGCGGTATTGAATACTATTGATGGTTGCCCAAGGAATTTAACCACACGCAGAGCTCTAACCCTACCGTAAAGAAAATGTGCACACTAAATTGGCGAAGGTCACTTACGATTACAGGTGAAGCGAAAAAATTTGGGCTATATTTAAATGGTTTTTATGCAATCTACAATCACGCACCTGGAGAAATACGTAGACGGAAGTCAAACATTGCAACACCTATCCAAACAAAATCCAGACCGCATCGAATGGCTTTATGCTCAATAGCATTATTGTTCTACTCCAGTTTTTACATGTCACATCCGTAAAGCATAGCCGGATAAAATGAAAAGTCGCTTTTTTTGGATGAAAATTCGACAAAACTATAGCTTGTGCTTGTGATGGGCGCATAGATGGATGCTTTGCAGTTTGCAATGCAACAATTACTGAAATCTTCGGAGAAATCTTACATGCAACTATTTAATTTTATTAACAGTTATTTTTATTTAACAATAGCCATATATGTGCGTCAAAATAGTTAAGGAAAATGCCAGACTAAAATATTAATATGTATATGTTAAATAACGAAGGGAAACAAATATTATCATATTATATTACTAGTGTCGTTGCGCCACTTTTTAACGATTTTCTCATGTCGAGTAGACCGGAAACTGGGATCCGCTGACGATTTCAAGTCCTCAGGAAACGAAACTTGCGGAAGAATATCTTAAAGGTAAGAATAACAGTCACGTTCTTCCGGTGCCGATAAATTTATACACAGCACATGCAGCGACAGTAGTTGCGCATAGTACCGTACCGCGCATAGTATCAGTCGGGTTAGGCAAGCAAGCTCCCAGGTCTTTACAAACAGTAATCCTGTTATGATGACTACGTGATGCGCACCATAATTTTACATTAGAGTTATAGATTGATTGTATTGCAATCTGATATTAAGACAACCTAATTCCCTAAACTAACACACTGAACTAACCTGGAGCAATTTTCTTACCGAATGGTAGTTGCCTAATCTGCACTACGTCAGAATAATTTCCATGGGGTCACAAAATTACAGTGCAGAAATAACTTAATTTGAGATTTTGGTGACATAATCTTATTTGTGTCAAACGTTCCGTACAATAATATTATATACAATTACACATTTTGCCCATTCATAAAAGGGTGTATTTCTAAAAATATTGTAGATTGTTTGGAGTTTCGATTTGATTCCGGCATCTACACCGTCGAGTCGACCGGTACGCAGATTTCCACATGCGGATTGTACCTGGTGGGACCACTGGACACGCAAGTTGCCATTGATTTTATGGATTTCAATGTCGGTTGCGAGCACAAAGGTCTTATTGGGGTTGGTCAAAGTAATCTATTATGCAATTACTCCTGTTAGCTCTGTTTTTCTTTATCGCTGAATTAATTATGCGCTATACAATACTTATGTATATTTTTATTTGGTAAGTCAACGAGATTAAACCATATTTACAAAAGATATTACATATACGAGTATTAATTACGGAATTTTCTTTTACTTTCACTCTACAGTTGTCTTATATAATATTTAAGTGTGTTTACTGTTTCTAGAATTTTTTTATCACAAGGTTGTGTTTTGTTAAATTAGTATTTAGTACTTCTATACATGTTTAGTGCGTTACCCTGATTTTTAGGACAAAAATTCAGTTATATAAAATACAGACGGTTTCAGTTATATAAAATAAAAGACGTACACGATGCAACATTTTTTAAGTTATGTAAAAAATGATAATAAACCGTATGCACAATTTTGTACGAACCTGCATAAAGTCAATCATTAGGATGAGCGGCTAACCACAGGCAATACAGTCTATTCATATCTGTATTGTACGAGTACATCAGTTTTTAAACACCCTGCTTCAAAAATATCAATATTTGCTTTGGTTTTTGTTCAGGTTTTAGATGGATGGGAACAAGAAGGTTATGTCTTCCCACCTAAACACGATGTCCACGGACACCATTTGCGCTACGAGACATTCTGCGGTATTAAACAGCCAAAGGGCACTTTTCTCTCCAGCGGCAATATGGCGCTTATACAGTACCACCTGCCCACACCCGGCAACGGTTTCGTGGTGCGTGTCCAGTTCGTCAAGAATCCCCAGCGTAAGTTGTTAGTTACTCACACACACACCGGATGTACCGGGTAAAGGCCAACCGATACGCGTAAAAACTAGACCACGAAATTACCTAACCTTTGGGCTTTGGGATATGCGGATACACCGGCAACGCCCTGATGCAGGCGTTGCACACACACATCCTGTGCACAGGCAGCCAGGGCTACAATTAAACAAAGTAGGATGCGGCTGTGGTATATATGCGGCAAACAACAGACGCACCACGAATTAACAGATGTAATGGAGTCTAATTACGCGACTTTGCCTGTATTTCTTCGACTACTGCGGAGCGCGGTGACGTTGGTGGCGATCTTGTGTTGGTGTCAACCAAGTTGCCGACTGTCGACAAACAGAAATTATCGTATGCTATAACGCGCTTTCCTGCGTGGGTGATATCCGTATGACTTAAAAAACATCGCGTAAAATCAAACCTTGCTGACCACGCCAACGATATCGTGCGTATCCGGTACTTACAGTATATAATTATACGAAAGTTAGCTACAATATGTGCAACGGAAATGCAAGTTAGCTACAATATGGTCAATCGATGGCCTGGTTGACAACTAATCCAGTACCCAAAAAAATTTAGTGCAATTATTATTACTAATAAAATTTTACTAACGAAAATGCAACGAATGTTTATAACGTAAGCCGCTGTTCCATAAAGGCAAAAATTAATTTGCTGTTCGGTACGTAATTTTTTGTACGAACGCGGCTCGCCGGCATAAATACCCACCTCAGGTAAGATGTTTCGTCATTTTTATATCTATGACAGTGCGCCAGGGTTGCATTTCTCCCAGTAATTACGTCATATAGGGTCAGCGTAATTTTGTTCGTTATACGAGTAGCGTGCGATAAATCACGTTCAATATTAGAACGGCAAACTTTCGATTGTATGTTATGATGGTGTGTGACATCATTTTACGCAGTAAAAATTAATCTTTAACGGTAAATGTTCCATACTACGCACAATGCGCACGCGCAACCCTAGTCCAGCCGGCACTGGCAATGAGCACATAAAGTGAGCAACTACCGTATATTACTGTATACTTTGTGTTCGCAAAGGGCATTCACGTAATCTACATTGTACATCTCGTAAAACTTACGCGGTTTATTCCCGCCGGACAGATCACACGATATATTCTTAACCGGTGTGTTGTTTTTTTCCCATTTGCAGCCTGTAATATGATATCAATGTTTCCCGGTGAGCCGTACATTCTGCGTAACTACGGGCAGCGCGTTAACTGCAGTATGCTGACAATCAATCCCGAGAGGATCACCTTGTCCCTGGTTAATGTCGGCATTACGCCCAAGATATCCCCGGCGGCGTCCTCCACCAACCGCCTGTTACCTGACCGGCAAGCGGAAGCTGACTTCCGCTCCGCACAAGTACGTATCAAATTTGTGCATACAAATTACATGCTAATGTAATCCCGCGCACCGACGTAATTGGTAAACTTTCGTATATCACTTCCGTCCAGTGATATCAGCTGATTAGAATCGGTCGGCGTATGTACCAGGGTATTGTTAGCTGATTATACACCGCTAATCGGTGTTTGCTTTGCGTGGATTAGCGTGGCAGTGCTTGCGCAATTTCTGAAAGAAGGCGTGCTAACGACAATTTGAACAATACATTTCAAGGGCATTTTATATTTCTCCAGGGAATGTATGGCACCGGGTATAAAACCCGGTATTTATCGGAAAATGCTAATATGGACAATAAGATCAATTAATTGCACTTATGCAATTCTTTAAGGTTTAATAATTGCATAGATGCGGATCCTAACGCAGCTGGTTTAAATCCGCAGTAAAGGTCAGGAGACGTGTATAGAAGAATGAGCAGCAATTTAAATAGGAAATTTTGCGTGATTGCACAAAGAAAGCCACTCAGTATATACAATGTAGGAAAATTAAACTTTATTCCAGCCACAAATTATTCTGTATTGAGGAAGCAGAAAAGTAGTTTAGTCAAGTTTAATTTTTGTATAAAACTTTCAGAGTACAGTATGTAAAAGTGCAGTTATAGAATTAATGCGTGGACAACACTGATTTTATAACAAATTATGAAGACAGCACGATACATTATACTACGCATTTGGTTTTGGATGATGATGCCAGGCATTCCGAATATTAGGCAGTCCCTGCCGCATTGAATTCTCTCGTCAAGAGGTTCTGGCCGCGATTCTCAGAAATATTGTGCTTTGAATCTGTAAATGTGTACGTTGTAATCGTAAGGCTTGCGTAATAAAAAAGCGCTTCGATGTAAGTATTGTAACCGCCCAATAACTACACCTTATGCCGCCACATATGGCAACGTACGTTGACCTTTTGCTGCTGACCAGCACCAGTGTTAATTTACATGTGCATTACTACTGCATTATGCGCTAATTATCGGTTATTTTGCGAAATTGGCGGCAATGCTACCTGCTAGTGACGCGCATGCTCGGGATCAATACTTGAGTATGTGATCTCTCCAGCTGTTTGTTTGCCGGGAATGCTGGGAAGTTTGTGTACAATTTTCTGCACGCGTTAACAATAATCAGTTTCACAGCAGGTTCAATATTACTCAACATTAGTTAAAATTTTATAACCGAGCAGAATGCATCACACGGAAAAATTGTATGTTTATGTATCTGCGCTGTACGCAAATTTCAAAATATCATCTGATTTAAAACCAAACGGTCTTTTAATTGTCAGAAGCAAAATAAAGCATATACAGATACATTAGAGTATTTTTCGGCATTTTGTAAATATTTTCGATTCGGTCGTAACAAACAGAACGAAGTGCGTTAGGATGCTGTACTTTCACATAACTTTACGTCATTAACATATGGATCCGAGACATCTCTCTTGGCACGCAGTTTTCTTTTTTGCGTCGGAAGCCTTATTTTATTTATATAACAGGATTTATTAAATTTTATTATATGTCCTTCCTCGTCAAATCACTGATCACGTTATGTTATTTGTTGCGCATCCATAGGTTTGTAATCCATACGAGAAAGGGGATTACGTGGAGATTAAAGGCGGAAGCAACATCTCTGTCAACAATATGATCACCTTCAAACAGTTATGCGGCGCCAGCGCGGGCGAAGGTAGGCGGACATATATATGTGTGCGGAGAAAAAGGGAAAATATTTCCCCTTAAAAGGTCACACGACTATGTGTATAGCAATATCAAAAGTGAATATGTATATTGTTGTAGAAGAGACATTTGGGATATTCTGCGGCAGTACACTGGTCCGTTTGGTGTCCAGTGGTGTATACGACAATGTCGTCGTGATAGAAACCGATTCCTTGGATGAAACGGAAGCCGATCAGCCCAACAGCAGAAATAACGTGTGCCGGCTGATATAAAAGATGTGCGCGCGCACTTGACCTTTCGACTCTGTCCTTCAGTGCAGTGCGCACGAAAAACGGCGAATTTATAATGTGTATGTGGTGTGCAGCTTTGTGCTAGTCAGTCGTGCTGAAATGCGGGACATTTTACCAAAGTTGACATTTTAATTATTTATTAAACCAAATAATATCAGTGTAATACGACAAAGTAAGAGTATATGCTATGCAGTTAACATAAAACAACATCGCTGTGAGTGGTTTGTGCATGGTGTGCACTTTTTATCATGCATTCACATTCCACTTCTTGGTTTTTTCTGGGTGTGTTTGACGATAAATCGAAAATCCACTGTCCGGCATCAAAATCAAAACAAATAGTACGACTGCACACTTCGTGCTTACTATACATCTAATTAAGAACGACATAGAAATTCGCACCAAGTTGCAATTTATTTGCAAAATAAAGGCGCATTTCGTGTTTTCCACGCACCTTAAGATTCCACAAAATGTTGTTGGTATTATAGAATAATTTATGATACTTTTCCGTTATTATTTATGATACAAATGTCACAAATTTTGTTATGTACTAACATAAAAGAAAAACACGGCATGCAGATAATAAAAACAACAAAGTATGCATTCACCAATGCAAAATACAGTCAGTGCAGCTAACAAAATCTACTTTTGTGCTAATACGGGTACTAGAGAAGGGTATAACCAATAAAAAAAAGCCGCACCTAACAAAAAATTCACAAAATAACAATAAAATACAGAGCTCATCCGACATTAACCGTAACAAAGCAAATGACACAAAGTGTTATTCAAGCCCACGAGAACCAGACATTTCGCGCTGTTTCCCGCTTTCAAGGCATCACCACCACGTCGTCATTCACCGCCTGTGTCGGGACGATGGAGAGGAAGTGATGCAACCGGCCGGGGTTGGGCAGGAAGGTGAACATTAACCGCTGGGCACGACCCGCCTTCTTCAGTTCGACGGTGGTGATGGCTTTGCGGCGTTCTTTCTTCGTATGCGGTGAGAGATGGTAGAAGAAATCCTCCGGTGCATCGGGAAACGGTAGCCGGCCATTGGCGGACCGCACCTTCGGCTTGGCGGGAAAGGCCATCTCTCCGCTGTCCAGTTTGACGCGTTTGTAGGGCGGAGAGGGAACACGGGATTCTTTCTCTCTGTCTTTGCCGTTTGTGCGCAGGCTAGCAGGCACAGTCAACAGCGCATGTCCTACAAAAAGGCAATTAGTACGAATTTCGCATCGTTTTATCGAACCAGTGCTTGTAAAACAAGGCATAAGATATTTGTTCAGTCAGATACTGTTCGACGAAAACGAAAATGTTTTTCAATGTAGTAAGATAGGGCATAAAATGCTGGTAACGGAAGTCTTTTTATTGAGATATATTGAATTTATATTTTCAGAAGACGTCAAACCTGTAACGAAAATTTTTACAATGGTTGTAGAAAGAACTTTAGTAAGCCTTTTCTAGCAAAAATGTTTAGAAACCATCCAGGTCCAGGTGTATCTCAACGAATCAGTTAATGTTAAGCCACTGTTTCCAACACCAAATTCTATAGTCTAGTGTCTAATTTCAAAAACAGTTACCTGGCGAATTTCTTTCCATTAAACGGCTGGAAATAACAGCCACCGGCACCAGTTTTCGCGTGCGCGGCCGCTTACTCCGCTGCACCGTGGCCGTGTCGGCGTTCTGGTAATGCTCTTTGATCGGGGCGGAATTAATCCAGTGGAAAGGCCTCCTGGCGGCCCGCCGCGGCTTATAGATATGCTCACCCACTCGCCGCACCTGCTTCATCATCTGCGTGGCAATGAAATAGATGGCGGGTCGCGTGCGGAAGAAGCTGCGCGGCGACACCACACTCATATTACGAATCTGGGCACTGCGCTGATTCGGCGGCAGTAAATAGCCTAGCTTCTTCTCCGATACATTGCTCTCCGTGTTGGCCGGCGGCTGTTTCTGGTGTGCCGTGTAGGGAATGCCTGGACCGTGCTGCAGCATGATCTTCTTGTCGCCCTTGATTGGGCGCTTCAGATCTCCGTACTTCTTCCAGTACTGCCAACAGTTGTAGCATAACCGGAATCCACCGGAATTCCGCAGACCGCCCAATCCGCCCCATGCATACCAGTTGCTGGACTGTTTCGTCCGGCAACCTTCGCAGCAGTTATTGGCGCCCGGTCCATCATGGACTTCGTTCGTGGGCAGGCGATCATCCTGCACGTAAGGTGGGATGTAGATCTGTTTTAGATGGAAATCCGCCAAAGCGGTGCGGACACGTTTATTCTGCACGAAGCGATCCGATGTTTTCCACATGTAATAATATTCCACTATCTGATTCATTGCTTTCCAAGGCAACTAAAAAAAACCGAGACGTCACAACAAATTTTGTTAAAATAACACTGTTTTGATTCTCGATTTCTCGCATTTACCTCACCAGTCAGTTTTCCGCAACTAATCAAGAATTCGACGTCAGCATCTTATATGTGATGAAAATTAACCACGCTCATGTTACACATACCGTAATTATCGAATTTGCACCTCCCCCCATAATAAGGCCCCCCTCCGTATTAAGCCCCCCTCCCATAGCCCGTTTGAAAAATAGCGCCTCCCCCCGATTTTACCCCCCAGGGGGGCGTTATTAAATGTCAAGCGCCACAAATTGATAAATAAACCGCCAATTGCTTCATAATAATAGTTATGATTTAATAAATAAACAGTAAATGGTCACAAAAATAATTGGGTGCTATGTTTCAGAATGCTGCTCGCAAGGTTCTGAAACTGCAAACACCGGTATCTACTGCGTCCAGTTTCAATAAAACAGGATGCAGAGTTGTTTGAAAAATAACGGCCCCCTCCCAAAAATACTGTTTGAAAAATAATACCACCCCCCGAAATAACGCCCCCTCCCCGAAATAAGCCCCCCTCCTCCAGGACGTTTGAACTTTTGCACCCCAGGGGTGCAAATTCGATAATTACGGTATTCAAGTTGTGTAATCAATATGACGATTAGCAATCACACGTCTAATTCGGTAAATCATTACAACATTATCGGTAAATCATTAAAAAATTATTGATCAATTATGTTTCGGGTTTTACACACCGTCGCTATTACAATTTTATTAAAATAATAATGTTGCAAGCAAGCATTTACTAAAACAGCCAATGCGAAATACTGCAACATCGCTTAACGTTTAAAATTATATCTTTACCGTAGCGGTTTTCTGTTTTTATTATTACTTTATCCCCTAACTTGAAACTTCCACTGATTGATTATTCCGTAAAAACAACACAAATAAATACCGCTTACCAGATCTTGCTTGATGTCGCGGAAATCCTTCCCGTACTTATCCAGAGCTTCCTCGAATAATCCTGCCTCCGCCGCCGTCCACACCTCCATCTGATCGCGACAGATCAGCGGACCTTCACTAACAAGTTCCTTCAGACTCCGACTCAGATCGTAGCTGTTATTGTGAAGGGTGTTCATTGCGTTTTGTATGGTAATATCGCGAGACGCACTGGCGGCAGTCAGATGCAATCCGGGCTGCTTCACGGACGTATTCCAATCTAATGCCCGTCCAAACGTGCCCACACTTCGCATAATGATAACAAAATTATCAATCTCCGAATCCGAAATTCTTCCTGGTTCCCACATGAGAACGGTGTCGCTGATTTCAGTTTCTTCCTCATCCTCCGATTTTACTAAACAAATACAGTATATATAACAGTTTTTAGAAAAACACGACAATCTGACTAAAACAATTAACATAATATAACAAATAAGCATGAGCCTAGTTTTTCGTTATCTAAACTACGAAACAACACTTATTGGCGTGCATTTAACAAGGAAAAATGAGGGTAAAAATAAAATCGTTGGTTCTAAACAAAGCTGAATCAAAATCGAAGAGAGCGTATTCAAACAAATCAACACTGCAAAGTAAACAGGCATAAAAATCAGTGACGGCTAGAAATCTGATATTATTTATAATGAACGCAAAAGTAAAAACTCGCTGTTTTTAAAAAAAATCGCATGCATACAGGTATTATTATCACAAAACCAGAAAAGAAATAGTTTTTGAATTACTGACATACCTTTCTCATCTTTTTCGTCCATTTTTTCATCGGCATCTGCCGGGGGAAACTGCAGAAGTGGCGATGGCAGCCCGGAGACATCCGCCTGGAATCCCGAACCCACTCGAATATTCCCCCCTTTCTCCTGTGTCAGTGAATTACTATTAGGATCCCACGTGTGGGTATAATAATACAGATCCTCATCCTTCAGATATTCTTCCCGTTTTTCGCACTCCGCCAGCAAATACACCGTACACTTGCCCCGAATCAAGCTTGCAGGCAGTGATTCGGCCAGCCGCGTCAAATAGACTTCACGATGGCCCAAGCGATGCTTGGTTAGCTGGTCTTCCGAGACATTCTCGTCCGTGTTGTCGTTTTTCTCCACCTGGCTGGGTTCGTCCATGTCGTCCGCTTCATCATCATCCAGATGGATATCCGGCACTTCTTTGCCTTCTTTTTCATACGTGGCGATCTTCTCCTGTAGCCGTTTGGGGAGATCACGTTTGCGGCAGTAGGCGATGGTTTTGACTTCTACATGGCCGCCTGAAGTCTTGAGGAGATCTTCAATACGACGGATCTGGTAGGGACCCGAGGATGACACCTCGAAGTAGCAGAAATCTCCAACCTTATACATTGCATTCGCAGGCAACGACATTCTACTGACTAAACCAAAAATTTAAGATGATATGCAAAACACCAGTTTCGTAAAATACAATAATAAGATTCCACGAAATGTAAGATTCTGTGTGTTTTCTTTTTTGGACTGCAAAAATCAAAAATGCATGGACGCTTCAAAAATTCGCCATCAGTACGAGTTCATTCAAACTCGTGAATCATGCGAACAGTACTGCTACCCACCAATCAGGCATAGGAGGGCGGGCTAATTGCTGTACAGTGTCCTTGTCTGAGTTGTCTCGCGGACATCAGCTTTCCTTTCTTAGTGAGTCTCTTACTCTTTTCAAAGCTTTTATCGGATAAACAACAAACATGAGAAACACAGATTCCGAAGAAAAAATTATTGTTTAGCTTGTTTTTCGTGATTACAGATTTAGAGTCGATAAACATTTCAAAAAGTCAGCGGCTACGCTGGCTAGCACAAGCGGTCAGTCAACCCGAGCGCCGCCCAGAGCTTGAATCCGAGTCGAGCGCCGATCCGCCCGATCTGTATGATGCTGTAGCAGCAGAGATCGTCAACGGATTCTAGATCATCTCTCGTAAAAATAAATTTGTCATATTTCTTTCACGTTCCTTTTCCCGTCTGCTGCCACTGCTGCCGACACGGCCACACATCTGTAGTTCATCTTTGTGGCAAGTGTATTTCATCTGGGATATCAGCAAAAGGAAAGGCGGACCATATTTTTGGCACGAAGAGGGCGAGCCCGATCGCAATACGTTACGAGAGAGTGCGCGGACTTTTTATCGTAACAATAATACATTCGCAGTGGCTGTGCACAGGCTTATCTACCTTCACCGTCCGAGCCTTATTGTAAAATTGGCGATAATAACGGTAAGCAAAACTGGTGTGGAAAGTCAACATATCGTAGACGATAAGCCATAGTGCACATTTCCAACTTCTCCTGCCCCATTATATTACGCTGACGAAGTGTTGGGAGGAGAAGTGGTACTGATAAAAACGCTCTAGACACCCCTTCGTGTACGAATCACCAGCGACATTCTTGAGCGGTTATTTACTGCTTACCTTTTTCTAACCTTCCGCATAAACCTGTCATTTCTTCCATGGCGCACAATCGCTATTCTGCTCACAGTTTGGATTATAATACCTACTCCAATCCGGATCAATCCAAGGGCGACAAGATGATGTACCAGGGCAACGGGAATAATGGGCCCAACAATTATGATGAGTATATGCAGCAGGAGGAGGAATGGGAACGCGAGGGATTGCTCGATCCAGCCTGGGAGAAGCAGCAGCGCAAGGTAAAGAATTTTCGGGAATTTTATCAGTTTTTTTCCGTAAAATTTCGATAGATTTTGCTGCTTTGGACAGTGCCCAGTTTTTTTTTAATTTTCCAGTATTTTTATCCTTTTTCTCCTCCTTGTGGATTTTTTTCGTTTGAGACAACGCGCAGGGAGATAGAATTTTTTTTGGTTTTATTTTACAAGGAATTTGGGAAATTTGTATATTTGTTTTGCTGACTTTGAGGAAAATTTCGGTTGTATGTGATAACTCGGTTTTGGAATGCATGTGCTCAGCGACATTGTTGCAAGGTGTGTTTGCGGAATTCTGGACGATTTTCTTTGAAATAAATATATTTTGTAGAATAGACAGCACAGCAGAAAGATAACTTGATGTAAGATTTGAAGACTGTGTATTTTGCAGGAAGAGATTAAAATAAAGTAACAATAGTTGTGCAATAATGTAAAACTATTGGTAAGTTTTTCATAAAATAAAATGTCGCTGTTACGCCAATAGATTTCGATTGCATTTTTGTTGTTGTTGTTCTGCAACCAGTTGTGCAGCAAATCAGGCAAATGAGTTTAAGCGGCGACCAGCAGACAGAGAGATGCATATTAAACTTTACACAGGCCAGTGCCGGAATACAAAACTGGTGAATTGGCCGTGTAATTGCCGTGTGCCTGGGCTGGACATCCGCCGTCGTCCATCAGTTAATCGGCGGGTCGCTGCGGATTTCCCGCATTTTTTTACTCTCACTTGACCAGTATGTATTCTGTGCGTTAGACTTGACTTTTGTGTGTTAAGTGCCAGTCAATATTTGCTTTTTCGACTTATTCACCGCAATGGATACAAGGTAGCCTCTTGTAATTGACAGCTGCCAGTTTGCGCGGCTGATGCTGACCAGCTTCCTCTCCAGCAGGTTTTCATCAGCGTCGTGTGTGATACCCGTTATCCGCTAAATCCGTACCGTGCAATGGACGATTTCGTCTGCTGTCGGCACGAACGCATAAATTATTTACTGTAACACATCAATTTATATTCGGCCAAATGTCGTTTTTTAAAAAAATATTTTTATTTTCTGTGTTTGCCTTTTTTAGTAGGCTTCGCACGCGACGCGAGTCACTGCGATGCAACAATATTATATTCTCCTTATTTCTTACTGTACATATATTTTTTCGTGAACCTAAATTTGTTTGTTTAATATTGTAAGTTCTTGTATTTGTTAATTAAATAGAAAATTTTTTCTGCCTCGTTTTTTGTCATCAACAAAGACACGTTAGTAAAAGAAAATATTTTTGGACCCCGTTAACTTTAAAAAAAACGAGAAGGATAGATAGAAAACTTTGTGCAAGATCTCTAAAAACGACAATGTTCTTGGAAAATTAGCCGTTAATTTTGATTTACTGTCATTAGAAGTTGGTTATTTTCTCTCAGCTACAAATTGGATCTGGCAGATCTGTACATTTGGGGCGAACATGCGAGGTTTGATATCTAATGAGGCCCATATTTGGCTTAGTCAACCGGAAAATGATCGCTGGTCAGAGCGCGTAGGCTTTGACCGTATTTTTCTGTAGTTTCCCGCTGAAACCGGAGTGTTTTGACGTTGGTGTTTTCAGGGTTTTGTACCGCTGAGGAGAGCGGGTTGAGTGTTTTTTTCCGTGATTTTCATACAGAAATCTGAGTCATTAAAACCCGCCGGTTTTGTCGGCTGTGTGTATGTATGCGCGGGTGATTAGTGGATGCACGGGAGCGTATTAAAACCCAGTTGTTCGTCTGGCTGCCCAAAAATGGATTGAGCTTGGCGTATTTCGGGAGCCTGCTCTTGTATATACAGTCGCTAATATGGTTACTCTTCATGCTCCGACGTTAATGTGAATGAGCGGCGGCGGCACGGCAGTTTTTAAGTTGCCGTACAGATACTGAATCATGGGAATGTCTGGTTGGAAACTTGTTGCGTCAGATGCGAGGGCGGATGTGCGAGTGAAACGATGGCGTTTGTCCAGTTTTGCCTCCACCGCATATTGATAATATTGTTTGACGATTTATTGTTTTTAATTTTACATAGATCTTAATCACTTCGCTTGCTATTTCGCTATTATAATTTAAATGCTCTACCAAAATTAGGAAAGGCTGAACTGAAAGAAACAAATTTAGTCGACGGATGTCTGTAATTTTTTATTTTATCGTTGCACATCCTTAATTGTGAAATTTGACAGCTTAGAAGCCATTTCTTAACAAAGACATTATAGTCGAATAAGTCGATAGTGGTTAACTGGTAACTGGTTGACCGAAAAAGGGTTAGTTACCGCAGACATAAAAATTTTGCACTGCAAAATGATGGGCTAAAATAGAAAAACGATGGAAAGAAATAAAATAACTTTTATTCAAATTTTGTGATACAACTACGACTTGAAATGATCGTGAGCGGTAGAGAGATGTAGATGATTCAATTAGACTTCAAAAGTGGTAAGTTCAAGTGGATGAAAAGCGTCTGAAAAGAGCTTGGACAGTTGGTTGTGTGTATATGCGGAAACGTTGACATTACTGTTGATATTGACATTTTATCTCTGTGATACCTGTGCGCAACTGCATGTCAAATTATGAATGACAGATATTAGTGCACTTCTTGACTCTTGATCGCACTCTCATTCCCCTAGCCACAAAGAGCCGCGCACCGGTCATGCTGGAGATTGACTTTCAGATTTGATCATCAGTCGACAGAATTTGTTTTATGTTACACAATAATATATGCTGTATTAAATCAGTGATGTTTTAATTTTCTGCCAGCAGGACACAGTCCGAATTAGATTCACCTGCACGCGAGAAATAAAAGCGTTTCAGTGTGCACATGGCTAAATTAATTTAAATAAAGCTTTACAAAATTGGCGCTAAATATTTTACGAATTTACCCCTTACAAAGTTGAGGAGGCATTATACCCGTGTAGTAATCATGAACGATTTTAATAACATCCGGCATAAGTTTATTTAATTTTCGCGATATAAATCACAGTCGGACGACTTTTCAGCTTTCCCTTAGATCAGCGGTATATTTGATGTAAGAATGTTTCAAGTGTTTTGCACTTGTTCAACATCCACTAACGTGCCTATTTGCTGAATTCTTCGTTTGACCAATGGAATTCGGAATGCTTTTTTATTGCGGTTGTTAAACCAGCGGAGTCGTTGATTGGGAGAGAAATCGTATAATCCACACACAGTGCATGCCGTCAAGCTGAAGACGGCTGCTAACCAGATTTACGAGGATATTAATAGCTAATGGATTTTTATTAATAGATAACGGAGTGAATTCGAGAGTTTTTCACTGTTATCGCTGCATGACTTCAGCTGGCACTTTCGTTGCGGACCAGGAACTGTGTGTCACCGATCATAGAAATGCCTGAATCGGTCATAAGGGATACCTGAATGCTTACATTTTACGCGTGAAAACATTAGGTTGTGATAGATTTAGGGTGGTGGTTCATTGATGAAATGTCGCATAAATCATACCTGCTGCGTTTTTACAAATACATTAAAACCAGAATAAGGAATAAACAGTAAGCGTTTACAGCGATGATTCGGACACTTGAAGAAGAAGACTCAGCATGAACAAAGGCGTGCGATCACGGACAGGCACTGTATTCGGCGAGTGTGTCTGAATACTCTACACTTTTGGAATTAAATTAATCTACTAAATTTATTTTAATTTCGAATCAATATCAATAAAGCAGCATTAACTCGAAAACTTATTTTCTGACTTGGGAAAACTGAGAATTTTACGACTTGGATCTGCTCAGAAATCTAAGTCTTCCTAAGAAATACATTACCGTTTGCATTTTGCCTTTACTGTTATGTGAATACAATGATAAATTTGACTGCAAATGTACGCAAAATTTAATGATTAATCAATTCATCGTTAAATAGATTACCAAATAATATGGTGAGTTTTTTTGTAGACTTTCACTGCTTGGTGTAATTCCCATCTGCGCAAGGCCGGAACCCAGATTGACAACATTGAAGAGGACTTCCAAAATGGATTAAAGTTGATGTTGTTGCTGGAAGTAAGCGGATTTATAAATATCGTGCTTTGTTTTGTTTTCTTGACCTTTGCGCGGCTGGAAATGCAACTCCGCTGATTAAAATTACTTTGTTTAGATTCTTTCCGGTGAGCAGCTCCCCAAGCCCGACCGCGGCAAGATGAGATTCCACAAAATTGCCAACGTGAACAAGGCATTGGATTTCATTGCCAGCAAAGGCGTGCGCTTGGTGTCCATCGGTGCCGAAGGTGTGTTTTATCTCGCAAAGCGTCCTGTAATAAGTTGGAACCAACGAAAACTTCCCTTTAAATTTCTATCAGTAACAAAAATTAATATCCTTGTAAGTAGCTAAAAAAATTTGGAAAATGTACTGTAATTTATTAATACGGATGCAAGTGAGCTGTTTCAATGTTTGGTTTGCATATTTCTAAGTAATTTTTTACGGTTTTTGCAGAGATCGTGGATGGTAACGTCAAGATGACGCTGGGTATGATCTGGACGATTATTCTGCGATTTGCCATCCAAGATATTTCCGTTGACGGTATAACAATGTCGAAATACACTGCATTTATGAAATTCATAGTCATACGATTATAATTGCATGTTTTCCGTAGAAATGACCGCCAAGGATGGCTTGCTTTTATGGTGCCAGAGAAAAACTGCTCCCTACAAGAACGTCAATGTTCAGAATTTCCACATCAGGTTAGTTATTCAAGGAAGCAAAGCTGATTTCGTTAAAGGTATTGCAGAATGTTTACCTACTTGCAGCTGGAAAGATGGTCTGGCGTTTTGCGCTCTTATTCACCGCCATCGTCCTGATTTGATTGATTATAACAAACTATCCAAAGCTAATCCACTGCAGAATCTGAATCTGGCCTTTGATATCGCCGAGAAATATCTGGATATACCGCGCATGTTGGATGCTGAAGGTACGCGTTTTACGGTTTTTATGAATTCTAATGCTGTATTGTACTTACTACTTACTGGTGATGGGCTTTCCTTTCTTATCTGTTCTTCACATTTGTTGAGTGTGTTTTTTAAAGCTCGTCATGTTTCGTGTGCGGCTTTTGCGATATTTACGCTGTCTTTCACAACGACTGGATTTTTTTATCACAGACTTTTTTTGAAACGCACTGGATTTCGTTAAATTGATACTTTTTGCAGTGATAGCGGTGTTTTATTGACACGTGTATCTGTCAGTGAACAAGAGCGCGGTAGCGTCATATCATGCAGTGCGGTTTTAATTGACAGAAAGTTTGAATTATTGATTCGCAGTGATTACGTATTCTTTTGTCTTCCTATCGTCGAGATTGAAAAAGCCATATTTTATCAGATATGGTTGACATGCCGAAGCCGGACGAGCGAGCAGTCATGACATATGTGTCCTGCTTTTATCATGCGTTCGCCAACCAAAATCAGGTACTTTGTCGACATGGTACAAAGAATTACCGCTCCTGATTTCCGTGATATGTTGAACGCACGACGCAAAATTAACGCGTTGGTTTAGTTTTTTGTGTTCTGCGTTTGTGAGTGCATGTTTTCCTTTCGGGTTCTCCTTTTCTTCCCTGTGAATTTCGTATAACTGGTTGTAATCCCCATAACAAATGCACGTGTGTGTAAATGCATTGCAGAAATCGTAGCCAATGAACGGCCTGATGAACGTTCCATAATAACCTACGTGTCCAGTTATTATCACCATTTTACACATGCGCAAGAGGTAAAATTTGTTTGTTTTACCGATACATTGCTAGTTGATGATGAATAAGGGGTGCAGTATGTGTTCGGCTTCCGATATTAATTTTGTTGGATAATTAACGCGTAATGTGTAATCATGTGTTTAATATGCTCTTTGTATACTTGTGTCATTTGACAGTGAAATAATAATAATTACTAACAGAAATTTTGGAACGGAAGTTTGTGTTTTACGATTTAGCTGCCAGACTAATAATTTTATCCTGCTCTGAATATATTGTTAACACTTTTTGATAAACTGTTTTCTCAGTGATATAAACTGTACATATTGTTGTTTTTAACTGTGCCAGGCTGAATCCGCAGCTCAACGTATTGGACGGGCTCTGAAAGGCCGCCAAGGCAATGAAGATTTGGAAAATGAATACGACCGCCTGGCTAGTGATGTGAGTGAACTATGTTCAAGCGGAAATATACCCGGAGGAGTAGTTGTATAATACAACAGTTTTTATGAAATCATAAGATATATGCTTGTTGATTTTTGAAGAGATAGGCATTTTTCCAGGCATGTATGTATTTAAGTTCCAACTTAATTTTAGCAAAAAGTGGTGTGAGATTAGATTATTGCGTTTGTATATTAACGAACGATGTTTTTATAAATAGCTCTTAGGATGGATTCAACGGACAACACCGTGGTTGGAAAACCGCACCACGGACAACACACTGCCCGGTGTCCGCAAGAAGCTGGATGAATTTCGCACCTATCGCACACAGCACAAGCCACCGCGTGTTTCGCAGAAGGGCGAACTGGAGACGGCATTTAACACACTGCAGACCAAACTGCGCCTCCAGAACCGTCCACCATACATGCCCAAAGAAGGCCGCATGGTGTCGGACATCGCCAACGCCTGGAAGAATCTGGAGAATGCCGAACGGGGATTTGAAGACTGGCTGCTGTCGGAAATGATGCGGTACACACGAAATGGTTTATATGTGTAAATCTGAAATGGAAATAAATCACCGGTGTGTTTTTATTATAGTTTGGAACGATTGGATCGCTTAGCGCAGAAGTTCAAACGCAAGGCCGATATTCATGAAGAGTGGTCGAAAGGCAAAGAGGAACTGCTTTCACGCAATGATTATCGCAATGCAACTCTTTCCGAAGTTCGGGTACGAATTTTTCATTGAAAATCTTTCAAACCTGCTTTTTGGTCTGTCTCCCATAAACTTCCGGCTGATTCGGTTGGCATTCGTCATGGAGTGCTGCTGATAGGCGTTTTACGGTGTGCGTATTTTTGGCATAAATATTATTGTGATTGCCTAATTTAGGCCTTGAAACGGAAACATGAAGCGTTCGAAAGCGATCTGGCTGTGCATCAGGAGCGTGTTGAGCAGATTGCGGCCATTGCGGAGGAATTAAAGTGAGTGGTGTTTTGTTTGCGTCAGTGCTTTCTTAACCGTTGTTATGTTACAGTAAACTCGGCTATCATGATTCGCCGGCCATCAACCAACGCTGCCAACGCATTTGCAGTCATTGGGATCGTATTGGATCCCTCACTGTACAACGACGCCAGGGCATTGACGTAAGTATAAAACTACTTCTGTCGTCGTTATTCACCGGTAATTTGCCGTATTTTCGGCTGAAAAGCAAAGCAGATTATTATAATTACTGTTTATGTTTATGTGTTACGGACCGTAATAAAACAGGCTCCGTAATTTTCAAAGCAAAATCTGACTCTGAACTGAAACGAATGGTTGTGCTTCCAAGATTTTGAAACTCCCTGTACCTAATTTTTACTATTTTTTTGCGGTAGGAAGTGGAGAAGGTTCTGGAACGTGTTGACACCTTGCATTTGGATTTTGCCAAACGAGTGTCGGTAAGTTTAGAGAGCTCCTGTCACTTATATCGCAGCTTCACATTTCCGCCTTGCAGCCTTTCAACAATTGGTTGGACGGTGCGCGAGAAGACTTGGTTGATATGTTTATCGTCCACACGATCGAAGCAACTCAGGGACTGATCAATGACCATGAAACGTTCAAAACCACCCTGGTGGAAGCCGACAAAGAGTTCCGTACGCTGCTTGGTTTGTTTCAAGAAGTGCAGCGCTTCGCTCAACAGCACAACATCCCCGGCGCCATGGAGAATCCCTATACGAACATGACAGCACAGGAAGTGACCAACAAATGGAATGAGGTCCGACAGTTGGTGCCGCGTCGCGATCAGGCCTTACAACAGGAGATGATGAAGCAGCAGCGTAAGAATGCCGTTTTTCTCATAAGGCTTTAATTTTTTTACCTTTAATAAATTTTTTAATTACGTTCCAGAACATAGGAGAGGACTTTTTATGTATAAATAATCGCGTCCGAAGCATTTATTGCATTGTAAATTTAACATAAAATGATTTTTGATGGCGTACTTTGTAATGACGTGGAAGTTTTACAACGGGATGTTATTTTGACAGAGAATGAACGCATCCGTCGGCAGTTTGCGGAGAAAGCCAATGTGGTTGGTCCGTGGATTGAAAAGCAGCTGGATATCGTCGCGTCCATCGGCATGGGTGTGCACAAGTCGTTGGAGGATGCCCTTGGTAAACTGCGAGCCTGCCGAACTGCGGTGGAAGCGTTCCGGCCACATATCGATGAACTGGAACAGTACCATCAGGCCGAGCAGGAAGCGATCATCTTGGAGAACAAATACACCAAATATACCATGGAAACGTTGCGAGTAGGATGGGAACAGCTGCTGACGTCCATTAATCGCAATATTAACGAAGTGGAAAATCAGGTACAGTGAATAATTTTGTTTGCTATTACTGAATTTGTAATATTTATGATTGATATGCTTTGCAGATTCTTACGCGAGACTCGAAGGGTATTACGAGTGAACAGTTGAATGAATATCGACTGTCCTTCAATCATTTTGATAAGAACCGTACCGGACGCTTAACGCCGGAGGAATTCAAGGCGTGCTTGCTCAGTCTGGGACATAATGTCAGGAACGATAAACAGGTATATATTAGCATTATTTAGCACATAGTATTTCCACTGAGCAGTGTTCTCTATATCTTTTTGCCTTTTATCATAACTGTTGTTTTATTCAAGTTACGTCACTGTTTAGGGAGAAACCCTTTTCCGTAAAATCATGTCCCAAGTGGATCCAAACATGACCGGCTACGTGAAATTTGAATCTTTCCTGGACTATTTCACGCGTCAAGCAACGGAGACCGATTCAGCTGATCAGCTTATTGAATCCTTCAGAGTTTTGGCTCAAGATAGGGTAATCAGTTAAATAAATTAGATTCCTTATGTGCTTTATTCAAAACCGTAGAAAATCCACGTTCAGCGTACGTTCGCCGTTTCTTGCATGTGTGCATTCGTAGTGTAATGTATTTTAAATCCATACAGCCGAATCCATGCCTCCATAAACTATATAATATCATTCGGCATTCGAAAATAAAATTTCGAAATAAATCAATTTTTTGTAGCTAAACTGTTCTAATTTTTAGAAAATGCTAAAAGCTTGTTGTCTAAGGCAGGTAATATAACATTGATTTTTTCTGTTTGTAGCCTTATATAATGCCAGATGATCTGCGGAGAGAACTCCCGCCCGATCAGGCCGAATACTGCATTCGTAAAATGCAGCCCTTCCACGGTCCTGGAGCACCACCGCAGGCCCTTGATTACGGCTCCTTTGCCAGGACATTATACCAGTTTTAACTGCCCCCACTTTTATCCCCCCTTGTATTGTATCCATTTTTTGGCTGAGCATGCTGATTGTGATTGCCTGGTTGGAGTTGGTGTGCTGGACATTATCCTGTTTTATCGGTTATTTTTCTTCGTTATCATGCGGGCTGGATGGACGTTACACTGTGCGGTATTAATCAGATTATCACCAGTTTGACATGGCAATGCTCATCCTGCGCGCGCCGGATATATATATTTTATTCAGATGCCAGATCAAGTGCCATTAAATTCTGCTTTAGATGTTTTTTTTTTCATTTTGATCCAGCATGTGTTATTCATTTAACTACGGAATATTGAGTTTTTAAACTGTTTAGGTTTTTTGATGTTTTCCTCTTGGTGTTTGTGGTTTGCTTTCTCTGCCTGCCGGTTAGTTCCCAGGCAGTTGTGTTTTTGTTTATTATTTGGTTTTATTGATGCTTTTCATCTGCCATTTTGATTAGTGAGTTGGCTTGCTAAAGCGGTATTTGGGTTCCTGCAGCAATTTCAGAGCGCTTTCCGGTTACTTGTTTCGCTGGTTTCTTTTACTTGGCCTGTTATATACTTGTGCTGGGGAACCTACGTCAGCATGATATTGGTTGACAAAAATAATAATTCTATTACAACATCCATTTCTCCAGCTCTTATTTATAATAACCAGCGCGATTATACGCGTTCATGAACAAAAGAGTTTGCTTGCTCGTCCTTAACTTCTGCAGTCGTCATTTTTCTGCTTGTTCTTGCTTGCTCCACGGAGTCCACGCGCGTTTTTGTTAATAAATAAGAAAATATTTAAAACGAAACGATAGAGTTAGAAGTGGATATGGATTATGGATGCCGTCGGATGGGAGCATTCGCTCACACACGTATACCCTAATTGAATTTTAATAAAAATGAAGTACGCAGTAAACTCAAGGCAATACAGCACCATGTGCTTGTAAATACTGTACTTACAGATACACTAAGCGAAATTTCGTTTAAATCGCATTAATAACATGTAAAACCTGTAAAAGAACTGCAAAGAATTTAAAAGCGTTTTAGAAACATGTTAAGTAATCCTGTACTGCCAAAAGTCGTTAAAAGAATAAGAAAACGCCAGATTTGCCAATCAAATAATCGGATTTAAAAACATATTCATGTCCGCCAGATCGTTCGCATCGGACGCGTTTTCGTTAACCTGGAATCCAGCTATTCCTTTGTCCGCCTCCTCCTCCAACCAGCGATCAACCGGTATACAACTGCCCTTCAATGCCGTGATCAGCGGTCCAATCAGATACTGGTCAGCGCGGCGCAGCGGATCGTAGAAGCTGATGGCTCGGCCAGGGTGACCTTTGCGACCACTTCGGCCAATCCGGTGGATGTAGTCTTCCACGGTACTCGGCAGACTGAAGTTGATCACCACATCCACACCGGCAATGTCCAGGCCTGTTTATTCATCAAAAGTTACAATCAGAGTACATATCATATAAAATTACCACCGTAACAACGGCCCCACTACTGCTTTAAATATAAAGCCGATTAGGGTTTTATGTATTTGAACGTTGCGTTAAAGTGTCCGTTAAATTTCGTTAACAGAAAAAATACTTAATTAAATACACATAAAAATTTAAATTTGGGATAAGCTGTGCAAGATGCACTTACCTCGTGAAGCTAAATCCGTAGTGACAAGAACGTTGTTATCCCCGTTGCGAAATTTTTCCATCTCCTCCACGCGGTCTTTCTGAGTGAAACCACTGTGCAAAACAGTCGTTCAGACTTCGAGTGGGTGTCAACATGGAGTTAGACTAGGACAAAATCTGTAAAACAATGCTTACGCGTGGATAGTTGCAGCGCGCCGTCCGCTCAAAGATGCGGCTAGCATGTTCGCGTTGTCTTTGGTCCGCACGAACACGATGACTTTAGCAGTCTCTGTAAAAACGACGAAATTATGTATGTTAATCAACACTCGCAATGATTTTGATCAATTAATTCGAGCAAGCAATTAAACACTTGAAACAAAACTACTTCATCGCCAGTCTCAAGTGCTTTTTAAAAATCGATAATCATACTGTCAAACACTGCACCTTTGAAAAAGATCATTATAGAATCCAGCATTACAGTCATCACAGATGTATTTTTCTATTTTCAATTTTCATCACTCCCAGTTATCAAATCAGATAAAACCATACCTCCAACTTCATCCAGAATTCGGTGCAGATTATTTTCCTTCTCATTGAATCCTTTCAATCGTTCAAAGCTTTGTGCGATAGTGCCCAGAGGACCCGGCTCCCCGATGCGGACGGAAAATGGATTAGCCTGATGGTGTCGCAGAATGTTCACTTTGTGCTCGGCCAGAGTGGCCGAAAAAAACATGGTCTGGCGACGATTCGGCGGGACAAATGCCGGGCTTTCCAATATGGCCACCACCTCGGGAAAAGCACGATTTAATAGCATCCGGTCCACTTCATCCACCACGACGTAACGGACTTGGGCAAAGCTAATCTGTAAAAGGAGTGCACCAAAATCCCTAAAGAGCTCATTACAATTCGTTGAAATAAAAATCAAACGTAAACAATAACCCAAGCGAAAATGAAGGCTTTGGTTGTTTTTTTAGTGTTTAAATTCTAACTGTCAAATAGTGTACCACTGCTTGTATTTTTTGTTAACTGTGTGGTTATTGCCCATAACGTGAAATCTGTAAAAGCAGGTGCAACGGTCCAGTTGCAGGCCGGCCAACAACAGGTCCGTTTTCTATCTTCTGAATACTTCTGACGGTTAGAAGAACTGCAAACTGGCATTTATTATTACATCCAAACAAGTTTAATGAGAAAAAAATAATGAGAAGGAAAATAATCCTGGATCACAGTGCTTAACGAATTTACAGTATGGATGCTCATTCACATTTCAATAAAGACGAAAATTATGCCATTTCTAACGTCGAGCCCATCCACTACGACACCGCTACAAGTGCTGTAATACTGCTAAATCATACCAAATAGTTTGTCAGATAAAACTAGCCAGCTGCTGTTCCACAGTCAATGTTCCCAATCTTCCCATGCAGTACAAATTCAGCGTAATACCTTTTTGTTATTTATCGCTTCCAAAAGCCGGCCCGGAGTGCCAACAATGATATCGAAGCCTTCGGAGAGCTTTCGTCCCAGATACTCGGTATCTATTGCTCCATAGATGACCATCGAGGATATCTTTGTTCCGTAACACAGCTGCACGGCCATCTTGCAAATCTGATCCGCCAACTCACGTGTAGGACACATGATAAGGGCGCGCGGCTTCAGAACGACGGCACTTGGACCAGACCGGTATTCCATAAGGATTCTCCAGATAATTGGTATCAAGAAGCTGGCCTATAGGACAAAGGGTTATTATTTAATTATTCATTTTGCGTACCAAATATCGCTACAAATATCAAAAATCCAAAGTTAGGATGGCTATAATAACAAAACAACACACGCATATCAATGTTGCATTCAAATGAAACACAATAAAAATACAACTACCAATAAGAAAATATTTTTCAACCCGAAGCTTTCTTCAAACTGCACCGACCGTTTTCCCGGTTCCGGTGGGCGACACGCCAATAACATCATAGCCCTCATGAATGATGGGAATAACCGCTCGCTGAATGGGAAGAAGTTCGCTGATTCCGATCCTGGCCGCATTGCGCGGGAGAGGATCCGGCAAACCAGCCAGTGTCGTTTGGATCGGATGGATCTGTGGAGTATTATCCTGATTGCCCAGATAATTCGTTAAAACGGGTTGCTCCAGATAATCGTCAATGTATTCGCCGGTCGTCGGGCCGCCAATGTCAGCAAACACTTCCTCTTCCGCGGAGAAATTCTGTTTGGGGATAAAATGCTCTGGTTCACCTACGACACCATTTAAACCGCGGTCAGCAATCCAAAGCTTTATATTGTTAAATCAATGTAAACCGAATGTACGTCAACATCAGTCCAAGTAAAACGGTAAAACGACCACTATACAGTACACACACGCTGAAAAACAAACGAAAGGACAACCAGTCACAACCTAACGAAAGGACTAAATTAAATATGTGTAGCAATGAAATAAACGATAAAAGTTGTGCAAAACGAAATTAAAAACGTAGTCAAACAAATTTAACGGCAATACTATGGGCAACACCGACAGCAATTCATACAATTACAGTTCAACCATCCACGGTTGACTGTTACGTGTGTACAATGGCTCGATTTTTGTCGAGAAATCAATGGGCTGCTGGTTTCTTCGCACAGCGAAATGCCACCGAAGTCATCAAACAATCTCAAAATTTCTCAACGCGAACATCGACGGCGGTTAACTTACGCTTGTTTTCAGCGGAGAACATGGACGGTGCCAGCCCCATTCTCTTCCTCCGCGCATTGGCCCGCCGATCCAGATCGCGTGCTTTGACCAGCCACGCTTGACGCATCCGCAACAAATCCTTATCGGCCGGCAGCGGTTTTTCCACCGTGCCCAGATGAAAATACTCCCCCTTCAACGTCACCATCGCCCCGCGGACGGGCAGGGCAGCATGCCCGAAAAACTGCCCCGGCTGCCGTGGAAGGGCCTCGGGTTTCGGCAGACTTTCCAGTTCGGCATAGTTGATCGACAGATCGTCCAGACGCGAACTGAGCGATTTCGATGTCGTGCTAAGATCGGCAGAATCGGGTTCCTTGAAGCCGGAAGAGGAGAAGCTGTCCGAGGGGTGGATGGTGGTAGGAGGAAAGTTGGTTGCGGAGACGGGAGACAGCGGGGTGCAGGGAGGGGAAATGGGGGGTTCGGTGCGTTCGACCACGGGCGGTGCACTGGGCTGATTCAGCTGGATGCGCAGACGACGGTGCGTGGCCATTGTTTCGCGGTCTGCAGCGGTTAGCTCGCTAGTCAACGGGTCGTAGTACAATCGCAGTTATCAGCGCAAAAAAATGCACATTACTGATCTGGGAATAATCGTACAAATCGAACACAGAACTCTTGACTCTTGCGGAATTCGTAATCGATTAACGACGTCAAACGTGAAAAGCCAAGCTGCTTGCTCGGCCCAAGCAGAAAGTTAAGTACTTACTACACTAGTTTTTTGCGTGTAGAAAATGGCAGGGAGTAAACTTCGTAACCGAACGCCAGGGAGGGCCCTAATACGACAGTAACCACTCAAGTAGAATTAGTAGCAACTAACCAAGTAAAATTAACGATAAGTTTTTTTATTTGATAAGTATTCGTATTTTAACCAATTTCTTGTTTCAGTATAGGAATATGTACTTCAATTAAAGGATGGGTTCACTAGGTCCCCATTGCCTCAACCGCCTAAATGAAAATTTCAAAAACTTACTAAACTACGTTCATCAAATATTAATTTCAATCATTCGAAAATTTGATTTCTGTAAACTCACTAAACTGGCCGATTGCTTATTATTCAGATGTTTATGTGCTATTGAAAGAAACCGTAGAACTTCAAAACGTTTTTGCTTGTGGGGGATTATTGCAAAATCTCCAGCTCGTATTACCGTAGATTTTGGCGAAAAGACAAATTTGGATCTAATTCGAAAGTTTTTTAACGAAGTTTTGGTAAAATTTGTGCGATAGAACGAAGTGGAATACGTGGCTGAAAATAATTCAAAGAAGGAATTCTCTTAAAACGTGACCTTTATATACTCGTTTCTATGGGCTGCTGTTGTGTTCATGGGTAGCGGAAGCACCCCGATGGTGGCCATAGGTGGCACCAGGTTTCTTTTGATTGCGATCGCGTGTGTGTGCTTGAATTTATGGGATGCTGGTCAAGATGTGACAGTTCATGGTTCAACATACTACGTGAAATGTAAAATCCAAAAACTTTGCCAAGGTCCTCATCGGACCAATCATTAAAAAAAGAAAGCATAGAGTACTCAATAACGCTGTGCAACGACTGCACTGCTATAATTATTACAAGTATGTACGGCTGTATTTCGTTTTGTAAGTACTGCTGGCGCATTTAACATTAAGTAATTAAAGTAATTACATACTTACTTGCATTAGTACTCGTATCATTATGCAATTTACGTTTTACAATTTTATTATGTGTGTGCTATGTGCATGCAAACAAAAAGCACAGTTACTATACGATTTACCTTATGAGCAGCAAAAAATGTGTAAAAGTAAATTGTTTACAATGCAGATACAGAGATACTTATGGTTAATTCAAACGCATAATTATACAACGGGTATTGATGTATTTATGTTTCGCATTGCATATACGTATTGTACTCGTACTACAAACGCTAGCTGGTATCTCTCGTTTACTTCCTCTTAATTGCTACCTCGAAGACACATTTGCTTCGCATACGTAGAAAAATATTTTGCTGCTTATTTATCAATGCAGCAATATAGTTTGGTTTCATCGTTGCTTTCAAAGTGAGTACTTACTTGCACTGGACGATGACAATGATAATGTCAAAATTGTTTGCGACTATTAAAGAAATGTTCAAGGCACGAGATGAACATTGTCGAGCTTGTACAAAACACTATCGATTCGCCAAGGCTTTATTACTGGCGTCCGTGAAAAGTTTCGAAGCTGTCCACAAATTCCGTAACCCGACAAAAAAGACCATAATATAAGACAACGAGCACCGCGACATTGAGATTTTCGTCGGTTACATATAAGTAAATTGTACATTTGACAAAAATCGCATGCATAGAAAAAAAATCAAACATGTATAAGTATTAGTCGTAGTAATCTGCCGGATCGAGAGGGACCTTAATATTGCCGTATATGGGCGAATCGTCGGATATCCGCGTGTGGTGGTTGGCATGGCGTTTGCCCGACTGCTTGACGCGGTCCATACGAGTAATGGTGAAGCCCACCGTCTGATCGCCCACTTCCGTTTCGCCCCTTGTTGTGCGTGTTAGTGTTGTGGCGCGGCGGGCATGTGAGCGGCGTAAGCAGAAACACAATTTGAACTTGGAACGCAGTTCACTGCGAAATTTCTCCTGTAGAAATACGATAGCAAAATTGTGAAAATTAAGTTTACCGGTTTATAAACATGGTTGAACTGTAAAATGTGAATTTATGGCGGCATGCAATGACCTTTCGGTTTACCGCTTCATTTTTAAGAGATTAAAAATTCAAGCATGTTAGTAAAATAGTTAGTCACAATTCTTAAATGATCTACAGCAAAAGTATTGTCCGTTTGTAGTTTTTACGCACATTATAAAATCCTAGAATGAAAGGATTTTGGCAGGAATTGGACATGGCAAGGAAATTGCAGCAGAACCAGATAATATTGATGTACCTGAAACTGCAACATCAAGATAAGCGGAAGTCAACACACGTCTCCTTTATGTGTAAATGAATCGAAGTGAAAAATCTGTAATTAATATAGTACATTTTCTTGTATATTTTATCGATATTTGCATTCAAAATTTTGACGTACGTGCATACAAGCTACCATACAAATGTACTGATTTTACTATTTTATTATTTGGATATCTGAATCAAATTTCGGCATGTACAACAATTTTAATTTCTGCGGCATTAGCAACAAGAATTTAAAGTTAAACTTCGTTCACAACAAAATGTTTTTGTAGAATTGTTTATTTGTACTGACTAAACCATCATAGTAAGTGCCAGGGAGTCGGTGACCTTTCTCAATATTTTTGCAACCAAGAGGAACAGATTACATAATACTATAATCAGCTTTATGAACACTATTAGATCATGTTTTCTAAAATTATAGTTACCAAATGCAAAGAATAACCGGACATTGATCACGTTGCATTTCCCCATAAGACTATTCCGTAGCTAAAAAGACCTTCTGCGTACTACCCTATCGGCGGCATGCGCATCGACCCGGTGTGTCTGAATATACACTGTATGAATTTCCATTCTTATACCCACTAACACAAACATCGTTTATCATGGTCAAATCATTTTTCCCTCCTCAACATTGTCCTGTCAAAAAACAACATGCATGCCACCAAGGGAACCCGGCACACGGTGGTAGTTAAAAATTGCTGAACATCCTCTCTCTGTGTATGTGTAATGTGTATTCTCTGATTAGGATTCGGCATGTTCCCCACTCGGCGATGGTCCTGCCTGTATTTGGCTCCCAATCAATATTATGTACAATGCCACGTTTTCGTGATCACTTAACGGCCTTCATTATATAACTCCCTCCCGACCCGGCCCAACTCGGCCCCGGCGCCTGCTGCTTGACACGATATTTCGTATATACATATAAACTCGTGGATCTGTGTATTTGAGTCTTGACCACGTTCAAAACGTTGTCGTCCCTGTCAATTTTCCTCGTTGTGCCCATCAGCATACATTGATTCCAAGGTCACGGGATGAAGATTAATTGCCAGCAGTTTCCGTATATTAACCCAGCACTTGTGTAACTAACATCACACACCCACTATCCCGGGCATTTTAATTTTGTGCTGCCAGAGATTGACATTTCTAAATACATAGAAACATGTCAATCTAAGCAGAAGTGCTCCGGAAAATCTAACTAAAAAGAGGCGAATTAAATTTAATTTTTTCATCGTTTTGCACAATAAATTTTTTGAGAGCTGTATTACTTTAAACAAAAACAATTTCTGAATTATTTCTGCATAGGGATTTATTGTCAACATAAGTGCAAAACATTTTGTTTAAATTTCTTAAATATTATACAAAAGCGCGAAAATGATTTGTTATGCGCAACGGTAAACATTTATGCAGTACTTAATTTTATTGCGCACTCCAAGAAGAGTTTCCCTAACGATGTCGACGTACAAATCTGAAGTTACGCATGACCGGCACTGATCATTGATTTTACATTAAACCTTGATCACTACATAAAATTACTTCCGGTTCATAGGGTTTTCATTCCCGTATGTTTCTCACCCCCGTGATCCAGCTGGAAACCCCCATTTATCTAAGCGAACAACAGGCCATCTTGTCCAAACAGTTATTGTTTGATCTTGAAATTTCCGCTGTTAACTCACAGTAAAAAAAATGGGGTGGTAATGTGCATGCTATACGTCCCTATTACAAATCGCCTGGAACAACGATAGCGGAAGCAACCATAACATTTAGCCCAAATTTTTATTGTGTTTCCCTTTGCACGAACATCTGATCGTAAAAATTGTTCCGAACACAGCGCAAGTGAAGTTAACTACGAGCATTTGACCTTACCGTAAATCGACTGCTAAGTGCCCATATACCACTCGGTGCACGTAATATTCATGTACAGTAGTAAAGACATTTGAATTTGAAGCTAAAATTCTTCTAATTAGCAAATTATTGACTGATACTTTGCATGGTACAATTATTACTTAAATTAGCCAAATATGCAGCTACGCATATATTTTTAAACCGATGAACCGGCATAAGAATTTACAATTTGCATAGTTTATGTTTTGTTTTTTGAAGTTTCTATAGCGCGCAAATCCATGACAATACCATGCAGAGTGGCTTTTTTAACTGGAAACCTTTCCGGTTAATGTAAATCGGAAACCGGTAAATACAATGCCGGATTCGACTTACTCGTTGATGGCCGGAAGTGCCACGGTGAGGAGGTTGTAGGTCTGCAACGGGAGCCAGCAAATGGCAAAAAGGGCAACCACGAGGATCAGCATTTTAATCACCTGCACAAAAACAACAACATACAGTATTGTATACTGCCAAACGTTTGTGTTCACTTAAACTACGTATTTTTGTTATACTGTATATTTGCAAAACAATTAATCCGGTTTAATTGCGCTAGTACTCGCTCTTTTTCAAGTTTACTGTTGATGTAATACTAAACGTGAGTGGGATACTGTTACACATGAAATTTCATACATCGAATGTCAACTGCAAAAGCTTATAAATAAGCCGCCGTCGTTTGACAATGTCAGTGCCGGCACAGATAAAGAATTGCCGCTAAGCCATGTGGAGATTAACAGCATTATCTTTCCCATTACACAGCAGCCTGACTTTTTACCACTGCGATTTACGCATCGCGCCATTGCATAATCGACGGTGGCGTGTGTGCTGCCACCCGCGCACGGACTGCCATCAAATATGGTTTTTTCCCTGCGTAATCTCTTAATTGATGGCCGGACTGGTCGTTTAACGATAAACAGTCAATACTATATACCCATCCGGGCGGGGATTATTTTTTCAAGGCTATTTTTCTCTTGCCGGTAGTGTATGTTATTCTCGATTATAAGAAGAAGAAATCCTTCGGGACACTGGCCATATACTGGGGCGTGTACATGTGGGAATAGGCCCAGATCGACGGGTTGTGCTGGGCGCGTTTTACGCGCTTGACATCTGTGCGGAGAGTTTTTTTCCTCTGCTGCTTTTCCTCCTGATTTATACGCACAGGCCGGGAGACGTCCAAAATTAAATGCCCAGAAATTACTAAGTGCATGCCATTCCGCGGTATTGATCGCGGGGCGGGCGTCAGGAGTGACCGTGAAATTTTTTTCTGACGAAAGTCGGATCAGAAAACGGCCACCGGCATTGTACAATAAATTAGCGTCATTCCCATACTAATGTATCTAGTCATTTGTATTCAAATGCCAATGAGGATTTTTTTGTGGTACGAGTATCGCGTGTCAGTGGAATGTGCAAAATCATGGTGGCTGCCACAACAAATCTTTTAAATTTCTAACGAAAATTTTTGTAAATTTTCCAGTATTTTTTCTTAAAAGATATTAGCATATTTTTTTGTTAAAATATTACTTTCAAAATGGCTTTTTATAATGCGCTTTGCGCAGATTTTTTAAGGTCACTTGTATATATACATATGCAGGAATTCTTCCTGCGTTACTGTGACAAATTAAAGCACTCTGTATTCCTGTGTATAGCTTTTCGTCAATCCTGAGTATTTTGCAGTGTATACGCTCTCGAGCGTGTGGCTTGACAGTTTTGTACACTTGAAAAATAAACGAAACGGCAAAGCATTTTTTTCGCTCCTTCACAGTTGTAATGTAGCAGCACTTATTCCTCTACTTTGACCTACTATCACTTTCTGGAGGATCTGGTCGAACGTCGTTAAACGCTAATGTTTCCTTGCACTTTCTGCCGCTAAGTGCGAATACCCGGCATTTTCCACCATACACCGTAATTATACAAATTACACTGTATTCTATTACGCCGCGCATTCGAAGCGGTTTATGACACAGTATTTTATAAAAAACTTGTTCCTACTTGTAAGTAATGACAGGTAATGGCAGTTAATGCAACATTCCTTGGTTTTTACACCAAAATTTTAAACGGCACGTTGTACGTTTCTTACTGTACGTTCGTTATAATTAAATTTATAATAAACACATACGAATTTTTTTGAAATTTAATTGTGGAATCAAATATTTTGCATTAATCATAATGTCTGTAAAAAAGACGATATTTTTTTAAAACTATAAACACGTCTCATATGCACTAATTGCATGTAACACTGCTGTTCTACTATCCAGCGACTTGTTCAACTACATAAATCGCTTTTTTTACTAGTATTTTTGGTGTATTATATAGACTGCAGTTTGTATAATATAAGAGCACTTCTGTAAGCGCAAAACAAATGTTTTCGTATTGCGTAATTTTCCATGTATATATCGTGTAATTCGTTTGATTTACAAAAATCATTGCAGTCAATGAATTTTTGCCGGCAATTCATTGCGTCATGATTTTTTTCTCACTGCGTCAAGCAATCTGATATATACAGCATCAGCGTTCCAACAATGCCGCTGTGAATAAATTGTAGTGATTGATCTCGTTAAAAATTAGCCAAATCAGCAGCACAACACTAGTCATCCCTACAACTACGGCTCATTTCTGGTGTGGGATCGATTTTCGCCGGCAGTATATAGTCATCGCCAGGCGCGCGCACTGCATCCACAATGCGATTATTTTGGAAAACACGGAGAAAAATTCGGGAAATGTGCTGCAACGTGTGTGTTTACTCGGCATCCTTATCAGACAGAGTGAGCGTCTTCTGACACACGGAGTAGTCATGAATATTTACTGTGCTGGCATTAATCACGTCGGACACCACGGTCAACAAGGATATGTTGTCGGGAGAAAATTCGTGAAAAGAATGAAAAGAATTACTTGACGGTTGCCTCCCGGTTTAACCGGCACGTGCGTTGGACGCTCGATCAACTAACAATGCAGGGTGAACCAATTTACAAAAACTTCATCTACAGCCTTAATGTCGCTTTAATTACTAACTGCAGACTTAATGAATAAATGCACATGACTTATAGTACATACTGGTACTTTCATGCACATGCACATGACTTATCGCTATTTTGACAGATTATACTAAAAATACCACAAAACGTTAGAAAATACATATAACTAAAAAATAACGGTACTTTGTACAAAATTTTATATTTCATTTTAATAATGCAGTAATGTTATGTTGTTGTTTTTATTGCGTATATACATAAATTACTAGTATTACATTAATTATTTCTACTGCAAAGAATTATTGTATAAAATATTGTATGACAGGTTACATACTATATGTACATTAACAGATTGCAGGTGATGATGATATTGATGTTATGTATCACTTATTTACATGGATCATTTATATGTTATGTACTCGTATCGTACATTACTGTGTTCACGAGTTTGAAAAAGCAGAATATTGGCAAATTTGGACTGCACTGAATTTGGAATTTATTTTTCTTTTTGAGAATGCGTGTACTAATTTACCTTTTTTCGCAGTTTGATCCGATAGAGATGCTGCTGATTCTGCTCACCCGGCCCGGCACTGGAGCCCCATAAATGCATGGCAATGGTGATATAGGCGAACCCGATAATCGTCAGCGGTATAATAAACTGCAAGGCCACCAGGAACGCCACGTAGCCGTTGAAGCGGTTCTGTGAGCGCATCCAGGCATCCTCCTGAGCGGCCAGTGAGTCGTTGAAGGGGATGGCCAGACCGGATGGAAAACAGAAGGGCCGCGGTCCATTAACCACATCCCCGAGGTCAACCACCCGCAGGGTGACGGCCATCGGAGCGGCGCAGACAATGGCGATTATCCATATCACAGCAATGGCATAACCGGCAGCGCTCTTCGTAATCCGCGCTTTAAAGGGATACAGGAGGGCGCGGTAGCGCTCAATGGATATTACCGTTAATGTCAGGATGCTGACGTTCACGGACAGGACCTACAATTTTTATAACAGGAAATTGTTAATTCTGTCTTCCGGCTGTTGCTACCCACTCGCTAGTATAATAACAGCGAAGTATAATTTTTTCAAAAGCTAGATTAAACTTTATAGACCATCTATTATGTAGTATTAAGTACATAATTACACTGTATGAGGCGCAAATATTGCCAATCATCTGCACGTTAGCAGCAGACTGTGAGTCGTATAAGGGTATGGAGTTCCGAAAATGCTGAAGAAAAGCGTTGCCGTTCTTTATAAAATTATCCATTAAAACCAGAGTACAGTATGCTTCCGGTTCCGGTGTTTTAGTTTTTCGTATAAGGTATTTTTTCCAACTTAAATTGTGAAAGCAATATTTAAAAAATTAATAATACATAAAAAGTTTTAAAAAGAAAGAGATACTAACTACAATTAAACGGTGTACGTAACATCAAAATTAAGTAAAAGAAAATATTTCAAAAATGACTTTTCAGCTGTGTAAATTTCTGACGGGTTTCCTAAAGCTGCATGTGAGTGCATTGCACGCTTAGGTTATAAAAAGTTTTTGTTTTATACATATTAAGTCAATGCAATAAACACTACCCTACTTAGAAAATATAGTCAAATTTTATGCCGAAAGCTGATAGCGCATTCGACACAAACAACAGCTCAAAAGGGACATGCGGCATGTAATCCGAAGAATCCCGGTAATACGCCAAGCGAGAAATGCGAGAATGTTTTAGTGGTCCCCTGAGTGCACATTTATCTCGGGTATGCAAAGTATGGAAAATATTTGTTCATATGGCCCCGTGATAGCCGTTGCGCCGGATGTGCCGTGGTAAAAGTGGGGCGTGATAGCGGAAATTGTGGCTTAATAAGCAATTAAAGCTGTAAAAGTTTGCCGAACGCGTTCAACGCGCATCATCGTCAGTTCCCCTCTTGATGCCGGCTTGATTGGCCGCCATATATGGACGAATGCATAAATTATGCCACATTATAAAGCATATAAAAAATGTCCCAAAATACATTTGACGGGACAACGCGTATAATTATACGCATGCAGTAGTAAATGTAAACCGGCATTCAACGGTAGCCGGTCGGGCGCAAAAAGGATGATCTTATTAAGTATCGACTGGCTAATCGTAAACAGCTTGAAGGCGCATAGTCAATTAGAGTCATTTCCGCATGTTGCCTTCAAGTGATTTCTTCCCCCGATATCCCTGGCTAATCGCGCTGTCCCAGCAGCGCACCGGACACCGCGCACTGTTAGCCGCGCCCGGTGTTATGCGACCCGAAAGCGGCAATAACCTTTCGCTATATATATGCTGCAGTCCATTTGACTTTTACTTCTTAACCGTGACATTTATGTACGAGATTAGTCATTGTGGACGATTTGGGACGATGAGGACGTACGTAATCCGCTAATAGCTTTCGTCAGAAAATGCATCATTATGAAAATATTTTGAATTACTCCTAAATTTAATGCAAATGTTATGGCATATAATCTAAACGGCGGTGAAACTGTGCTTTTCATAAACAGTGCATTTTATCGGAATATTTGAATAGATAAAAGTATTTCTGCCACGGCTAAAAAATACTTAAGTCGACATATATATAAAAATCTTCGTTACAATATGTTTACTAATTGTTGTTTACAAATTCAAAATAATCTTCTATAAATCCGTAGCGCATAAAAAAATCACGGATTTTTAGAGGAACAAATTCACTTGACATGCACTGCAAATGGACACCCTGGTTTCTTCCATTTCGCTTAAAAAATTTCTGGTCTGGCATTGAAGTGTCATAATGCTCATGTAATTTTTCAACAAGTGCATTAATATACGAGACAGTTGGTAACGTAATCCAAGATAGCAAAGAGAAGCATGGTATGTTTGCAAATCTAAGCTGGCGTTAAAGTGGCTATTCTTGCCGGAAATGGCTTAAAAATTTCCGCGGTATCACGTTTCATGGTTGCCGAAAAAACCTTTCCACCACTCTACACATACACAGCCGGTCTAAATGGCCCATCGAATATTATCATCCAGAATCTTATAAAACCAATGTAAGCAATCAAACACACATATCACACTTCTTACGCAATTCAAGCCAAATTATTTAACGTACCTCGACTTTTCATAGTATTACGCTGTCCATTATATTCATTTGCAAAATGGGTTCTCAGTAATAGTTCTACTAACTTCATGGTAAATTTTACTACTATTAAAATTTACGCACAATCAAAATAATTTTTTTCGATGTAATCGGTATATAAAAAATGTTGTACCGCACTTCTTATTATCAGGAATAATTATTAGTTTGGCAGTTACTGGTTTATTTTCTATGTAAAACATAAGTAAAAAATTAGAATGCCAATAAATGTCACAGGAAAATCAAATTATTTTAATATTTGTATTAGCAGAATTACGATTAGAAACAAATCTGGGAAAGCTGTCAACTGTGCTGGTCGGCAGACTGACTAAGTACTGCCATGGTTGAATATGCTAATGATACCGGAAGTGAGCATTCTCACTGTCAGTGTACAGTGGGCGCCGTTTGACAGAGTGCTGGTGCCACTAAAACGTCTCAAAAACTACTCAAACCGGCTACTTGCTCATTTGGCAGTGCCGGGACGCTGCAGGAATTTAATGGCCAGGAAAGTGATGTCGCTGCATCCCCCGCACACACTTTTCGGTACAGTATACGTGTTGTGTGTGTGTGCAAATTAGTCGCGAACGATACAGTCAGGATGGTTTGGAAAAAGTGCATTGAACGCATTACTGTCTGTCATTTCGATCATTTGGCGTAATTAATGACACTAAATTTTTAAAGGACATAATCAAGTCCATTTGCTGCTAGTTAGTTATAATTACCATCCCGGCAAAGATTGGCTCTGTACGTTCGCCGGTTCGCATATATAGATATAAAATGGTTGACTGTGATTTATCGTTGCGGTTGATATTTATTGCCAAGAACAGAATTTACAATTAAACTGCCAATGAACGTAAATGCTGGGGCGCTGAAAAGAAGCTGAAGAGTCATGTTTGCCGAATGCTAAGCGCATTCGCCGAGTGATGTACATTTTTGGGATTTAACCTTTGCTGACGTGCAATCACAGCTGCTGCGTATAAGGTGTACAGATGATCATCATTAGTGCTAATGGTTGCGAAAAATGCTGATAATGCGTCTACATGTTAATGTCTTCTCTTTTGAAATGCTGCCTGCTGCCCTAAAAATTTATTTCCAAGACCAAAATAAAACTTGCTATATATAAATTTTAAAAATTTATAAAGCGTATTTGCAAAATATTAATGAAATTATATACTGCAAAGGTTTGCACAGAATTTGTCTAATTCCTAATTTAATTTTTAAATGTTGTCAATAACAAAAAAATACAATATCAATGTTTTACTGCTTACTTGCACAAAAGGCGCAACGATACACATAAAATCCGGCAGCACCCATCGCTGCAGTAATGCCGCCTGGAACTGGAACGGCACCGCGGCCACCGCGATGAGAATATCCGCTGAGGCCAGATTGGCCAAGAGGAAATTGGTCACTGATTGCATGCGTTTATTGCTGGCGATAATGAGCACGACCAGTCCGTTGCCGCATAATGCCAGCAGACTGATGGAACCATAGAATACCGCCAATACCGCCACCACCGCCGGTGTGGCAATGTAAATATGCGACACCGCCGGGGCATCGGTGGAATACGGATACTGCGACGCGGCATCGTGGTAGAGCGGCGTAACACGATAATAATCATAATCCAGCGAGGTGTTATCCAGGCGCTGCGGCACTTCCGGTAGCAGTGTAATATGATCGGACGACATGGTATATAAGAAGGGGGAAAAATGTATATCCACAAATCCCTGATTATTGGGGAATTAAATCCGCACGCGGGATCTTATCAGTACAATAGCTTGCTCCATAATTACGCAATATACAGCTGATACCCGCTGAAAAATTGTCATTAAAAAGCGTTTTCAGGGGATATGATCACGGTGACCTCATCGAGAAAAAACATAGCCCAGCAAAAACCGCGGGAAGATTGTTGACAAAATCAGAAATCATATATGTCTCCATGTTGCCGGCATCGGCATATACTAATAGAAAATCGTACATTGAGATTGCACTGGCGGCGACGCTTGAAAAACATTTGGAGAATATTATCTGCTAAGCGATGGGAAAAAGGAATCGCTAACCGATTGCCGGCGCGCGCGCGCCTGCTTTAGCATACGCCTGACCCTGCCCACTGCGGCAACGGCTGCGTGTATGAAGATGCACCGTATTGCGTGATGTAATACTGTACACACGCAAAACGCATACACCAGCATAATCAAATCTACGCGGCAATTCTAGCCGGATTTACGCTCGATTTCCAAGTTATTAACTCTGGAGAAAAAACACCGAGATGCAGTCGGCTATCCAGTAGTGCGCACAGGTGCGACAGTTCAGTTGGAGAAGCAGAAAGCCGCAGGAAAAAACTTGACCTGATCCAGATTTAGTAAGTATTTATGTATGGAAAGAAGAAATCCCGCGCGCGCTGCTCCATGTGGGTGTCGCGCGGCGTATATACCGCGTATATCGAATAGTGGGAACGATCGGGTTTCATCGAAAATAAGAGTTTTTGTACATATGCAGATTCCCGCCAAGCGTGGTCGTATGTTGGGCATCCAGTGCCGGTGTTTTTAATCACGATAATATTGCGTGCGTATGCCTTTTGTGGAATCCTGTTAAGCGGATTAATGTAAAGAAATCCCGATATGTACTCGTATATATGCGATTGTGGTGTTCTGTTCTAATTTCAGGAAACTGAGTCCAGAAATAGGACCCGGTATCCGTGACCTTTATAAAACAATGCCAATTTCAACAACGAAATCGTTTTTTAAAAAATTTATTATCCAAAAAGATTTTCACGTATGTGATGCGAGTATTTTCACGTAGAAAATCTGGTGAACTGCTTTGCTAAAAGCATTTGCGGTTCAGCGCGCACAGATTCACGTGCAATCGCAATTTTCAAGTGCATTTTAGCAGATTTTCAGATGTGTTTTTTCTATGTCACTTAAACCGGAATCAGAGCATCCTCGTGTAAATGTGTTTTAAGTTGTAAAACTTGCATAACCGGCATTTTGCACTGTGTAGTTGACATTTGGGCCGGAGCTTACACTCTATCTCACCGGAAGCCAGCTAGGGTTGAAATGGTTGTGGTGGGTGCCGTGGTTGGCCATAGCCGAAAAAAAATTCGTTGCACGCTGTGCATTAGAATAACTTAAAACATCAACCCCCGATCAGCGCGCCGGCCCGGTACGTCCAACGAGGCAATCAATTTTTTTCTTGTTTGGATGTACACAGAATGGAGTCGCTAAATTATCTCTCTCTTCTTAACTTTAAAAAGCTGCACCATCGCGGCTGGTAGTCCCGGCGTATACACACTGCTCAGCATAATTATAACGCAGCCGGTTTTACTTTTCCCAACATCCGACTGTGATAGTATCGATCCATATATGCGCCGCTATGTAGATAGCTGCGCGGCAGCAGCTGTCCGGTCAATCGGATAAATAACAACAATCGCTGCAGTTTACCAGATCGGATTTTCATTCAGGAAAGATCATAACAGTCGGATTCAGCTACGCACATTACCAATTTCCCGGGCAATAAATTAATTTTATAGCTGAAGTGCTGTTGTTGCGCACACTTCTTGCATAACGCGCACTTAAATTTGCCCTTATAATTTGTACGCGACAGGAGTTCTACTAGTAGAGTACCAAATGCAGACTGTTATTGTAATATTTGTACACCAAAAATTTGATTATAAAATTGCCGGTTCGTGATATTTGGAGACGTGTGGTATGTTAAATTTTGTTGTTTAGTACTTATAATTAATCCGTACAGCCAATGAGATTCAAAAAACACAAAAAAGTGAAATCCATTACTGTACTTTACAGTTAGCGCAATGGAAACACTGGTAATAATTAAAATTCAACATAACACGTAATATGTGATATGCGCATAGTATTCTCCTTTTCGAAGTTCTAAAAGCGATATCAGTAAATGGTCAGGTGCAGATGGCGAGTTATTAATTAACTGCTGCTTTTATTCCAGATAATTTATATCAATGCTAAATATTTTAAGCGAGTATGGCATTTCTTATATGAAGCATCGATTGTTTTTAGAGCTTACGAAACTTACCATTACACTTTTCTTTTTTTTCTTCGTAAAATATTGTATTATACAGAATACAGAAGTTATACATGCTTTTAATTTGTAATGTGCGACGGTAATGCAAATTAAGCCAGTTACACTACCGATCAACGCACTCTCCTGCCGTGGAGAGGCACATATACTATGTGATTTAAGGATGGTGTGGGTGTACCACGGGAAGTGCCGACGTAGATCACGTCAGGTATGGTAAAAATAATCTTCACCCCTTTGTACGCTTAATTATTCCACCAACACTGGCACGCTTAAAGGTGCAGCGTGTTTTGATCTCTTTCTTACAACTCATTAATCTTTATTGGCTGTCGATCGCGAACTGGTCGCATATTGTTCGGTGTTTAAAGTAATTTAAAGTGGTTCCTTGTAAGTCGGTGCAGTGGGGAAATTTCATGGGACGATATATCTAAGGACAGGAAAAATAGCGGCTTTCTCCCAAAAACATCCGCAAACAACGCTCGTTTCTTGGACAAATAGAAAAGCATATCATTTACTCGTAAATCGGGGCGGAGTGTACCGGCAACCGGAGAATAATGATGCGTAATGAAGCGTTTTACAGTCGGTTGATGGTGATACTAGCAATTCCGGCACATTTTGGAAAACTGTTGCCGACCGCGTCTTCTGTGTGCAGTTCCACCGATGAGAGAAATACGGGCTGATAAATTTCTTCATTAAGAAATGTGGATCATTCGTAAGCCGGCAGGCATTTTCCGCTAAGTTGGTAACATGAAACTCTTAACATAATCAAAAACGTTCACGTGTTGGCACTTATCTTGGGAAAATATGTACGCAGTCAGATTGCCAACTTATATCACACAGGTTTTCGTATCGGCATTTTTCATATATGTTATACCTTCTACAATTCTGATTTATTAGTTCCTATTGCTATTTTACAAAATAGTTTATAAGTATACACAATATTACATATTTTGAATTTGCGTTAACAGATACTAGAACATAGTTAACATAAATAAAAATGAAAAATATAACTATTACATTTGCAGGCGCATTAATATTTTATTACGTTTATCTTCAACATAAAAAATTACTCGTACGAAATATTAGGTGAAAATACTGTGCGTAATACGAGTATTTTCATAGTAATTTAATTTACAGTTCATACCGTTTTCTGCTGATACGCCACATGCTGCAAGTTATTACAGTTACGCTTTTGCCGTAAAAATGTGCCGGGGTTTGTAAGCGGAGGGAAGATAAGTGTACTTGAATGATATAACACGGGATGACTGTGGAAATTTGATCCCGTAACTTCCTCCTTACGATTGACTGCTCAGAGTAGATTGTGTCAAATACAGTGGACTAACTTCGATAATGGCTTATGCATGTTGACATTTCGTCGAATACGTGTGCCAGGGATGTTGTCGCACGGGTTTGCGATGCACCATCCACACACTGTACACACCGGGTAATTCCCGGATGAGTGATTTCTTAACTGGTGATTTTGTGCTGCGCCTGGCGTTTTTTTTCTGGAGACTGTTAAGTCTGTGTATGCGTGTACAGAGCGGAAAAAAACTTAGTCGGTGTATAGTACTGCGTCTTATCTTCCTTCCATTGATTTCCATCATAATCGGTCCAACACTTGGATATTATTGTTGCGGCATCTCTCTCTGACGTGTATACTTCTAATACTCTGCAGTATATGTAGAAGTATTCAACAAAGCTGTACTTGAATAATATATGCATTCGCCGACAACAATACATATCCCGCTTTTTTTCTATATAGCCGTTACAGCCAACACAGTGCATATGAACACCACAATGGCCGTTTCTGCGCAGTTTTCCGTATTGTTACGATTATACAATCATCGACCGCTAACTGTGATACCGGGAAAACGTATTCGATGCCGGTCGTTTCAAGGGAAGACGCTTAATTTATCGGCTTTAGGGATAAGAACAGTCAATGGCTTAGAGCGTATCATGTCACAAACAGTTTCTGGATCATTTGCCACCCATTGCACAATTAGAGCATAACCTCCTGAAGTTATATATGCAAAACAGGATAACCAACGTGCTGACTCCCGGAATGTGCTTGCGCATGTGGCAAATCCTGTGCGACGGGTATAAATAGCATACAAATGTGCCTTATAAGCTGCCCATGTATATATACAGATATACAATGACCTTACACGTCGGTTTAGTAAAAAAACCCGGCACAATGCACTATTTCGGGCAGTTCAAGAAACTGCAAGAGAACCATTTTATACTGGTCAGTTCGAGCATTTAAACAAGCTTTAGTTTTAATAAAATACTTATATTATATAGATGAAAGGTACTTAATGTTGTTAATCCGCCACGTATATAAACATACATATTAATTACAGTAACACGAAATTTCTCTCCTAAATTCTGTATGTATATCAGCTGCAGTACTATGCGCCCTTGTTCAAAAATTTGCTTTTAAAGACTTCAGCATGGGAAATGTTAAATAAATTAGCATTGGAGTTCGTTAATTGCAGCACGCATATGCAATCTGTGCAAAAGCAGTTGCAAACAAACCGATAACAGTAAGTTGTTATATACGCCATCGTCGCAGTGAGTACCGCCAACGCTCCAATTTTATCATGTTATGTAATATTATTTAGTCATACTGGCATTGAAATGTTCCATGGATGTCTTATGAACGTCCATAATAATAATTAGGATGCTCAGAAAAAGCGCGCATATCAATACGTAACAAATTGTCAGACAGCAGATCAGACACTTTATTTTTGGTGACTTGTCAAAATGTGTGGTGGATAAACTACACCACTTGGTGTGCATGGGCTAAACGAGCAAGTACGGATAATTTGGACATACAGAGGAAAAGCGTCATGTTGTTGACAACTTTCTTAACGAAAGGATTAAGCTGTTCCCAACTACAGATCACTTTCCTCCCACGCGCAAGAAATTCTCGTTTCGTGCACGCGTTGTTTGTTTGCTGCACATGCTACATGTAATTGTAATGTCTCGCCTACTACGCTACGTCACTCCAGTAATTAAAGTTAATCTTTCAAAAATTAACTGCAGTTAAAATTCATGTTTTTTAAGGACGCTACAAATATTTTGTGATTAAAAACCGGTGCACCCGCGCAAAAAAAAAACAAACTCAATTAGGTCATTTTTTGATTCTTATTCCTTCTAATTAGGTGAAATTAAAATTCCAACCCGGCCCAAACTACAGTGTGATTAGAAAATTCTTAAACTCAACTAAACTGAATGATCAATGCATCCGCGCTTTAAAAAACAATCGAAATGAATAATAATTTTTATAATACAATTTTTTCTGTACAGGATATAGCAACCGGAAATGCATCTTTGCCTTGCAGCCGACTTCTTGTCCCCTGCACCCATAAACCGAGTGACCGAGTTACATTTCCATAATTATTCAATCAGAACTCTTTGGGAACTGCGTGTGTGGAGACAAGCGGACAGTGCCGTTATGTGGCGTTATTACACCAGATGAAAATTACATATGAACCGTAACGGAATCACACCGAACACACGCGTTCATCTCGGTATCACCATCATCAATCTCCGCCGGCGCGCACAACCGACCGGGCAGCATCTCTCCGCCAGCAACACAAATAATAATATACATCCAAAATCCCGTATGTCGCTCCACACCGATTAGCTATCTGGCCAACCAGGCGATGAAACAACACCACCGACCAAATGGAACATCGACAGCAACATGGCTGGTGAGATGTGGCGGATGGACCGGGAGAGAAATGGTGTCAACGGTTGAACGAAATGGTAATAAAAATATCACAGTTCGTTAAGAAAAAAAATACACAAAAATCCTCCGTGGTGAGAGACAGATCACCGCGGCAGTTGCCGTATCACAATTCCCGAGAATACCGACGGGACTGGCCTTTCCGGCGAGGTTGGCAAGTACAGGCGCTGGATTGTGCGGCATGGAAGGATGAACAGCCGGCCAGCGTGGTGGCCCCGTATAACATCTTCGCCGATATTTGGCAAACTAAAAAATTTAAATAATTTTTCTGCTGCTCACGTATTCCAGCTAAATAAATTACAAGTTTCAGTAGCCTTCTCGGCAATACTAATAAAGTTGCCATACAGGAAAACTCCAGCCACTACACTACGAGTCAACGACAACTACGCATTCACTTTCACGATGCGCATTCACTTTGCTCTCAATTACGTAACGCTAAAAGGATTAATTCCGACAAAAAAACGGCAAAAATAAATAGTTTGGTAATGAAACATTAAAACATGGTAACGAAATAATAAAACACTTTTAGTAAATTATAGTTATTGCGTTGCGATTCACTGAGTAAGTACATCGCTACAACACTGGGACTCTAAACAGCACAGAAAAGAAGTCAAAGTTAGCAGTAAGAAATTTCCTTAAAACAAACACACCGAACCAAAACAGTACCGGATCACTTGTTCATTTTCTTACCTGTACGGCCTGTTTTGAGATTGTCCTCGTCCCGACACACATCATACAAGCATTTTTTGAATTTCTCATCGCATTTATGCTTCTTCACGCCACACTTGGAAAAACATAAGTCATGTTCATTACAGCAGTCTTTCATCCCGTCTGCAATATACTTGTCCACCTAAAAATTCCAAAATTCAACGAATTAATATAGCGCAGTAAAAACGCATCTGAAATTAATAAAATAATACAAAAACAGAAAATGTTTTACATAATTATGAATTATGAAATAAACAGAATTTCCTACATTGTAACCAAAGGATCCACATCCATTGGCAACAGGTGTGAATTCGCGATTGGTTTCCAGAAATTCATCTACAATACAACAGATATTTTTCAGCTGTCAAACCTCAGGAATATCAAAACAAACATGTTCATTTAAGTAATTCAACGCTAAATACGTCATACGTATTTCGATGAAATCTGACAGACTGATGCGAAACAGTAAAATTAAGATTTAAGGGACATTAAATCTCTGATACATCTCATACCGTACATGAAAATACCAGGATACAGAAACACACTTTTATACTTACCTTCGGAGCAAACAGACTCTTCACAATCTTCCTTGGCCAACGAATCCACATAGCCCCAGAGGGCTTTCGCGTGATGCGTCACGCTCTGCAGCGATGCCCACAGGCTGGAGGTACGCGCTCCGAAACTCTGCTCAGCCGAGGTTTGTTGGAAACAAAACGCAGGCGAAATCAACGTGAATACAATGGCTGCGCAGCAGCATCCTTTTACTAGATCAGCCATGGCGTTTTTGGATGTTAACAACCAAGATTGCAGAACCAAACTCTTCGCCTTCGAGCTGGCTTTCCCAACCCGCCAAAGACTCGCAGTCAGAAGCAGGAAAACAAATTTTCGGAATTTCAGAAATACTGAACCAGTCACAAAAGGACATTGGAATAAGTTTTACGCGTTCAAGGCGGGAAATTGGGTGAAATCAAAACTTACTGCTACAAATTAGAAAAAACAATTAAAAAATCATAAAACTACGAATAAAACTTCCTGAATCTGCACATTCCAGCTAACCGAAAATTCGTATTCTGTGATTAATAGATCCTCAGTAAATATCACGGGACAGTAGTCTAGGGGTATGATATCCGCTTAGGGTGCGGGTGGTCCCGGGTTCAATTCCCGGCTGTCCCCATTTTTTTGTTTTTTCCCATTTGATGTACTGGAAAAGGAAGCCGGAAAAGGTGAATTTGTGTCTTCTACCAGCGATAACTTATTGCAAACTTTATTTTAGCAAGTACGTGGTAGAAAAACGACAGTGCCTATCAGTCTGTTTATACGGATAAAAATATCGGACAATATGACAATATATTTGTAGAAGTGAAATACTTTATTAATTCCTAAAAAATGCATGGTTAAATTGGCAGTATACCATGCTAATTAAGCGCACCAACAGCTCAAAATACGCGGTGTCTTTTATCGTCCAGAACCACTTAGAACGAAGTATGTACGAACTACAAAACAAATTTATTCAAGTGATATATGAACAGCCCGCTATGAAGTTATAAACGCATGCGAGTGAAACAATCTGGAATTTAATCTTACGCGATCCACATCTGCTGCGAAATGTCAAAATAAATCTGGAATTGCCGGGTTGCATGCCAAACATAAAATCAAAAACAGAATGCGATAAAACTACTTGCGTCTTTTCTTGGCTTGCTTCTTAGCGGCAGCTTGCGGCTTGGTCTGGCGGGGTCCCGCTGGCTGGCTGGCGGCCTGGGTGTGTTGCGCCTTGGGTGTAGCGGGTCCGGACGGGATGGCCTCCGCTGCTGTCGAGCCCTGCGTGCCTTTCATCACATTACCGCCCTTCACCTTCTTCTTCTTGTATGTGGAGCGCTCATGCTTGGGCAACCAGCGCTCGGGATCGGGCTTGACGGTGGGATCGAAATTCTTGGGCAAACGCGGCTTACGCTTGCGCTTCTTCTTCTTAATATCACCACCGGCCACCGCTTTACCCGTGGGCTTCCCTTTGGGCGACGCCACTTCGGTCTCCTTCTTGGGCTTCTTCTTCAGTTTAGCAAACTGATTCAGGAAATTATTCTCAATGGCTTCCACGTTAAATCCCACGGGTTTCTCAAGCGGGGTTTTACGCACTTTCTGCAGTTGGATCTGCAGCAGCTGGGATTTAATCGTACACAATTCAGATTTGACTTTGTGAGCGGATAACTTGTCCTCTTCGGCGGTGGTGCGGAATAAGGCCTCGGCTTTGCGCAGCTTCTGCTCAGCGTCAGCGTAATTCCCTTGGCCATATCCAGAGCGGCCGCGTTGAAAAACAATTCGTACGTCTCGAATGCGGACGGAGTAAAATTTCCCACATTCCCTCCTTTCAGCGTCTATAAAGACCACAAATTATCTCGTCACAGATACTATAAGTATTTTCGAACTTAATGTACGTATTAATTTTAGATTTTAAGCTTTAACCTAACTGAACGGGAATGATGTTATGTATTTCTGTTGGAAGTACGTAAATCAAAATGCTCACAATCACCATACATACTCGTATGTAAACTATAACGCCTAAAAAATGGAAGCGCATTCCGAAGAGCAGGAGCTTCTAAAACGAATTTTAGTATGCACTTGCGAGATATTCGCTTATTCGATAACCGTTTAAGCACATCTTAATTTATGCAGGTTTACGGTATAAAAACACATACACAAACTTAATGAATAATTAAAAATGTTAACAGTTAACTGGAAGGAAGTTTCATTTAGATCATGTGAACGCAAAGCGCTGCCGTTTGTTAAACGTACGGAATAAAGTTATTAATCATTAAAATTGGTTATTAGCTATTAATTATTAAATCAACAAATTCGCACGCTCGACAGTCGACAATCTGAAATAAAACGCGAAAAAATAGAGGTCTCTAGAGATACTGCATGGATAGCCTAGCAAAGCCATCAATTATAAAAAGCATGATATACCTGCAACTGCGTAAGGACCGCCAAATAATTGCACTGTCGCTCCGAATCCAGATCATCACGTTGTTTCTTCAGCAGTTCTTTGTAGAGCTCCAAGGATTCTTCGTAGCGTTCCAGCTTGTACAGCGTCTGAGCTTTGAGTTCCTTGAGCTCCAACGGCAGCTCGCCGTGATGCTGACTGAACAGATTAATAATTTCTGCATACTGATTAGTCCGATAGAGCGCGTAGGTTTTCCACAACAGAATGTTGGCACCGCTCTGATCCGGGAGCTGCTTGATGGTGTCTAGAGCCTCAGCAAATTTGGACAGCTGAATCAAGCAAACGGCTTTACACTGTTGCGCTTTGGCATCCCCTGGCAGCTCTTTTAGGATGGCGTTGCTACTGCGCAAGGCTTTTTCAAAATCCTCGTTATTGTAATGACGAATTAGATCTTCGAAATGATGGAGAACTCCTGAGTCGTCTTTTGCCATGGCAGTTTCAAAGACGCATAGGTGTCAAACTGACAACGAGCTCGTGCAGATCGGAATAATAACGACACAATGAAATAAGTTTTAGTAGCTACAGTTAAACTTTAATTTTTTTTCTTGTAAAACATGGAAAACAAAAAAAATAAACTATAAACTCTGGCGAAACTTAAAATCCAAAAGTCTGAAGTATTTTAATAATTTTTAATCCACTATATTTTGGAGCACTGTATTTTGTGTCGTGATTTTGAAATTTAATTTTGATGGTACACGTCGTCGCGTACGTTTGGTTTCAGTACGAATGCGCATTATAAAGAATACGGATGTGCGTTGAAACGTGGCGAACGAAATTAGATTCAGTCAGATTCAGATTCAGTTCGTTATAAACAGAAATTTCAAATTTCGTTGGTTTTTGTTTTTCCCAAAAATTTCGGGGTTCTCACAACGAAGAAGGGGCAAAAGACAATCCAATCAAAAAACAGGGGTTGTTGGAGCAGAAGGGAGAGTTGCAAATTGCGCCCAGTAACAAAGAGGCACCTGGGGGCGGGCTGTGGCTGCCAGCAACTGACCCAATCGCGGGACACGGGATGTGAGGGGTCCGCAGCTAACCTACCCAAATGGTCGAATCTTTGTATGTAACAGAAAAAACAAGTCCAGTAATAACAACTAAACCAGAAAACATGTACCAACATGTTCAGTGCACATAAGGGCAGAAGGGGAAGAAAACACTGGCGATCAAGTGTGCTGGCGAAGACAAAAGTCTATTTAAGGAGTACGCAATTAGCATTTGGGATCAGTCTTACAGGAGCAACGTTTGGTGTTTCGTGTATTCTTTACAAGACACGTGCCAGGAGTTACAAAAATTACCAGGTTCTAGATTTATATTGGAACATCACCACATTTAGTTTTGCCAAGTCGAAATTCTTCGATTCCTGAGTGGCTTTCGATTTTCCATTTCCGTCATCCTTAATCGTCCATCTGACCATACGTCCAAGGGGAGGTTAGTGTGGCGATCTACGAGCAGAAAGGCTATTTAGGCCATCCATGCGACAGATTCTGACCATACGTTTAAGTGGCGGTTAGTGCTAAGTGCTAACTATGCGTGGTAATTCCCGCCCAGAAAGGCTATTTAGGTAACACCAGGCAGGCAGGTAGCGCCCATCATCTCCCTTCGAGAGCCAGGAAACTTTGCTTTACTAACTCCGCCCCCATAGGAACGATTGGGATTCGGGCAACGCGATTGGAGGAAGTATTTTCTACGCTATCAGCGCGGTGACAACTGCAACGGACGCTGCCCTTGGATAGTTGGATTTGAATCCACAACTTGCCTTGCCATAACTTATAAAGGTGAGCCGTAAGTGCAATACTCGTACAAAGGTTGCACATCAAAATTCAAAGCTAATCTTCCATAGTTAAATTTAAATAGAAAAAAATAGTTGTGAAGACACACAGACGGTAATGTAAAACAAATATTTTTGGGTTTCGAAACCACTTGCTGATAAGCTTCTGGGTTTGCTAGAATTTATTCTGACTTCAGTTTCCCGAGACATTTGCAAAACAAAACAAGCAAGAGCGGCGCGCCCATTTGAGTAGGAAGTGTTAATTCACATTAAACCTGGCCGAATTTATACCACGCTGTATTTTCCCTGGCTGCGATAGTGTTTTTCATAGCTTAATACAGAAAACCGACTGCTTGAGAGGTATTATTCATATCGCGCAAGCGACTGCATTGTATTCGCACATGCTCGCTCCTCACAGTAATAAAAATTATTTCCGTTTTGCCGGAAATCGATTACAAAAATTTTATTGTAAACTTTCAGCCCAATTGTATGTATTTATTTTCTAGAAAATGGATCATTTTCAACTAACACTTAACACAAACTACAGCCCATCAGGGCCATCCCACGAAAATGCCAACCACATTACAACACCTTCGTCACCGGAACCACAATTCTCACCGTCAGGCCGCAAAAAAGCCAGGAAGAAAAAGAAAACTGTCACAAATTCACCTGAGGGTAACGGTGATAACTATGGATCCGTATCCTCCAATAATACCAGTACCAAACACGGCCATCGAGGAAGAGTAATAATTTTTAACAACGTCAAGTTTAATGGAGACCCTCTCGGAGACCGACTAGGCAGCGATATAGATAAAGAAGCGTTGGAAAAAACCCTGCGAAAATGCAACATGGATGTTGATAGCCATGATAACAAAACCGTGCTCGAGATACTCGGCATTCTCGAAGATTCGCTACAGAGACAGGAATATCGGTCCGCCAGCTTCATATGGTGCTTCTTCCTCTCCCACGGGGTGAGCGGTTCCATTTTTGGAGTTGACCTTACTCAACTTCCAATTAACGAGATTGTGGCGGTATTTTGGGAAAGCGGAATGGCTCCGTGGGATGCCTAAATGTATCTTCTTCCAATCCTGCCGAACTCATGCAGAGCCACAAAATGCTGGTGGTCAGCGGAGTGCAGCAAAGGTCAAGACAACTCCACGCAGGACTGCTTTGATGACAGTCAACCGTCAGCCGTTGAATGCACCGTCAATCGAGGCGGATGCCTCCACACACGATGATGACTACCCTATGGAGGACCATACGAACGTCAAGATTCCTCCTAAGAATGAATTCTTTATTGGATATGCTGTGCAAGATGGCTATCCTGCCAGCAGAAATCGATATACAGGCTCAGTGTATATTCAGACACTATGCGACGTACTCGACAACAACTACGATCATTGGGAGTATACCGGTCACCGGGAACAAGCCAGCTTGTCGCAGATACTGACCATCGTTAGCGACAGGGTATATGAGGTTTCTCTCGCCAAAAAGAACGTTAACGAGGACGCCCAAAGACCGGAGCACAAGAATTATCTAAGCAATGAATTTTATTTGCTTTCTGAAAACCAAGAAGTAAGTTGACGGTAACCCGTGACAGCAACAGTACAACAAAATATTATGTTTAACAAATTAATTGAAAATTAGTTAATCTTGATGGGTTGTTACCGTGATGTCTCCATTTACAGAATACTGGGAACAATACATCCGCAAACAGTCTGGCCTACATGTACCGATGTCAGAGTGGAGCCCAGGATTCACCATCAAACATTCCAGCGGGATAATTTTATGCAACGGATACGGGATAACGCTCTATTGAGCCGGCAAGCCCGTATCAGCAACATGAGGGAAAGATTTAATAAAAAAGTTATTTCCACTTGGAGCTATATGCGAACACAGCTGCAATAATTTTTGTACTTCTATATGCAATTACGGTTTTTTTATAAAGCTTGTTAATCATATATAGAAAGTATTTTTCTAGTTGTGGTTTGCGTGACTTTGGTTGGTTTTCTCTACTTACCGTTAGCTTACCTGCATGATTTCGCAAGCTGGATGGCGCTAATGGTTTAAAGAGCGGTAAAACGCGCTATGTTTGTTCTGTGAAACTCGAAACTTTTAAAAATTAAAAGAAGGTGCTGACCCGAAAGGCCGAAACTATGTAGTTTGTGCTACTTGTAAAGTTGAACGTAAATATCAAATACGTAGTCACATATAACAATTAAGAGTACATATAACACATATAACAGTTACCACAAATAACAATTAGGAGCACATAATATCTTAACACTAAGATATACGTATATGTACTAGTAGTATTATATGTTATTATGCACTACAATATACTATACTACATTATCTTTATATCTTTATCTTTTCTTTATATCTTTATATTCATACAATCTTACCGACCAAAACGTATTTATGCGCCGTTTTTATAGACTCGTCAACGCGTGGTCAGTTTTAGTCCAGCTAGCTTGGTCTTAAAAAATTCCATATTTTCCATAGGTGTGCCAATAGATTTTTGTTTTTTTTAATTAACCAGTGGTCAGAAGATGGTTCCACCAGGTCTTAAGTATAGGAAACGTAAAGAGCACTCGAAGTAGTATTCACTACTGCAGTCTGCACAGCAACACAAAGTAAGTACTCGTACTTAACATGATGACTGTAACCACGGAGACTATAGCGGATACATATTAATACTTCCTTTTTAGTATAAATAATAATTGTTACGAGGTATGTGAGCAATAAATTAGTACCCAAACGTCCATAAAAGGTACATCGCCCAGTATGTCGCTTATACAGTATCTATACGTCACAACGTAAAAACATCAGAAGTCAGAACGTCAAAAAACAGAACGTCAGGTAATCCGAACGTGAAAAATCAAAAACGTCAGAAATTTAGAACGTAAGAATATCAGACGTTAGAACGTCAGAAGGTCAGAATGTCAGAACGTGAAAAATTAAAAAACGTCAGAACGTCAGAAATTCAAAATGTCAGAACGTTAGAACGTCAGAATGTCAGAACGTTAGAACGTCAGAATATCAGAACGTTAGAACGTCAGAAGGTCTGAAAGTCAGAACGTGAAAAATGAAAACGTCAGAACGTCAGAAATTCAGAATGTCAGAATATCAGAACGTTACAACGTCCGAATATTAGAACGTCAGAAGGTCAGAACGTGAAAAATTAAAAACGTCAGAGCGTCAGAAATTCAGAATGTCAGAACGTTAGAACGTCAGAATGTCAGAACGTTAGAACGTCAGAATATCAGAACGTTAGAACGTCAGAAGGTCAGAAAGTCAGAACGTGAAAAATTAAAAACGTCAGAACGTCAGAAATTCAGAATGTCAGAATATCAGAACGTTACAACGTCCGAATATTAGAACGTTAGAACGTCAGAAGGTCAGAATGTTAGACCTTCAGAAGGTCAGGAAGTCGGAACGTGAAAAATTAAAAACGTCAGAACGTCGGAAATTCAGAACGTCAGAACTTTAAAACGTTAGAAGGTCAGAACGTAAGAACGTCCGAACGAAAAAAATTAAACCTTAGAACGTTATTACGTCTTATGAAATACGACTACGAAAGCGTATATACGATTTCAATCTTAGTCTTAAATAAATCACATTTTCCATACCTTCCCAATTATCCAAAATTTTTACAATTTTCTGCGTGCTTATGTCTCATTTGAAAATATTCATAATTTCCAGTACTTAAGTGCCGAGCGCGAATGCGCGAGGCTACATTGTATGTAAAACTCATATAAAATACAGCATAAAACTCAGTAACTGTACTCATCGTTAAATGCAGTTTGAACACACTAGAATCTCGAAAAACAATTGACGGGCTTCACATTCGACAGACACCACTTTATAGAAGATAAACAAAAAGACAACCAGAAAAGAATAACCGTCAAGGTGCAATTAACAATAAGGTATAGGAGGTAAAAGAGGGAAAATATTCATAAATAAACACGAAGATCGAATCTATTTTTCCAGTTCCTCTCTAATCTGGTTATACAAATAATAAATAAAATCCACATAAAACTGCTGCACGGCATTGACGCCTTTGTCTTCCATTAGGAAGCGCCGGAACCAGTTCTGCGTTGCCGTCGGTAGGGCGTCGGCGTGTGCAATCAGCCCACTGTCATCTGTTCATACATCGGTTCCTGTTTTAGAAAAAAAAATGGCTAGTCAAGTCCCGGAACTACAATAAAATTACGACATACATGAATAACATGATATATATTTAAATTTTAAAACCAATGGGAGACTGAAACAAAACGCATGAAAAAGTGCAATTCAAAAAGGACAAGTGTAAGCCATTATGGAGCAACAGGGAGAAGCAGAACTGCACTTGCATTACCTGTTTGTTAGAAGATGCCGCTCCGTGATAAACAGTTTGCGTAAATCGGAAGCATTTGCAATATCTCCGGCAAAACCAACTGTTTGGCAGGCGCTTAAGAACTGCCGTGTTTCCGGTATGCCATCAACATTTTCGTAGTGCGCTAAACCTTCTCGAATGTCCGCAGGACAGATCTCGACCACACCTTTAAGACCTGTAAAAGTATCAGGTATTTAGGATAAATACTGTAGATCAATACCATGACTGTGTATAAGTAGTATAACCGTATGTTTAGTCTAGTGATATCTGCAGACTTTAGACTTTTTTGCTGCTGGAGTGCGATGCCCTTTCAAAATTGCCTTTGACCATAAGTTTTCAAGTCCATAAAGACAAAAACAAACAAAAACGACAATCCTCGGTTTGTCTTCTCTTGATACATGAATAAAAAAACGAACAGAATGCATAGCTAGAATATGTTGCAACATCAAAAAACAAAAGAAACTTAAAATGTCACGTTTCTGAACGTACTGTTCTTCATCATGAAATTCATAATAACATCGATCTCAGCGCAGCGGTACACTTCCGGGAATTCGGCGGAAGCGCTCAGAGCCAAGTTCATAACACGCACTCGCCGTTGGGCGCTCAGACTGGTATAAAGAAGCGCGACCTAATAAAAAAAATAACTGTAGTAACTACAGTAGTAAGCGAAGGAACTTCAAGGAAGCACATATGTTAACAAGCAATCGAACCTGTATATGCACAATAGACTTGTCTTCCAATTTGTCATCATGTTTAATCTCGGCCAGAATGGCTTTTTCCGAATCCAGCGCCGCTAAATGAACTTCCGTCGTGTTCGGCATGTACATGTTGCCAAAGTAATCTGTCGGCCGCACACCAGCATGGTTCGCACCCGCATCACGGCATCGAAAGCGATATTCCGTTTCAGTTCATGCCGAAGATCTTACAAAAACCGATTCCCGTCCTTATCAGGCTGAAACGTACAAACAAATAAATTTTTCAAATTTCATTACTACATACTACTTTTTAATTTAGAACAATAAAATTAAATTGAAATTTTAATTCATTCGCTGTACTAACCTGGAAGAAATTATATTTGTAGATTTGACCACCAGTCATGCGCGACACCTCCCCGATAGTAGCCACATCCACATACTGATTGGGAAAGAGAAACAGATCCACGCAGCGTCCCACACTAACACAATTTGCGCTCAGTTTACTGTAGTCAGGGATTTGCGGCTTCAATAATGTTTTCTCATTTTCCGTTCCTACTTCCTAGCAGTGTTCGTCCTCTGCCTGGAGCATCCAACACCGGAAGGGAGAAGTTGAAGACAAACAGTTTACCCGGGCATACCACCACCTAAAAAAAGTCAAAAATTTTCCCGTCAATAAAGTTAAGCTAAATAATGTTTTTAGGTCATGCGTCAACAACGCACTTCCATAGCTCTCATTACGGACTGTATCACATGATAAAGAATGGTGTCGGTTTCGGGGCGGTTCGCAAACATCTGAGGGATGTATTCAAGGAGTGAGTCCTGCATTTTCCACTCTCCTCCAGTTTCACCAGAAAGCCATCCACAATAGGTACGAAGCTTATCCGTAAAATCATTCACCGTCATCATACTGGGCTTGTTCAGATTAGACTGCAAAAAACAAACTGGGAAAAAGCTCAAATTTCCGGATAAACTGCTGGATTAGCGATACCGTTAGAGGACAAAAAATCCACCGATTGGTGTAAGAATGTGAAACGACAAACACGGTAAAGTAATACAATAGTAACGGCTGTACAATTGTGTTAGCATTTTGAAACAGTGATTAGCGAATGTCAGCATAAGGTGGAAATATTGACAACAAGAGAAAGTCATAACGAAATCTCCGCAAAAACTTGAGTCAACTTTACCTTCAGGTTAAAGAAGTGGACGCTATCGTTGAATGCGGCAAAGCCAACCCGCAGCTTCGAATCCTGTCCCGTTGTCTCGACCGGCAGAAGCGACTCCAGTTCATTCCGCAACATATTGCACACCATCCCCACAAATCCCGAGGAAATGGCCCGATAACTGACATCGATCATGAAGATAAATGCCGGTGGTTCGGGCAGCTTCTCATGTTTGCAATAATCCTTCGTGGCAAGAAACTCATATGTTCCCAAGCACAATTCCGGTCGCTGCATCATATCAACACGAAGTCCCTCCGAATCAAGGTACTGGAAGTAATACTGCGGAAATTCCGTCGTCACAAAAACAATCGAACACCGAAATCTACGAGAATAAAAATTGGAATTCAGTAAAAAACAAGCGCGATGTTAAATCATATCACAAATTTAATAAAATTAAGCACATATCAAATGTTGAATACCCATAATTTGCAAGACATAAATACGCAAACAGCACTACGGGAGTACTTATACTAACACTGTATTTCCATACTTTCGTCCTGTCTCAACATCCATCCGGAATACGGTCGAAGAAATCACTGAGGATTTCGGATAAGCAGAGATTCTGTTCATCGGTCAGGTCCACATCAGGCACTTCACTACCAGAAGCCAACAGATCCAGCTCGCCACTAGCACTGGCGGCTGTGGCATTCTCCACAGTATTTGCTGGGGCATTCGCGGCTGCTGCCACTTTCTGTGGTCGCTTCCGTTTTTTCACCACTATACTTTTATGCCCTATCCGCACACCCGTCCCCTTCAGTTTCATCATGTCCCGTGCGGAGTTAAAACTATTGCCCGGCTTTTTCGGAAGAACCGGAGACGGCTTTGGCGTGGCTGGAGGAGAACAGGAGAGGAAAGACTTTGGCGATTCCGACCTGTGAAACAGCATTAACACAATAAGATATATTTTAAAAAATAATTAAAATCAACATAAACTAATCATGTTATTAAAAGGCAACAACCACGGCATTAAATTAGCATGCAACACGTTCTGGGATGAAAACCATGTCTAGCTTCGCTTCGGTCTTTCAGTGCTAGCCTAAAGCGGTGCACTTTCCTAGTACAGATATTTCCCATACCGTGTACTCGTAGCAGGTGTTTTCACCTCACTGGAATGGTCACCATCGACCCAGTCCGCACCAGAATTAGTATTCAAAACTGACTTCAAATCGCAGGATATTTTCTCCAAGACAGCGATGATGCTTTCGCCATTTACTGCAAAATAAGCACTGTTATTTCAAGTACTGTACGTGAACAATTTTTAATTCTCTCATTATAAGGTTATATAGTCATAAAATAACGGATTTTAGGACTCCCAACGAGCGCTTAAAAATCACATAATAAACCATTAAGCATTCAGTACTGCAAACGATCGAAATGCATTTCAAGCTAATGCAGGTGAATGCTAATCAGCTAATGCTAAAAAATACTCGTACAAGATACTCGTAAACAAAAACCTACTCGGTTTATCCGTGGCATGGAAGCGCTGCGCATTTTCACTCCAGTAACTGCGAAGGGAACTCGGGATGCACTGCTCGATTTCGGTGGTAATCTTCTCGCTTAGTGTTCGCGCTTCCGATAAGATGCGAGAACCTTCGTCCGAACAAGCAGCTTCATCCGAACATTTGACGTCTTCTGATAAACTCGTCATCATAGACCACAGTTCGATTTACCGTTTACGTTGTTTACTGTGCGTCGCGCAGGCAGAATCCTTTGGGTTTGCAAATCTGGTTAAAACTGCACATTTACCACTGAAAATGATTCCCGTAATTTAATCTTTCTTTTTCAACCAAAACTGTGGAGAAGATTCCACTTTTTCGCACGAAAATCGAAAATCAAAGGAAAAAGAGTTTTAAAACCATCGAACATGTGAGCCAAATCAGAGTGCCAAACCGGGCGGTTCCACCTGCGTCACGCAATTTGTCTTTGTGAAATCTTGACTGAGTCAAAGACTCAAAGGGATACAGATTTTTACAGGAAGAAAATCACTTATACGCACTTCGAGATACGCGTGCAGAAGCGATTCTGTGCGCCTTCTCGGTAGTGGAGAGAAATTATGTGTATTTCTACACTTTCTAGCATCAGAAAACCTGGCCAGCGGCCAGCGCACAACCGGAGATCGGAGTGCGGAGAATCGGAGTGCAAACTGCAATCTACGAGTATATTGTAGGATACTGTTCATGATCAATACAACAATTCCGGGGATCGGGCGGTGGGCCATCTTAATGCCAGACGTATTACCACCCAATTAACATTAAAATTAAATAAATTATTTGATTATTATTATTGCAACTACTGTAGCCAAACTCCGCTAGAGCTAGCGGAGACTTTTTATCCTTAGGTAAACCGTAAAAACCTTTGGGTTTTTAGGCTATTGGAAAATTTTATACGTACAGTAGCTGTAAATTATGTACTTATAATTTACACCTACGCTAACGGATGTACGTAATGTACAGTAAATCTTTAAAAATTAATTATAACTAATGACAGTCTAATGTGACATTAACGATTTTTAAGAATGCCGCAATGACGAAGCTGAAAATGTATACATTGTAAAAAAACGTACGTACTACAGAGCCTCTGTAGTAGGCTACAGTTTCACTATGCTACAGTACAGGCTCTAACGATAAATGTGTTATCTGTCTGATATCGGGGATGAAAATCATGGAATCAAAGTGTCAAAACTCAAAAGCAATATATACGCGACACACTCGTGGACTTGTGGTACATAGATTTAAGTGACGATTAGATAACATCATCGTTTCGCACTTGAGTTCTGGCAGAAGAAAAATCACCAGGCCGGTATTGACTATTGTAACAATATCTTGCACATATGCAACTAACGTCAAGTCCTAAATTAATTCAATTCCAAGTATCATCCTGGGTAGATGAGCAGAGTTTTGCAGAATTCATTCGAGTGTGAGTTAGCGTCTCTGCAAAAAGGAATTTCTTCATCACAGTTCTTCCGCGACCAATAATCCCGTATTCGAGTTTGCGTAGTGGATTGATTACAGCCCTGCAAAAATGGTCAATTCGGATTTCGTACAGCAGGTAGGTGAACTGGTGAAGATTATTTTGTAGTTCAGTACTAGTACTTGTATACTTGTAAGACATAATGACAGCTGCACTGTCGCTTAATTTAAGCAGATAGTTCGCAAATTTTTAGTTTAATGAAAATGGATATGCGGTCATACCGAACTTCCTCTCCGACGAGGAGATCGTCGAAATGAAGAAGACTATGGCTCGGATCGTGGATGAAATGGATCCCAAAGAGCACAGCAGTCATATCTTCCATTTGGATGACAAAACCTGCAAAAGCCGTGACGAGTATTTTCTGACCAGTAACGACAAAATCCGCTTCTTCTTCGAACCGAAAGCGGTTGATCAGGATGGCAATCTGACCGTGCCGAAAAGCCGATCGGTGAATAAAATCGGTAAAGATTGCCTTAATATTACAAACTTTACCTTTACATATACCAGAGTATACAGTATTACAGTTTTTTTTTTAATAAACAGTACTTTTATTAATGCGCATACATTTCTTACACAACCTCAGGAGAGTTCACTTATTACACAGCATCAACTGACTCATGCGGCCTAATCACAGAGAACATTTGATCTAAATTTGCTCCCATCGGTGCCGTTCCCAGGATAGATGCCGTATTACAGTACTGTACCTTACGGGTGTAATATTGATATAAAAATACTGCTGAATATAGAAAGACTGCTGGTTTCGAATTAAACGAAAAAATTATTATAAAAAAATTATTATTACTTATTCAAACAAACTCGCAGCAGACATTATATTAATATGTTTTTGAATCTACGCGCGAGTACTGTGTTGAACATGGCTGTGTTGAACATGTACAGGGCACGCACTCGCTTGGTTGGAGCCGGTATTCAAAAAGATTACATTCGGTGAGAAGGTGAAAGATGTATGCCGGCAGCTTGGCCATAAAGATCCCAGAGTCGTTCAAAGCATGTACATCTTCAAAAATCCAGGTACCGATTATCATTAATCTATAAGTGCCTAATTTACAAGGCAGATTATGGCTTATGCACAGTAATTAATTTGCGGTACTCGTATAAATTGAATAGTTGCTTGTAAATAGTTTCCTGATTTACTTAAAAGTGTCTTGCAGTAATTGGGCAAAAAGTATCCACGCATCAAGATTCTACTTTCCTGTACACCGATCCGCCATCAAATCTCCTTGGATTCTGGTTTGCTCTGGATGATGCAGCAGTGGAAAATGGTTGTTTGTACTTTCTGCCGGGAACTCAGAATGGTAAGCTTAAGGAGTGCCTTCGAAATACTCGTACCTTGTAAGTCTGTAAGTCGGTATATCATAAGAATTGTAAAATTCAACAGTGTTACAGTTATATCATAAAATTTTTTTCTTTCATCCATTGTAATTAAAATTTTTTATGACTTTAACTGCTAATGCGCTAGCGCTACTGCTAGACAGTGATAACTGGAATTACTACTTGAGTAACTAATAGCGTCTACAGCTATTGAACTTGCTGTCCTGCATTAATATTCTGGGTTATTTGTAGTGAATCCTACGTCCCGCTTTGTGCGCACTCCAAATCCGGGAACAACTGGTGACCTGACGATGATCCGCGGTGTGGAGCCGGATTATCCACTGGATCAGTTCAAACCGGCACCGGTTTCCAAAGGCTCCTTGGTCCTCATCCACGGTAATGTCATCCATCGAAGTGAAGATAACACTTCCGATCTGCCACGGCACGCCTACACCTTTCACGTAGTGGATCATCATAATGCCCAGTACAGCAAAGAAAACTGGTTAGTGCTTGTCCACTTATGTGTACATGTTATATGTAGAGTGAAATTAATACACCAGCTGAAATGTCGATCCACGAAACCCTACTTAAGCTTTCCTAGTAAAATGCACTACGTTCTGCAGAAGATATCGAAATAGTACGTTTTTATTCCAACTTGTACAAGCTGACGCTATTTACACTTAAACTTGAGAACCAAATAATTAGAACAAGTAGAATAATTCTTCTAGCTCTCTAGAACACCCAACCGTTTCCAAAACAGAAGCAGCGTTCCCTCGCTGAATTTCCACACTCGCAGTACTGCGCGAAATAGTACTCACAATACTACGGTAGTAGCACATGTACAGTACAGCTAGCTCGTAAGTTAACGTATCTGTAAATTATTGTTAATTCCTATTGCACGTATAGCTAGTATACCGTAAGTTCTGTAACTTATTTTGTTTGGTTGTTTGGATTATTTTGTTTGTAGGTTACAGCCAAGCGAAGCGCTTCCTTTCCCAAAATTATATGACGTCAAGGTTTAAAAACAGTATAACCTGGAAGCAGTTGGAGAAACGTCACTGAAGAAACTGTTGACAGCGCGTTGGACTTGATAATATACTTTGCTTGTGTGTTTCAACCAGCCGGCAGACTTATCATTCGATTTTATTTCCGTATTTTACTATTTAGTTTGTTTTGGTTTCGCGATTTTACGGATTTATGTACTTACCTAACAACATCATTTTGCTCAGTTATAGCTGATACCGGTTCAGCTACTTGGCAAAATATGTTGCGTTCTACAGCTATGTACGGTAGATGCTGTGTACTGTAGATGTATGTACAAGTAGAGCTCATGTTTTTGCGACGAAAACAAAAATTTGCTTCTTACCATAAGAGTTTTGGTGGCTTCGGTTTACAATTGTTCCCCACTGGCTTTCATACATTCTTATATGATAAATTTTTAAGTTGCTGGGCGCAGACATGATAATCGCACATCCCGATACGATGTCTATGTGGTGCATAAGGCATTTCATAATGAATTATAGAATCCGTACGTCCAGCTCATAAAAAAACTGCAGAACTACCGTATTGGAGAACTAGGAGTATTGTATATTCAGAACAGACAGCAACAAGTTCAATACTAAAGAAATTATATAATGGAAAAGATCTAAAAAACTTTAAAATACATTAGTATAGCACTTAAAAGAAAACAAAGCTACCACATTGATTTTTGAACTATACGCGGTGTGTCTGGCAGCTGTCTGATGTATACTATCCGTATTATGGTTGAAAGGTCATCGAAACGCAAATTTTGGTAGCGTCAAGATTTCGCAGTTGAAGCTTGGAAAACAGGTGTAAATATATGATTTTGCAACAAATAAGTGGAATAATTTATTATTTGTTAATAAATTCCATAGCGAGAAGCCATCATGCATCAGTATCTGCCGTTTAATTCGGTAACGATCGATAATTGTTCATGTCGTGTGGCACGGTCAGTTTGGCACAGCGATTAGCTAAACTCGAAGACAATGTTGAACGTTTGATTGCTCTGTTTTGTGAGAAGAACAACAATACCAGCGCACAGTGTTCGCCAGCCAACGACAAGTCCCCGGCCAAGGAGAACCATGGCTGTGCGCGACGGGCCGCGGTTCCAGCTGTACCGTCGTTGCGCCACTACGCTGTGGTGGGCGAACTGGCCTTTCAGCTGGAGCGCCGCGTCTTGACCAAAGTCTGGCCGCAGCAGACGCGCTTCTACGGATTTGCCATGCGCAATATGGAGAGTATCATTGCCCGCGAAGTGGATCTCGATGCGCAGCAGACCACGCAGCGACGCTACTGTAAAATTATGAAGAAATTACAGAAATGTGGATATGTTATTGGTCTGCACGGGAATTATCGTCGGCGATTATTAATGAATACGGGTTATTACCGAAGCACGGTATGTGCGAAGGTCACCATATTTGCTTATCAAATCAGTAAAAATAATTAGGAAACTGAAACGGGTTTTAGTTGTGCATACTTTCGGAATATTTTAGAGCAAGATGGGGATTTTAGTGAGGATAGTCTGCGACGGATTGTGACGATCGCTGCGCCTTCACAGCTGGTGAAAGATGTTCTAATTTTGTTAGACTGTTTGGTGGTCTTGGCTAATGATGATTGTACACCTCTGTTTTTGTTCTGATTTTTTTAGTTCTTATCATAATGTGCATGGTGCGTACACGAACTTTTTACGGTCGCTAATGATGCTCTATGTGTGCTTAATACAGGCTTGTTGTAAATTGTAACTAATCTAAGTATTAACTGTAAGTAGTCTGCCGTCTGGTATGATAAATTTAATTTGGACGAATATATATACTGATGGTGAGCTAATAAGGGCTGCCGAATGTTAAGCTGACCTTCGAAAATTTGAACACGTAATTCGAAGCGTTTTCCCGCAACATGGCATGCCAGTGCTTCAGATTTCAAGGATCAGAACAAAGCTTTTATTCAAACTGCAACATGAATATTGTTAAAGTCTAAACGGAAAAATGGTTCGAGAAGATAAACAGAACAATTTTTGTTGCGCTCCCAAGTCGGCTGTAGATTCCGCCGCTGCGCAGCTCTGCCAAAATGTACATCCCGTCTCGTGCGGCGATTACTTGTTTGTTTACTTTCATAATTATTTACAGTAATTTCAGGGATTTTGCTGCTTTTTGCCCGTGTGTACAATTTATATACCATATCTATAATTTCGCAGTTCATTTCTGTGATTTTGCTGCTTTTTGCCCGTGTGTACAATTTATATACCATATTTATAAGATTGTTTGTAGATTTATTTGTATTCGTTCATTGAAATATTGTTAGCGACTAGTGAGTAGCATGCATGCAGCCTGGAGTATCCTCATCCGTAGTCCACGAACACCCTTCATCCGCAATACACTGCTTATCGCGCACCATGCTTTTCCACCTCGCACTGCTCTTCCTTCACCCGCTCTCCGTTCCGCGCGGACTTATGTCACGTCCACCGCCTGGGTGGACTATATGGCCGACAGCGCACTGGTGCGCGGCTGCGAGAAGATCCTCCTGACCGTCCACGAGACCTGCGGGACGCCGTGGTGGGCGACGATCATCATCAGCGTCGTGGCGCTGCGCAGTGTGGTGACGGTTCCCCTGGCAGTTTTGCAGCGGCGCATCTCCGCTAAAGTCTCCAGTCTGAAACCCCAGATGGACCAGATTGCCCGGGAAGTGGCGCACGGTGTCAGTGTGCAGAGGCGCGCCAAGAACTGGACGGAACAGCAGGCAGCCTCTGCGTTCCGTAAACTCGTAAGTGCTGGCGCGGTTATGATGCAGTTATCTTCCAGTTAACGTCTTTAAAATACCTACCTTGCTGCAGAGCCGATTTTTCATTATTTCTCTGGATTTTTTCGCTTTTCCAAATAAATTTTATTCACTTTGTTGAACTGAATTTTAAATGATCGAGATGGTTTGAAATTTCGGAATGTAGTTTATCCATTTATTATCAAATTAAAGTTGTTCACATTGTGTTGAAGTATTTATATTGGTAGTTGGCTTGTAAATTTTGTGAAATCGACAATTCCGTAAGTCATTGCTACAAGTCTACGTTGGTTAAAAAATAACATTTAATTAAAATTTCTAGATTTTAAATTTATTATTTGTTTCAGATTTTCACGTACAAAGTATGACTTTTTCGACTTACGGTCTGATAAATAAGTGGGTGAGACGAAACTAACGACAACACGTGTGCGGTTTCCCGTGCTGCAGTAATCAGCAGACTCATTCAGACTATGATGCGGTTTATCTTAAAATATATAATTGCTGACTGGTGGTGACCATAATAATCACCAGGCTACTTTAACTTATCATAAATAAATATTCCTCGTAATTATTGGTGCACTGATTTCAATATTGCAATGCGAAATTTCAGTGTATTTACGATTTTCATGCAAAAATTCGCAGTTTCCGTTAGACTGTAGCGAGTGCGATGGCACATTTTTTTTATCGAAGCAGATGAGCGTTGAGCGGCGGGAAATGTGGATTAAACACAACTGCCATCCAGCCAAAGGGTTCCTGCTGCCGTGGTTCCAGATCCCACTGTGGATCGGTTTATCCTTCGCACTGCGCAATCTGTGTGGCGGATGGGCCCATCTGGAGCACCAGGAGGCGCGAAAGGATTTCGCGGACGGCGGACTGTTATGGTTCCGTGATATGAACAGTCGGGATAGGATGTACGCGTTGCCGGTAATCTACGGGATCATGAATCTGCTGTTGACAGAACTGTGGGTGGCCGGTATGCCGGCCAAGCGGAGTCTACCTATGAAATTCGTCGTCTGGGTTGCGCGCATCGCGTCGGTGTTCTTTGTTCCCATTGCTGCAACTCTACCTGCGGTAAATGCTGAAATTTCTTGAACGTATTATTTTTCGCTTCTTGCGCTAATTTTTCAAGTTTTTATTTTTCAATAATGGTGAATTTTTTTAGTGATTTACAGTAAGCTATGCAGACATGCACTGGAATATCGCATGAAGGCTGCAGTGTTCAATTTTTTCGGACCCCGAATTTTGTAGAAAATATATGTAAGGGATAGTGTTGATGGATAGTGTTAATAACGCATGGTTAGAGAATTTGTTGTCAAAGCCTCAAAGGTGTACCCCAAAATTTGTTCGAAGAGTTAGGTGGCTGGTTTTTGAATTTCTTGGTGTTTACTTTTATAGCTGTGTTCGCACATTTGTGAAAATCTTTGTTGCGGCACCGCAGTAGAAGTTTAGATTTTTATCCCAGAGACGTAAGAGCGTGTTCATTTTGTTTTTACTGTTGTTTCAGGCTATTTCCTATTACTGGACTATGTCGTCCTTATTTGGAATTATTCAGTTGCTTTTGTTTATGAATCCGCGCACTATGCGCACGTTAAGGATTCCGGTGATTGACAAAAATCCGGCTCCCTACCGTACGATGTTCCGGAAACTCCTGCGTTTGCCGGTTCCTGCGCTACCATCAGGCGCAGCGAAATCTGTTTGAATGTTTGGCTGCTGTGTAAGTAATAAGGTAATCCCATAATTATAGAATAAGCTACTTGCTTTTATGAAAAAATATTAACCATTTTGTTCTGCTTAATGTAAATCATGTTAAATATTGCCTTGATGTATAGATGTGTTTTTCAACGAGTACAGTACTATTTCTTGGCTGCGCCGCGAGTTACGTGCAAATGTGTTGACTCATTTCAGGGAGTATAACAGATACTCTGCTTTTTTAGCAGTACTGCTACAGTATTTCATTCCCGGTTCTACCGTGTTGCAGCCGGAAGACTGTAAAATTACTAAAATACCAATAACTACTAATACGAATTACGAATAACAGTTTTTACACGAATAACTAATACAACTACTGACGATAGTCCGACATATATGTAGTGTTGTTGAAGAGAAGTGGTTTATTGATTGAGAAATCAGGCAAGGCAACAGGCGTGATGGACAAAACGGTTACTACAAGTGAATTTTTTTCAGAATAGTAATTTTACTATTCGGGTAGTTCAATGCTAGATCGAAAGCAAAAGAAATGATTTAAGAGACCTTTTTATTTAAATTTGGAGTACGTAAAATCTGTTTCGTACTTCGTGATACATATTTATATCCACAACTCTCTGCAATTTACCGGTCAATATGCATGTGTAAATATTATGGGAAGACGGTGTGCGATATCGCTGTGCGAATCGAATAGTTCTGCATATCTGGTTGACAGTGTGGTAGATTGTCACTGATTTCTCATTGTATTCATTCCTCACAATTGTGTGACATGTATGAATAGAGCGTTTTTAATGGTTTCCGAACAATTACGGGGGGGGTGCATTTACAGTTAATGTGGATAATGTGACACACGGATAAATCTGAGTATCTGACCACTCTGTTCACGGTGCTCACAATTACCAGCCAACACAGGGGCGAAGGGAAACTGGTACGAAGTTAATTTGTCCACAGATTGACACTCCGGATTGTTTTGCCACTTACTTATTCATGAGTTTGTGTTGGGTGATTAACGGGACAATGAGAATGGTGTTTGCCATTTCTCCTGGGCAAATATCATTGGGTATACACTTTTCCCTGGTATCGTTTTACTTGATACATTCGCGTTACATTGGCGTGAAAGCCGGTTGCTTCGGGAAAGTTGTGGATAGTTCTGTCGATTGTGTACTACTTGTAAACTGGCGGGAAACGATTCAAAACTGATGTGCAATTTTGTTTTGATACCGGAATCTATGTACAGATTTTCCTTTCTGGAAAACTGTAGGAAAATTATCGTGCTGTCTGGTGGGTTTGTGCTGATTTATGTGCTGAACATATAGGCGAACAGCGAATCGCGTAATACCCATCACGAGACGGAAGTATGATTATTATGGCTGCAGCCCGGCGCGCAAGTGGACTTTGGTTTTTTGAACCGATTGAGTTATTTGATTTTTGATTTCATCTGATTCTTTATATTGCACTTCCAGTGTTTTTTGGCAAAAGTGATTGTTACAGCGGTTGTGTCATGTGTTCGGCGTGGTAGTGGCAGGCGAGTAGCGTAGATTGTAGTAGGTCACTTTGTGATGGCCATCAAGTGGATAGAGCGTTTGCGGTTTTTATTTTTTCCCCTTGGAAAATAATGATATTCGTATTGAATAATCATTTGTTGGTCTCGCTAACCAAATTTTCCTTAGCCCTAGCTTATGCTTTACTCTGATGGTAAAGTAAGCTTGAGAATAAGGGTTTAAATGGTAAGTACGAGTATTTCGAAAGTTATTAACAGCTTTTATGATTTTTATTATACCGATTTTATTTCGACTCAAAACTTTTATTATTGGCATAATTCATTTTTTAAAAAATTTGTCATGCAGTGTGCACAGTTTTGCCAATAATAATGAATGCTCATATGCACTATACAATTCGGCGTGGTCAGTATTTGATCATGAGGATCAGTATATTTCCCGAATAGCAGCGAATAAGGATTTCATTAGTGTTTATGAAGCACAGCAGGGCTGCATCGTCATGGTGGATTTTCTAGCAGATCCTTGTTAGAAACTAGTTAAATTTAACTCGTTCTTCAAAATTCCTTGCTGACATTTCGCCACTATATCATGTACACATGCATGTAACATGGGTCACGACGTTTCCCTAGATCAGAACTGAGCGCATTTTCAAATGGCAGTGCGCTTATATATGCGCCGGTCTCTCGTGTTAAGATTCTCCTGGGTGATAACTATGCGTGCTTGTCTCAACTTTCGGGTGAATTAACTTTTTAAACAGTAGTCGTGTCCAAGTTCGGCAGACACGGCTTAATGCCATGTTTAAATGGCCAGCAACCAGCAAATAATTTGACTAATACCAACCGCAACAGAGTGTAATTTGAATCGAATTGCTCCGGAAATTGATGTTTATCATGTACGAATGTTGCGAAACGTTTTCCAAAACTTTTTTTTGGGATACCATGGTTGGCTTGGAAAAGCAATTAATGTTAATAGTAAATTTTAAATTCCTAAAAAAATGTGCATTATGTAATGCTTTTCAAACTTTTTAGGTTGAATTTTGATCATGATTGTGATATCCTCCAACGCTCTATCCATTGATATGCCTTCACTGGACCCTGGTTTCCCTTGCTCTTGTTAACCCCACTGGGGACTGTAATCCCGCGCAGAACCGTTCCGCTTTTGATAGTCATTGATTGTGATATACGCAGCTGCTGCTGATAGCAAAATGCTGGATCGCCGAATGCTCTCCCTCCGGATATGCTGGCCCACCTGGGGACGTCGCTCCAATGATTTGTTTTTTATTTTATTTTTTTGTGCTTCTCTATGGCCAATAATTGCATCCAGTCATGGGAATCTTACGCGGCATACGTTTTCGCATAAGACTTCCGATGATTACTTTACGGATCCATGCAAAGCCGGTAAGGGGAATATGCTCGAAGGATACCATAGCTATTTGTATAGTAAGTTCCTGCAACACAATAGACATGTGGCGATATCGTAGAGTTTGGGCTCGGATTATAATAAGAACAGCTTTTCCTAGCCGTCTTCCCGATATAAGTTGTAAATGTGGTTTCTTTTTTTTAAAAAGAAGCTGACCCTTCTTTTTTTAACTGTTATACGTACTTGTGCCTGAAAATTCCTTTTAACGCTGGCCAAAAACAAGAAACCACATCTGAATTTTACAAGATTTGTATAGTAACTGGCACTAAGTGTCGGCGTCGCAACCATTGGATTGTTTATTTACTGTACCTTTACGCTGCAGAATTACATCTGTAATGAAGAAATACGAAACTCGAGTATTTGTCTACCGTAAAAATCAAAGCATTTTTGTGACAACATCCCATGTGAAATGATGTCGAGGCAGAATTAATGATTAGCAATCCCTAAAGAACAGCGGCTAAGAATGGGACTTGGTTATTTTTGTGTGAATAAGTGCATGGAGGAGCTCTACCAGGGTTTAAAAAGTGTTTTTGTAATTTTGTAGCTGGATTCATTAATGACATGGCGCTAAGTGATGCTGATCTCCAGTTATTTAAAGTTCCGCAGACCCACATGGTCAGTCGCAGTGATGTCAGCCGCAATCAGACATTTGGACAAATTGGTTCCCCTCATTCGGCTGAGGGACTGGAAGCCGGTATGAAGTTACGAGCATGGCTGGAGGCTCGCAATCAGACACGCGCCGCGCGTCGCCGACATCCCAGATTGCAGCACGTCAAGGCGAAACGGGCCGCGACGGCACGCATGGAACGCATCTGGGATTATGGAATTATTCCCTATGAAATTGATAAAAACTTCAGCGGTAGGTAATGGAATTTTAATTCTTTGAATTAGGTATCGACCGTTTATGCGGACATGTGTCTAACATTTTTATTTATTTTTAAACATTACACGAAATTTTTAGGAGAACATAAAGCTTTATTCAAACAAGCGATGCGTCACTGGGAAAACTACACGTGCGTGCATTTTGTGGAACGCCGTCCGGAACACGAGAACTACATTGTCTTTACCGAACGGCCTTGTGGGTAAGCATAAGGTAAAAATATCAGCTTGGGGTTTTTGCTGTGTCACAGCTGTCGCTTTTCTTGTTGTGCTGTTATGAATTGTAAAGAACAATTATACATTGGCCTAAATTTTTTTGTCCGGTTGTTACGAGTATGATAGTACCGATAAGCGTGGTTAAAGTTTCGTAATCGTGTTTTTAGGGTGACGGTAATGGAGTTATTCTGTTTAGGTGCTGTTCATTCGTGGGAAAACGTGGGAGCGGTGCACAGGCGATCAGTATTGGCAAAAACTGTGATAAATTCGGAATCGTCGTCCATGAATTAGGACATGTTGTTGGCTTTTGGCACGAGCACACACGTCCTGATCGGGATAATCATGTGGAGATTATTACCGGCCACATAATGACGGGTAATTATTTGAGCGTATTTAAAGGTATTCGGATCCGAGAAACTGTTAACCGATCGTCTTTTTCAACCGTACAATGGTTTTTTAAGTATTCCTCGTTCTGGGATAATTTGCACGGTTTTAACAAAAACAGGTGCTTTTGTTTAAGAGTGTTCACTGTTCACGTCATCAGGCGTCAGCTAGCGGGTTCTGTAGCTTAATTGTATTGGTCACCGTAGTGTGGTGGCATGATACAACATTATTTGTACCCAAGAGGTGCTTTACAGTTTTAGAGTGTGTGTTAGAACTTAGGAATTATTGAAAATACAGTAGTTTTCTAGATTTGAGAACTGGACGTAATTTTTCAAGATAAAGCATTAGTACTTTTCGTTTCCAGTGAGCCTACACCGATAGATATTAGGCACTAATTAAACTGATTAAAAGTATCAGTATTAAGACAACCATAATTGTTAGTGTTCTCCAAACGTTTTGCCGTCGTTTTAATCTTCCCAAAGCAGAAGCTATGGCGACTGAATGATACTACTGTAATCGGGATAATGCAATGTAATTGCAACTTCATTGTAGTAGCCGTTAATTTCATTTGAGTTGTTCCCTGGTTCGATTGTGGTAATAGAAAGGGGAAAACTGTAACAAAAATGAGGACATTATTTCTGTCTTGACTTATAAAGAGAAAGTGGAATATTTTAAGGGTAATGGAAGATTTCTCTTGCTTTCGGTAATCGTTTGGATATTCTATAGATGTGGCCTGTGCCACGGCATTGGCGAGTGACCTTTCCTTCGTCTCCTGTTGTACTGAAATTGAGCTACCTTGTTGATGGTGGAAATATATTCTTTTACGGTTGATTGGTAAATATAAATGAGCAGCGTGGACAAAACATCAGCAGGTGTTTCTGGACATCAGTCTTGTCTGAAGTCTGGACAGTATATATCTTGAATAATGTCTTTCATTATTATTACCTGTAACAATTCACAAGAATGTCGTCTACGCGCACCAGCCATGTCTGAATGGCTACTGGTGTGTGCGAATGAAAACATGCCAGAGAATGGTCAGAATTGTGTACATGCGATATGGACACAAATCGCACGACAACTGTCTCATCAATCACCCATAAATCGTTCGTCGTCAGTCTGATGTGTATGTTGTTGTTATGGCTCGTTATGCATAAAGCATAAATAGACTCGTATTGTTGATTGACATCTGAATGACAGTAATTAACTGGATGGTGTACAGTAAGTTTCCCATCTCTCATACACAGGTCAGGAATATAATTTCAACAAGTTGACCGCCGAGGAAGTCCAGTCACTGGATCAGCCGTACGATTTCGCCAGTATTATGCACTATGCACGGAATACTTTCGCGCGCGGCACCTACCTAGATACGATTCTGCCCCGGAAGACGCCCGATATGATTGAACGGCCGGAAATCGGGCAGCGTATCCGGCTGTCCGAAGGGGATATTGCGCAGACCAAATTGCTGTATAAATGCCCAAGTATATTGACATTTTCCCGCACCGCTTTTTTCGTTGTGCTCATTGGGATTTTTACGGTGGGTAGAATGTGGCAGGACGCTGCTGGCACCGACAGCATCGTTCAGTTCACCGGAATACGAACTGGACAATCAGCCGATGGTGCATGCGGATAAGGACGGTTACCGGTGTGTCTGGCGGATTGCTGCGACACACGGAGAGTTGATTTCGTTGAATATCAGTGACCTGGCCATTGGGCATACGAAAGACTGTTTCGGGGATTATCTGGAGATTCGGGATGGTTATTGGCACAAATCTCCGCTGCTTGGTACGTGTGAAACTGCTTCTGATGTGTGAAACGTACTGCATGGTCCGAAACAAACGACCAATGATTTATTTATATTTTTAGTCGCAATGGTTTATACAAAAATTAACCTTTACATTGGTTTCTTATTGGATTATATGACATTGTGACCGGTAAAATATTTGCCCTCCTTGGTATAGTCAAAAATTATGAAAATTTTGTTATTTCCATACTTGTTATTTTGTTATTTTTATTATTACGAGTACTTGCAGTTGATTGATCTCTGAACTGAAACTTTAAATCCACTGCGCTACCAATTATCGGTACTCGTACTCAACTTGAGTTCTGTAACTGGAATTCGTTCTGCTTTCAAATTTAGTCAAATGATTTGATAACATTGGTGATACGAAGTGAAGGATAAAATCTATTTTCACAACTTTAAAAAAACGCAATGTCGAAAATTAATATTCAGTTATACTTATGTTTACCATGTACTTACCTGGTTAGAGTACTTATGTAAGTAGTTGGGTTTGCACTCGGTTGCAGTCTGTTTGCGAACATATCTGGTGAAATTTGGCTGGGAGATGGAGATGTTTTGCTGTAAATTTTTTACATTTGGACATTTCAGCGCGCCTGTGCGGCACGAATACAGCGCCGACAACCATCATGTCCACCGGCTCACGTTTATGGATTGAGTACAAATCCAGTCCGTCGCCACCACCGCCGGGCATGGGCCGCTTGACCGGTTTCCGGGCCAACTACGAAGTGATCTGCGGCGGCAATGTGACGGCCTCCAAAGGCCAACTGCAGAGTCCCAATTATCCTGATGATTACCGGCCCAATAAGGAGTGCATCTGGGTCATCCGCTTGGAGAAGAACTACCAGGTGGCCATACAATTTCAGCATTTTGAGATTGAGAACCACGATGAGTGCCAGTATGATTATCTGGAGATTCGCGATGGACCCGATGCCATGTCGCCGCTGTTGGGAGCGGGACGCTATTGTGGCTACCGGCCGCCCGATGCGCTGAAATCCACGGGGAATTCCTTGTGGATTAAATTTGCCTCGGATGGATCGGTGCAGAAGGCCGGGTTTTCGTTGGATTATATGACTGGTAAACTATTCTCTGTTGGTGTATTAGAAGATAAAAAAATTTATTATGCTATTGCCATATGCATGTTATTTTATAATACGCGCAGTGTTCGAAATGTTTTTCTGCGTCATTACGAATCCATTGTACTTTGTACTACGATTTTATCCGTATTCGAAGGTTGTGTGCGTTTTACTGCTTTCCTAATTCGGCGCTTAAGTCTGTTACCGTTGTAAGGCTCATTTTTGTAAATGTGCATATTTTAAAACATATCTCGTATCTGATGAGCGCTGATCACGTTTACTAACTGGTTTACTGAGATTTATCTTTGTAAACGAGCGGCGCAAATCGTGGACGATATAAATTAAAACGCTTTATTGTTCTATAGAATTCAACGAATGTACGCAAACTGAGCATGGATGTGAGCAGATCTGCGAGAACACATTGGGTGGCTATCGCTGCGATTGTCAGATCGGTTATGAATTGCATTCGGACGGCAAGCATTGCGAAAAAGCTTGTGGTGGGTTTATTAATGCGTTGAACGGCACCCTTGTCAGTCCATCATTTCCGGAACTATATCCCGCCAATAAGCACTGTGTCTGGCAGATCGTATCGCCACCGCAGTACCGTATTACGCTGAATTTTACCCATTTCGATCTGGAAGGAAATAACGTATGTTCCGGCTTGTTTTCGCCTTAACACTGTATCAGTTTTTCACATTTTTTGGTGGCGTTACAGCAAGATTGTGAGTATGATTCCGTCACCGTGAGCTCAGCCGGGGACAACTACACCATGGAAGAATGGAAACGGTTGGGTGTGTTTTGCGGGCAAGTGATACCTATGCCCATCACATCCGAGGGGAATGTTTTACGGGTGGTATTCCAGTCGGATAATTCGGTACAGAAGAGTGGATTTTCTGCGATATTCTTTACAGGTACTTTATGTAATTTCTTTTCTTGGTGGTTAGCCTAACTTTTATTTGCTCAGTGACCTTGCTCTGTCGAATGCATTTTGATGTACATACTTACCTGTCATCACAGTACTTGTCGTGGTGCAGTGACTGTATCTGTCTCTGGGCTTCTGTCTCAGACTTAAAGTTGTTCGCTTGATTACGAATACTGGTTTCGTTTTGTCTTCTAGTGGGAAATATTTACATACATGATACGACAATGTTTTCGGGTGATTTAGTCTGCTTAGTTCTAAATTGGCAGGTTTTTGCAGCGGTTGATCTTAGTTTATAACACAATTTGATAAATTTGATTAGCGGCAGGTTTATCATTTATCTTTATCGTGTACATATTAATTTAGACAAAGATGAATGCTCGGAAAACAATGGCGGGTGTCAGCAGATCTGCCGGAACACAATCGGCTCTTATGAATGTCTATGTAACAACGGATTCACGCTGCATGAGAACAAACACGACTGCAAGGAAGGCGGTTGCAAGTACGCCATCAGCGAAGCCAGCGGCGAAATCACCAGTCCCAATTATCCCGAATCCTATCCGCCACGCAAAGACTGCATCTGGCATTTCAGCGCGACGCCCGGACACCGTATCAAAGTGGTAAAGAGAAATTTCGATAGACACGTCGCTAAATTGTTTTAATACCTTCAAATTTCTGGACATAAATTTGGTTGTATCCTTGATTATTTGGCAGATTTTCCAAGAATTTGAGGTTGAACCACACCAGGAATGCGCCTACGATCATATCGAGTTGTATGATGGAGACTCCAGTGGTAGTCCGGTTCTGGGACGGTTTTGCGGCAGTAAAATTCCCCATCCGTTGATTTCCAGTACAAATCAGATGTATATGGTCTTCCAGTCGGATGCCAGTGTCCATCGAAAGGATTCAAGGCAGAGCATAGCACAGGTGGGAATTGCTTTGAACTTTGTTTATTTTTCGAAAACTCTACTTTACCTTGTTATAGAATATTTTTGTAAGAATTTTTTTTTACTTCAACTTGCGTATCCCCTATTCGGAAGGCACTGTTTTCGAATTTTTTTTGTATATATTTCGATATTCCGTGCACATTTAATTTTTTGTCTTCAGTTCTTTCTGTTAGTTTCGGCAATATGAATCATGGTTTAAACTTGCTTTTACGTTGCTTGTTATTATCTGTTTCTCAATTTGATTATGTAAATTGTTATTATAATAAGCGCAAAGGTCAGCCTAGACGCATTAGGTCAGGAGTATTAATCGTCGGTTTGTTTACAGAATGCGGCGGACATTTGATTGCCACGAATATGGTGGGTCATCTGTACTCGCACGCCAAATACGGCGATCAGAATTATGATAACCGTGAGGATTGCGATTGGATTATCGAATCCAGTATGGATATGATGTCGGTGGAGTTGCGCTTTCTGGCCTTTGAACTGGAAGATGCACAGGATTGCAGTTATGATTTTGTTGAGATCTACGATGGGTACGACGATTCGTCACCCAAACTGGCCACGGTCTGCGGCAACAAGGTTAGTATTAAGCTTTTTTAAAGCCTTTTCCATGTTTTTTTATTGCGCCCACAATTTTATTTCGGGTAAATTTGCCTGTTTATGGAAGTTTTGTATTCTTAATCTTAATAAAACACATTATAAATTTTTCTTTCATTGTGCTCGTGTCATTAATAGTTTTCTCAACTTCTGTAATTCTCGGTGTCACTTTATTCCGTTAGCCTTTTCTCCACATTCCTTTTCATTTTTTTTATTTCCCATGCATTGCCCAAATTCGACAGTTTCGAACTTTCGATTGATTTTCACAGCTGCCCACTTCGGAGTATTTATCCACCGGTCGAGCGATCTTACTGCGCTTCCGCAGTGACGATAATATCAACTCCAAAGGATTCTCCGTAGCATACGATATCCGCAGCTTTGGTGATGGGCCGACAACACGCAGTCATACTGATTCCGAGCAAGAGGTCCATCTACGCAGACGTCTCCTCGGACCCGATCCCGATGAGCCGACACGCTGAGCGAGACAGTATTTTCTTCTGCTTTTTAATTTATAAATAGCGTCGATATATGGAATGCCGGTAAATGTCTGTGGGGGTTTTTAACGTTTTATGAGGGAATTTTAAACAAGTGAAAGCAGAAGCGTTTTGCATCAGAGCAACGATTGTGCAGTATTTCACTTTCAGTGCAAATTTCATGATCAGTGACGTATTCAAAGCGGACATAATATAAATTAAATAACTGCGGACGGTATTACACATCATTCAAAAAAAGTTTTAGTGATGAAATCATAATGCATTTAATAAAAAATGATATTAAAACACACCAAACATACCTTTAAGAAAAAATCATGAATCAAATAAAAATCACGTGTGTAAAAATAACCATCTTGTATGAACTATGAAGTACTCTCAATAATATCATCGTGTGTATAAAAATTATGTGTGAAAAGGGAAAACGAAGAAGTGCTTAAAAAACCGAAACGTTGACGATTTAGAGATCTTTATTTACAAAATACAAAGACTGAAGTCGATATCGTTGTGAATACATGTCAACAAAAAAAATTATTATGAGCAGATTCAAAAACACTATCGCATCAATTCGTAAAAAAAATCCCACTACCGTGTAGAAAACTGAGAAAAGCGAGTAATATCCTGCGAGGAATGCACACGCCGGCAAAACACACACGGTTCCGCTGCCAAATTCCCGAACGAACGCCGCACCGCGCAATCACGACACATCACTGCGCCACACCGATATTCATACGCCGCGTCCTTCGACACGCATTCCCTGCAAAATCTACACTCCACCGCCTCATGCGCCGCGGGTGGGGCCGGTTCGGGAACTGCTGGACCGCTGTCTTCGCGACTTTTCAAAAAATTCGTTAATCTCGTGCGTTCACCTTCCGAACTCTCTTCCAGAACCGCTTTCCGGTTGGCCGTCAAGAAATCCAAAATCCGCTGCCGCAGATGGAGATTCGCCCGTAATTCCTGGTACTGAAGCCGCTTCCCGGTGTACGGATCGAATAAATTCCGTCCAAATTCTGCTTGAGCGTTTTCATGTTTCTGCAGTGTGCTCAAATCCACGGTGATCCCGGAGGGGAGCGTCACCGGGTCCAGGATGATCAGGCACGTCAGCGGATCGAGAAATTCTTCGGGAATCGTCAATTTCTTCGAGGTAGAGGGGGTTGAAGGAAGGGCCTTCGCGAGGACGCCCGTCGAGGTCGCCGCGTTCCGCACCTCCACAACGGGTTTTCGCAGCACATCCGCCAGGGCTTTATACTCTTCCCGGGGTATTTTAATACAGGGCTGGCCGAAAATCTGCAGATTCTTCATCGCCACGGAGGTAGACTGGTGCGTGTGGGAGATGGTGATTGCCAGCGCCGCGATTTCACTAGACGCACCGTGTCGCGGCAGATTGATCTGTTTAATCCGCATACTGGGCAGCGGACGGAAGTCTTTACAGGCTTCCTTCGGGAGGATACCATGGGGTCGATAATGCATGGTCTCCAGTACGACGTAGTCCATTTCACTGCTCCATTCCGCGCGCATCCAGAAGGTCCATTTTGCTGAATTCGGATAACTGCTCCAGCGCAGAAAACTCAGCGCAGCACCCGTTGAACACTGCGACAAGATGCGCGGACGGAAGACAATCTTCTGCAGATCAATGGCGGACGGATCGGTAAAGGTGATGAAGATAGTAACGGGGGGTTTTTTGAAGGAGGCGGAGAGGAAGCCCTTGCTGGTGGGGAGGGATAGTTGTTCCGCTGTGTAGTCAGCATGGCAAGGGCAGTCAGCTGTGATGCTGGTGTTGAAGGGCAGCGCGGGATCCAGAAGATTCAGCGCCATTGCTTGCACCAGTCGAATTAATAATTATTTTACGTACCTGGATATCTTGCCTGATTCTGGTTTGTAAGTTTAGGCCCACATCGTCTCAAACAGGACGGAAACTGCGAAAAAAGTATAACAGCAAAATCGAACAACAATCCATCACGAAACGAAACTATCGTGAGTTCATGATAGAGCATGAAATACGCCCCTCGCCCGGGCGGCAGTTAGTAACTTTTGCTCTCTTTCAAAACAAACAACAGGTTTGATATTTTAATCGTTAAAATATTGAGGAAGTGTTTCTGTTATGAGATTAATGTTTTCTAGTACTAAGTTTGTACTTGTGACATGATACTTATTAAAGGTACTTAGAAGCTTTTAAAAAAACTAATTCATCTTTCTTCTGTTTCCTCGCAAGAGTTTTTCGCCTGCCGGCCATATCTGCCTTGTTACTGATAATATTCCTGCGATATCAAGCGATGACAGTTCAATAATCAATTATTATGCAGCGTAAACCCATCTTTGGTTCAGTACTCGTACCAAATATCCGTTCTTCCAAAATAGTTATCAAACACGGTATATCTCGCCGCATGACCGGCAATATTCTGTTGGAGCTCCAAAAAAATGATGTTACAGTGTTGTAGAGTCCGCACAGTACGGTATACGTATTATTTCAGAGTGCGAGTATAAAACAGTCACAAGTCTTCCAGAAAAGTAAAAGACTACTGATTACACAGCCGACAGCGGAACATACATGAAGTTACAGGACATTTCGGTATAAAACGTCACTACATCACAAAACGATTCTCCAATACAAACGTCCCGCTTTTCCTGCTTTTTTATCACAGTTCATCAAATTATTCAAATGTATGAATTCTGTTATTTCCACCGAATTACGAGAAACGCTCAGATGTCTGTGAAGTCCGGAAGCAGTCAACACGAAGTTTCCACAGCTCCTACGAGTAGACAGTTCAAACACATTTAATTCGCTCATTTGACAATAATGCAACCAATATCACCAACCAATTCCGGGGTTCTTTCGTAATCGAACGCCTGTATAAAGCTCTCCCCGATCTGTTTGGCGGTAATAAAAGGGATCTGCGGAATGGACGATGTCGCGTGCTTCCGCAGACAATCCTGGAAATGCCGGTACGGTGGCGAGCACACTGCCAAATCATCCAGTGTAAAATTCAACCTGTACAAGGAGACTCAAAATAATAATTTTGAATTAACAGTTTCTGACCTATTTTTTTTACCTGACCTTTAACTGGTGAAAATTTAAAACTGCTGAAAGGAAAATAAAACAATACAGTTAAAAAAAGAGCAAACTAAAAATGTGTTTAGACTACATCAAGAATATTATGTAGTATACACAGGCAGCAAAAGAAGACAAAATTAATTACACTAAGAGAACAAGCACACGAAAGGTGGTTGGTTGATTAAAAAAGAGCAATTAAAATGCTGTTTTGATCATTTAATTGGTTGACTCAGAAAACTTACCACAAGAAAATTTATAAGAGTAAAAATAAAATGCAAATTATTCATGAGAAAATTTATTTGCGTACCGTTTTTCAATGGATAGCCAGACGTCAAACGGTTGATTAAATTTCGTACATAAATTGAGAATCGTCGCGAAAAAGGCATCCGTTAGTTCATCGGAATAAATCACTGCAATTATGCAATGAAGTTACTTCAGAGTTCCAACAGAAAGTGTTCCAGAGCGTAGTCTACCATCGGCAGCAATCACAGCAAATCCGCCTCGCAGCAGCTTTAAATCTTCATCGTGCCATCCAAAATCGTCATCCTTGTCTACCTTGAATTCAAACGGTTTTAACCAATCCAAACGTCGGATTCTAACGTGATCGCTGGTGGGAAACAACGCGGAATTCCTGGCGATATTGCGCTGACAAAGTTGTAATGCGTCCAAAAGGGCATCTGCAATTACAACACAAGTGGACTTTTTTCACCACGAAAAATCGATGATAAATAATAAAACAAGAAAAATTAAATTACCGGAAAGATGACAGCAACAAGAGTACGAGATGCTTACAGATATACAGATACTTACCGCTCCACCCAATTCTATGCAGTACACACTACACATCAGCACATTCAATCCATAGAAGTATAAGTATGTTATAGTACTCGTATCTCAGTGATTTCTAACGCGCACAACGAACATCTGGTGTTAGAAAAAAAAATAAAAGTAGTTTCAAATGTACTGAAAATGAATTTTTTTCCAATTTTGCAACGATAAACAATCGCATTGTACGCACAAGGTCGCATGGCGTTTACATTTCCCGGGCACCCAGAAAGATCACAGCCATAGCACTACAATCGCAAGACCATTGCAATTACACCGCGTGCCTTTTGGCTGTACAGAGTAATTAGGTATGCCAAAACAAAAACATAATAATTATTCTATATGAATAAATGTACTTAATCCACAAACGAATTACGAAATACTACAACAAATCGCAAACCTTTATAAATCATCAATTAGAAAAATTCAAAATTCAATCTGGTAAGATAACAGAAGAAAATTCAATCTGCCAGATAACACAACATTGTTATTACAAAAATCATAAAAACCGAAAAACTTACCTGTGCAGAAAACAGTCCGACTGCCAATGTAAGCACTGACAACACTGGCGAAACCAACACCGGCTCCTAATTCCAAAACGACGCTATCGCGAATATATTCGGGATGAGCTATGAGAAAATCTGATAAAAACAACGCGCCTTTCCATATCTACAAAGTGAGTAATAACTAATTATTCCATATAAACCACAATTTCGTGACTCAACCGAAAAAACTTACAATTAGCCGAACATACAAAAAATAAAAAAAAACTCATAAAAAAATCGTGCATGCCATGCATAAAAACAATTTGCATTAAAAAAATTTGGCCATGCATCAAAAATTTTTTTTTTCTATTTCAAATCATACCTGAGCGCCGACGTGATTCAATATCGCTGCCATTCTATGCTCTGCAAATAACGAAAAAAATACGTACTGTCAGAGTCAGTCCATGCTATCAGTATTATGGTATCAGGTAGCTCTGTACAGATAGATCATGATCAACATGACGCCTGTTATTCAAAGGCATTTTTCTTCCTGGCACTGTTCAACGCCGTTTTCAAATTCAGTAATTGTTCTGTTTAATTTTTATTTCTAAGATAGCAATTTTCAAATGCACAGTGATTTGCTAATATTTACAACTGACCCATTCGAATAACTTCGTAGTTGGCGGTGCCGCGATGCCGTTCAACATCCAGATCCTCATCATCATCGGGTGTGGAGACGTCGACTGCTGGAGGGGAACCGTGTTCGAAACTGGCGACGGGTTTCGTGAAAACAAAGCGTGATATCACCGCTGCAGAGACACATGCGGGTTCACGTGCGGGGAAGGTAACTGCAGTATCTTGCACAGCGTTTACTACGCACCTCCATCAAACGTCTTCTTGGTCTCGTCAGCCAACACATGCACGTCGGAGAGAACGGTTTCATCGGGCTCCAGTGCTGAATAACCAGCCTCCTCGGAAAAGGAGGAACTCATTTCCAAATGCCCTATACCATAAAAATAAAAACAGACTCAGATAATACAAATAATTTTGAATCTTCGAAAACTGTTTACGGCAAACTTAAACATTTTCCATTTCTGTTCATTTGATTGATCTTTGATTGATGATCAGAAGGCGCTTTCATGTTTCGTTTTCGTGTACGTAACCGCCAGTCTTCAAGCGGTTGTTTTTAGAATCTTTTCCCATGCATGCCGTAGTGAATGACTAAAACATCATATGTAAAAGGCTCCTGCTTGTAGCTGACGTCAGCACGAGTCTTGAGGCTACGCTGACTATCAACACGCATATTACGCTCGTACGCGTATGCTTACTTGGCGATTTTCAGAAAGTCAGCATCTCAGCGTTTTCAGTCTGGTTTGGTTATAAACCCACGTAGTAGTAGTGGGAAATTGGAAAAAATCACAAGAACTGCGCTAATCCATTGTGGTGTATTTTTGAAATTTATGGTGATACCGTTTTATAAGCAAATCGATATTAGTTATATTAAGTAATAAAATCTTAGATTAACTGGCGAACTTGATTACGTATGAAAAAAGCTGCAGGAACAGCCACCCTCATGAGTTCTCTACAAACAGCATAATTCAAACTAACTCAAACCCAGCCGTTTTTACGTATTTCGGGAACCCATGAGAATTATTGCTCATCGGTAGAACGTGACAGATGCGAAGCCAAATGCAGCAGAAAATCCAGGCGTTATACGCAACAGTGTGCATTCACTGCATTGCACTCACCTACACGGTTTGCGCTCATATCTCCCGCACAGTTTATCCCATAGTTTATCTCGCAGTAAATTACATAGTTTACCCCACAGTTTACCCCACAATTGATCCAACAGTTAACTGCACAGTAAACTTCCAGATTACCTCATGGTAAGGCATGCACGGAAATTTGGGACTTTTTCTAAAACAAAAAACACGACCGGCCTTCCAATCAGCTTAGCGACGCCCCTCTATTTAACAAAAAAGTGAGATTATTGTGGCCGTTTCAAGACAATAATTAAGCCATCATAAATAATATCGTTTGCGTAAGAAGGAACTCAAGTTCAATAATTGGTAAAGGTCAATCGCTGAAACAGGCAAGTCTACGGAAGTGCACAAGGAACTGAAAGTCATGCTTGACCGCGATTGTTATTCAGTTAGCTGGCCCATGGCAAGCTAGCACGCAGTTGGAAACTTGAGGCACCACTACTACGGACTGTGATGAACTCTAACGATTACTGAAATTGTTCTGTATAGATTACGCCTAATATCTTTAAGACCATTCTTTCACAAAAAGGAATCTGGAGCATTAAGAAAATACTTTATTAAAAGAATGCCGCGTAGTCAACTCAGGTTTTATCTGACAGCACAAAACACAGACAGTCTACAGTTTATCACGTAGTAGACCCCATAGTTAACCATAAAGTTCATTGTGCAGTAAACCGCAAAGTGTATTGCGCAGTTAACAACATACAAACTGTGCGTTGCTGCACGGCGTGCTTGCTAGTAAATTCACCGCATAGACCAACTCGAGCCAAAATTCAGAGATGTATCCCGGTCAGCGCCACGGTGAAACTCGAGTAACTGACCATGCGCCCTAACCGCCATTTATAGACGTTGGCTAGTTAAGGAAAATTAGTTTCAAATAGACAACGCAAAACAGAAATGTTACAAGGTTTTACTGTTACAAACTGCCGTCTTTCAGCGACTGATCGGCTGTTCAGTTCTGAAACTTATTTGAATGTGCACAGCACAGTAAGAGGCAAAACAGAACAGCAGTAACTATAAACCAAATAGGACAGCAGTAATTTTTGCTTTGTATAAACTCTCATGAGTGTTCAAATGCTAAGTAAGCATCCTCAAGGAGAGCTGGTATAAATTAAAGAGTAAAGGTAATACAAACAAGTTCAATCCCAGTTATAAATAGAAACGAAGTATTATCACTTTTAATGACTTACGGCAATAAAACTCTTGGTTTCTTTTGCAAAATATTGAGAGAAATTCACTGCATGGCTTACTATGGGATGAACTGTGAGGCTTACTGTGCAGTTAACTGTGGGTTCAACTGTGTAGTCAACTATGTAGTTTACTATGAGATAAACTATGGGACCAACTGTACTGTTACGTGCACCAACCGTGCAGCTGAGTGCAAGGCACGCTGTAAGTCGCTGTTACGTATTACGACTGCATTTTCCATTGGAGGCCACTTTGCGGCTGTCACGTTTTATGAAAGAATGCTATGGGTCGTAGACCCCCAGAATTTATAAGACGATTGAGACTTGAATTTGTGGGAGCTCACAAAGGTTGTGGTTGTCGCCAATTTAAGCAACTCTTTGCCCATCAGTCCCTACATAACAGAGGCTGATAGTTTAAATAGTTAATCTGATGGTCGTAACCCAAACTTTTCTGAGTTCTCGGATTATTCAAAAATTTTTCAAGTTTTAATTAATATAATTTATAAAATCGATTTGCTGATAAAACGGATCACCATAAATTTTCATAAAACATATCACAATAAGCTAGCGCAGTGTTTATGCCTTGCTCTAGCTTTTACGGTTCTACCGTTAAGTAGAGTTATAAGCAAAAGAGATTAAAAAAGCTGAGTTGCTGACTTTCTTACAAACGTAAAGTACTCATACGCACGGGCGTAATATGCGTGCGTCGATAACCTGCGTAGTCTCAGGACTCGTGCTGACGTCAGCTACAAGCAGGAGCCTTTTACAGATGATTTTTTAGTGTAGTGAATGCACTGGTGCCGTATTAATTTTCAAATTAAAATATTGTTACTGTACATTGTTGTTTATTGTTTATTATTATTGTTTATTGTAAATGTAGGCAGGTAACCCATTAAATGCTAGGATCGAAATCTAGCATAGGAATTTAAACCTGGCTAAAAACAATGATGAAATTATGGATATGACATACACTCCAAGTCTCCAAGAAAACAGAAAACGTAGGTACTGTATCAGTTAAGCATTATTATATTATGCAATCTTAATTATTAAAGCCAATAACCATCTTATTTTTTGTAATGGTTTCAGTTATTGGCATGTTATAAGGTTCTTAAAAATAAAAGGGCGCCCTTAAAATGTTTTGTTGAACTAGGAGAGTATTTTTGCTGATCAACATGACTGCGGTAATTTTTTCAGTTCTTCTGTTATAACTGTATGAATTCAGTGCTTATTACTAGCTATTGTTAATGTCAGATACGCGGATGATGGGTTAGTAAGTATGCGTACTGTAAAAACTTCCTCAACTCGGCTTTATTGATTACTTCGCTCTTATCACTGACAGCAAAATCCTTTATTAATTTTCGCCAATATCATTTTGAAACACTGAAAATACAGGCACAGTCTGATAAAAATAAATCAGCTGGAAAATGAACTCTGAAAACTTATTCATAGAAAAACCCAACCAACACAAATAATTTATTGCAAAAAAAAAACCAATGGAAACCACAAAGCACGGTGCGTGAGAATGCGAAACGAGCAATAAAAACACGATAGAAATTGTACTTAACTTAATCCATCTAACCGGAATAGTGCACAGCAGAAAAGACACATCTCTGGTTTATGTCGAAGAGCTGCCGGAATGGGACAACGTCACACGGATACACAGTTTGAAGGGTTTCTTAATTTTGTGAAAAGCAACATCTGGATTACCACACACACTGGAAACAGGATCTGGCCAATAATTTAGTCGTAGCGCCGCTGATATTCCTGATGCCATTTGTTCAAATCCAAATTCAGCAACACCACGCTGCCGTTATTCAGGCCCACTAGAATAATCCTGAAAACCATAACTTCGATTAGTAATGTTGCTGCATAAATAATAATGACGTATATTTTCGTAACCCCAACCATAATTAAGTAAATTAAGTATTACATTATTGCCGAATTAAATTATTATGCACGCAACTATGCAACGCAGATTTTCCCCTACAAGCAGAAATACGTCAACCGAATCATCGAAAAGGGGAGTATACATCTTGTCATACCTATGATCGTGCGAAAGAGCCAACGATCGGATGGATGCATCCAGCGACGGATAAGAATACAGTGGATTAACGGAAAATGTCCTCCACAATCGCACAATGCCTTTATCACCACCAGTCACGAAATATTCGCCATCGCGTGTAATAGCCATCGCCTAAATCGCAAAATGTCAAATTACAGTGTGAATCAGAATATTCTCAAAAATTATTGCTACCACAAGTTTTACATTTTGATCGCCCAGACCATAAAATAACCTGCACTGAATAATTTAATTGATCTTTGGCAAAAATGTCCAACAATGCATGAATTTATCAATTTTAAATCGTTATAAACGTTTTAGCTTTTACATGTACTGCGGTTTTCTTTGGGGCAGTATGATAAGCTTTTGTTAAAAAATGCACTGCTTATTTCCCATACAGAATTGATAAATAAAAGATCATGTTGCTTTCCGTACCTCAATTTTCTCCGGTCCCGTAGCCGCTCGCAATAACTTGCCGTTTAGAGAATATACGGCCACATTGGCTCCATCGTATTTCACCAGCAGCATGCCCTCGCGCGCCATCATCAGCAGATCGGGACTCTTGAAATCACCGGGAATTTCCAGCGAACGAAGAAGTTCGCCTAATGTACTGTGCATCAAAACTGGACCGCCTGCAAGAAACTCTCTTTTACACAAACTGTAGTTTACCCACGAGATTGGCGCCGTACTATACCTTTCGAGGCACTCAGAACTAATCCCAATTCCGCCGAAACCACCAGCGATACCACCGTGTCTTCATGTCCGGTCAGTGTCGCTTTAGCAGTTGGTGGCTCTCCTAAACAACGTGTATGTTAACCGTGAAAATTAAGATTTTAATGCGCGTCTACTGTGATAGTTCAATTCTGCTCTATCTTTTACATGTTGCTTTTAAAACTTTCAAATTATTTTCCTTGCAACTAGTCACATAAATCCATGTAACCAGACACATAAAATACACGGCCTAACGATTAGGATTGCACTTTCTAATTTCTGGAAAATTTAAAAGAATAATAAAATTTAAAATTCATTATTTACAAAAAAGTTGTTTACTTCGAATTTTAAGAAAATTAGTAACGGACCTGCAGTGTTGGAATCCCCGGCAATGCACTGATTCCTCGCATTCCACACCCACAAGAGCACCGTACAATCCTCGGAGCCAGTGGCCACATAGCAGTCCGAGGTAATGTTGCATTCGGACCGCGTCACACAGGTCACCGTTCCGTAGTGTCCATACACGACTTGCACCAATCGGCCTTCAGCGGACAAAATGTCAAATACTTAATGCATGTCAGTCTATCTGTACAATACAACAGCATACCGGTATCTGTGTTGAAAATGCGAAAACTATGGTCCCAAAATCCACACGCAAAGATGAAGCGGCTCTCCACCGTGGTCGTGAAACTGCTGGAGCGCAGCTGTATTCTCTGGTCGAAATCACTGCCGAGATTGCGGCGGGAAGGACTATTAGGAGGAGGGTTTGTTGCTGGAAGGAAAACAGCGAAAATTCTAATTTTCGTAACAGGTCACATTTAACATGATTTTCAACGTGAACGGTAAACGTATTAATGCAAGGCAATATTATTTTTCATACGCTTCCAAGTCCTTTTTCATTCCGCCATATCAAGTTTTCAGTCCACTTCGAATACTTAGGAGGACTTAAATGAACTGATTCAAAAATTCAAATACTAGAACATCAAATGAAAATTAAGTCCTCAATATCGAAAAATAAACGAGTGTGAATAAATACGTAAATAAATATGCAAATATCGAAATTCAGCGCAAAAGAGGAATTTGAAATACGTGGCACAGCGCATAAAACCATACCAACAACTGGATCGACAGTAATAAGTGCCGGTGTCTGGGAATTGGGCTCCGCGACAGAATCAGTATACGCTGATGTACCGCCCGCTGGCTGACCGCTACCGGCGTTCCAACGGTTGACGGCAAACGTATGATTGGAGGCGATGGTGACGACACTGGGCGCCGGAAGCTGCGGGAACGTATTGGCAGCAATGTGGCAGATGGGTGATTTGGACGGGAAGCGTACAGGCTGGCCACAAACATCCTCCAGAATCGGTCGGAATATCATTGGACTCTGTCGAGAAAATTGTTGTTACAGTACAAAACAATTGATGACAACAACCACCGAAAAAGAACGACAAACTAAGACAACCTGCAACTCTATAGGAACTTAACGTACTAAAAATGTTTTTTAAAATAGTGAACAATTACCAACCAGGTCGAAAACGACCTTGAACTGAATCACCACACTACAACACCAATTTACCATGGTTAGACCATCCGTGCGGTTTCAATCGGTCCGATTTTTCACAACTAATACTGTCAGCTCAAACGCTTCTATTTTCTATTTTCACCATTAAATTTCATAAAAAACTTTAAACAAAAGATACAGCTTCAGAACAATCACAACAGAAGGGGCAGAAGCAGACGGCAGTTGGCAACTTACCACGTGCATGAGTGAACTGCGCGGTGTGTGCGGTTCGCGCAGCAGCTGTGTCGGTGTCTGGCCAAAATTACGGATCTGATTCTGGATGGCTGCCTTCATGATGGGATCATCCATATTCTCCAGGTCAACACTGCCTTCATATGTTAAATAATAGAAAACGTTGCAGGCACGCACAGCTTCCGGACCGCGTTGTTTGTATCCGAATATCAAATCGATCTGCATAAAAAGGACATCAAAATTAACAATGATGACAATCAAAGCTCCCCGACAAAAGTTCACGTACCCATTCGTGCAATTGACAGGATACGAATTCCGACTCCAGAGCCTACACAAAAATTTCGATACCTCATCAACCGAAACGTTATCAAATGCACTGCTTTACTGCATTTCCAGGTAACATTAGCAGCGATTAAGTATGAGAAAACAATCAGCACCGTTACACTACGAAATCCACAGAACTCTTTTCAAAAATTATTCTCACCATTCTGTGCAAACGGACAAATTCTTCGGGTGTGCTGGCCCACGCTGGTAGTGTTACATCAGTCACCACGTTTCCGTCGTCCTGTTGGCCAAACTGATAGCGGTTGCTGTTAACGAACATTTCCGGCAGATAAAAAAATTCCGGAATCAATTCTTTCACGTCCGAAGTGTCGCGTTGGCAGTTCTTCCACGCCTGCGCCACCGAGGCGAACGTGCGATCGGCATGGTCGAATTTCCCGCCCTGGAGATTAAGGAAGAAGGTCGTAAAGGGTTCCTGCCGCATCAGCCAGGATAACGTAAAAGCAGCTGTGGAATAATGGGTTCCGTAGTGGAAAGCTGGGATCTGTTCGTGCTCCCATGTATTGTAGCGTTCTTCGAAGAATTTCCGTCGGCTCGGGTTCAATGCACCAACCGGCTGCAATCACAAAATACTGTATCTATTCGGGTATCCAAAAACACCTCATAAAAATTGTTGACGAAGGGCTTCTTAAACTTACTTTTGATAAGTCACGGTAGTTACTGGGCAATGTCAAATCAAGTTCTTTGGACTCATAATTAACTAGAATCCAAGGGAAGACCGGATACTGGTTCAAGTCATTATATGTCCGCCCTGTTAACAGACCATAATATTAATCAGAACAGTTAATCAACATTACAACACGACAGTAACTAAACACAGGGAAATTTCGCTAGAGCAGAAACCCAACACCCTTTATGCTCAGTTTCAATACCAACATGGTGTTAACAGTATCGTACACCACAATAGTCAACTGGCCATTCCTTGGTTGAACAAAAAATCATTCCATGATTTTTTTAACTGTTATCATATGAGTGCAGAATCAATGCACTTGGGCGATAAAAAATATTGATCACAAGATTTATTAATAATAGCAGAAAAAGTCACTTTCCAAATTAAGGAAAATTGCTAACTAAAACTGCGAAAACTTTCCAGCAACAGCTTTACGATTTACGAATAGCACTGCAATAGAACGCACTGGATTCAAAATCAGCCTATTCACTACGAAAGTGCACATGGACTACCGCATATTATGAGTAACACTCAATCCCTTTTCCACAAAAATTTGTGACTATCGACTTCCCCGTACAAGACAGTAACAACCCTCACCCGCAATCGTATTGAGATACATAAGGTATTCGAAATTGGAGATTTCCCGTCGTTGCCACTTTACGGTCATGTTGGACTGGCGAAAAATTTTCCTGGGAGACATCATGGATGCATAACTGTAAACAAACACTACATCTAAACAACTGAATAGGTCAAGCAAATTTTGCAGCTTCCATTTATTTCTTACAATTATTCCGAGAAACTGCGACCAAACTGTACTGCTGCACGCAAATAACATATTCATACCAACCAGCTTACCGGGATTGAGGAATTCCGTATTTGGTGCCAATTCCTACACCGGGGAGAGCGCGAACCACCTTCTTAACGGTTGCATGATCAGCAAAGGCGAACATAACCGATGCTACAAATTGTGCAACTGTTTTTATCAACCGCCCGACAAAGGTGTCAAACTGCAACACTTACAGCGTGTGGAAAGAAAAATCTCCAATGCCACATTCTGCAGCATAAAGCGTCGCGCAAAAATGGCCCGAATATCGTAAAAGCTCCAGTGTCCATGAAGGTTATCGCAGTAACGCAGAACCTGCCAGAGCACAGTTTAAAGCACCGTATGATCGTGCACGTGCATAAAGTACCGTATAATTCTCTTCGTAACGTGAGAAACAACCGTTTTTGTACGGCAAACCTTTTGAGTTTTGATAGTCGGAGATGAAATTGCAAAGTTTACGATATCTCATTGATAACGAAGGATAAAATAAACAGCAAATACCTCGGGGTCAGATGTTTCAAATTCATTATCATCTTCGTCCGCATCAAAATACAAATCATTCGAAGTGATGGATAAGGTTCCTTTCAACACGACACCGGGTGCAATTAATTTGCATTCAGAGGTGAATGTAACTGGACCTGCAAGAAGCATCCACCGGTTTACAATGCCAACCTGTTACTTACAGACAATGCAAAAAGATGGTTATCCACTTCGGCAAAACAATAATTAAAACCCAAAACCATAAAAAAACTCTTTCCATTTAAATAACTGCTAAAACTTCGCGGAACTACTCGTTGACGCTAAACAAGGATATAGTTTCCAGAATCATAAGCCAATCAACTACGACACAATACTGCTGCAACACATTACTAAGATAAGTGCCACTGTTTTGCACATTATGTGGGCATCATACATGTAACTATGCCTCCGTTGACTTATTATTGTTAAAGTAAAAACAAGAAGTAGGATTATGAACTATGCAAATTATACGAGATATAACTGAGATATAACTGACAAAGCTGGAAGACGTAGTCGAACCCTCACAAACCGGCATTTCTATAAGTACACAACAGCGACATTGCGCTGTTTAGATAATGTCGCTGTTTAGATCTTACCCATAGTTTTGGCTGTCGTGGTCTGGATATAGTCGATATCTTGATCTTCGGAGTTGGCATCGGAATCATCTCCCACCTCCAGAGGTACCTCTCGGTGACCCAGCCCCAAGGAAGCCAATTTGGCGTGAAGAGGCTCTTCGGCCTGCTGCATGGCGTCTTCGGTGACATCGGATCCTGTATTGCTGTTAGATCGCAGCACCGCTTCCGGATGATTGCTCCCGTATGGGTTAGGTACCAGTCGACGGCGCCGGCGACAATCGTCCTCCCAGTTATCCAGGCGCCAAAAGCGTTTCATCCGACTGCAACCAAATATGTGACTCCAAGCTTCAAAATGTCAATTTTTTTAATTCGTGTAAAACCCAAAATAAACCAGAATAACTAATCACTAAGAGTGTTTGTTATGATTCTATAAATCAGTTATTAATATTCCATACAATCACATAAAATTTTGTACAAAACGCAACTAAGTTCAGATAATTCATCACTTTGAAGAATTTTTATCATATCACTGTAAGGCAATGATACCATGTATGTCATCGTAAGGTACTTCACTCAAAAAAACTAAGCTTTTAAAAGCGAAATCACTGCATCCCAGTATCGTGATAAACCATTAATGGATTTTTAAGAATAACTAAATATAAAACGCTTCTTGTTTCAGTCTTCTAGGCCATATAAATCGGGCAGCTTTTCGAAACAGAAAAAAAAACCATATCTTCATAAAATTTATCTGCCCGTAAGCAATCCAAACTCACTTGGACTCGATGAGTTTCCATGTGCCCTGCTGATCGGTCATGACGCTCAGAATTTTATCGACTGTTTTCCTAGCGAAAGCATGATCCCTTCGTCTGGCTGAGCTGATTAATCGATCACACAGCTTGGCGTTTTCCCGATGTTGATGCAGTGTCTGCGCACACTGTGACTGTAATCAACAGGTGTTTACAGCTACAACTTCGGAAAAACTAAAGAACTACAAGTCACATCGGGAAATAAACTTCCGATGGAATAATATCAGTAACTCAAAATTTCACCCGTACGTACTGTACTGTACGTTGACAGAAACATGTATGTGATTTTTTACGAAACATGATTTTATATGAAACATTTTACGCAACGTTTCTAAATTTATCAATTTCGTTAACGATTATGCATAAAAATGGCTAAAATACTCATCGTGTCGATTATTCGATTGATAAAATATTAATATTATCTTAAGTTAACAAAGGCAACCTATCGTCTGTTGCATCTGAGAAATTAATTTTATCAATGGACTTATACGAATGGAAATTCGTCACGCACTGCACTACGATGTCATTCAAAACTGAGTATCAATCGCGTCAAACCTCAAATTCTGCATGCTTAAGCACATCATCCGCTCGCATACGATTAAGGATGAATTCGGCTTCATTGGCCACACGAACAATATGGTCTTTCATCCCGTGTGACAACAAACGGCCTTCATTGACCAGCTCAATAAACGCCAATCCCGCATGCTTCTGCAGGGAGTTCTGCCATTCTTGGGAGCACAGCAACATTACCAATTCAACAACGGATGAGCTATCTTTAAACGTAGAAAGACCTAAAAAACACAAGAATGGTTTTCGCTAACTACAAAATAGCCGAACAACAAAACCAAAAACTGTTCACATAACGCCGAGAGCAACTCTATTTTATACTCTTCACGTAGGCTAACCTTTGCCTTCAGCCAACAATTCTTGATCATGCGATCCAATTAAAGTTTTCGTCAAAAACGGTGTAAAATCCAGGACAATTTCCCGCAATAACGCCGCCGTCGTGCCCAGGGCCTTCTCCAGTTTCTCCGTTAAATTAGCCACCGACACCGGTGCCACAGCAAAATTTGCGGCATTCCGAGGCAGCTGACTGATAGTGTATTTGGGTGTCATTTCATCCGAACCCGCTGATTTATCCCCCTCGACATTGATTGCCGAAATACCTTCTTGAGAGCCATTTAACGACGCCGTCGAATGGACCGGTTTCAAACTCTCGCTGTCAGAAGGAGCGGTAATTTCCCCTGAATCCGCCACGGATGAAATGGAACGGGTGGAGGCGTCCTGATCATTAACGGAAGCCGTGCGCGATAGTGAAACACGCTCCAGAACTTCCGCGGCGTTAGCTAATTCTTCAGGGTTGGCGATAACTGCGGCAACAGGTGGTTAACAAACAGCTACGCAAATAAATGAATAATAAGATAATTATTCATCCAACCTTCGGGTTCCAGAATGTCGCGGTAACGGGAAACCATCAGCACGGAAACGAAGTATAAAACGGCTAACGCCAGAAATTGCGCCTGCTTAGTATCCTCCTGAATAACAAAAAAAGGTTATTATGCTTTCAGTAAAATCAATACGACAAAAATTCGTCTGATGGCAAAACCGCTTTATACCGTTGAAAAGCCTATAACTCTCCAGGGAGACAAGAAAGCCCAAAATCTACAGTTAATCTATGCTTACAATATCACGGTAAACCACAGCTTGCAGCCGGTTTATATCCATATCTTGCAGAAGTTTTTCCATATCAGTTACCGGATGTTGACCCACCAGGTTTTCCACGATATTCTATATAGTATAAAATTTCAGCATACACTTACAAACGACATCAGTTAACGCAACGCACTAGCCCATTAATCGAAGTAAGATTCTCTTGCAAATGTCCCGCAAACGCACAGCTGTACCTTTGGTGTAGGTTGCACGCCTCCGATCAAACTTTGCATATGCTCCAATTTCCGCACATCCACAGGTTCCTCACCGGGCAGCCTTGGCGTTTTCGGTTTGGCTTTTTCACGACATTCCAAACAATTCCGCACAGCATTAGTGCATACTATCGAATTAAACGAATCTTCTAAAAATACCGCTCTTAACAGCTTTAAATAATTGTCAATTACCCAAGCGCAAGCACTGCCGCAAAATTCCTCCCTTCCGCATTCCCTTTTCCTTTTCCAAGTTAGCCAGATTAATCGGCGACGCGAAACATAGTACATCAACCAAATTGACCATCCGCTGCAGGAAACCAATGACAATATCAATAGACAAGCCCTGACTGGGCTCCACCATATCGATTTCATTTTGCGGAGAGGTGGCACACGCCAACAGCGGCAACAGTCCACCACAGGCAATAATCAAGTTGTCCACGCTCTGGGATATCATGTGCAAGGTGTTGGTGATGAACACCTCGTTTTCCGGAGCCTTAACAGTTTCCAGGACCGTTTTAGTGTTGTGACTATGAAAAAAATTTCCAAATATTACATTACGAAAAAGATAGAAAAAACATACTTTTTTTAGATTGTTTTGATAGGTCATCTAGTTAACCGTCACTGCTTCAGATTTCAAAGATCATCAATCGAGCCTTCTCACTACAGAAGTACAGATATTGCTTAACAAACGGCAGCATACCTTCGCCATGCTTGGATATCTGTTTCAATAGAAAACAGCAGATCGGAAAGCAGTCGCTGATGAATTGCCGACCACCGGAAATCCGGGATTCTGAATGCCGGTGGCGTTGGCCCCGAGTGGAATACTTGCTGTCCGCTGGGTTTGCCCACTTTGGATAAAGCCGGTGGACGTTTATCTTTGGGAATCGGGGTGACTTCTTCCGATGTCAAACTGATTTCAGTCATGGTTATGGTGTCTGTTGTGACATTCGTTTCTGTCGGCGAAAACGACTGCTCCGTATCGGTCGGTAGATCCGACAGTGTGCCATTGCTCATGGATCCAGGAAGCTTCTCGGATGGGGACTGAGGAGATATTCCGTACGCCTTACTAACTTCCAAACGGAAATCTTCGAACGAAATCTACAAAACAATGACAAAACGTTCAACCACAGGCGTTTATGCAGCATCTGCCAGATTCCAGATTTATATAATCTGAATCTCTTCAAGAAACATGAGAATAAAATCTCCTGGAAGGACAAAACTAGGAATATAATCCGGAAGGGAACTAAAGCATTCAATCAAGCCGTTATCGCTCAGTAAATCAGAGAGAATCATTTCGACCAGCCCGAATCTGCGTAGACATTTTTATAGAAACTGACTAATACTGAGGGAAACAAATTTGTATATATTTCAGATAGGTAATGCTCGTTCTTGCATAGATATTCTCAGTTCAAACGACTCCCAAAGGCGCATCATACATCGTAATATACTTCATTATGTAAAACAAACTCTACAAAGCTAGCGCATGAATTTTATTTACATATTTGCGAATCCAATTGCATTCATTTGTTTTTCAAACAGCAAATGTCCACTTGTTACATAATTATACACATCGAAATCACAAGGGAAATCTGTGGTAATTATCGTACCTTGGAGTGAGCTATGGATAAGGTATCCACCCAGACCCTCCATCCACCATATTCATGTTTTATGGCGTGGTACAGCAACATTCGGAATAAACTGTGTACCATATCGCTCACTTTCTGTTCGTCAGGGTTCTGCGGGTACACGTATGCCAAATTAATCAGCCATTCCTGCCACACTGACATCTGGAGAATTATTCTAGAAATATGATCAGCCACTGAACGAAACGTTTATTTCGTTATGCAAATGAAAACCAGTCCAACCTTTTGTTATCGCGACTATTAGAGCACAGGATCATCATATCGGAAAGAAAAATCTTCTTTAGCTCCAACAACTCTGGCATCTGCTTAGCATTACGCAAAAGCACCGCAATTACTTTCAACACCACTGCAAATAAAATTATTGAACAGCAAATAGTAAAAAATGTTGCGCATGTCGGCGAAAACGATCTGATGAGAAATCAAGGTAATAGTGTCTTCACTACCATACAGACGTCCAATGCGTGGTTTAAAGTCAGTTCACTACTACAATTTCTCAAACGGTACACTACTATGCCTAGTTTTACTTTCATGCAACCGTAAGTACCATCTTCAAACAACCTGCGCACACAAAATCTCGCGCTTACAAGGATTTTCAAACTTCAGGCTGCTCTCAGGATCAGGATGACGTGTATATATTATTTGGCTTGTAACCGACTCCGTGAGCACCTAAACAGCGAAATAGGTCTTAAAAGTTAATCACAATTCACAAAGCATTTATACGCATTCTTACCTCAAAAAGAACATTATACACCGCAACGCTGATGGAATCCGCATTTAGCAGCAGTCGCTCAGAAAGTAGTGAGTACAAATTCTGCGGCTGCATAACATCCGATTTTCTTCTAGAAATTACAAACATGATATACGTCAGTCTATATGAGCACGGCAGATATTTTCCTTTCTAACTGAGCATACTTTGCTGTGCAGTGTCGTAAAAAGAAAGCCAAGAGTTTCATTGCCTGGATGCGGATGATTTCGCTCTTTGATGCCAATAACTTGAAGACAGACCTGAACACAACAATCTCATTCAAATTTCACACAATCTACTTGTATATGCGGCAATCATATACCGGATTCCTTGACATCGGTCGAAACTCGGCACCAAAGATTGTGGATGTTCGGACATGAGGGCAATCATCAACTGCAGGACGTCATGGAGATTGTCGTCTTCGTAGACAGTGTGGAGATAATTCAGTACGCTATCCAGCTCATCGTCTTCTACTCCTTCGCCCTTTAACACCAACTGCTTAACGAACAATAAGAGATACGCACGGATATCCAGGATGGACTTCCGAGGTGGACGTAATTCTTCACCTGTTTCAAAGATTTGATCATGGATTCATGGTAGCATAAACACTTCTTTATTAATTTAGTCAAAAATAGCGTCAATCGTACAGCGACAAATCTGAAATAAGTTAAATAACCAATAACAGACATGCAGCAAAGATTTCATACAATCTAACAACTGGTACACTTTTCAACATTAATTATGAAGAATATTTTAAGACAAATTTGCCGCGAAACTTATGTATGTACTGAGATAATTTATCTATGCGGCTGACAGAGTTCGCAATTATAAAACAGCTTATAGACTCGTGGAATACAGTTTCAGCAACTTTCTAAAATGTAAACGTACTTTCTGCTTTGCTTTCAATTCCGCTCCGATTTGTAGGATTGACAACGTAGTAATAATGCTTGAGCGCGTGCATAGTCTGAATGACGGTACTGGTCCGGCGGATATTGCCATAAATGGCCGCATTACCCACGAACTCTGTGGCCAAATATGTATACAAATCCATCTGCACCTTTACACTAGTGTGTATCCACAATCCCGGATTGAACAACAGGTAATCAAACAGCTGCTTCACTAGCGGTAAAGCATTAGGAATGTTCAGCAAATGTCGCGTCATGGTCACAATGGCGTGAAGAACTTCTTCCGTAATATGCTGCCTGGATGCCTACAAAATTGCGTTTTCAATTAAGATAATGTTTACGAAATAAATGCGCCAGACATCTCACTTTTCCCAGCATATAACTCAGAATCATGAAGCCGGTACTCTGGAGCATATGCTGCTGGACTGCCGCTGACCGCTCCAAAAGACCACCGATGAACTGCAGTAATGCTCCACTAAAATATTCAAAAATAAGAAAATTTGGTTAACAGATTTTGCGAAAGCATATTATGCATACCAAATCGTATAATCAATTTTCGGGGCTTCATCAGTGATAGATTCAACTGGGCAATCCAGTTGTTCGAACAGTGGAAACAGAACCTGAATGCCTCCGATCGAATGGAGTGTACTGTAGATCGAATGTGTAACGACAGCTTGTACATCCTAAAGAGCGAGAAAGTGAGAATCAAAACAATATCAAATGAGCAGTAATTTAAACAAAAATGGTATGAGATTATGTTAGCTAAAATCTCTAATTACGTAGCTCTCAATATATATAAATTCTGCTTTCCCATGAACATTCACCCACCCGCTGCATAAGTGCATGAGGTGAATGCAGAAAATACTGGTTCGCTTTGGGCGACGATTCCAGGCACAACTGAGCATCACAGGCGACCGGATTGTACAGAAATACAATCGCATGACACAGGGTGTTGTCATACAGAATCTTCCGTAATTCCTCCGACAACTCGGGCTTTTCGTTCTCATGACGGAACTGATTCTGTAAACAGCAACAATCGTTGTAGTAACTTATTAATTCCCTCGAACTTCCGTAAGTCACTCCAAATCCACGCTACCTTGTAATCCGCTCCTAAAGCATGTATACCAAAGATTTGCTGGGGAGTAAGCGCCTCGTTAAAGAGATACACCGAGGACATCTGCCCGCGGAATGTGGTGTCTTCCGTTTGTTCGCCGCTTCCACCAATGTAACAACGATCAAATGTCTGCAGCACAATTATTATGTAAAATATTGCAAGTCAGTCAAATTCCAAACAACTGTTTACGAAAGAACACACCTCGCTTGTGTTAACAAACCAGCTCACATCCGTAGCCGACACTTGCTGGCCATTGACGGAACATCGAATCTCACTGCGACTCCAACGATTGTACAGGTAAACGATGCTAATCATGTACCACTAAGAAATTACAAAAAAAATGCAAGAACCTGTCAATGAAAATTCACCAGCGATATATGCACATAATTTTAGCCAAGTTGGAAGTCCATTTCATAAAAATTATTTTATTTGAAATACATTTGCGTAGTCGCGTAAAGAGATGTATCATCGCATGCCAAAAAGCAGACAAATTATATTCTCGCCTTTCCCATTGTTCATATTTCTAATCCAAGCAAGTTTACGATGACTAATTACCTTTCGTGGCTGAAAATCGAAGAACAGCGTATGCTGAATGCCTTTGCCAACGACTTTCATGCATGTGAAAACGATCCCACCGGGAATAAAGTGGGCGGAGTATCCCAGGCCTTTCTGCGTGCGAAAGCTGAAGAGATGCAGACGTTCCTGGTCTGTCACGACGCTGCTCTTCGGCTCCAACCGGAACCATGTCGAATACGTAAAACCCGACTGACAAGGCCATTTAGCGATGGGCGGAAGTGCTATCACCTACATAGGGAGAAAGCATGGTTGTCAGTACTCAGTAACAACAAGACAGTACTCTCTCCGAGATAAGTTAATTTCTAAAAAGAAAAAAAATTCAAAATTACTTGAACAGTTCGCTGCGCAATTGCCTACCGAACGTACAACCGTTTCATTACTTTGCACCGGTCGTGGGAACCGAAATTAATAATATTATGCAACACCTGTAAGGTTTGAATTCAACGGACATGTCGCACCAACAGGGAAATCAAAATTCAAATTATTAAAAGAAACAATAATTCAAAGAAGGTCACGTGGGTTTTGGTTTTTAAAATTACGAGTAGAATTACTGGTTCCGGAGCCAAGGCCGACACTAACGAAATGACGGCCCAATAACTGTCACGTATTTACTGAGTGTACAACTACACTACCAAATTCGTACACATAGCGTTCAACCAACCTGTTCACAACTACAAGTTCGCTTTATATCGTAAACACCACATCCATCGTGGATCAAAATATCTAATAATCAAACAGTAGAGCAAATATTAGCATCTCTTACCGAACCAGCCGTGCCCGGAAAGCTGAAAAAGCAATCCGGACCCTTTCGCTGGGGCATCTGCTGCAGCACCGATAGTAACTTCGGCGTGTGCCTCGGCAAAACCTTCCTGTCCACCGCTTGAAACGCTTGAAATAATTGTTTCAACTCCCGCACGGTGATGTTGTAGCTAGCCAGCAGTCCCAACAATTCAATCAAAAGAGCTAAAAGAAACAGCCTTGCAATTACACATGAAGACATGAATTTGTTAGCACTTACATCCAACCACATCATCAGACCGAGGAAGACGTTCCAACAGCATGGAGAGCATATGACAGTCGGTGCAAATTTGCAGATTCAGAAGACTTTTCTTTAAAAATGCCACAATAACACTCCACACTTCCGCCTATTAACGCATTACATATGTAAATTTACAATGTCAACTATCAAATCATTTCTGAAAAAAATTGGAAGGTAATCCGTAAAAGATCATTATTTTTGTTGCAACTAACACAATACTTTTAAACAACACGTTTATTCACAACTGTATTGCCCCTTCTCACGTTTTCTATTTCGAATACAAGCAACAAACAAGAAAACGGTCACAAATACAGAATGTACTCGTAAACTGCAATTCAACGGATCTTTTTCATCCTTGTAAAAAGTATGACTGAGTAGAAGTACGACTTTCACCTGTAAACTGGGAGGACACTTGTCGAGGAACTCCGTAACCTGAATTAACCGTTCTGGATTTTTTACGGTATGATTTAGTTCCATGTCGAATTCGCCATCCACCAGCTGCAGAAAAAAAGTGACAATATACTGAACAAGTAACGATATACTCGTATATACCAGGAACTAAATTTGATCAAGTATCGCAAGCGATCCAGCCAGCGATTATAAAGTACTGCATAAAGTAAAAACCCAGTAAAAGTTTTCGCAAAATCAGAATAATTATAAGCAGTATCCATTTACCAAAGACAAATCAACGATACAACAAGGAAGAAAGCGTTGGCAAATGAAGCTAATGCTCATCTGTCTACTGCCATCGTTACCATCTTTATTACAGGTAATATTTCACATAAATTTCCTAAAAAATTTTCAATTTAATCAAGTTCGCAGTTCAAGTAATTTTAATATTATCACGCACACTCTATAAAACCTCCCAGCTACGGGTAGGCGTAAAAACAGCGCATTTATTTTGTAGAATGCAAATAAACAGGTAATAAAAGGAATTTCACTCGAATTTCTTTTCACATTTTCCCTTATCATTATCTCAAGCCATTATTTTGGATAACTTTTTTGAATATCAGCAAAATCATTAAGGGAATTAATCGGTCCATGCACTCTGTTAACGGCGCTGAACAGCCATTAAATCTAATTTAGATCACCGTGATGATGAAGTCGGCTTACATTTTCCATTTCATACACTGCATTTTGACAGTTAAAAAATCATGAAAGAATGGGAGACTTTAAGTTAACAAGTAAACTGTCTCACAGTTCTGGCAATCAATAAGCAACAGACTACATGCTGTGCTGAAAGAGTCCATTAATACGGCTTTTATAATCTATCGATTGTGATGGTTCAATACATAAACATGCGATCCGATAAGCGCAACCGGAATTCAGCCATACTAATCAAATGCCAACAATCGGAGGCGCAAAAATCAATGAATCCTCTCCAATTGTCCTTAGCAGACTTTACACACACTTCTTTATAGGACAAATTCAATACAAAATTCTGTTGACTTATACCATACGACGAATCGCATGAATTTTTAACACTAACAATAATTTTCACTTGTTTACAAAACTGTTTTCAGCACACACCGCTGCAAAAATGTTGAAGTACTAACATTTTCCGGTAACTACTCACCCCACGCACAACGCGCTCAATTAATACAGGAAACAAAAAATATTCCATTATAAAAAATTTTATGAAGACACTTAAAGTTCAAAATTTAAGATCAAAAGATGTAGAAGTATTAATCAATTTTTTTACCGTTCAGGTTTTAAAATTATACAAGAAATAATATCCCAGTATATTCTCGATTCAGTGAAGTGAATGAAAGGTCCAGCACTTACTTACACTCTGTACCAATCCGTGAAGTACCTGCTTTAACAGTTCTGTACTGGAAATGAACATTCTAGAAAAATTTCAGGAAAACTAGCACTTAAAAAATTCCTTTCGGTGAAATGCTTCAGTTAAACGTTAAAAAAAATAGTATGCAAACACATAAAATGCAAAAACAAAGGATCAGGAGAACTGCAACTATAGCTCAAAAACCACTCTATTTATCAAACATTCATAGTAAACATTTATGTAACTTCTTAATCTTCTAAAATTAAACTGTTGTTCTATTAGCACAACAACAACAAGCAAAATAATTAGCTTTTTCAAGTCCACATTAATTAACGCTGACTTACCACATTGAGTGCGATATCGGCCACCTGCTGGCTGGTGAGTGTTCCCTTGGAGAAGCCCTCCAGCACGCGCGCCAGGGCATCCCCATCCGTCACCACCTCATCCACACGCAGCGTCTCCGGCTCCTTAATCCGCTGCAGCTCCAGCGGTATGTCATGCAGCTCCTGCAGGCTCTCTTCCTCATGATCGGAGGGAATCGGAGTGGCATCATCCTCCGTCACCGTCGTCTCCAGCGGAACATCCACAACAGGCGCCGCTTCTTCGTCCACATCGCGCACCGCCGTTCCCGGGATGCTGGTCACCTGCACCACATCCTCCGTGGTCGGGTGGTCGGTATACTGCACCTCCACCGTGCTGGTCGGGGAATCGGTGCGGGGCTTATCATCGGAGACAGCGTGGAGTGCTGCGTCACCCGATGCCACCAGGTCTTCGCTGTCTGATTCTGTCACGACGGTTTCGGTCGGTTCAGTCGGTGATGGATGCGGCGATGACGGTGTGTCTTCCGAATCCATCATGACTGATGATTAAACGGATGAAATCACCACTAACCAAAATAAATTCAATTAAGAGGGGAAATGGAGAGGAAATTGTGCGTAATGGTGTAAATAATACATCTCCCTGTAAACTGGTGCACATCGTACACAGTGACAGCAGGGCATCTATGCTAAGCACAGGATAAACAACAGCAGCCACCTGTATAATCTACTGCGCAGCCTGCGCTTATAACAAGGCGAATAATGCAATGCAGGACTTTTACCCAGTTTTATTCACATCCGGAGGAAATGAACTTCGTCCCGCTTAAAACGTAAGCTCTCGGATTATGGATGTGCCCAAAATCAGATACTGATGGTAAATAAAAATAAAGCAGTCCGAAATTCAATTAACTAATAAGTATCAATTTCATTAATACTGAAAATTTGATAGAAGTTTTGGTTTTTGATCCGTCATTTTCAAAATTTTTCAGTTTTTAAGTTGCTATAAACGTGGATTGTGGAAACACGGATAAACGTACGGCGACATACGTAGCGTAGTGGCCGTACGTTCAATAGCAGATACGCTTTTGTTGACATGACGTCCGTTCGTGACGCGACAGCTGGTACAAGCTGTACGGAGGAAAGCGATTTTGCTACCCGTCGTTGCTCATGAATGAATCACTCTGCTTTCCCATTTTAAATTTTCCCGTTTCCGTTCTACCATTGCATTTGACTTTTTTGTGTTTCCACTCAATATATAGGCACAATTAGTGTGCATTTGTTGACTTTTTACAGCTGATTGTTGTATTTTTGTGTGAGTGATGTGATTTTAAAGTTTTCTTTGGGGATTACAGCAGATATTTCGAAGGGATTCGGACGATACGATATCCTTCTTTTCACGCCTGGATTTGCTCATTTGCAGTTATATTTCTTGAAACATTGTGAGTTTTCTGTTTTCATGTGATTCGGGTCGTCAACCTTAGCACGAGAAGATGTCCCACTGGTTTCATCGAAATCCCATTAAAGCAACGGCACCACAGAAATTCGATGTGAAAGGATGCACGACGGACGGACAGGCTTTGAAACTATGCGGGTAGGTCCCGGTAGGACTGTAAGAATTGCCTTCGCTTTGCACGGCTGCATCTAGTTAAATTGGTTAATCCCTGTTAAATGTTAATTGATAATTAGCATTTCACTGTGTTTGTCTTGGTTTACGTTCAAATGCATTCTTTCCTTAGACCTTCTGATTTTTGGTTTGAATTTTGAGCTGTTGCTTTCCTAAACATGACGAAATACTGCTTGTGGAATTGTACTTACTTTGAGATTCGTATGTCAATCAGTATGTGTGCATTGCGCAGAAATCATGATAAAATATGATCGTTTTAGATTTTATTAGCGTTGATTAGCTATTTTTATGCTATTAGTAGTACCTAATACCTAGTACTTCATTCACCATGCAAAAGTCAACTTTAAAACTTAATTATGGTCATCGGAATGGCTTCGTCCCTTCGAAATTCTAACGGATTAATGTTGTAAAGGATTTATTTTGTATCCACGTAGTAAACGTTAAAAATAACAGTTACTGTATTTTTTGTAATTTAATTTTGAGTTGTTTTGTTTAACTGTTTTCCAGAGATCTCCGGCAATGTCGAGCGCAGCTGTTAACCATCCTCACATCACCATCCCAGAGTGTAGCGGATGTAGTAATGGCATACACCAACTACGTCTCCCTACTGCAAGGTCTACTACAAGCATGTGATGAACGCGGCGGGGAAAGTAAACTGCGCTACTTCTACATGTTCCGCTGGTCCAATTCCATTATCCCGGATGCTTCCGTGGAGCAGCAGGATGCCATGTTTGAGCTGATTCATATTTCCATCAATCTGGCACTGTGGTATATGAAGCGTGCGGCTTTTGTCGCTTCCAAAGACAGGTACAGCGTGTATACTGTCGTGTTATGTCAATACTGTACCATTGATGCTGTGTGTTTGTTATGCTAGCATATCGGTCGATGAAGCTAAGGAGGTGCATCGATGCTTACGTTTGGCGGCGGGCGTTTTCAAAGAAATGCAGACCAACTATACCGGCAGATTACTGGGCGAAACGCCCAAATCCACCGATGTGGATTCCCGGGTTTTGGTGGCGTATGTTAATCAGTGTTCCGCCGAAGCCCAAGAAGGTGAGAAAACGGTGGCGGTTGGTGTATCGTTTGTGGAAGTTTTTTTGTTTGTTGTAGTGACCATTGCACAGGCCATTGAACGGAAGCATGCACCAGCCCTTATATCTGCCCTTGCCAATGAAACCGCCAAATTGTTTATTGGTGCTGATGCGTCGTTGGCTAAAGTTGAAGAAGTCTACGTGGGAAAATGGCGCAGATACCTCCAGTTGAAAGGAGCCATTTATGAAGCATGCGTGAGTGAAATCATCAGTTGCAGTTCTGGTCATATGGAGCGCATAAATATCACTACGTTGTTTTTTAGAAATGCAGTGTATCATCGTACTTAATTTAGCGGTATGATCAGTAAAGATAAAGCGGTACGAGTACTTAAACATAGAAATGTGATACATCATAAAAATGTGAACTGGCAAGAATACGAACTTTTCAAATATAGATGCAGAGAAGATGTATAAATATATTTACACTACTCTAGATAAGCGTTCGTATGATACAGACTTCGGACATTTCTCTTTTACTTCGAGATATGCAAACATTTTTTACAGGCCTACTGCTACTGCGGTGAAAATCTTCTAGCGCAGGATAAATGTGGGGAAGCAATAAAGGCGCTGCAAGAAGCGAACAAAGGTGCGACGAGAAATTGTTATGATTATGGAAACTCAGACATATCCAGTTACGTTGTACAATGTTTGTTGCAGCTTTTGATTCCTCGCTTGAACTGTGTAAAGAGTATGCCAAAGCCAAAGGAGTCGGTTCCACTGTGAAGCCGGAGCAACACATCTTTTTCCGAAACCTACGAGCACGCGTTGATCGTACTTTGGAGAAATGCGAACGCGAAAATGGCATGATGTTAGTATTATTTACAGTTTTTGATTTTCATCCAATAAGGCAACTGGTGTATGACTTCACAGTTATCATCAAAAAGTTCCTGATGTTCCCCCGGAACTGGAAATGAAAGCCACCTTCGGCCTGGTTAGTCCAGAAACATTCACCTTGCCTCCATTGCATCCACAGTGGACGCCGGCAACATACAAAGCCTTCGATTTGGGCCAAATCAAACGTGAAAACAAGGTTTTTAACGGAGTGTTTTAACGGATAGCTTGATGATGTTGGACTGTTATAAATTAGTTGACTAATCGTCTAAATGGCATTGCAACAGAATAACGGATGGGCCAAGAAAGGAGGCAGTCTTCCCCGTGTTGAAGAAGAGCCGATTCCTTTTTCCAAAGGCATGGAATCAACATCTAGCGGTTGTTCGATACAGTAATATTCTGGTGTCTTGCTCCTCCTGGTTCGAATTCCAAGTCAATGGATTTATTCTGACATTTACCGGTTGGATTTTGTTGGAAGTATTTTCTAGCACCTATAGAAGCATTAAGGCTCGTGATTTTTATTTTTAAATTTTAGGCATCTTGTAAGTGAAGCGCCGTATCTTAATTACTGCATAATGATTCTGTATTACTTGCAGAAATTATTTTTCACTCAAGAATTATGCTTTGAAAGGAAATGTCTATGGTTTTTACACCACTATTAGTTTTTGTGTATTGTCTGTATCTATTGTATATGTAATTTCAAAATATTACAGAAAGTTTTCAACGTTTATTCCGGAGATTGAACCGTAGTGCATTTTTACGAACATGCATACTGTGATAAATACTGAAGAAGCAGTACTTGAAGTACGAGTAGTTACGATACTTACTGGTTCATGGAAAATTGGAAATAAAATACGTTACCTAAGTACGGCAATACTTTGTCGCTGCAGTTTGATAGATAGCTAAATGTTACAACATAACACGACGTCTAAATATTTTGGAAAATACATAGTTCAGTCAAAGTTACTGCAGACCCTTTCAAAGCAAGAATTCCTGTGAGTACAAGTATACCGCTAGAAAATCAGAAAAGCGCTCCAGTTTCCATATCATAACCAATCTTGTGTATATACTTGATCTTCAATATTTTTGTTGCGGTGCTGTTTAATAGGACCAGGGCCTCGGTAATGGAGATGTTCTTTGGGTTCTGCAACAGCATGAATAATTTAAAAATGAACAAAAAAAATCACTAAACTTGCCTGCAAAAATTATGAAAAGTATTTTTTAATTTCCATCATTTACCGGCTAGTAACAATATCTATTACATTATGGCTGCGTGCACGGGTAAACACGGGCGCTGGCTGCGTGCACGGCTAATTTATTTAACTAAATTAATTTAATTAAAACATTCAAAGTAAGAAAAAAGCGTACACGGGAGACCAAGACGAAATGAAAATAACCACATAAAATATATTTGCACTACATATTCCTGGATCATGGGCCCATGGCATGTAAAAAAATATGTCAAAAAACCGGTAGAAAAACCGGTTGTGATTGTACAGAACGTGGGAAACTACGTATAAAACCTGTTACGGCCAAAATTCGACAGACGTGAAAAAATTAAAAAACGGCCGACACGTAAAGGTGAGAAAACTGAAATTTATAATACCGTGCACGCAGCCAACACCCGTGTTTTCCCGTGCACACAGCATCGACCTATTTATTATGGTAACCCCTGACGAGCACGTGCCCTTTCGTCCGTTTAAAGTTAAACTACAGGTACTTCCGCGGTCGCGGCTGTTAGTAATACTCACTTTCCAATCGATTTGCAAAATCAGATCTCCCACACGAAAGCTGGGTGTCCGTGTCCTCGTGATCATCAAGACTGTCTTATTGTCCAAGGTAAAACCGTCACAGTCGAATGATAAAGCCGAGTCGCTACCGCCCAACACAACCCGCTTTATATGGAACAGATTAGGCGAATCCTTTAGGCTCTTTTGGCAGTTCCGGAAAGGGCACCTTTTCTGAAGTATAGTAAGCGAATCAACATTATCGCATTTATCATTTGCGGTTCACTATCGTATCGTTCCAAGTCCTTACCACATTTCGTTCCCTTTTCCCGAATGAGACGATGATTTTATCAATATCGTCATCTGCTACGGATGGTTTATTGGGTTCCGAGGGAATAACATCCGGATCCGGAGGTTCAGCTCTTTCATCCATGCGTTCCACCCAGTTGTCCAATTTTCCTAGGACTTCTTCCATGCTTGTGCCCGTACAAACAGATTCTATAAATATACAGAGTAGAAAGAGGACAACCAAGATGAAGAAGCCGGCCAGCCCATAACATAAAACAATTCCCACGTTTCCCTGAAAGCAAACACTAATATAAAGATTATCCGTACACTGTAAAGTGCAACCTTAATCGTATATACTCGCATACCAGGAATTCAGTAAATGTTAAAGCACCATCTTTTTCTGCCGATTGATCCGTGGCAGAAGCGTTTGCATTGGAACTAGAGTGATTTGTGCTCTATAAAACAAACAGTTTACCGGTTGCAATCAAACATCACACCTTTTTTCCCCAGATTCGCACAGCTACCTCTAGCAGTACAATCAGTGAGTGCTTTTGTTACGTTTCAAAACGTTAAAGGTGTTATCAGTTTCGCTGCATATGTACGTTTTGAAAATAACTCAAGAAAGGGGTGGATAAAAATTTACAATGGTTCGCGATAAATTATCAATGAACTGGTAGAAAAAAGAACTGGTAGAAAGAAGCCAGCCGACTCACCGGGTTCTGTCGCGGCAGAGGTTTATAATTGCCACATACACCACCGTTTATTCGCAACAACCATAGAACGATGAAAACTTTAATCAAACCACATTTCAGCCCACTTTCCAAGAAAAACTTTTTCTTCGAAACACTCGTCTTGTTAGTGGCCGGCGTTGGTTTCGGGTGCGCTGGGCAGGAAATAACCGGTCGTCGATGCTTAACAGACTTCTTGAGCATAGTCATAGTTGTTAACTTGTTAAACAAATATTACGTTGTACAAAAATTCAGAGCGCCTCTGAAGTGTTGCACAGCAGCAGTAAAACGTCCATTCTTACTTCAGAGAACAACCGCAGTAACCGCACTGAAATCATACACACTGTAGAAATTGGAATATATAAGAGATATGTTCCGTGTCAAACACACTTTTTGTACTATGTTGCAAAAAGATGTTATTTACAAATCTGAAGGCATGCACTGCAATGTAGACGTGGAAAACAACAAATTTCACCGTTAAACTCTGGTCTCCGTACTTATACGTACTTCGTAGTTCTATAAATATGATTACCTATATCTGAAATTCGGAACAATATCCCGTATAACACAGGCAGCGATCGATACTCTTCGGCACCACCGTCTGCTTGGACCATACGAGTTTTCAGTGCAGACGCTTGGACATATAGGCGCACTGCGCTATCGTAATTACAGGACATCATGGAAATCACGAATACAGTAATCATAATGTGTCGCATTTATAGACAGTTGTGTGGCTGATTCAGTGGGCCGATTCAGTACTCTTCTGCTCCTTCACCCTTAAGCACCGGTACCGTATCCTGTCTGGACTTCCGAAAGCCAATGGGCTGTTTTATCATACAGTTCTTTATAGGCTTGCACTTTAAAAATCTGAAATATACTGTACGCATTTGAGTTGATTAAACCCAAATTAGGATTGTCTTGCAAAAACCGAAGTGTCTACAATTTCAATTATTAAGGATTATCTAAATCACAAATTACAACATAAGCTTCGTATAGCAAATCTGAATGCCATTTTAAAATTATTTTAAAATTATGGAATGCGTTGCATGCATTGCATCAAACAGCACTGCATCATGAAGCACAAATAAGCTAAGCTAAGTATAAGATTTTCTTGAAGATAAAAATTAAGCTAAAAAGTTATCCAGGATTTACTGCAGCAGTCATATGCATGGTAAAGATTCGCGCTTTTCGGTAATGATTTTTGTCTCCGGGTGGTGAATTGTGCTTCTAATTGAGCGTGCCGAGCGTAAAGTAGATTAAAGTAGTACAAATTTATAGAATACTGCTTTTTCGATAAGGTTTGAGTTATATATCACCGGGCCTATATAGTGCGGTGTTGCACAGATTACCGGTCCTCCGGTACTACTTTAGTACCTCTACTGCTACAGTTTTATGATGCATCCAGGCATCACGGAGGGTTTCCAATGTGCATGTATTCCCCAAGACTGGTAAAACACATTCGTTTTGCTTTTGCATCTTCTCCGGTTAAAAAGCTGCAACTGGAATGAGTACAACTTTAATTTATATCATCGGCTACAACCTGATGCATGGTACCGAAAGGAACGCAAATGGCGCCATCGCTGATGTTGTTCTGTTTGAGTTCAGTAGAGCCTTGGCTTTCAGCAAATCGTGTTTTCCATGTTTTAACGATGAGCCAAACTATGATCATTGAATGCGCTAGTATATATAGTTACCGTTCATTCTCAGGTTCTTGCTTTTTGCGCCACTTTGGTTTTTGAAGTGTATGTTGCAGGTACACGTAAATACTAGTACTTATCTAAAGGTCATTACACAATACAGGTTCACCGAAGGCCGAAATCCGCGGCTTAATTTTTCAGACTGTGATTCCTATCACACAAAAGCGAGCAAAAGAAAAACTGATGAAGTTTAATTATGCCGCGGTGCTAGACGTTCACTTATTTATTACTCTCGTGTATGCGTGGAATTGGATGCATCATGCAGCATATTGCGAGCATAGCAGTTATATTAGTACCAGTTACTGACCTGGTGAGTGGGAATCAACCTACCCTTATGCGAGCTTATAAGATGATTTCCCATCTCTGTGTAATATTCGGAGTGTTTAGAAATGTGCTAAAGTGTCGGTCGGTATTTTGTTTTCAGCACTGATTGAACTCTGATTTATTTCCGTAGCTATTAAAAAAGTGTCTTAATTCTTCAGATAAATACGATATTTACAGATAGATACTTGCGGGCAATCGTCTGAATAGAATTGCAACAGGATAAATAACGGATGGGCCGAGGAAAGAAGCGGTCTCCCCAGTACCCAGTGTTGGAGAAAAATCGATTCCTTACTCATGGAATCAACGTCTACAGTAGCGGTTGTTCGATATAGCGTACTATGTTTTGTTTTGCAGTTCCGAATTCGAGCTGCAACTTGCAAGTCAGTGGATTTATTCTGGCATTTGCCGGTTATTTCCTGGCACCACTGGAAAGTAAAACATAAGAACTGGTCACGACTGGTGATTTTATTTTTGAATTTTATGCAGGTATTTAAAGGTGCATTAGACTGTTATTCTCTATTGCCTGCAAGTGTTTTTCGTGAAGGATTGCTGAGACCGAAGGACTGCAGTATGTAAGTTACTTAAGTTAGAATCTTTTATTCCGAAGTTACTCATAGGCTTGTAATGCGTCAGTAAACATGCTGTGATAATACAGTACTATTACAACGAAGAAGAAATTCGGAAAGTTACTGCTTCAAGGAAATACGTGCAGAATTAAAAGGTACAATATTACTACATATAACAGTGACACTACTTTTGCAATTTGATAGATCCAAATTCCAGAAAACTGTAAACACGACACCAATCAGTTTTGGACAATAAACAAGTCAACGCTGCTGAAGAGTCAACATTTAAAACACGCGAATTCTTTTTGTGGGTAGCGGTACCGCTAAAGAATCAAGAAAGTGCACCCGTTTCCATGTCAGATCCGATCTTATGTATGTACTTAATTTTCACGGTTCTTCTGGCGGTGTTATTCAGTAAGACCAGGGCCTCGGTAATGCCTATTTCTTTAAGGCTCTGCAAAAAGCGAATATAACCTGAATTAATAGAAGCAATGAAGATCTTTAATTTTCAAGAACTGAAAATTCCCATTAAAATGCAGGTATACTTGTACTTTTAAGCCTCATGGTAACACTCACCTTCTCATTGATTTGTAATATTAGATCCCCAACACGAAAGGAAGGCGAACTTGTCCTCGTGATCATTAAGGACGTCTCGTTGTCCAAAGTAAAACCTTCGCATTCGAAAGGGACAGAGCCAGTTTTGTCGCTCAAGTACGGACTGTAGCTGTCTAACACCATATCCTTCATATGGTAATGGTATATATTGGGCGAATCCTTCAAGATTTTTTGGCAATTCCGGAAAGGACACCTTTTCTAAACCATCATGGACATAAATAAGCCTCAGAAGCGGTTGCATAATATCGCAGTTTCATAATTTCGCATACGAACTATATCTATATATGGCTGGCTGTATCGAATTCCGCCGACTGTGAGATCTACGAGCGCCTACAGTGCTCACCCCATTTCGCTCCCTCTTCCGAAATGATTCAGTAATCTTATTAATCACATCCGGTGTTTCGAGGGTGCTGACAAATTCCAAAGGAATGACATCGGGAGCCTGGTAATACCGGTAAGGCGGTAACAACATTATACAACATTTGTAAGTTGCAATCAACATTTGTAATACCCGGTCATCGATTCGTGTCATCCAGCTACCATTCCATTCTGTATCAATTTTTTGCAACCACAGGTCCAATTCGGTGCGCTTATACATCAGCAAACACAAGCCAGCAGAGAGTAACAGGACCAAGATGCCAGTCTGCACTAATTGTATATACTTAGGCCTGCCCGACTGGAAAGTGGAAACACAAAGTTTTAACGCTGCGGCGGTTGGCACTCTCCTACTGGACTTATTAACGGCTTATTTTTAAAAATTACTTTATTTGTGAGGTAAATGACTTTTTTTTGGTTGTGTTTTCTCAACTCCCCTTACCGATTGTTCCGAGCCAAAAGCGTTTCCACTGGAGCTGGATGGATTGAGTCCCTATGAACAAACAGTTAAATGGATAGCTTATAAATACATAGTTATATACTAGTTTGTTTTTAAATTCATACCACCAGCACTATTGCCGCAGTTCAAGTTCGACCACTGACCAGTGAGCTCTGGCGAAACCTGCATTTTTTAGCATGCATTTGTCGTTGTAAGCTGTCCTCTAAAACATGTTAAGAGTGGACGAGGAAAAAGCCGATAATAATATTCTGTTGCTGATAAGTGATCACTGATAGTTATTTGAAGAAAAGTAACATTGTCATCCTCACCGGGTTCTCTTCCGGTAAACATATATCTTCCCCCCGCACACCGGAGATTATTCGCAAAAGCTACATTACGACGAATACTTCAAAGAGGCCACACTTCAAATCTCCCATGATGCACAAGCAGCCAAAATTTTGCTGGAACAAACTGGTCTGCATAATGCCCGCTGCGGTTTCGATGCAGAATACGAATACGATCGATTATTAGCATAAATTAACTCTACTTCTTACTGCTTACAGTACAAGTATTGCAGACGCCTTTCTGCTCGTCAGGCTTGTGTAGGAAAGTCTGACTCTGGGATGGAGACGGGAGAGCACTGTATATTAGCAGCGAAATTTATGATTCTGGATTGACCCATTCGCGATATGTACGAGCGATATTCGTACAACCCACCGTCTCAGTCCGTCTGTCTCGATTGGGTATGCAATCAGATAGGAAGCGGGTCTATGACTCTGCGCATAGGCGGCACAGCGCATAGGGCTCGACTGCTACAAAACCCGGCCGAGCTGGACAGTGTGGTTCTGGATTGGCTTCTTATTTTATTATCTTTTGGATATCGGGTGATATGGCGTGAATCGGAATAATCAGTCGAAAAACTCTCTTGTTCGTTCAGTCCGTCCGTTATTCTTAGCCCCGGGTAATCATCCCGAAAGTGCCGAAACCCAATCTCACAGCAATGGCACTTTTTGCGGAGCACACACAATCAGCAACAGAATTGGTTAAATCAGTCATCATAATTTGGTTTGCAATCGCTCATTATCAAGAATAAAACGGTAAAAATAACGCCACCCAAATTAATCGGCAAACATAAGCATATTCAGTAAATATTCACAATTTCACATGCAGTAATAAAAGCGTAAATAAATCATAATTACAAACTCAGCCTACCATCCACATCACCTTTACACACGCGAATTACCAAAGAAAACAAGTTGTCATAACATATACATGACATATTAAGGGGCATCTAATCCCGCAGAGCGCGGAGAAGACAGCACGTTCTGGTTGGAAGCCAGATTGCGCAAAACTATCCTTCCTGTCGATGTAGTGGATACGGGGATGGGATGACCGACGGTCTCCTGCACCGGGAACGAGAACTCCGAACCTCCCCGACTACTGCCCATGGTGGCCGTGGTGGAGAAATTTGAACTAGCCAAACTATCCGCTGAATTCTCGCGCTCCAATCCGCGCCCGATTGACACCGGAAAACTGTTATTCACCCCGCCCTCATCCGTCAAATCCAACGGAATCGATTCCCCCAACGTCCCAATGAGCAATTCCTGAATGAACAGGGCGCGATCCGCCTTCAAACGCGGATGATATTCATCATGGTGCGTTTCCGTGCTTTTTTCCTCCATCAACCTAATAAATACATCCATATTACTAATAAAAAGACGTACAAATACACGAAGAAAAACAATGAAATTGTTACTTGTCCAACAAAGAATGCCCATCCTTTTCCTTCTTCACCACTTTGGCACCGGACGCCACCGCATGTCCCGGAGGCGGCGCGGACAGCCGCGGATCCGCAGTGAAGGGCAAGGTGTTGATGTAGGCCGCGGTTAAACGGCTTTCCAGCGGATTTCGACTGGTATCCGCCGATGACGAGCCCACAGCCGCACGCGTCGACGCTCCACCCGCGCTGCGCATATTTTCCACACGGCCAAAGAGAATATTCTGTCGCTCCATCTGCAACTGCATTTGCAGCTGTTGGAGGGATGATGCGGTGCTAGCCATATTGGCCGTAATGGATGACGGATTGGTGGCCACGGATTGAAAGGTGCCAGAAGCTCCAAGAGAAGTGGATGAGCCAGTGGAACCGGTCGGAGCTGCGCGCCGGACGCTGGTCAACTGGGACAGCAGCTCTAAACCGAAAAAAAATAAGTCAGTAACCATTCCTTCTTCTTTACTGATGACTCGAAAAGGTGAAGTGGATCAAGATCTGTGTGCACCAGGCAATCGCTACTTGTTGCAACTTGTAATGAAAGCGTGTCATTTTCGTCACTCTGCATTATTGATTCTTTTCGTTTTTTTCAAAGTTTGTTTAAGTTTGCTAAAGTGGTAATCTACGGCCGTTGCAGAAGTAATCCTAATTGTCGCACGCGCTAAGCAGAAAAAACAAAAGCAATACAAACCTGCAATCGAGTCCACATTCTCGCGCACCGATGTAGCCAACGCCGAAGCCGGCGGCAGCAACTGCTGTACAGCCGACGGTTCCGTCACGGAGCCGGGCGCCGTGCCGAAACGCGATCCCGTCGACGGGGAGGACGCCGATGGACTGCCCGCGATAGTCTGGCCCAGGGCGCCGCCTAAACGACGCTGCTCGCGATTCCGCACGCTTGTGGCACCGGTGGGAGTGCGGCGGAAACGTCCGCGCCCCATCCCCAGACTGCGCCCAGTTGGCTGCTGATAATAAGAAAAACACAGCAAAATCACAAAACAGGGAACAGAGCTTGTCGATATTGATGGTACCGTTTCAGCACTGGGCTGGTGTTCCGATGTCAGATGCGCCAGTAAATCTTCGGTGACGTGGTTCGGATCACCGCCTTGCATAGTGGAACAAATCGGACAAATCTAATGAAAAATTCTATAATCAACTGTTTGATCATTGCAACTAGCACAATTGCCGTCAACGATTAACAAGAAGGATAATCTTTTACAGTGACTAAAACTGGGCCCGTTTTGTTTTATAGCACTCTTACCACGTCGGTAATCGTATTCGGATGCCGCAGATCAACATGGTTGGCCAGATCACCCTCACCAAATCCCATCTCACCACAATAACTAGACGTATAAAAAATAATACTGTACAAACAATATAACAAAAAATAGTAAGCTAAAAAACATTACAAGCACTCATACTTTACTTCCACAGTTCCACTCATTAAACGCAAAATGCAATAATACTTACGGGCAAGTGAATGACTGGCCCTGATCGTGGCTGATACTCTCACCACCGTAATAAATGTCTGCAACAAAACCATCAACGTAAGCATCAGCAGTCGCTGCGAAAATCCGATACCAACACTATTTACAATTTAACTTCAAAAATTGCATTATGTCGATTCAAATTCAAAAAGTACATATATCCCAAACATTAATTAGCACACCGTGCAGTACACTGAGTTAAGGTAATCCCTCTGTATGTGTGCCTTAAGACGTAAAGAAGAAAGAGGCACCAAAGACGGAAGACCTACCAAAATCGCTGCGAGTGAGAATGCACTGCATGGGATGATCGGCCAAGTGACGACCCGATGTGGCCTTGTTGTCGCGACAGTTCCCGCACAGATCGTAATCATAGCACACCAGGCATTTGTACCGTCGTCCCCGGAAGTTGGAAATCATGCAAGCATCACAGCTGACTCCTACCAATTAGAAAATTTGGAGGTGCAGCTCCCTTGAGGGATTGTCGTGGTGAGATTTGAGGTACACGCATTTAACGCAGTACACACATATTGTGATATATACTAACAATAACTAAGCCCACCTTCATGCTTAGTTCCAGACATTTCACTGGTCTCGATTTGTGGCAAACACCAAAATAATTTTAGAACAACTTGTGCATGAAACGATTGAAACAGCAGGTTCGAAAAATAAGATAGCCAACAGAGAAAACTCAGAAAAGCAAAAGAAAAATCGCGATGAATGACTAGCTTTGCCGAATCCAAGGGAGCTTTGAACTGCCTACTCGAACTTCTGTAAGTTCTGTTGTACAATGTTACTGTTATTAACTGTGTAAAGTTATTTATCTATTTGTTAAGGCAGCAGAAAACAAACCACAGATGAACCGACAGGTTGAACAGAACAAACTGGAAACCAAAAAATTCTGCAAACAAACATCACAAGTGACAAGTAAGAATCGGCAGGAACACATTTTGCTGCAACAGTGTCACCGCCAGTGCTAGTCAGCCCAGCGGCAGCAGGCCCCAGCTCATACTGCCAGCTGCCGCTCCTCGATAGCGGTTGCAATGAACGTCAAAATGCTATCGAACAGGTACTTACTAGTACTTACGGTTAGTACTTCAAATTTTAAAATCAATTTTAATTTTTAACTGTGATGTAGTGTGCCCGCGCTTGCCTTTTTGTTATCTGATGTCTATTGCCTATTAAAACAACTTACTAGTGCTTACCAGAGAGAAAGATAACTCTGCTAGTACTTCCTCAACCTTGTGTCATTACAGTACTGTAATTCTGGGACTTTTTTATGTGGCTGGTTTACTTGAGTCCTGATAGTCATTTGGCTGAAAGGTTGACGGAATTAGTACATAAATAACTTCTTTTGAAACACACTTGTTAAAGTCAATAAACTCGATTAAACAAAACAAAACACGGCCATAACAGCGGCGCGTCGAATTTTCTCCAAAATTTTCTGCCAGTGTTGGCTGATAATTGTAAAATTAATATCCGTGTACAGTAACAGCTGCAAAATTATCAAACGTTAGGTTGCAGTTATACTTATTACGATCTTTTTCAACATTATTTGATCTAAAAATTAATAACGGCTTAGAACTGCGAATTAATGTGAAAGGCAACAATGAAAAATCACTCAAACATTAGTGGCATGAACAGAAAATTTATTCGCTCATAACTCCCTTAACCCAACAATGCTTTGCAGGAACATTACAATTTCTGACCTGTAAAACATTCAAAATAAAACCTGCCCCCAGTCCGTAGAAAACGTCCGTGAACATGCAACCCACAGAATCTGCCCGGATAAATCAAAATCAAGAAACTGGCGAAACATAAAGAACAACCGGAAAAGAAACAACAAACATGTGTAACTATGTTGTACCATCGCACAGAGCGCACGACAGATAAAAAACACCATTCTCTAATTATCGCCCACTGTGCCCAATTCAACCAGACCGAAACGGCAAACTGGCATCCACGACGTCTCGCGCTAATCCGGTCGGTCCAGTAAACGGCACATGAATCAGGCAATGCATGCGAAATTCCCCCATCCATACCATATTATTTAATTTAGTTCTTGTACAACGTTGCTTTGGGCCGTGGATCAACACCTCTTGCAGTTTTCACACGTTCCGTTTCCGCATGAGTCTGTACAAAATAAAACCAGTGTTAAAAAGATGGCAATCTCTCCAAGAGTCTAAATCAAAAACAGCAATGTTCATGCTAATTACAGTTATCAAAACTGATGAATCGGAAGTGTAAACCACGGAAAAATATAAGTCACCGAATCGAAAATTATGGTGTATACCATGTAAATATTTGCGCTACCGCACGACAAATAATACGTAAACAAAAAAGGTACTCGTAGACTTCAAAGATTTACACAACCTTAACCTGAAGATTTCAATATTTAGCCATAAACGTACCACAAATTCCAAATGAATTTTGTAATTTGGCGGAAGAGCAGCAAGGAGTTTCTGGCCAATAAAATCGATGTGCTCTTTATCGTCGTCGCGCGTCCATAGCGCTAATCGAAACTGTTTGGCTCTTGCTGATGCCACAACTCCGTTAACGTATTCTCCATATTCTCCGAAATTCTCCCCAACGCACATCATCAACTGCAAAGAAACATAGGAATACGTTACTATCAAAAGTAAATAAAAATAAGACAGATAACGACAACGACTGGCGACGTCATATCAAGCCGACCGCCGACCAGGTGCGATAATTCCAAAACTCCATCAAAATCAATATTCCTTACAGAAACAGTTATAGAATGTGAACGTGAGCCGCACTGATTAGATAACTATTTACATCCCGCGTTAATCAGAGTCACTGGTACAATCAAAAATCAATAATACATGCTTGTTAAACCTGGTCGGTCGACTTCAAAATTCCAAAAGTCATCTCAGCCAACATAAAATGATATTCGTGGCGTTATCAACGTAATATTACGAAAAAACTAGTTAACACAATTTAAATTAAATGGAAAAACGAATTCAGAGACAAAATGTATTTCAAGTGCAATCTTAAGAAAAACTTTCCCGGGACGTAAGCACGTCGGATAGCACCAAGAACGATGTATCGATAATTAAATTATTCAGAAAAACTCCACCCCACCACAGGATTCGGCGTAACCGCAAAATCAAATGCGTGGTTAGTCATCATGCAACAGGATGTGGATGACGTCGACAATCCCATGAAAAGCAGGTTCACATAAAAAGCACATTTAATTTTGAAGCACAGTAAGCCCACCCCGAGGAGGTACGCCGAAATCTCCCTTTAATTGTTCTCAGAATTACCGGAAGAGTAACTGAAACTCACCAATTCCCGAAAAACATCGTCGATCCGGTTGCCGATTTTCTGGGTATCGAAGCTCATCTTCCAGCAGCCTCCCGGTGCATTATGGGGATCCTCCCACTCGGGCCTTATCTTGTCCATATCACCTAATCCCCCGCGGAACATGGAATAATCGCTGCCTTTTTTCAGCTGACTGAGCGCCGTTATGTGGTGGTATAAGCTGCAGAAAATTTCTCAACTGAATATTATACTGCAAAAAGCGTGGTTGGATTTTTTGTCGCTTTTTTCCCCTTACGCCCAAAAATCTTCCACGGTATCGAAGGAGAGGACATCCTTCGTGGCCAGCTTCCAGTCTTTCCTGGCTTCATCGGGATCCAGATAGAAAAATGACCAGGATGTGGCAAGAGGATGCTTTTCCGGGATAACCGAATCGTCAGCACTCGGTCCTTCAGGGTTCGCTGTGGTTTTATTCTGCAACACCATTATCATCAGAAATCGCAAGCAGACGGCACGACACTCAACGAAACACGATTACACAATACGCCTGATAGATGTGCAAATTTTTACTGACGTACAGACATGAAGGAGCAATAGTGTCGCAATTGAAAAAAACCAATATTCTGATTTCCCGAGTCAGTCCAATAATTATGCCGCTAGTTGGCAGGTGCCATAAGCACTGTAATTGCCATCGTATGTACACCAGACATTCACACACACGGCGAACTTGCTTCCGTGTTACAGCGTTATCACTGTGCGCCGTACCGTGCCGCACTTGCAGCTCGATGACTCGGTCATGCGAGAGTTGCACAGAGGCCGGTGAACTTGGGTATTTCGCTAAGCTTACGCTTTTTAAGTGCGGTCGTTCGACTATTTTGCCATACATTTGCCACAGGTTGCAAAACAACTTGCGCATCAAAAGTATCTTTTGCTGCCACCTTACCTCTTCGGCCATCGTCATGGGAAATACCAAATTTCACTACCAAATGATGCTGATTAAGTGTATTGCTGGCACAAATTCTGAATGAAGACTTCGGCAGAAATGACGTTTTATCAAAAAATTTCTGCCGAACGAAGCGAAAATACCCATCCACCAATTGATCAGAGCGTGTACAAAGAGATAACAGTATACAGTACTCCACAAATTAATGATAATAATTATCGGGGATTATCCGTTTTTGCAAGACAACAAGTCCAAAAAGGTGCGGAACGGCGACAGTAGTAAAACGCGGTGAACTATCAATTATTTTTTACGTCGGCAAATAAACACGATGAAGAGTTGCAGACCCAGACAGACAGCAGTCGAACAAGCCCACGTCCCAGGACTGGCAGACGGAGAAAAATATAGGGAGACAGATTATTCATTGACGTCGCCAATTAATATGGGCACGGACACAGTAACTGGTTCCCTGTACTAAAGCATTTGATGCACGTCATCACCACAGGGTGTTTGTTACAGATTTGAAAATCAGGGGTTTGGCCTACTTACGACACCCCGCGTACTGACGCGCTCGGTCTTGCGCAATGACGCCGACAGATGCATCCACTCGATGAGTCGAGTCTCGAGACTGCACTACGCAAAACAGAATTGTATTTTATTTTTTTAACGCGACTTCAAACGTTTGGACCGGTTTGGTTGTTCGTGTTTTTTTTAAATTTTTCGCATTTTAATCCTCACTTGCATGCGAATTTAATAAGTTTGGTTTGAATTACCATTTATACACAGCCAACACAGGTTGTTTTTATAATCAAATTTTAATTACGTGCTTCGCGGTGCTGGCATACTCACCCGTTTGGACTTTGTTTAAATGTGATCGATCATTACCGAGTAGACTTTTCCAAAGATGTTGCAAGGAACGCAGAATCTGCTCACAGTGTCCAAGCTGCTCAGCCGTCTTTACAAACCGGCCATTCAACGGAGATTTACCAAACGTGATCGTAAGCGATTCTATCAGAGTGTTTCGTTAACACAAAACGGAGGCTGTTATGAGATCAATCTGGATCGGCGGAAACTGAAGACTCCTCTGGGTAATCTCCTGCAAATTCCCACCGAACCTCTAGCGTTAGCGGTGGCTGCAGAATGGTCTTCCCAAACGGATACCATCAAACAGGATCGGATGTACCTGACTAAACTGTGCAATAGCGCTGTGGATAACCCTATGAAGCGGACTAAAGAAGATATTGCGGAGAGTTTGCTGAAGTTTCTGGATTCGGATACCGTGTGTTGTCGTGTGGACGATCCACCGGAGCTGCAGGAACTCCAGAATCGCGCCTGGGGTCCCGTGATTGAATTCGTGGAGAAACGCCACGGCGTGATAATTGGGTCCAGCGCTAATATTCTGGGTCCTGTGGTGCCTCGTGAAACGAAGGAAATCCTTGGACGGTATTTGAGGAGCTACAATACGTGGTCGTTACTAGGTACACAGCACAAAAGTAGCGTGTAAGATTTGGCAGGTTAAATTAATGCTGTTACTGACTGATTACCTTGTTAAATTTGCTTTTGCTGTAAGACGCAGCAACTGATCCTTACGGTGTACTTTGTTAATTTTATAGCATCTTTTTTTGAATACTGTAATGACAATTCTAGTAAAATGATTTAATTATTCGTATTTCCGTGTGAGAGCATGAGTACATATAACGACGTTTTTTAGGCAGAACGGTGAATGCGTTTTTGTGATTTTGTAAAGCATACTGTAAATTATTGTAATGATTAGCTTTGTTGGTTTGTTTTGCCTCCCAGCTGTTTGGGTTAGACATGCCATTGTGAATATATTGTTTTTGAAATAGCGACGGATTTTGTAAAATAATCAGATTTGAAATCGCAGTACACCATTGTAATCATTGTGTTGTTTGATTTCGCAGTTATAATCATTTAACAGATGTTTCATATGTGTTATCATATTTATTGCGGTTTTTTTAAAACTACGTATTCATTGCGCGAAATACGGACGTAAATCAATCAGAACTATAAACTATCTGGTTTTGCACGTATTCCAGGCTTCCAGCAGGCTGTGGAATCTTTAAAATCTCTTGTGCTTACCCTGGCCCTGGTGGACCGAATCATGCCCGTGATCACTGCAGTGGCTCTATCCCGTTTGGAAGAGGAATTCCAGGTGCGTTATGGGTATAGGTAAGACATAAGTAAACAAATCTAAATTATGTTTAAAACGGTTTTAGCTTGGCCAGTCGGATTACGGTTGCACAGAATGTACGTTAAGTTAGTTTAACTTCTTGTGTTTTTCAAATTTTTCTTATAGAAATGTGGATTGTTTTCAGATTGCCCGGTGGGGAAATGTCGAATGGGCTCATGACATCGAACTGCAGCATCTCCAAGCCAGTGTCGCTGCGTCAGTACTTTTCGTTTATTTGAATACCGAACTGGAAAGTGTTAGCCAGAAGTCTTCCGGTGCTCCAAAATGAGCAGAATGCATTGTCTGTTATGAAATCCGCAAAGGATTTCTTTCTAGACAGTCTAGCACAACCAAAGGGAATATTTCAGTTGTGTATATTTTGTTTTTGTGATTGTGCGAATACAAAGTTACTTACAATTGTCGTAATAGAATGAGGTTTTGTTTGAACTTCAAATTATCGTAGTTGAAAGTTGTACTTTAAAAAGATTATGAACCTAAAAATTTTCATGGCGCGTGGAATCATTTCTGACTTCTTAAATTTTATGGCTTATTCTTTTGTCGTTTTACCGCAGCGCTGTGTATCAGTGAAGTTAACACCTTACGTAATTTTTTTAAAATTTGAGATTAATGCTTTTACAAGCGCTGAAAACGCATTTCGAAGTGCGAACAAAATTGACAGGTTTCAAACCGCCCACAGCGGGTCAGAGAACAACGCCTAGTGCTGCAAAAATTACAAAATTACTGCAATGTGTAGATCACCAGAATACTATGAGTAGATAAGTAATCATTTGATAGAACCGGCAGAGATGCGAGTAGGCACTCCGTATCCCTGCTCGACATCGTACGGGTTAGTGGATTTGCGTCCATTGGGACTGAGTTTCTCTTCCCAGGTGCAGATGGTTTCTTCGGAATCCAGCATTTTTTTCATGCAGTATATTGGCGCAAAAATGGCCACCAGTAATAAATCTTCCACTTTTTGGTTGAACTGATAATGTGGTCGCAAATGGCGATGACACACCACACACAAATAAACGGGACAGGCGACTACAGCCACACAGAGAGTGATGGGCAGCACCACCAGCCACAGCAACATCAGCCAGGTTACTTGCAGCCATGTTGTGGTTAAGGACATCCGCCACTAGTGGAATACCACGCATTTGATCTTCGACGTTGCTTATATTTTACCATTCATGTTAATCAGCACTTTCCCTTAGTTTACTGTCTGTTAGTTCGTTTCTCAACACTGGGATGAAAGCGTATAAATAGAAGCATTGACGGACACCGCGATCTCCGAAAAGCTAAAGCAACAATGCTTTCTTGACCTTATAATTCAACGTGCTCGAGCATCGACAAATAAGCAGCAGTACGAGTACTGCTTTTGTAAGTTTGTCCACAAATGCGTGACGCATTCAAAACGAATATTTTTATGTTAAGTACTAAAAACAAAGGTATCGTTTGCAAAGATTTTAATTTCACGTGCTTGACATCAGTTTATTAGGTGCTTCGGCAAATATATAGTAGCGTCGATAAAGGTAAATTATAGTAAAATTGGTTAATACATTTCAGGCAGTATCAAATTACGGATTATGTAAATAGTTTTACGGGTATATCATATTATCTGGTTCTTACATACGGTAATTGTTACTTACTTACTGTAATTCTTGCAGAGTCGACTGTATCGCTCTGGCGAGCCGAATAACGCACAGCACGTTTTGTTGCCATGACCTTGCCGCATATATTTAGGTCCTTTGATGCACTCGTCAGTGTTTAGAACTGCTAAAAAACGTTGTTAGCTCGAGGCTTTGTTCAAGCTTTAAGCGCGTTACAGTAAAAAAGTGTCTTCGTATAGCAAATTATTTGAAAAATAACTAGACCACACCGCATAAAGTGGCTGATTGATTTTTTTGTACGTAGTTTTTCTGTACGTACTAATAAACGGCTGCATAAAGCCGCTAATAATGAATCTACAGCTGATGTTATTGTTTATTGTAGCTTTCGTAGATAACGATATAGGTACACTAGAAGTATGTAAATTTGTTTTGTGTAACGTACCACATTTGCGGATTCAGAATGTTCCTGATCGAGTGCAATCATAAAGCGCGCATCAAAACAATTTTATGTGTTTATTCCATACACATAGTCTGTTTATACTATTACAGGATCTACTGTACTGTATGTACGCCTGCGGCTTTACCAATTTTTAAAAAATAAATACTAAATAGTGTTGTGTTTTGGAGTGGTTTCAGAGTGACGCAGCATCCCTAGTTCTACAACGGTGAACATCTGACCGGAACTTGAGTCTGTCTAACATGGCACTGGGACTGTTCCCGAACCAGCCCTTTGTTCAAACGGCGGATTGTTAACGCGCGCGGTTCGTCAATAATAATGTTTATCCTGTGTAAATATAAGTACCGTTACACTGTACCTGCATGCAGTGTGTAGCAATCATACGAGTATATAATACTATATTACTGTACGTTGTGACTCTGCATAGCCTGCAGAAAATTTTTCCATCAATTTGAAAGTGTCTCCGCATTATAATTCTTTATTGGTTTGCAAACAATAATTTTCCGTGACTTTGCACCCTGTATTCGTAGCAATGATACACAGAACGGCGTGATCCGGTCATTAATTTCAAAGAAAACCCCTGTTTAGGCCCCGCGGTGCAGAATGTGTCACACTGTCACGTTTATGCAAATTTGATAACAAATATATATGATTAAGCAACCTGGCCAATATTCTGTAATGCTGTTATCATAATTATACAATATGTATTGTATATCTATATGTATTTTGCATTTGACCTGCGGTGTGTGGTCTCGTGTGGGACAAAATGCCGCAATTTTAATACCTTCGTTGTACCCTCGCACAACAAAGAAAATGTCAACCTTTTGGTTGGTGGTATCGCGTTACGTTTCACATGGAATGTATTGGTGGTAATGGATATGTTCATAGCGTACGTGGTGATCAAATTAATAAGTAATAGTGACCGCACCGGGACATCGTGTGGCAAAAATTAAGTTATGAACTTGTAGAAAATTTTAAACTGCAGTTCTGTCTAGACGTCGGCAAATTATGCATTAAATTGTATGTTACGAAATTCTCTCCGAGTATACGAATAACTCGTATCTTTGCAGAGAACGAACTACCGTACACTGTGCTAGATCTACCGTACACTTACAGAACCAAAACCAGCGTATCATTCTATTCTCTCGCATCTGTGCAATGCACTGCAATTTTATGTCGTGTCTCTTTGCTTTTGTGAATTGTGATACGCCATTACGGGAATTAAATTATCGAAGGTTTTTTAGTGAAGACTTTCTAGATTTTTACTTTCATAAAGTTAAAGCGCTATCAGGAATTATGTAGTTCCTTTGAAACCTGAGGTTTTCGTTTAATCTTTTGTTTTCTTGCACATTTTGTCTAAATAAATCAGTCTAATTTTCTTAATTACTGAGCTGTACGGTGCACAGTGCGACTTTTAAAGCTTAAGTACAGACCGATCTGCGGACACGATGTATTTCCTTCCCATTTCCCCACATAACTCTCACCACACTGACACGGGCACTTACGGGTTTCTTCTTGCAGAATTCTCCTTACTCCACCTGCCATTGCCCCATCCCACATTATCCCTCCCTCCATCCGATCAGCATGATCATCGACCCGATTGACAGCATCCATGGCTGCCTCACCAACTGAACCCGCGCGCGATCAACTCACCACGCTGCAGCGCCAACTGGACCGTGAGAAGCGCTACAACGCCGATCTCATCCGCGAAAACGATGAGCTCAAAGCCGAGTTGGCGCGCTACCGCAGCGCACCCACGTCGAAGACGGACGCCGCGACCCAAACGGGTCTTGACGCGGAAATCAGCACCTCCAGTGCTGTAGTAGCGGGGGAGAGTGAGTGGACCGCGCACGCGGTGGAGCAGGGGGAGAGTGTGGCCAGCTCGGTGAAGGCCTTCCTCTCCGCCAAACATTCCGAGATTGAACGGAAGGATTTCGTGTTTAATGAAGGCCTGGGCATGTACTACAACGCCACGAATGGGATGATGTTCGATGGGAAACGCTACTTGTATTATGATTATGCGAAGAATGTTTATCTTTACTATGATGAGCAGTCCGGAGAATATAAGGAGGATCCTAGTCGGAATGGGAAAACCCAGCCTAGTCGCAGTATGTCTGCAGTATTTTATAGCGCATTTCGCGTATATTCGACATTTTCCTCATTAAGCATTTTGTTTTAATTTCGGGAAGACCGTTATTGATTTCGTCCCTGATTTTCAGTTATACATATCTGTTTATTTTTTTCGAATTCGTGCTTCACCTAATACAGCGAATGTCGCTCAATTTATTTAATAAATACTTTATATTCTTTACCTAAACAATTTTTTGTGGAAAAAAGTGCATTATTTTCTTCGTTGGTCTTTTCTTTAAACATTTAAGATATTGTATTTCAGTTTTTTACCGCCCTGTTATTGCAGTCTTCATTCTGTAAATCTTTGTGCATGATTTCCTAGGGGTTTCATATTTATTTCGAAATAGAGTTATTCATTTTTATTGATCACCGCGCTCTCATTGCTAATTGTTTTCCGCTCACTAAGGACTTTTGCTTGGACATTTCTGTTAGGAAACTTGTAGTGAGATGTAATTGTTGAAATAGTTGACTCACGATGGCAAATTGCGACGACTTCTGGTTTTGTTCTAGAGCGCAAGCTACCGCGTGATATGAGTGTCGTATCCGATTCCAGTTCGGAAGAAGAGGAAGGCGAAGTGGTGGAAGATGGCGTGAAAGACACGGATTCGGACATTTGCGCCCCGTGCATTCGCATCGTTGTCTTCCGCTCCAACATCCTGACCCCGGGTGATCTCTCCATTGCCACCTGCGATCGGACGTTCTCCATTGGTCGCGACAGTAAACGGGAGCTGGTGCTGAACGAGGACGCCGTCAGCAAGTATCACGCTCTGATCTCCTTCGACATGGAAACTGGTTGCTACAGTGTGCAGGATTACGGCAGTCAAAATGGAACACAGGTCAACGGGACGCGCTTGTCGGCGTCCAAAGTAGTCAGCGAGAAGCGGACGCTGGAGCATCTGGATGTGCTGATCATTGGATCGACGTCGCTGGTGTGCCACATTCATGACAAGGATGAGACATGTGATCATTGCGAACCGGGTATTGCACGGGAATTACTGCAGAATGTCCAGCCGCAGAAGAGTGAAGTAGTGGAAAACATTATCAGTCGTGTGACGGAAAACACGCTAAAAGATTTACATCGGCAGGTAAGATGGTAATCGCTTGCGTTATATATGATCATCGCTGCAGCGATTGTATGGTGCGTCGGGAGGATTGTTCTTAATTTCATAATGGGGATCACAATTATTCACAGGAAAGATTTTTGTTCTAATTATCTAACGTTAATTACGAATGTGTAGTTTAACTAATTTTGCAGTGCTATCAGTTATACACGAGACATGGCTGTAGTGAACGCTCATCAATAACCAGTTGTTTTAAGCATTTTTTAGTAGAATTCAGTTATGTTTTTTATTCACCAGATCCTGCAGTTGTGGCAGTTGTTACCGAATTGATATTTTTTAGTATCGAAATAATTTACTAGTGAATGTGTCGGGAGGTAATTTCCTTCTTACCACAGCGGCTTTTTTTAAACTTCATGATATTTTGTAGCAAATCGTACAAATTAAACGAAAGTATGGACTGCAAAAAGATCACTACATCTCATCCTCCTCCTGCTCCAGTTCGGGCACCTCCGCATCCACCGATTACGTTGATCGGTCCCGGGTGCGTCGTGCTGTCGTGGGCAGCGATCATCCGTCCCTGGAACGTCCCACCGTCGAGGCCTCAGTGCATGTGCCTATCCCTACCGAGAATAAGGGTTACCAGATGCTCAGCAAGATGGGCTGGCAGGATGGTGAAGGGTTGAATAGCTCACGGAATACCGACAGTATTACACAACCGCTGGCACCGCAGATCCGACTGAATGAGACGGCGGGTCTGGGTGCGGAACTGCCGTCGGAATCTCTGTCGATGTCGGATGTTACACAGCGTCAGAAGAAGGAGAAATGGGCCAAAGCGGCCAAACGGTATCAGGGATTACCAACGGTGAATGTGCCCGAAAAGGTTGCTGCCATTCTCCCAGGTAAATCCTGATATTCCTGTTTTTTTCCGCTGTTTTGAACTACTTATTGTGTAATATTAATTTTTGAATTAACGCTTGTGTATATATATTAGTTTGTGAGTGATTTCCTACCTTTTATTCTGTTGCTTTTACCATATTATTTCCTGAAATTTCTGGCTCTGTAATTTAATACTTTGTTATTTATTACGAGTAAAATTATGTTACACTGGGAAGACTTTTCATTATGTTTAGTGGTAGTCTGAGTTTCTGCAAGATTGTTGAAGTACGTGAGCATGCCAGTAAATTAGTTTTTATTTTTTGAAATTTGATCGAAAAGGAAGCTGTTGGAATTGGAACTGAGAGTGTGTTTATTTCAGGAGCGGCGCGCAGCGGTAATATTGCGTGGGTGCGCGGAGAGACGATGAATGTAGACCCGGAAGCTACAGAAATAAATGGCAACACCGAGGCTTCTCCGGCGAAATCGACGGACAAGAAAATTTATTTTTTCTGATTGTACAGTCCTTACAAATGTCAGTGATTTTTTATAAATAACGACTTTTACACAAAGACACAGAGGGTAGGTTTCTTTCTGCCTTTTTTTGTTAACATTCGAATTTTATTGTTGGTATATTACGTCGATGATGATAGAGAGCTTTTTATGTTTTTATTCGCATGGATGTGTATCACACTGCCCTGCGATACGCTCCATTAACTCTGAAAACATTTTTGTAAGGAAGAAGAAAATGGGTTCTTTCATTTGTCTTCATCCTCACTGCTGAAGCTGATGCTTGTATTGCGGCTGAAATTGGAGTTTTCATCAAAACCATGTCCACCGCCGCCGCCACGTCCGTCGCCGTATTTGTTTTTATGGATAGTCTTGGTGACGACTAAATTGGTTTTCTCAGTGGGTTGCTGCGATTCACGTTTACGCTGCTGCTGCTGACGGGATCCGTGACTGGGATGGAGAAATTGTAGGAGGAAATTGATTTGCGGAATTTCGTTGATAATCGATAGGCATAACAGCTGCAAAGGACATGCGATAATTGGCCTTTAGAGACACGTACACATCATGTTAGAACAATCGTTTCATGCAAGAAATTATTGACTCTATTACACCCTCGGCTGGAGTGCGACTGCAAATAAATGAAACACGAAGGGTAGGTAAAAATAAACTTCAAACAAGGGTGTTAAAAAATAAAGTGTAAGATGATTGAGTAACCAGTGAAAGATGTTTCCCTGTTTTGAGCCAGGAAATCGTTTCATCTGCAGCTGAATAACTTGACAAAGGACAAGGGCCTCTCTTCCATAGTTATCCGCTTACTTTCATAATAATTATTATGAAAATATGTGTATGTCCATTGATGCTTTGCATAATAAAACAAAATAAAAGCTACGCGGCAACACGAGAAAATTTACTTTCCTTTAATGCCGCTTCGGTACTACTCGTAATAAACTTTCTGTCGTATTGTAGAATTTACTAATATTGTATTACGTACCGTAAAGCACAGTCCAAAGAATAAATAAACTGCAACAATAGCAACAGAATATAACGGTGGATATGTGTTCTGTCATACAATGTCTGCAATTCTGCACCGCCTTTTTAGAATAACATTAGGAGTATTTGCGTTTTACCGGCGCGGGAGAAATCTGGAATACTTGTACTGCTGTAAATATATATAGTAACGGCACTGCCGCTTTGTATTTGTCTATACTTCTGCTTTACAGCATATATACTTTTACTCGTATGCGTAAAAGTATCAAGACTTTTCGAATACTAATTGGATACTGATTGATTGGTAGCTCTGGGCTGCAGTTCTTAATAATGTATCCTACTCCTTACTCAAAACGGCGATTTTATAAAATGCTTCCTTTTCGGGATTCTGTATGCGTGACGCCGGAAGAACGTCAACCACACCTGCAATGACATTCTTGTTAATGCCACAAAAATTCAAAGAAAACGCATGATTAGCCGGGTACAATATTTTCTGCGCGTACGTAAGCAAGACAAGTAAAAGGTTACGCCTTTTACATGACTTCCTTCCTATTATACCGTAACACAGCATTTGGGAACGATAATTTGTCGGTCAGAAAACAGATGTGCGTAATTGAAAACGGTTAACGGAAATAAATTCAATGTAAGTATAACTTACCGATTGTCGTTACCGACATATAGCTATAATAACTGCAAAGCAAATCTCTGGTCAATACTGTTTACAACGATCGTAAAAATATTTTCACTTACAAGGAATCTAAAAACGACCATTCTGGCTCCATCATGGAAAACACAGCAGCTGGGAGAAAAAATACAAATAGCACACATGTTGCCTGTAAAAATATCAATACAGCAAAATTAATATCCCGAAATGCGGATCACAGTACTGCTACTCTGCTAGTAATGTATTCAATCGGCAATAACTTGTTGCATGTATTTTCGAATTATTGTAACTTTGATACTCGATGTACAATATAAAAGATATTGCTAACTTTATTTACCTAATATATGTTTGGAGCATGCAATGTATTTTACGTACCGTTATTAGCGCAGCATGCAGGGTTCGAATATGTATTGGACGGTATAGATGACCTATAAGAAACAGCAGCATAAAGAACTGAAAAACAAAAATTTGTGTACACCCGCTATGTTAATTTTTATTAAACACTACTGTACGGCTTTACCATACCTAATTTGGTATTCAAGTATTCCAAAAAATGGCTGGTCCATTCCATTAACTTCTCGGTAATGGCTTTGAGCAGGACCAATGTGAAGGGTACACCCAGTGTACAATAACTACACCGGAAATGGATTGTTTAACTAGGGTTATTTATCACGGCGCGCGGTTTTTCATTATAAATATTCTGTAGTCAATCCCTTCAAGTTCAAACATACACATATCATTTACCAAATTGCAAAGGCTTTGGATCCATATGATAACGGTGGAACCTGACCGTATCCTGTTATAAAGGGGAAATCTGAGTTGCGTGAACATATGCGGTGCCATATATGTGTATATGGACTGCACACCTGCTAATTACGTCATTAATCACAAGTCACGGTTGTTAAGTATAAGTACAGATATCCGGTACGGCATGGGTTACCATTTGACATATGCAAACGAAATCCCGGCTGACAGGAGCAGCTGGGATACTTGACACGTTTTACGGGGCAACGACTAAATATGCGTAAACTATCTGTATGTAAGCGGTCTATCGGGACAGGATGGGCAGTTATAGGAGCAGTTGTGGACCGTGCAACAAATATTATTATGGCCGGGTTAATTTACTGCCACGCTTAAACTTAAATTAAAGCGGTGACTGACCTTAGCGACTTAGCCATATGTAGATTATTGACGTCAAGGACGCTAACTTCTTTAACTGGTTTTACTTAAAAGTTCCATTTTTCCCTAATTCTGCTTTTCGTTCATAAACCAAGTTTTCCATAATTAATGGCTTGAGGCATTAAAATGCGGGATATTATATATTATTATGCATGGCATAATTTCGACGATTCTGCATACTATAGTACTTTGTAATTGTAGTCGACGTATTACAGCAATATACTGCCATACGAAAGAATACTCGAATGTATTCGCGAATTTCAAGCAGCCTGGTAATATTGTTTAATGATTTCACATATTTGTCAATTAAAAACGAAAGAAGATCTCGATTGGTATAGAATGTGACTGCGTACCTATAGTTGTCAGCAACGTCGACGAAAAAAACAGCCAGGTTGCAAAATTCGGCCGGGTGACGTTATTATGACCGTAAATGCCAAATACTTCGGAAACGTAGGCGTTCAGCGCATCTTCTGCAAATAAAATTATGATGGATTTATCGAATTTTAGAGAAGCTAAGAGTACACACAGGACACCGCTATTTAAAAACCGTACAGCGTTATAGTAATAATACCTGATCTGGCAAAGTAGTTCTGTTTTAATATAACAGAACAAAACGGTAATTCTTATGTTAACGTTTAACATACTTTATTATGTCAAAATTGACATACCAGTTATGCTGTTGTCATTAATTAAATTATCTCACGACTACAGGCTCTGTACGGTGATTAAATAATCCTATAACACGCAATTTATATAGCCGGTATATATAATCTGCCCCTAACAATAAGGCAATAAGCAAATTTTTTGGTTTCTCGCTGGAATGGTGTATTTTTGGTTTTGTTAAAACGTTGGCCTGTATATTCTACCGTATCGTCAGTCACCAGAATTTCAAACCCGAATTTCCCCATTTCTCTTCAAATTAATGCAGGGCAACCGTAAAAGTGTTAGGTGCTGTGTTTCTTATTAAATCAACTGCACTGGTAAGAGAAATCCCCCACTCGAACAGGGATCGAAAACTGCCGCGTTGCGATTTCCCTACGGCAGAGTTCTCACAGCATCCGCCCACACTTGCCAGTCATTCTAACATGGACTTCCGGCTAACGGATTGTTGATTTCTGCTGAAAATGGTTGAAAATAAATGCACTGTGCTTGTTAGAACTGACTAGAGCTTCCGCCAGCGGAACACGTACACCTCCGCATTTTATACCGATGCGCCGCAAACAATGGCCGCTTATACATATTTAAGCTGAATTCTTTTTGTTGTGAAATAATTAATTTAATCAGATTGATATATATCAGCATATGAACTTTAACCCAGATTTTCGATTCCAAACTGCGTCCGTAGAAAATTTTGGTTAATAATCGTTTATGTTAAATGGAGAAAATCTTAGTGGAACTGTTAAAAAATGTTTGCTCTTTTTTATCTTGTTAAGCCGTCCGTTAATGTTAAGTTTATAGTTATTTTAGTAGCTCTGTTAAGAGAGGGATTATAATTTTTTTTTATTTTTGCATATTTTTCTGGCTGAACTAAATGCATTGATGATTGTATTATATGCCAGTATTTACAGATCATGATTTGCAATGTTCAGGCTATTTAGAAAATGTGGCACATGCCGTTATATACGCTTGACGACGCGACACCCGGAATATTCCAACTCATTATTGATTTCGCATTAGTAATGCTAACTTTTATCAAGCAATTAATCCACTCTGGAGCCCCTCGAATGGATTTCGGGCTTCATGGATCGGCGTTGACGCCGGTCGTGCGCCGACGCACTGGAATGTGCTCGCAAGTACGCAGGCATGTTGGACGTATTCTCCATCAACTAAGCCGATGGTCGCCGCGTCAGTCAGTCAGGCTCACGGTTGGGCGACAAAAAGGGCAGAAAAGCCGCATTGTAATGCACAATTAAAAGTTGGTAAAAAAGCCGAATCGACAATGTAACTGCTACCGGCATTATCCAGCCGGGTGCTCTTGTTGGATGGCTTCCGGTTGATGCTGTGGCCCGAGTGCGCGGAAAGCTTTGGACATATACATAATGTGGGAATGCGTAAAAAAGTAAAAGCTGTCCCGAATATATTAGGTCGCAATAAGCGCATGTATACTGCATAGTGCATAGTACGTATTGTACATCTGTACCACTTTCCCATGTAAATTATTCATTTAATACTTAAAGTGACGACGATTTTTTTCCCGCAGAGATTCTTCCATATGTCATCCACCACAACACTCTGCCAACCTACTCAGCAATTGAATTTGATTTCATTAACATGAAGGATGGGAGAAAAACGGTGTCGATGCAGTGGCTGCTGTTGTACTTTGTATATTGTATAGCACTGTTATCGACCTCCTGTTAACGTTGCAGTTTGGCTGATCTGCTTTCGTATTTACACATACTTTGCTCCTCCAATACATACAGCTAAACACCTCAACATACGATCTTTTCACATTTCCAGATTACTTACTGTCAACATTTGGATAATCCTGTAGAAAATTGTTCTTCTCCTCTTCTAACCTGCAAAAAAATTTGGCATATCTCTTTTAGGTCCACAGAAGCGGATTTCAACTTCGAATATGCATATTATGTCCGTTTAAATGTTAGTAATCAGCATCATTATTCTCTTCGAAAATTTTTTGATATATTTGTTACAATTTCTTGCGACCTAAGTTTAAAAAATTATTCCCAGTAAAATGATCAAAAACATTCATTATATGAATATGCGACCACACGAAAAACCTTCCGTTTTTCTAGCTAAATGTTTATATAATAATGACGAGTACAGTTCGATTGTTGTATTATGAACAATCGATTATCAATAATGAATAAACTGAACAGTGAATATCTTTCCAGGTTTTTTTATTTTGTCTTTATCAAGTATGCAATTATCCGTTCTCCACTTTCATCGAGTAATTGACAGTTGCAACTTTCAAATATCGCAATTTATGCAAAAGACGAAAGAAAGAGCATGTTGAGAATAGCCATCCCGAATATACTAGACTGCATTTAGCTTGTACTGTAGAGAATTAAAAACCTTGTTACTTACGTATACTGTTATTGACCAAGCAAAATTGTTTTATTGGTACTAAATTTCCACTTTGTGAGCTGGCTATTTTGCAAGTCAAAAGCACACACATACGCCGGCGCTGTATTATTTATTTACGCAAATGCAAATGTAAATAGCTTTGGATGCAATTTATCGTATGGATGTGTGTAAACCGCAATGATCGTGTATGTTATCCCGGTTTTCAATAGGCTGGTGAAATCGGGTTTTTCTCTACGCAGCATACGAGTATATACGAGAGTATCTACACATACCGTCTCTCCCGTTCATGAACAGCCGGCATCTCAATAGCATCGAAGATTGATGAGCCAACCAGAAGATAAACAATGTAGGCCGTAAAAATTCCCACATAACGGGTGATACTCGATGTCATGAACTTCTCCAATCCGTCCATGATGTATTATCCCCCCGAACGCAACGACAGTGCCCGGCGCGTTGCAAGTACAGAAAATAACGGGCCGCGCGTGCAACCCACGGCTGGCAATTATTAACGCGCACGAAAAGGTCAAACGGAAATGAGCCGATGCCGACGGAAGTTGTGAAGATGATGGAAGCGTTCACTGGATGGTATAATTATCCACGGATGACACTAATCCAGGTGCATTTTTTTCGTGTAGAAAAAAAGCCTTACAGGATAGCCGGTGAAAAACGCGACATCTTCCTGTTGTATAGCTCGATATCAAATTCCAACGGTGGAATTGTCGGCCGATGCAACCACACACAAAACGCTTTTGACCACCGCGTGCTCCCTCTCGGTCCTCAATATCCGAATCGTGTTTCCATATTTTTCCACTTGACTAAATGAAGGATGGTGAATGACGGGAATTGGGAGCACGAGATTGGAGCCGACGTCGCACGGCGGCGGGATATATGTACGGAGTCAATGCTCAAGTGCAAATATGATTATAGGAGACAATATATATGACAGCGCCCGCACCGCACACATATAACATACACCACGTCAACCGGTTAAGCGGTGGATAATTAACACCGGTTTGGGGTAGAGGAGATTTATCCCCGGGAACAACACACCGGCAAACCCCTGTCAGAATGTATTTCCTCGGGATAATTTAGTGTGTGTGCGCCGGGTTGGAAAGTGAGTATATCCCCACTGATGAAACCTTTAACCCAACCAGCATAATATAACTACCGCACGCCCGGAAGACATGTACACAACATTGGCCGGCTTGAATATATACTGCAAAAACTCCAGCCAGCACCGTTGTACTATTCCGCCGTCAACGCTTAAACGCTCCTGTTTTCGGTGTATGTGTCCCGTTGAATACATTTTCCCGGGGAACACGATTTTCTCCGTGTGTGTGCTGGACTGAAGATTGCCGTGGAATTATATCGATTACTGTGCGTTGGAGCTTACGTATTGATCGGCGCATGTACAATATTATACTTTACAGTACAATATATACGCTGCGTCGTACAGTGCAGTATACACGTCTGAATGCTAACCCCGGATGCCGTGGATGGAAAAAGAGCGGAGGCTTATTCAAAGATTATCATTATCTAAATACAGATTATAGACAAAATCTCCAATAGGGGGTTTTTGTATTTTACGGGCTGGTATGTAATTATGGATGTCTTTTCGGGATGTTGGCATATTTTAATTCCCTCCCTCGTGCACGCTGTATTAACCGCATAAATGCATACGTAATTTTTAATAATGCATTTTTCGCGCATCTAATTACTGCCTTTCTTGATCCGTGATTTTTCTACACAATATCCAGATTAATATATTAGTAGGAACAAGTGACGTCGTTGAAAATATTTACATTAGAAACCAAAGATACCTCAGTGAATTTTAAACAGCGTACACGAGCAAAGTGTGTGCATATAAAGGATCACGCTTTCGCCGGCAGATCGATTTTAATCTGTCGGAGTAACATGATAATTTTATGCTGAGCATTTCCCGGCGTCTTCTGAGCTTGTTATCCCTTAAAAATGTGGTCCAACGACAACATGCAAAGCTGCCTTAAAAAGGAAATTCATTACTGCCCTGCGGATCGAAGGAAATCACGCACTCCCATCGTCCGGAATTCACATTAACGCTTTTTTGCTGCGTTGCAGAGTTAACGCTTGCCATAAATTTTGTTTAACAGTACATTCTATTGACGCTGCAAAAAGCGTCGCATTTTATACTTGCAGCGAAATCCCCAGTTCCTTCCAACTACGCAAAATCTTGTAATCTTTATTAATTTCACATTTCAACAAACGTTAAATATTTCGAAGAGATCTCTACAGATCATGCTAAAACAAATTTCGGCTTAAAAAACCGTACATCCTTAAAACAATATAAAAAATTTAACAGCATCTCACAGAGTTTTGGAAGTCAATAAATCGGCAACAAACGCAAACAAAAAATGGCTACACTAAATTCAACTGTGGAAACGTCCCACCCAGCTGGGAATATCCAGTCGGACTTTATTCGCCGTTGTCGTGGCGTTTTTCTTGGCACTGGAACAGCCGACAAACTGTGGCCAATTGCAGCTTTGTATACTCTCATCGAAGAGTAAGCCGGCGGAGCACGAGAATTCCGCCGGCAGTTGACCGGTGACACAGCGGATGAATTTCGTACAGTCCGTCGGCACCTGGAAGAAGCCATCCCGCTGGCACAGGTAGGTGGCGCCGGGAGCGGGCGGGTTAGCGGCAGCCGCGGCGGGGTTGTTGATAGTGCTGGGCAGGATGGGCAGCGGTGGGGGACGGGTGGCCACGATGGGCCAGGGTGTGGGAGCCGGTGTCCAGAGACCGGTAGGTTTATCCAGGAGCGCGTCCTTCAGAGCGTTCAATATTGGGTTGCGTCCTGTGGCGAACAATAGTCATTTCATATTTATTGCGCTTATAACGTATATATTACCTGCCGGTGCATAAAACTAAAATATTACGGTATATATTTTGCGAATGAATATGCTTCTATCAAATATCAATATATCCCGATAAGTACAAGAGTACAAGAAGTAGACTGGGTTTTTCATGATATCACTAACTTATAAGGCGCGTCCAAACACGAGTAACAACATATATTTAGAATACGACTGCAAAAATTTTTAAAAATACATAAGATCGTTAGGCTGGATTTACCCATTCCACACAGCTGGTTGTTGTCTTCATAATCCAGTGCCCATACAAACGCTCCTGCGAGTTGATTATCCCAGACATATTTAGCCTACGTGTAGAATATACAAATGTGTTACTTGTTGCAGATACGGTCTTCATCGATAAAGGTGAACTTTATATTTATATACGTACATAGGTCTGTATATGGATTCAATAACGATTAAAAATTAAAGGCGGTTTAACGATGCAACACAGATACGTTATGGGAAATTCAATACAGTACTTCCATGCTTGTTCGTAGTATACATAGACTTTTTTCACACAGGTTTGTACGCCTCCATGAAACGTCCGGCACTACGTAATTACAGATACGCTACGCTAGCTCCTTTGAAATCTGGAGGTTAGAATTACCTTCCGTTGGACGGATAATTCGTCATCATACCCCACCCACTGTCCATCACCGTATACATACGTCAGATTGTACTCGCTATCCTTTTTCCATCCTTTGTTTTTCATATTCAAACAAATCTGCAAACGTTAGTTACAATTGCTGTAAGTTTATGGAATTGAGAAACTGAATAAAAATTAGGGTTATCAAAACGAGCACTACCGCAGAAAAAATAAAAGAACGTCAAAAATACCTCAGTGACTCCCAGAAACCCGGCTTCTCTCAAAAACGGTCCTGCAAAGACAGTTATATATAAGGCGCTAGTTACCGCGCTACGTATACTTAATAATAGCCGATGATTGGCAGCGTGAAAATTAAATACAGTAAAATAACCCACATGATAAAAAAACACTGCATAAACATAATTTACCGGCGTCGTTGGGACCTTTGGTTGGCGACCCAAGTTTATGCTGGTCGGGATCGGCCAGTTTCCAGCCGCGTCCGTATAATGGCACACCGAGCAGCAATTTGGAGGCCGGTGCACCCAGAGCCAGGTAGTGCTGGATTGCCCAATCCTACAAAAAAAAATTTTCAGTGATTTAATTGCGTGTTTGGAGCGTATCGGTACAATGTGATTTTCAAATTAGCCAGCCGTGTATAGGACAGCTATGCAATGCCGAATTTTTTTGTTACGATTGTTATTTACTAGGGAGTGCACCGCTATCGGCTGGCACTAAAAGACCGAAGCGAAGCGCCAAAATAAATAATTCCTTGTACATGACGATTTTACTTGCACGTTTATCTGGTTCAATAATTTTTGTGAAAATCGTAGTACAATGGCAATTCAGCGCACGGGAAAGGAGCAGTTTGATAGCATCGCAACCGAAATCTATATTAATGTAACTACAAATCTAATATCTGGCCTTGGTTTCACTTTTTTTATATATTCAGCATTCATTTTTAATTTTCTATTATATATATCACATTGTACCTTATGGACACCGCTAAATTTATGCATACGGTGTAGATACAAACATGACCTGTACTACTGCTAGTACACTAAAGTAAGTATAATTTTTTACTGACAAGTGACAGAGTAGTTACCGGCACAAAACAATATCGCCTCCCTTACCGCGCTGTATTTCAAATTATAATTGGGATCAGGGTCGTTGATCTGTGGCGGAGTGTACAGAGGGCTGTGATGTGCCAGGGTTTGTGGTGAAACATCCCATGTACCATGGAAATCATAGGTCATAATATTGGCAAAATCCAAATACCTGAAGTTGGTTGTTTTTCATCAGTAAGATGTAAGCAGTAAGCACAAAGTACGCAATTATAATTCCACACTTTCAATTACCATTTCCTCGCATGTTTTTTGTGCTTACTTGAAGATTTCCGAGACATTGTAAGCGTCGTCAATAACCCAGGTTGATGCTCCCAATGCCGCCGTCAGCATATACGTTTTGCCGGTTTGCTTAGTCTTTTCATCGAAAGCTTCCCGAATTTCCTATAAAATAACCGTAACGGCTAGCGTATTTCTCTTTTTACTTTATTTTTTTAATTACTATCAGTTCTTACTTTCAGTTTTTACTATTTCTGGTAAATTAAGGTAAATTGTGTTGTTGTTGTTTACCTTAACCCAGGTTGCAAAATTATCAAAGTCATCCTTGATACCACCGCGTTGCGTTGGATATTCCCAGTCGATGTCCAAACCATCGAAATTCCACCGATCTGGTTTAGGAATTCAAACGTCATATGTAAATCAGTCATATGTAAATTAGAAATGTCTCAATCTTCATGCACACATAGTACATATTCTTTTTTTGAAACAAAGTTCTTGACTAAAATAAAAGTATTAAAAAGTATAGTTTTACCCAAGAAAGTGAAGGTGGTATTAATGAAGAATTTCCTCTTTTCTGGATCCATAGCCAAATTCGAGAACACAGTAGATCCCATATTCCAACCGCCGATAGCGATCAATACGCGCAAGTCTGGATTGAGATTTTTTAGGGCGTTCACCTTTTTGAATCCACCTGTAATTAAATATATGTGAAAATTAAAACCGAAAAATTATAAAGTCAAATAAGAGACAAAAAATTTGCCTAGGTCCACATCCGCCCATGGGTCAAAAGACTTGATTTGATTGTTGACCAGATTGCCGACAAAATAAATTATAAATGTGCACAAATCCGGATCAATTTTATCGGGTTTCAGTTCGGATCCACCGGGACGATAGATGGCGTAGTCTTGGAAATAACATCCCAGCTGTAACAATAGCAATGACTAAAACCACCGGAAATGCACTGAATGAACGGATTTTTACCTCTTTTTTGGCAAAGGTCATACCGCTTTCCTCAACCGTCAACGGTGGCTTGGTGACCCTCACGGGTGGCGGTGGTGGTATAACAACCAGTTGTCCGGGTGGAGCTGTGTCCAGGGATTTCTTTAGCACACTGATGGTGGGATTTTTCCCTGTTTAATGAAAATCAGATAATTGGAATACAGTCATATGCGCAATACACTGTAACACCGATATAAATTGCTGACCTTTTCCACACAGATTGTTATTGTCCTCGTAGTCCAGCGCCCAGACAAATCCGCCTCCTAGTTGATGTTGCCAAATATATTTAGCCTGCAAAAGTGTTTGCCTGATACGTACGTCAAGAGCACTACGCAGATTATGTTACTGGTGTAGAACAAAACTACAAATACTTACGTATACTAAATTTCATACTGAATAACAGCAACTAAGAAACGTCGTATACGAAAATTGTAGTACACTGGCAACTCCGCGGTCTCGAAGGTTTGGCATAATGGCAGAAACCAGATTTAAAGATCATATTCACAAAATATACAGTACTGTATATCTATATATATTTTTATTTTTATTTTTATTTTTTTTTGCTTTTTTATTTTAGTTTAAATTGTCCTCAGTTGGTTGGTTGCACTACAACAAAATATCCTTTCGCGTTTATCAGGCGGAAGAGACAAGATTATTTTCAATAACATTTCAATAGTGTCAAAATCATTAAGCAGAAATACCAAATAATTATTAACACAACGAAATCAATAAAATAATAAAGCGAAAAAAAGAATAAGAATTTATATTTTGAATATTTTGCCTTCCTCACCTTATCCTGCATTCGGTCTTCGTCGTCATAGCCAACCCATTGTCCCTGGCCGTAAGCATATGTCAGGTTGTATTCGGAGCCTTTGACCCATCCATTATTCTTCAAGTTCAAACACAACTGCAAATAAAACGAACGACATAAACCCTTCTGATGGATGGAAAAATTATCTGTACACAATAAAAGTCCATTATTTGTTTCCTCTTAGTACCTCGGTAATTCCCAGGAAACCCTGTTCTTTGAGGAATGGACCTAATAATTAAATGCAACACACTGAAGTGAAACTTTGTTTGTCATAACCTAGCTCGGTCATCCTTTAAATTATGACCTTTTCGTAAAACAGACTTCTCAGCACCTTTTTGTAAAATAGCTGTAATATATTATGTTGCAATTATAACGTACCGGCAGCGTTCGGTCCACTAGCCGGCGAACCCAAAGTGTGCCGATTCGGATCAGCCAGGTTGTAGCCGCGACCGTATAACGGAACACCCAGCAGCACTTTCGAAGCCGGTGCGCCTCGTGCCAGGTAATGTTGGATAGCCCAGTCCTGGAGTCATAAGAAAATTCGATTGGTTTATAGTTTCGTTTATTTGTGACATTTAGAGAGATTTTTTAAAATTTTCTCTTAAGTTTTCATAAATATAGTGAGAGCTGCTGTGACCATTATCGATCAGTCTAGATTTTGCCCCTCTGCACTACAGGTGAAATAAGTAATGAGCCATAATGAAGATAAAGCAGTAGTAATAATACTAATACTACTTACCGCACTGAATCTGACATCATAATTGGGATCGGGATCATTCAGTTTGGGTGGAGTGTATAATGGACTGTGGTGCGCCAGTGTTTGTGGAGCAACATCCCATGTGCCATGGAAATCATAAGCCATAATGTGGCCGTAATCCAGATATCTACGAACAAGGTATGTAAATAAACATTAATACCAAAAACGTAACATAACATTCGTAACGTAACATAACATAACGTTCTTGTAACATTAATACCAAAAACGTAATTAATTAAATTTACATACTTGAACATCTGCTCGACGTCATAGGCGTTGTCAATGACCAGAGCGGATGCTCCCAGCGCCGCTGTTAGCATGTAGTCTTTCCCGGTTTCTGCTGTCCGTTGGTCAAAGGCTTGGCGCAGTTCCTGCGCATCATTTTTGTAGATTAAATTACACATTTTAAATTGTAAAGATTGATCTGTAGCGGCGATACCATTAACAAAGTGGGAAAGTTGTAGTAATCATCAGTAATTCCGCCGCGCTGTGTTGGATATTCCCAGTCCAGATCCAGACCATCGAATCCATTTCGGTCTACAAATGTACGGCATACAATGGTACATAAAAAGTAATTTGTACATGCACTATTTACATGTATACATTTTCCCAAAACTTTAAGCGCAACATTAGCTTACATTTTAACATATTACATTTTAACATAAGCTTGATTGCAGTATATCGAGTGCATAAATACTTTTGATTGTGTGTTTGTGACTTTTTCTTTCTTTTCTTTGACAACGGAATAAATTGCAAAGAAATCTATACCGGTAGATACGTTTGCCAAAAAAAAACGACAAATGGAAGGTCACAAAATCCAACACTACCGCAATATTGTTACTTACCGCAGAAATTGATTACACTGGTGATGAATTTCTTCCGGTTATTGGGATCTTTGGCTAAACGCGAAAAGACCTTTGATCCCATATTCCATCCGCCTGTTGCTACCACTATGCGTAAATCGGGATTTTGCTTTTTGAGATCATTGATTTTTTGGAAGCCACCTGCAAACATTTGGAGATAAACTTATGACTGATGAAAGAATAGCTTTTCACATAATACCGGCTTTTAATAAGTTAAATTCTTATAACTCGTATGTATATATGGCAGTTCACCAAGATTCTTTTTCGTAATACAAAATTATTTGTCAGTTTTGATAAAAGCAACATTAAGGATCTGTTGCAGCGGCACACATTCCGATGTGGCTAACATACCAAGATCGATGTCGGCCCAAGGATCAAATGACTGCAGGGTGTTGCTGATCAGATTGGCGATAAAATAAATTATAAAGGTACACAAATTTGGATCAATTTTATCGGGTTTTAATTCCGATCCACCGGGTCGGTAAATGGCATAGTTTTGGAAGTAACATCCCAACTGTAAATCAAAATCCAAATATTATAAACAACTCAATACAAATGAACAAATGAACGGTTTGGGTTTATTTCCAATCATAACAGTAATATTGTCGCTCAGAATACTGCTACTTCAGGTTAATTTTAAAAAGCAAAACTTTCTTCATACAAATTAAAAATAATTCAATTGCTGAAAATTATAAATACACGCATTAGTGCTGCCGCTATGTGTACCCTTCCAGCGCGTAGTCACAACCTACAATTTGCAATAATAAAAAAGTTACTATAGTTTTAATGTTCGCGGTGTATGCCAGATAAAATAAGATTTGAATAACTGTGTTCTCTTAAAAACCAAAACACAGACTGTACTTTTCATTTTACAAAGACATATATTTTGTACAACTACAGAGTACTTCTATGCAAGAAAAATATACGTTTCGCAGTTTTTAATACAGTCACGTAACATGGCACAGGCAAAAATCAAAACTCAGACAATATTTTATTTTTACGTCGCACTTACTTCTTTTCTTCCTTTAAGACGATAGCTAATAGGCGACCGATCAGCAGGAATATACGCTTCCGTTACCACTTCCTCCGTGGTAATTCCTATTGTCGTCGTTCGTGTTGTGGGTTTGGTCGTCGTCACCACCGGTTTAGCGGTAGTAATAACCGGTGCGGCCTTTGTTGTCAGCGCGGGCTTTACGGTAGCCGGCTTTGTCGCATCCCGTCCACCATTCGGTGCATCCGTTTTACCATACGGTCGCCATGTCCAGCCGACAGGCGCCACTTTGCGTGTACTGGCCGTACTCACGATCGGTGCCTGGGTGGTCTCCTTCTCATGTTCATGCTCCTCGCATCCAGAAACCGGCGATAATATTATCCCAATAATCAGTAATCCCAGTAATAATGATCGCTGTAAATGCCGCATGGTGGAGTTTATCTGCTGCACCACGTCCAATACGTCGACCGCGCAACTGAACAGCTCGAAAATTTCCTTAATGATGTTGATTTTATTGTTACGGCAATAGCCATATTAATCTGGTCATCGCTGAAGAATATACCTAGAAGGCCGCGCGTGTAATATCGTTAACGTTAGCGTCGGAAGATTGGCAGCGCGGGATACATGTGCTTAGGCGGACATTGACCGAAATAATACTATCAGCGGCGCGCTAACGATATTTATTACTGAATGACCCGGCATATCACAGCCGGTGCAAAATATGTTACACGTGTAACATGTAATTGCACTTTTTCATTACCGTAATCAAGAAAAATTAACAACCGTATAGAAAAGAAATTAAACTGCTGTAGCATATACATGTACCTGCCGCAACATAGGATAAAATTTGTATAACAATTCCCGGTTATTAGCAATAGAACGTTTGCATGTTTATGAGTTAGATACGTAATGTACATATGGAGTGGTATACGAATCAGGTATGGCAAAATTTTGCAAAATTTAATCCTGTGCATATTATGCAACAAGTTTTTGAATGCACGTTTTTTTGACGACGTATGCCGTGAAAATCAAAGGATATAGCGTATCTTTGCTAATGGATTCTTGACTTTCAATGCGCGTCAACGCTTTAACGCGCATACAGCAAATAATTTTGCATATAAACTGTTTCAAGTGGGGTTTAAGTCCCGTATACTCTGTAGTGCTGTTCTCTTCGGGCCAAAATGCGAACACCATAGCCTCACTGTTACATTCGAAATGCCAGCAGGCTGAATACTATGATAATGTCCAGAAATCTTAATAAAATCAAATAAATGTTTTGGCACAGAGTTTATCAACTATTTATTAATTTTACAGCTTGCACCAGTTTAATTAATTTCTTACCATAACCGATTATCTGTATATATTAATTTTTGCAGAAACGTTTGGGCAATGTTTTGTCTTTTACACATATTCTGCATTTTTAAGTTATCAGTAAACAGTTTCTACATGCATTGCTTATGTGCTGTTATTTACCATTAAGATTTTTGGGTGTTACCTGAAATTTTGCTATCATGTGAGAAGGCGGATATTTTCACCAGTGAGATGTCAATAACGCTTACAGCAGGTTGACAAGGAAGTCGCTAACGAGATACAAATTGCATGAAGTGATGTTGCTATAAATAATTTGTGCGGTCCGGCATACATATTCATTATTTGTGTGCCGGACCAGCGCAAAAAAAAATCGATAACACTGTAAAAACGACAAAACGTGGCCGAATGTACTTGAATTATCAATTTGTACAAAGCATGCTTTTAGTTGTAGTTTTAGGCTGATTGTAAAAGCATTACTAAGCATACAGAAAAATATCTCTGCCTTAACTAAATCTTTCCTAAGAAGGCACCAATACTTGACTGTCTTGACGTTTTAGGATATAATTTTGGCATCAGCTGTCAAGGCTTCTAAAAAATATGTATGTCCTACTAAAAAACGAAATATAACTTTTTTTCTAATTAATAGGCACAGGAAGTGGACGTGCGCTTAATATTAAATTTCTAGAGGATAATTCTAAACATTTCTAGACTGTACTCTTGCGAAATATGGGATAATCAGTTGACAATTCTCGCGGTAAATCGTATTTTTTATAACAGACATACATTATTAACCAGAAGAAAGCGAAATATCATTAACATTGTTTTACAAACAAAATCCTCAAACATGTATTTCAACAAACAGCTGCGTCAATTAGCATTCCTTGACGTCAGTAGGCTCAACACAAGCATTCCTCTCCTGATGATACTTCCACTGTATCCCATTATGCGGTAAGCACATAAATTCAAACAGATTATACTGCCGGGGACCGACTTTAACACACAAATAAAACTTGGAACACGAGATATCCCGCGCATTACGGAAATACCCTTCCGACCGGCACTGAAAGGTCACACCGGCTTTCACCATCTCACCGACCGGTTGCTCAGACGGTGTATTGAAATTCAGTACTAAAGCCGGCGGAATGGTTGTCGTCGGGGTCATCGTCGTCGGATACCCAGTGCCGGTCATGTACGAGTATAACTGATTAAAACTGTCCCGGTACGCCGATAATGACTGGTAATCACTGCTGGTCTTGATCCCGGGGTTATTGGATAAAAGGTCACTGAGACTACCCAGCGGGGCGAACTGCGGCGGGGTTCCGGGAGCAGAATACCGGTTGGTTTGGAGGAGCGGCTGGGCGACCGGTGAGTACACTCCGGATGTCACGCGATTCTTGGGAATGGTAAAGTATTCGGGCGAACCGGCCGGGTTAATAAACACCGGGCCGGAAGTGTCGGAGGTGTTTTTGGTGCCCTGGATCTTAATGGCGGCCGGCACTTGCGGGATGCGCCGGCGCTTATTGCTAACTGCGCGACGGAAGGACGGGGTGATGGTGGTCGGGGTAGGCGTGGTTGTGGTCGGAAGGGAAGTGGTCGAGGTGGTCTCCGGAGTTGTGGCGGTGGTTGTCGGCGGCTCGGTGGTGGTCGTAGTCGTTGTGGTGGAGGGTAGGGTGGTGGTTGACTGGGTAGTTGTGGTGGTTGTGGTATCGGCGTCCTGCATAGGACGGGTCGGTTTGCGAACGCTCCAGATGCTGGAGAAGCGCGTGATGCTGTTGGCGTTGCAGGGGTCGTTGGGTGGCGGTGGCGTACACTGACCGGTGGATATATCAAGGTACAATGTTTCGCAGTAAATCTAAAACGCAGAATTTCGATGCGTTATAACGTTTTCATATTCTTGTTCTGCTTTGATAATTTTTTTCAGATACTGTACTGTATTTATCTTAAGCTTGGTATACGATCGCATTTCAGTTTATGGAATAAATGGTTCAATGTAAAATTATATACTGTTTTATTATTTTTATTTTTTAATTATATTGTTTTTCTACTATTTAAAATTGTTATTTATTAAAATTCAGCTTTTGTTAAGTAGGAATTTATTCTGTATATATATTTTTGTGTGCTAACCACAAATTTCAACGCAAAAATTGCCGGTTATTTTGGGAATACTTATTAATATCTGCTAACCTCTTGTAGATGGAATTGACCTTTAGTTTCCGTTTCAATACAGCTGTAATAGTAGCCACACGTTTGCAGCCGGTAGATACGCTGCGTTGTACAAATCAGTGCGCCGGTATTGGTGGAATCGTTGTTATTGTTGGACATATGCCAAACTTGCGGTAGAATCTTCACCGGCAGCGCATTAACGGATGCCGTTTTTCGGTCGGCATCAGTGGCAGCGGCGGCGGCGGAAGTCAGGCTTGGATCAGCAGCGACGCCGGCGCTGTCCACCGCGGACAGCGTCTGATCCAGCAGCATGGAGTCCGCGGTGGCTGGCACGCATGGTGGAGCAGTGTCGAGTGCGCTGCACGCGAAGTAGCGCCGGTCAAACACATATCCGTCGTCGCATCGGTAGTGAAGCATAACGAAACTGTTTGGCTCCGGTGTTAATTGAAGGCACCTGTTGCCAACATTCAGATTTTCAATGCCTAATTAAACCAGTCGATTATTTTACAAATGCCGTTTTTATGGATTATTAAATGTTACCACTGTGGTTTTGCCAGCATTGGCTGTAGACACGCAAAGGATATTAATCAAGTACAGTACTCGTACATCATGGTCAGACAAAACAAAGTCATTAGAGCACTGCAAAACTATGCGGCTAAATAATCATGAGTATTTCATACTTTAATTTTACAGCTCATTCTCTGGATATTATTTAACTTTATTTTATGCATAATTTCATATCTGTCATGCAGTTACAGAATAAGTTGAACGAATAATTACGTACAGTAGTATAACAGAATAATTCTGTACAGTAAACTTTGTTGGGCGCACTTTAATGAAACAATAGAAACCTCTGCGTATTATTTTTTTGTAAACTGTATGTAAATTTATGTTGCTAAATGATATGCTTAAACTTAATACATACATTATTTTCTTGAATTGCTTTTGTGCATTTTAAGCATAAAATACGTCGTAAAACTTAAATCACACTTTTATAAATTTTAAGTTTTGTTTTTATTACTGACATACTGTAAGTAGATAAAATTACCGGTAAAACCGTTGACATTTGCTGTCATCTGGATACAGGAAATATCCCGAGCGGTAACAAATCGGTGAATGACCTTTCTTCCCAGCATCCATTGTCTCGGTTGTGGGGCTGTTTGTCGGCACTACCAGCGGCGGTTGATTAAATTTCGTTACTTCATTGGACGCTTCAGCGGATGTTTGCTGGTTGAATTCACTGAATGATTCCGTTGATGTAATCTGCAGCGTCGTACTACTTCCGGTCGATGTACTCGTATCGCGCGCATCACCGCTCGCCGACCCCGGCAGCGTCCATGGCGGTACGGGTGTGGTAAGGTCACCGCTAACATCAATTACCGCAACAGCCGCAACATCGCTAGTATCGGTTTCAATGCTTCCCGGTTCCGTCACATCGGTCTCCGGTGTGATGTCCATTTTCTCCGTTGACTCGATAGGGTTTGCGGTTACGGTCGCCGGCAATTCAGCAACCGGTGGATCAATACACGGTACCGTGCCCGTCTGCTGTACACACGCTACGACGGTTTCATCAAACACCATATTCCGTCCGCATTCAAAATCATAGGAGATCCACGTCCCGGAGGGTTGCCCGGCATCGGGAATCCACTCACACCGGCGGAAACGCTTGCAGGAAATTTTAGAAAACCCGGCGGCGGTGCACACTGCGACTTTATCCTCGAGCGGATCCGGGGTCACCGCGGCCGGCTCCGTTTCCTCGTCGCCCAGCGAAGAAAGGTCAAAACTGCCGACTGAACACTGCAGATTCTCACTAGTCGGGTCCACGCACTGGTTGACCGTGACTGAGAACACCAGAGACGGCGGACATTCGTGGACGGAGACAAAAAAGTGTAACGGTCCCGCTAAACGCCGGCACACCATAAACCGTGTGCTGCACGGTGTGGCAAACGGTAACGGGAAGGTACCGTCTTTTTTACACAGCAATCGCGGGCGCTCCTTCTGATTTTTAACCGGTGACAAAGTCGTGGTGATAATGTCACCGGCGTCCGTGGTCGAATTGGTGACGTAATATTTGGTGACACTGGCGTCGGTGTCGTCGCCGTTGGCACACGCCACCGTGGCGTTATACTCACAGGTTCCGTTGTTAAAAATTGTATGCGGTGGACACGTAAACCGGAATAACAAAAAGTTCTTAACCCAGGAATATTTTTCACATTTATAAAATATACACGGTATTGATGTGGGATATGTGCCGGGTGCGGTACACTGGAATTCCGTGGGATTAGTCACCAGGATCCCGGTGGCGGTTAGGTACGGTGGGGGTTTCAATGCTTGCTTAAACAACCAGTTAGGATCGGTGTCGGTGCCCATCACACTGCTGATATCCCCGAAGAAAAGCCGGTCATCGGCCGGTTTCACCGGCATCTTCGGCACAAATCGGATCTCATTGTCGCTGGAAATAATGGGTATAGTGGTGGTACTGGCCACGCCCCCTCCTCCTGGGGGAGCGGTCACTCGCGTGACCTTTCGCGGCATGGTCACCCAGACGGTAGCAAATGTGGCGCGCGGTGGCGGTGTGGGTTTGAACGCACCGGAAGTGGGGTTCATGTTGGAGGTCACCTCCAGCTCGTCGACGATGGACACACAGTCGGCCGTCTCACTGGCCCATGTGCAGGATTTCCGGTCCTCGTCGAAGAATAGTCCAGTGGGACAGGAGAACTGTTCAATCTTCAAGCTGATCACACTGGTGGTGGAGCAGCGGAAAAAACGCCGGCAGTTGATGGGATTCCGGAAGAGGGTTGTGGGCTTTCCGGACGCGGGAAAAGTCTGCTGAGCACGACAACGTTCCACCACCCAGGAGGGTGTCTGTGTGAGCAGAGGATATGCATCACCGGTGTCCATGCGTTCTTCACTGAGGGGCTTCACACATGCGCGTACGATCGGCTCATAGACGAGATTGGACTCGCAAGAAAACAAATAAACCTGCAAAATGGATGTTTTATTAACCAAGGTTACACATATAAATATGAGACACATATATGAGCTGACAACAAATAGTACAATAATTACACTCAAATTCGGCAGTAGTTTTATTAATCACAAAATGGAAAACGCAACTGGAAGTCCCTATTAATTATTAAGCAATATTAAGGGCAATGCAAACAATGCAAACAATCTAATACCTGGGTAATGCAAACAATCTTCAATCAATTTTAGTGGCAATTATGTCAATCAATTAACAAAAATATTAATTATCAGGAAATAATAAATAAACCAGCTAGTGCTTAAAACGTTTTGGTTTTCCGTATGCTTCCTGGAATTCAATAATAAATTACAACTATAAGTACGCTGGCGGAATATATGCAATACTAATTTTCGGTTATAATTTTAATCAGTACTTGTAAGATGCGTACATTGGATGCGATTTTGTAACATAATAAGACAATTTGCGTCATCAAGAACTTATTAGCGCACCATGAATGTCGCCGGTGACAATTCGACACAGCGGTAAAATTTGGAATTATTCGTGGGATGTGGGAAGTAGCCGGTAATTTTGCATGTTAATCCCGATAATTCCGAGACGTAGGAGCTGGGCCGCGGCGGCAACGGCAGCTGGGATTTCCGCTGACTTGACCCCGGCAACCGACTGACGCCAATAACCGGCTGCTGCTGCAATAACACCTCGTCGTCGCTGTTGCGCCGGGAAACATTTCCCGGCTGACAGGGCGCACTGAGCTTAGCCCAGTTGCATTTCTGACTGATTGTATCAAAAATTCCAAATGAGCACCGATAGTGTTCTATGATCATAAGAGTGCCCTGTCGACGACACAGGACATACTCCGCACAACTGCCGGTATAAGGGAATATCCCTTCTTGCCGGCATGACAGAGTCAGGGAATCCGTGGCGTTGGGCAAATTTTTCAGGGAGATCTCTTGCCGCGCCAGGAGAAAGTATGTACTCCGTAGATTATTGATGGCACTGGTTGATAAGGATGCACAGGATAATATTATGAGTAATACCGTATGAATAATACTGATCAGGGTCTCCATTAATAATGATCGCTTATATAACATAAATACAATCTTAATCACATAACTGGCCGGGAATATGCACTCAATTTGAAAATTATACAAAATTACGCATATATATAAGAGAAATTAATCGTGACCTTTCGATGACGATTGAATGTTCCGTGCATCGTTTCGGCGTTAAATTAAAGGCTGTTGTTTTACCGGTCGGTTTTAAAATGAGAGAAGTGAAAATGGTACCGGCAACACAACACTGGGCGGATTGGAATTGCTGTGCTATCAGCAGATGTCTAGTCATCATCTGTCATGTGTAGCCAAACATACACAACATTTCATTACGGCTCAGCGGTACTAATAAGCCATCGCCATTCCCGCTTTTCGTAAGAAAAAAGCTCGGTCATTACCTTCCTGCTGGTACACCTTAGACGTTTTTCGTACCCGACGAGTGAAGAAAAAACTCCACTTAACCGTGGAGATTTTGGATAAATTCACAGATCATAAAATATGTTTATCGTACGTTGCCGCTCACCCTTGCCATCGCCTCACTTTCGCTATATACGTGAGAACGTTTTTTTCCGTAATATTTTGTACGGAATTAATTGAGCTTTTCCAATGAAGCTAGTAATTATTATCAATAACACAATATCTAATTCTGGTGTGCTTTTGCTTTTAGTTCATAACCCTCGATTAACAACATTAAATGCAGTGCACAAACGTGAAGCCAGTGGACGTACACAATGCGTATGATAATTAATAGCGATAAGTAACTAGATCTACATAAACAAGCTGTATCGATATATGTAAACTTTGAACTGAAAAGCGAATCCTTACTAGCAATTTTTTAAATGCTGCAAAAGTGAACTAAAAATCCCCATAATTGTTAGTTACTTTTGGGATATCCGTACAAACAAAAAACAAAACAGCGAAACCAGATATATCGGTACAGTTTTAGTGGTCGTGCCGCTATCTACCAGATAGGTACAGTTTTACTGGTCGTGCCGCTATTTATATATCTATCTGTACAGAGTTATCTGTACAGAGTGCAGATTGAATGACTGAATTTGTTTTTTATAATAACGAAAGCGATGAGGTTAATAATTACAAAATATAACCACTGAAGAAAAATGCAGTCAAGTCATAAAGTCGTTGTGCTTTATTAATTTAAGCTCACAGTCTTCTCTTTGAATAGTTATATAAAACTATAAAATCTGCAAAAATCACCGTATACTCGTACAACGCACATACCACTGCATATGCCGTGCAATGTATACCTTCTACTAAGCTTTTACAATTTCTAATTAAGAAAATTAAATGTAGATTAGACATCGGAATAATTACTAGAATAATCCGAGAAATTGCCCCGTTTCGATGCCGGCCTGATGTTGGGTAATGACCTTTGACTGTAAGAACGCATCGGTGACGTCGACAAGGGCGTGGTGCCATTACAGCGCACGCTGGTCGTCGTGCCGTTCTGCCCGACTGTGAGCAGTTTCACGGAACCGTTGGGCTGCTGCAGGAAAGTCTTCCCGCAACGGACATACTGCAGATCATAGGGAACGGATATTGGGCGTTTGTAGGGATGCACGGGGGATGATTGGGAGTTTTCATTGGAATAATAGCCCTTGGCAAGTTGTACCGGGCGACGATGGTAGTGGATAGCCGGCGTGCGACGCAATGCCACGGCTTGCCGGTGCGCTTCGGAATGGGGCAGACGCTTCCAGCAGTACTTGCGCATCAAATAGCGAAAATCACTCTGTCAAAGAAAGTACATAAAAGTATTATAAACTTGACGTAGTAAATGTATATAATACAGTCGATATGCACGCGTAGTAAAATATAGTAAAATATGCTCGTGCATAATTTCAAGGCTGTTACTTATGCCTGCATTTTTTTAACAGTTCCACTTAACATATTACAGAACCAAAGAAAACGTATAATGTCACCAATATTTTTCATTTTTACTGTGTCGTCTTGCAAGTGCCGGTAGTGAAACAAATGCATAATCTCACACTTACTTTAAAATTATTGTTGACCAGTACGTAAATTATCTGCAAACACCAAATAATCATTAAATTTAATTGTGGTAAGTACATGTACATCACGCAGAATACGTTGTAACCTAAACACGATAATATTTGCTTACGATGTTAACGATGACAGAAAGCATAGCCACAAAGTGACAAGTGACAAACAAGGTATGATAGTATTTGGGCCGGAGATCTGTCAGAAACGTTGAGAAGTCATGGAGGAGAAAAAATGTTTGCAGCGGTAGCCATAAGATTCCAAACGAGAGCACCATCAGAGCCAGCATCTTGACTACCTGCCAAAAACATTCTTGTCACTAATAATATGGCCATCGTAACATGGTCTTGGTTAAAAAAAACATGTACCGGAACCAGCACGAGGCCATCCCCCATACGCAATCAAATGCGTGGTTACAACCATTAATATGCTCCCGGTGCCGACGCATTACGACTGCATATTTACGGCAAGAAATGATAATAATTATTGAGATAGAGAGGAGTATGTATCTGTACGAGTAGACACCGACAGACATAAGCGAGACACCGGTAAAAGATGGGACAACACAAATCATGTAAAAACACTCGATTAATTTCCGGTTACAAGAGCTATTCAGGCGGCATGTTGTTTTGACGAAGATTGTCACAACAGATAAACAGGATTTACCATGATGGATAACACTTACAATTGTTAATTTGAATAACCAGTAAATAAAGTAAAATTGAATCAGATACGGTAATCCTCATTTTCAACAATTCACGTGCAAGTAACGTAGTATTACGCGCAGTGATACTACGATGCTGGTAAGTGATTCATATGCCAACTGTATTTGTTTAACAGTCTGGTTGTAAATTTCGCGTAGATAATCACCCGATAGCATTTCAGAATTTAATTTGATTAATATTCGATTTGCGGAAAATAGTTTCTTTAAACACACTACCAACATGTTTTATTTTGATCTGGAAATAAGAGCAATTTAATTAGGGAGCATTAGTTATATGTTTGAAATGAGCCCCCTTTCTTCCAGAGACATTTAACGCTTCCACCGATCTGCGATAAATAAGAAGAAATATACATAACGCAATCTTCTTCTCTGACACATGCCCGCAGTTTATGATCACAATAATAATCATTACGTAAAAGTAACAATATGTTTACATCGGAGGTCAAATCTTTTCCAGAAAAGATTATGTTACAATTATTCGATGAATTAGAATGGTTATCTTGATAATCGCATCGGCGGCTCAATACTGTTTATAAAAAGCGATGATATTATAGTCTGAATGCACGGCCTTATCCTACTGTAAACGCGCCCTCCAGCCAAACCCGATCCAGCGCTTTTTATCCATTACCCGGCTTAACGTACACAATACACCGAAACAATCACCGTTTAATATAATACCTTTCTTTTGGACTGCAACTGAACCTTATCCCGGGAATCGGATGCCTCACCCGGCGTTGTCCGCTCCCAGAGTTTCCGCCCAACATACGTGTATGCACAGCCGATGCACAGCAGCGGTATAACATAATCCACGGAAAAAACACAGATTGTGTAGAAGCGACTGTAGATACTGCTCCAGTCGATCGACTGATCATACGGCCACGACGGCCATGTCTCCAGGCACAAATAGGTCATGGAACCGTTGGTGACGTCATAGGTGTGTAACGGTTGCACTTTACTGACGTAGAACTGGACACTGGCCTGCGCTAATGACCATAGCCAGATAAAGCCGAGAATCTTGCAAAGGTCACGCGGGGATTTGGCGCCGCGCGTCCGAAACGGCCGACAGATACTGCGCAGCCGGTCGATGGAGATGAACGTCTGGGTGTAGATACTGGAAGACACCGCTGTGTGCTGCATAAAGGAGACGGCCGGACAAAGAAAATGTGGATAAATCCATTTGCCCAATAAAACTGCAATAACAAAAAAACTTTTGACCGATTTATTGAGTTCGCTTCTTTTCTGTATAGGAGACTGATGGAATTGCCTGGAAAAATATTCAGGAAAAAAGTGACCGATTAAGTGTCAGCTTATTCAGAATATTTAATAGGAAGTCCTGCGTAGCCGGGATTTGCGGAGCGGCGCATTATGAGATTTGAAAACGCTAATTATATTACACATGTATAATTTTTATCGGTGCTTAACACATGGATCTCCGCAAGTACAGTACGTCATCGGAAACAGCGGTAGACCAACCAAATGCAATAACTTTTCACGGTTACACTAATAAAAAAAGTGTCGCGCAAAGATAAACTGCCGGTTAGGAAAATTCCGGCGCCGGCATAATCAGCCAGTGCAGCAGTTAACTTCTGTGCAGATAATCCACAGGGAATATATTGCCGGCATCTTTGGGATTCGCTTTTCTTAAGCGTAACGAAGTGCATCGCGCCCGACGTGTTAGTAGCGAAAAATGTGAGATAAAATGACGCATTAAACAATCACTTCCAGAGCGGCTCCAGATTTTGGCAGTTAGTGCAGATGCCTTTGTATGGTCAATGGGGAAAAACATTCAAGTGACACCGTCAAGCAGCAGTTGACGCAAGCAATGAAGGGTTATAATGCCACAATCGCGTGCATATGGCATAAATAATAAACAATAAAATATAAAACATACAAATTAAGTATCTGCCATAAAATATTTACCTGGCATGCTAAACACGAGAGTAAAAAGAACAACGTAATAATTGCTTGTTTGGCCTACAAATGTGGTGCGCACGCACAACACCTGATGTAATTAGATAACGGCCGGAAGGTCAAACTTGAGACAGAAAACACCTACCGTGTAATCAGCGCAACATGAGTGCTTTACAAACAGCACGTGTTCAAAGTATTCGCACTCGTAGAATATAAGAATGACACTTACTGTCTTTTTAAAAATATTTTTGTTTAGTCATTACTAAATTTTTTTATTAGGTTTTAAAATAATGTACCACAATATCCTGTATTTGTATAAAAATGTCTGTCGAACAAAAATTTTTATTAAGCATGCCGTTGCATTTGTTTCAAGTATTTAAGGAATGCGGGAGTTTTCCTTAATTTGGCTTTCCGGTTGGACCAATTAAGCGAAAACGAAACGAAAATTAATGAAAATTTATGAGTAGTTTGACAAACATCTTTTACTGAATGTAATGAAAATGGAATTCGATGAAAATCTTTTAATGACTGGAATGAAAAGAAATTTATGGAAATTCCTTAATGAAATGAACTAATTGGAAATTTTTAATTAAACATCGTAAACCGTAATAATTTTGAAATCTTCGTTGCGTTATTTCCTCTTTAGCCATATGGGCACGTGATGTTGTTTGTACCTTGGGTGGATGTAAAGGGCATACAGGCGATGGCCATGATGAGATCGGAAACGGCGAGATTAATGAGGAACGGCGCCAGTTCCGTGCGGGATTTATGTCCGTACGTAAAGACGAAGATGACGACAATATTGCCGGCTACCGATATGAAAATGTTGATACCGTAGAGAAAAAATAATCCCACTTGGACCTCATTAGGCAGTGTATAATGATCATCCAACACCGTATCAAAATCATAATCCGCTACCGATAATACCGAGATATTGCCGGTCTTGTACAGATCGACATCATCGAGGGGATACTGTTCGGTGCTGCCCATACTGCCGCCCCGGATAGACTGCGTGCTTCGCGCATCCACTGACGCATTTAATGATTAAGATTGAAATAAAAAGAAATAAATAGTCCTGGTGTGCGATTAATTCGTATTAACGATGTACTGAACAAAGGCTACAGTGCAGCATTAAATTCACTGTTGCCGGCTGCATGGTTCTTTTTGCGGTGAACAGGACGATGATCTGTAGTTGTGCGCGTCAATTTGGCGGCGGAAATATAATTATGCGGAATGATGACGCGGGGATATCTTTCAACAGAGTCGGATGAGTGGCTGCAAAATTCTTCCGGATCCTGGTTTCAATATTCTCTCATTCACAGAAAGTCATTTATACTCCTAAAAATACAGCGGAAGATGGCCACGTTGGAAGCTGCAAGAAGGGTATAGTTAGCCTAATTATCTCAACTGCACGTGGCTGAGATGGTCATGGCGCAGGGCTCTTAACCAGGCATACATAATCATTACCGTATAAAATGGGAGTACGATACTCTGTAAACTGTACAGACTTAATACAAAATAATATATCGATATCAGAACGAAAAAAAGTGTCACCGTTAATTTACTATACGGTATAAAAGGCAGATTTTCCTGCGGAAACACGTCAGTACAATTTTATTTGACGCATAATATATTATTACTTGGTTAAAAGATGCGATCTTTTAATATTTTCTGTATTGTGCATCGTTGTTAAAATCCATACGTTTTTAATTTGAAAATCAAGGTATGCCAAAACTTAAAAATTTCATGTACACATACGGAGCTGTACAGATATGCGTATATATATATGGACGACAATTTAAATGCAATCGTACTTGAAAAAAAGTTATGCCACACCGACAAAATGTTCAGCATTACTTATCTCAAGCAAAACTAGTTCGATAAATATCATTATAAATTTTCAAAAAATTAGCATATCCAAATAAGCCCAAGCACCAACACGGTGCTTGGGCTTATTTGGATATGCTAATTTTTTGAAAATTTATAATGATATTTATCAAACTAGTTTTATAATGATCAAACTAATTTATAATGATATTTATCAAACTAGTACACGCTTCTAACCATAAGTGCCCTTTGATTCGGCGTCTAGCCAGCATGTACAGATACAATACAGTATAAGTTAACAATAACTAACATACAGAGTGTGCATGCCGGTTAAAACCGACATGACTAATTTAGCGGGTTAAAAGTATATTCCCGATCTATAATCCATAAAATACGAGCACACAATTATCACCCACAGCAGTTTGCATTACATATTTAAAATCTGCAGAAGCTGTTTACAAATGAAAAGATAAATAAATCCAAAGCGCAAGAATATCCCTTACGATTGCTTATTACTAGTGCGCAGCATACTTGCTGTACTAAAAATACTGTACAAAAAGAAATTGTTCGAGATCTCGGATTTCAGGCCTTTTAAAAAGAGCTAAATTTTGGCGCGATAGCCAAATAGCTTTACGAATTAAATACTAATCAATTTTAGACCGACAAGTATATAAGTCACTCGCTTTTTATGACGTAACACATATCGTGGATCATCCAGACGACGCACCATTTATCCACGCAGTATGCGAAATTGCCGACCGCTTCTGTGTATTTATATTTGCCTCCAGGCCAGAATACCAACATACATTCTCCCGCAACAAATCGGACCATTTGACAATGGGATCATTTCCGTAAAATTCCGCATTTCATGGTGATATTTATTCGCGGTTAAACGCAATTCAGAAAAAAAGCAGTAATTCGTACAATAGCGACTATCGCAATGGTGGCCATGGCATTACGTGAATACCGGGTTAGACGTTACAGATGATATCCTGCGACAGATGCACTGACCACAATCATCGGCAACTTGCATACATGCGTCGTGAAAAACTTACTGCATATCGGAGCGGTAATGTTGTGGGATCCTTGTCACTTTTGATTATCCCCAGGAAGACTTGCAACGTATGTGTATACGCTGGTGTGTAAAGGAAAATGGCAAGGAGCCGGGTTTAATTGTAATAAAGCAGCAGCAATTCAATCAAGTGGAAATGGCTTCGTTAGAATTGATATAATCAGAATTTCCGTCTAAGCGGATTTACAGAGTCGCCGGCTACGGGCGCGCGTTGTGATCCCATGACTGAGCATGTTCCACGCACGTATACCGCGCGCAATCTCACATTGCACGGCACTGATTTACCGATTCAAGATTAAATGGCAATTATCCGCTTAATGAAAATAAAAATGTTTGGCGAAATATTCCAGGGAATTGACCTACTCAAACATAAATTTCTTGCTGAATAATACCTATTGACGCGTGTACTAACTGCAAAAACGTTAATCGTCTGTTGAATACAAACACGTGAAAATATGCCGGCTGAGCCGCTTGAGTCGTCGACCGATTTTTGTTGTTGTATTCGCGCACATACTGCACACACAGCACACACACACGTCGTGCGCGGCACCAAGTGAGTGCCCTTCTTCCCATACGCATGACGCTCAGGGAGTCCTGGACCTGCCCACAAGTGCACTCATTTCCGGAAATGTTCTCGTGCTCTCTGACAGCAGGCGTATCTGTACATTATAAACCAAAAGACCACGTTTTTTCTTTCTTCGGCGCGCACAAAGACAAATATGAACCCGGCTGTTTTCTCATAATTATAAGCTGTTAATTATATCTCAAAGGTCAGAAATGATTAAAGGTTTCTATCTTCTACAGCGCAGTCATGATTTCCTGCAATATTTTTATAAGGGCAATATTCTTTTAACTGAAATGAAATGTCATGCCTTTGATGTTGAACGTCAGTAATATGGTTCTTGGCAGTATTTCCCATTCAAACGGTTATTTTTAAAAATCGTAATCGTATGATGTCGCAATGTGTGCCATGTGTGTGTGTGTGTACGCTGCAGGTCGTGGATAACTTGTCAAAAGATTTTTTGTATGATGTCGTTTTCTGCATCACTGCATTAACATAACGTTTAGTAATTTAGCTATTGTGACAGCCACTTTAGTTGTTGCGCAACCAAGAAGATATATCACTCGACTGATAAGGAACCGGCAAATTTTGCACGCACGTAGGTTAATAAGCTTTAATTGTCATTTAGCGATACTGCGTAAAGTAGCCCACTATGCACTCAAGAAAGCTGCGTACCGCATCGAACATAAAAAAGCAGCGAAGGGAATTAAATTCAGTACAGTACCTAATACTACTAATTTTTTTATGTTAATTTCAGCAATTAATTTTTATTAGCAAAAGTAGAATTGCCGTACATTAATAATTTACTAGTTCTCTAACGTTCGTGTACGAACGCCACTGCACAAGCTGCATCATTCCAATCCAATGCATCCTGCAACCTACATAATATGATATTATGTAGGTTGCAGGATATTATTAATATCCATACTTTTCTACAACGAAGTCAATGCATTAATCACTGATTATTCTAGCAAAAAATTCAGTCTTAACCTGGAACGAACAATTTCAATTTAAAATAACTGTCAAGTAAGCAATAACGGTAACATTTCCGAAGCTCGAATATTATTAAATTACAATTTTAGTTTCATGTATGGATTTTTATTGGTCAAATCAAACTCATACAGAACTGTTAGAGAAAAAACACAAAACTACAACAGCAAAAGTTCATGCAGTTTATCCTGCCCTTCCATCGTGCCCAGCACTGACGCTGCATTTCCCCTTTGGATTTCTATCGACAACCGCTGCCGCAGAAATTCATGCGAACGTCCTTCTCCCGTTTGCTGTTTAAGTCTTTTCCCTAGCTCTTTGATGATTGCAATCGCCGAAGGTCCCCATGAACCAAGCGTCTCGAAGGCAATCGGCACGAAAAGGTAACGGCCATCCAGATAAGAGTAAATTACTGCCACAATAAAAGATAAGAGTAAATTACGGCCATCCAGATAAGAGTAGTTTCATTAAATTACTGCCACAATAAAAGCAGCAATTTGTATTATTCGATGCGGACAAACGCTTCCCGTGGCGAGTCTAACGACACCCGATCACCATGCACATAAAACTGCATCCGTCAAACCGGGCCTATGCATCCAGCTCCGCCCACTTCGGAGCTCCCGCCGCATGTACTCTCTTCGTGACGCCGGTCGGCGAACATGACGCTGGCTGTATACAATACACCCGGGTCCGCCTGCCCTCTTTTTTTATCAATTCCCTACTAGCTGGGGACAGATTATGGGGAGATTGAGTGCAAATCCTTTATCATCCGGAAATATACGGCATCGGCGCCCGAGACGCGTTTTGACAACATTTGTCGTGGCGCGGCGATTTACAGCAGAGCGATTCAGCTTGGATATAATGCGCTCAGTGGCCGATTGATATAATTCCCAGACAATAATCACTGGACCCATTGGCGATATATATATCTATGCGCGTTCGAACCGGCAATCGCGCACCGCTCTATTCATGTCCCGTATATATAGACCGTGCACCCGAAGATGTTGTGCCTGTCGTACGAGAAGAAATGGGAAGGGTGTGCGCTCAGGCGCACTTGATTGCCTGGAAGACCGACCCGTGCGTTGATCGCTAGCCCCCCGTGTTTTTATAAGATACTTACTCAGTTGACTTCCGGAAACTCCCTGCCATGTCGAACAACGTCTGGGCAGTATGAAAAATGTCTATATTTAGTGCGTACTTACATTTCAAAAAACATTGAAATCTGTTCACCGTAAAGATTAAGGAACACAATTGTCTACAGGAAATGGGTTTTTGGTTTTCGGGGTACAGTATGATTCATCGCGTGTCACCCATGCAGCGCTTTTAATGGTGCATTTATAGACTATCGACATTTAAGCGCATTACCCTGCGAAAATCGACATTGGACATTGTACCTGTTTGATGAAAAGGGAATAAAAAAAACAACGGAGAATTTCGGTAGTCCATAGACTACCGAAATTCTCCGTTGTTTTGCATTACTTTTGCATATATATGCTAATCAGCATTTTTTCTGTTCAAGCCGCAATATATAAATATACCGGCTTTTAGCGCCTACCCAGGCCAGACTCACTCCCAGTTCGCAACTTCTACATATTCCACGTAAAAGGTGCAACTGGGAGTGAGTGAATTTTTAAAAACTGGCTATATAAAAATTTGTATCCTGTACTGTACATTTACGTAACGTGTAATTTATGTACAGTATATAAATTTGCATGATCGTTCATGATCAACGCCTCTTTAAAGTTTTGCACCAAGACAGAAAGAAATGTATGCAGAAATGTAATAGATAGACATACAATCATAGAGATTATCCCGATTACCGATATACTAGCACCTTGTTTTCACCTTTCCAGACATATTTATGCAGACAACCTTTTTTTATGTGCACTGAAGTGTGCTAAGTCCGATGTCTGTGACTACTATTTGAAAGCACATTGCAAATTATGTGATGCACATACATAATTTAATATGCTGCATATACAGATGTATGGAATTTATTAACTACAGCGCACTGGCAAAAATTGCTGACAATTTCTGTCATGCACCGGCTAATGGCAATAATTATCGCTCCCTGTGCGACTTGTGCACTTTTGTTGATTTAGCGCCGCATGCCGTTAAGGGAGATCCTGGTGATGCAGGCGCTGACCTTAAGCTACCGGAAGTGGAGAATCTGCGGGCCAGGACACGTAACCCTTTTGCATGCCGCAACGTGTGCTGCCGATGCCAGCGGGGTATATTGCCCTACATTCGACTGCTTGCAACCGGAACAGCAGGACCGCGGTGGACATTTTAGGCTAATCAACGCGCCGAACTCCAATCAATATTCCCCTGACAGCTCGGCATATTCAGGTAAACTACCGGTGTCTAAAACCAGCATTACGTGAATGTTGACCAGCGGCTTGTTAGTTGTTAGCACAGACGATGCTAATACCGGCGACAGATGTATTATTATGGACCACATCGATTACTTGGCCATATCAATGGCTTCCTACGCTGGGGTCAGTTATCATTATGGATACGTACGTGACGATGACAAAACTGGACGGCTAAAACCAGCTTTTCCATTAAATGTGGCAAATACTCATTTACGAAATGAATCTCCCAAAGTGCCCCGTGTTATATGGAACGCGTGGAAGCAGGTATTTGCTGACCGGTCATGCAATCTGATTAGTGACTGACATACGGCTATTTCAGTGTGCCGCTACTTGTAGTACTTTATACACGCAATATCTGACTAAATAAATACGCCACATGCGTAATATTGTTGCGGAAGTGGCAAATACATGACCTAATTGTGGAACGGTGTAAATATGTACTGGTAAAAATATTACTATAATATATGTACAAAGATAGTAACTAAATGTACGGACCGGTTTCCAAACTGGCTCGATGCAGTAAGCGTTGCTTGCGGTAAATGTTAGTGTACATTTCTGGGTATTTGTTTATTTGTTTAAATATTGTGTTTTAATTTTAACGCGTCCAAAAACTGCATCTGTACAAATTGGAATTACTTAATAAAAATCCACCGCGCAGCTACGAATTTTGTGTTTATGGTTAGTTTCACATGGGAAAAACATGATTGGTTCCGGCGGCATGCAGTGTTATTGGGTGGGCGGTGCTCTAAGGCAAATGGACCGGCAGCTGCCGAGCGCCCGAGTCTGATTACTTTACCTACCTGACCACTCGCTAGCTGCCGCATGGTGGTGTTCACAGTTCTGGCTGCACACACCGGCAACTGGACATACGTGCGCTCACTTGAAATCAGCATCGTCAAAATAGATCAAGGAGTTCGTAGATGCAGCTCTATTGCACTATCAAGTTGTGTACCTACTTGAGTGAATTTGCCGGATTATAGCACGGCAGCGCACCGCATAATAATTGCAACAGGAGCTGAATTATTATATTAATGGACAAACTCGGAAGCCAGAAAAACATTACTGGACCATTGTGGACTGTATAACCCAGTGGATATTTTATCAACATTCGGCTGAATGCAGGTGAGGACAATGGCTGTTTTCGTGGTAGCTTTGTGGTTGTTTCGCATGGGCGAGCGAAGAAAACAGCGGGAATGCCGAAAAATGTTTGAGTTAATCATAACAATAAGGTGAAGTTTTTCTAACCTCCTGCGCACCTGATTTCGTATAACTGGTTCAAAACTATAGATCCGAGAACAGGAAATATTATAAAAAAATATCTTTGATTAAACAGTTTCATGCATTATGCATTTTTCAAGCAGTATGTTTTAATGCCTATTTTTTAATTTTGGAATCACTAGCCATCGCTCTGTCAAAAACAAATGACAAAATATTCTTGGTTAAGCTTGTGAGAAATTTACATACTTTTATTTTATTTCCGGTACTATTGTTTGATCTGGGTAATTTGTTGTAATGGGATTAGTAGCACGGAGTGTGTTTAAGGTAACGCGGCAAACCAGTCCGTAATCGAGGTCAGTTTAATAATTTTTAGGCTTTCTGCTTATTTTAACTTACCGGCTTATTGCATTGCATCATGGCCATGATATGCTTTGATGTCATGCGTGTGCATGTGTGTGTCCGGTATGCATTAGGTAATATGTAGTGTGTGCATTAAACGTATTTGCCATGCTTTGTTCAACATTGTTGTCGCGCTTAAACTGTAGAAAAACAAATACTGCAATTAAATTTGACCGGAGATGTGGTAACCGCTATTTAGCCACAGTCTGACGGATAATCAGGATGTATAATTATTTCGCTTACAATGCGTTACGTTGCGAAAAATAGAACACTAGGAGCACGCTGGGGGTAAGGTGATGCTGTGAAGTGTATGTTAAAAGATTTTTTTGCGGAGGCGTTGCTCGTTTGCCACGAATTTACGATGTGCTACTTTATTGCGATAGTTTCGTGTATTTTTACTTTTTACAACGGAAAGAACTAATAATTTTGCGGCAGTACAAAACGATGAAAACTGAATTTTAAAAAAGTTTATACATGGTATATAGCTATAGTCTATAGATACATATGAAAATCTGTATAAATACACTTGAATATACTGTATATTGTAAAATTCCGTATATAGGCTATACTATCACCTATAGCTACAAAAATGTTTGGTCTTTAAATTTTTATAGCTACTTTTTGGTTATGAAAAATTTAGCGGTACCTAAAAGTAAATTTTTGCAACACTGGAAAAGTTGCACTAAATATTGACATTTAATTTCCTGATTTTTGTACTTTCAGGACAAAATGATTTATTACAATGAAAATTTGGTCGAGTACATTTTTCTCATGTGAAAATCGTATTGTTAGACCCCATCTTGATTTTAATCATCATGAAAATAGGGCACTACGGAAACATGGGAACAAATTCGTTGTAATCCCTTTGAATAGCGTCCAGGTTGGCCTCTGTAATAACAATAGCACTGGCCAGTGGTCAGGTCGGGTGTGTGACTGTGTATATACATCCCCTCGCTTAACAGAATGCACAGGAGTGTATAACAGTGAAGCGTGACTGCACCGAGAAGAAAGCGTCTCTGCCGGTTCTATCGGCACAACCTTCCTCAGTAACCTCTCTTCATTCCGGTTCAACTTTTCTCTTGTTCGGGACTGTCGCTGGCCGGTCTGGGCTTTTATATTGCCAATTTGTGGTTTCATCACCGGTTTCCACCCTGTCCGGCATATGCCCTGTCCACTTCCTTTCTAGTGAGATTGACGTGAACGTGCTGCTGCCTCGTGGACGGAGGCCGGCATAGAGACATAGACAGGCACGCAAGACGGAGAAGAAGGGAATTTTGCACACCGAATTTGAACGACATGATAATAAAACTGCCTGTCTGCTGCGATCAAAGTCAGATAGAAATCACCAGGTCAGATAGAAATTTAGAACAGCACTTTTCGGTGTGTGTGTGTATGACACTGTATGTGGACGGTGGAGCACGGATATGACGGAGTGGTTTTGAGTTTGTGTTTATTTACCGCTATCGGACAATGGTCGAGTGGGATCGGCTGTATAACGGTGTGTTGGCTTACACCTGCTTGGTCGTTTTACACACTGGATCAGCTTCTGTTGATCATATGATTTTCGTGGAGATTTTCCACACCTTTTGGCACAATTTACTGATGCAAGACAAACAGCTGCATCCAGTGTCTATAGACAAAATCGAAATCTGCACAATGTTTGCAAACTGCTTAAAATAAAACACAAATCAAAGATGCAATAAAAAATATTATTCTGTAGGTTTTATTAACAAGCTTTCTGTTGCTTATAAACTGTATAAATATGTTTTAATATCTGCGCAAAACTTAAATTAATGCATATTTAACCGGTGATTTTATAAATTATGTGTATGTCCATTAAAGCTTCCATTGTGCTTATAGTTTTTTTTGGAATTTTCGTTGCAGTTTTCGAAAGCGTTGGTTTCGCGTAGTGAAGAAAGCCCTTTCGTAATGCGAGCTAATGTAAAGGCCAAAAATATCTTTCTATTTCTGTATGATTTTCTTTGTACAATATTAATAATTCTGGTTATCCGTTGTAAATTTCTGAGCGGCTTCGGCAATACAGACAATTTGATTGATGACCAGGTTTTATTTTGGGAAAGCCCATAAAACTTTTACCGGTATCTGATTAGCGACGCCCCTCACAAATTCACTTTCAATTCGAAGAACAATTTTACCGTTTTTTAATTTTACTTTGTGGACCATGACAAATGGGATTGCTCATAGTCTGCACGATTTACGACTTTTTAATCTGATGCTGAGTAGTTTTAAATTAAAAGTAGTTAAATCCAGTAAAAATCCATTAACTTGTGTTACGGTGGACGAAAAAGCACGAAACTTTTCTATTAATTTTCATCAAAAGCAAAGATTGACTGTTATGGCAAGCGATTCTTTTATTGCTTGTTAATTTATTCGGCAGATAAAGACCGGAAATGTTTGCCCTTTATTTGATTTAAGAATGTATTTTGATGTCAGCAATTTTTCTGTTTTACAGTGAACAATTCAGTGGATTATTATTATTGCTCTTCGATGGACTACATGGTGCCGCGCTACCTTTTCTGAATATTGTTCCAAAGATCTTTGCCGCAAACGCGACACGATATGACAATGATACGAAACGAGACATACCGATCATCATCTGTCAACATGCCGGCAACTTTATCATCAAATCAACGTCAGCAAAAAGCTGTACATTTTAATTCCGGTTCCAGCAGTCTATCCCGACAAAGAGAAAGCTTATGTCCATCACACGGACTCCTCAATGCACCCGGCGATAATAACTGTTTTCTCAACAGTGCCGTGCAGATTTTTTGGCATTTGGATGTCTTTCGGAGGAATTTCCGCCGGCTGCACGAGCATGTCTGCCTGGGCAATGCCTGCATTTTTTGCGGTATCAAGGTACTTGACAGTCTTGACATGTGTGATCTCGAGAAAAACCAAACTACTACGAGAAATGTTAACCTTTTCAGAATTTACCGTCTACATTATTTTTCTTTTTAAATCTGCGTTGAATAAATTTCTACTTTTACAGCATTTAAACGGCAATTGTTTAGCAGTTATAACAGCCATAAATGAGAAATATCCAGCATTTGTATGGGTTGAATAACGTATTAACTTTGAGATTTATGGAGTTTAATTTTGCATGCAAAAGCTGTTTTTATTGCTTAATTCATTGACCAATGCAAATTGTACGAAGATAAAATTTCACATGCTGTAGCTTGTATTTACACCGTGAGAAAATACAATATTAATAAAATTTCACAAATTGTACGAATGTAAATTGCCCACTTTTACCGCAAAAGGTTTAAATAAACCCAACAGATGGTATATTATGCATTTGTACAAAGCGTTGCTCTAAAGTTAAAATAATGAAAGTTATGGTCAAAACTGAAATGCACTACGACTTTATTTGTGGTATTGATGGCAAAAAAATGACGTTGTAGAAATGCTACGATATCGTAACATATTTTATATTAGTTCATTGGATTTTTTTGCATTTGGAAATGTAGGTGAAAGGTTTACGTACGGTTATAAATGCATGCAATTGCAAGTCAAACATATTTTGATAATACTCGTAAAAAGAAATTGTTCTTGCAGACGTTATTCCGCCAATTTCAAGAGTCAGCCGGTACGGCATTCTCGCCGGACATGCTACGCCGTGCATTGGCGATGGCTTTTGAGAATCAACAGCGTTTTCAGCTGGGATGTATGGATGACGCTGTGGAGTGCTTCGTAAGTAAACAGTCTAACCGGTTATACAGTCGCGGATCTCTGAAAGATTTATGGAAACATGCATGATTTGACAAAAGATATAGCGTACGCATAATAAAAAGAAAAGCAGTCACTATACTGCATATACAGTGCGCGGTCAGAAGGCGAACTGGTTCCTCCAGGTTGATGCCGATCCAATATCGTGATGGACAGTCAGTCTGTTATTTGTCAGAATACTGCAAATCTGCCCGCCAGCGCCAAATCAAATCTTTAATATTATGACCATTTTTACGGCAATGAATGACTAAGCGCTGCATCAAGCGGAATGTTTTTTGCTATCTTTCGTATTAATCGAATTTGTGTAGGCTTTTTACGAGGTATTTCTGATTATGATAATGCTGTGGTAAAAATAGAACGTAGCTGCAGATGACCTTAACGATCGCATGGAAATATATCGTTTAACATGCAAGAAAAATTATTTATGTATTTGTAATCAGTTTTGTAGTACGTATCAACATAATTTATGACACAGTGGTCTGCGCTAAAGTTAATCACTGGTTTTCGTTAATTCAGGTCAACAGAGGTACACCATTTGGCATTTGCGGTTGCGTTTGTTTTTGCTTTTATGATAAATACAACCAACTCACCAATACGATTAGAAAAGAAATTATATTATATGTTCTTCGTTACCCAGTAGTTTACTTCGGAAAATTACCGTTGCAGCTGTTCTACAGTATACAAAAAAGCGAAAAAATAATCTTGTTCGGTGTCGAAAAAAAATTTCACAAAATCGTGGATATGTTCTAAAATTTTTTAAATACAAAATATTGAGTAAAACGTATATCCATGTGGTGTTTTCTTTGCAGGAAAATATTCTTTTGCGTCTTCACTACCATGTCCAAGGGACATCCGAAGTGACCAGCTGCAGTCATCCATTATGTATTCCACATCGTAAATTCTCCATAAACCTCACGGAATTATACACGTGCGGCGACTGCCATCGTGCCGCTGCGGACCCGTTAAGTTTTTCACAAATGGTGCATTACGTCGCCGTCAATGCGCTGTGTGAAAAAGCATTACAAATGAAGCAGCGAGGTGTTAAATCGCTCACCGGATTATTCGGCAAACTACTGCGGAAGGCCAACGAAAGCACCGATCAGCGCATCTGCCGACACTGCAGCTCACCCAGTGTCTTGCTTAAGAGAACGTTGACCAATCAACCCGATATTGGTAAGTTAATACCGGTGGTTATGATGAGAAACTATCAGTTTTCTCATAATGTACAATAGACAGTGTATTGATGGTTTTGTACGGAAATTTTGACATCTTTTTCAGTGATAATTGCTCATATGTCAATGACTGCCGGTGTATACGTGCAATTATGTCGACAATCTGTTGAATATACGATAATCTAAAGCGAAATTTTTCACACCATTGTCGGCGTTAAAAAATTGAATGTCCAATAGTATTGATTAAAATGGCACATTTCTGCTATCCAAAATCGAATCGACGAGATATTTAGTTACATATTTTTTATGACTGCGTGTTATTCGTGAAGAGCACAAAATTGAGCGCAGTTGACGATGGCACGCTGTGGTGGCTAAAACATAAATTATGGACTAATCGCATACTTGCAACACTAATTTATATGTATGTTATGTGATCTGTACCAAATACGATAAGGTCCGATATAAGCAGACATCAAACGATAATTTACGCAGTGTTTATCAAGTTATACACAGTACCATAATTACGTCTTAATGGTCAGCCACAGCTGCATCCCATCTTGGGAATGTGATACCGACCCGGCGACTGCTTTTTTCTTGTTTATCCATGACAAAATCTCGCTAACGACACTGCACGTTTGTTATTCTTGCAGTAACCATCGGGCTGGCATGGGATTCGGAGAAATCCAAAACCCAAACAATCTCCCATGTACTTGACACGATCGACGCCAACATCTGTCTGTGTCATGTATACCACGATGTACACGATACCCAGTGGGCCGCATCTGTGGTCCATCATCTGGTGGGGATGGTGTGTTTCTATGGCCGGCACTATTCCGCCTTCTTCTACCATGCCCCCTACCAGACCTGGATGCACTTTGATGATGCAACCGTCCAGACGGTCGGGCCCGAATGGGCGCAGGTCGTCCGCCGCTGTGTGAAGAATCACTATCAGCCGCTGCTCTTGTTCTACGCCAATCCGGATTGCGCCCCCCTGGGCGGTCCACCCAATGACAAGACCACAGTGAAACCGCGCCCGCCCGTGCGGACCGTCAGCCGGCCGCTGTCCACGCACAGTAGTCTAAGCGGTCACGAGAGTCGGCCAGTTTCCCACCGGTCGACGCCCGTGAGTGGCGTGTATGATGGATCGGAGCTGTCGGCGACGGTAGCAGCTGACAAGACAGCACGACCACTGGCAGGTGGCCCAGCTGCTGTAATGGACGGTAATGGTAGTATTAGGATGAGAAAGGATGCACCGCGAAGTCATGGCACTCGACCAAATGGTGTGCCAAATGGGAATAACGCTAGTTTTGGACACGGAGCGGGGAGTGTCAACAACATGCTGGGATGGAAATCGCGAGCCAGCATCACGTCCAGCAGTATTGCGAGTCTGGAGAGTTTTGATTCCTATGAGAATGTGCACAAAGCGTATCCAGTGGGATATAGCATCATGAAAACAGACCATGAAGGTAAGCGTGGTCAGGGTGCCGACAAAATGCAAAATTTATAGAAATAGTTAATTAACTAATAATAATAATTAAATAATAATTAGCAGGTGAAGTACACAATACGGTTCTGAGTGAACGTTTTAAGGTGATAGAAAAGCCAAAAAAACCATTAAACAATTTAATTTCAAATTTACGTGGTGCTTTCCGAATTGTAACAATTTTCCATGTATTGGAAAGCCTAATATGCATGCATCCCATGCATTACGATTTCGCTTGCTTTGACTGAGTTCTACCGGCAATTACTATGGTTGGATTTGGTTTTAGCTTTTACCGTTGCGTGTTAAAATATTTGTAACTTTAACGGTTTTCAATTTGTGTTCATTATAGCAACTGAAACCGATTCGGGTTATCCGAGCGGTGACCAGGCCAGTGCCAGCAGTTCCGTTGAGATACCGCCATTTAAGCAGCACCCCCTGTCCTCCAAATCCGCCGCCGTATCCGGTCAGCCGGTCAACAGGACCCACTACATCCAGATGCTGCTGCGCGCTGACGACCTGATCGCGTCCGCATCGATGAAGGAAGCACAAGCGGAGCCGGTCGGGGCCATCGGACTACTGGAGCAGGCGGTGGCACTACTGCAGAGCTGCGGCGGCTGTCAGTCCCTAACAGCCTGTCCGCAGCTGTCACAAGCCGCCGTGGTTAAGCAAATAGACTGCTGTAAAAAATTACGAGTTCTGCATGAAAAAACCGCCACTCAGCGGTTAAACTCCACAATGCCCAGCCAACCGGTTTCCGGCGTGACGGCCTTGACTGGTCAGACCACACGGCTGCTTCCGCATGCTGTACCGATCCCGCAACGAGCGCATCGTGAGAACGCGCAATTAAGGCATAATTTGGATGGCAAGGAAAATCACGGCGGTAATGATTCGTCATTACGCAGAGTACATAAATCCAAAAGAAAGGCTAGCGGAAAAAGTCTGGGTTCGCAGCAGCTCAATCGAAGCATGCCGGACTTGAGTCAGCCGGCCGATGAGGGCGTGTGCGATGCGGTGGATCCCGGTAGAAAAATTAATACGATAAAAAAACACTGGAATGGATCTCCTAATTTGTCCACTTTTCAGGTAAATATTAATTCCTTTATTACAAGACACGCACCATTTGAACCAGTCATAGGTGCAACATTAATATAAAGTATTCGTACCGTTACTGCCCATTATTAGTTTAGTAACTGTATTTGCGCATATTATTTTATATACGTATGCAATTCTAAAAACAAGTACTACTGGTAGTCTGGTACCAGTGGGTTCTGCTGAGAAAGCCGAAGAAGGCGTAGTACAGTGCAAAACAGTAATAACATTTTCTGATCCATCATGCAGTTTGGCTGAATATCTAATGGCACGCATTGTGATTTAGCCTTTTAGTGTTTTGGCTCAGCGGAAGCTCATTACTACGGTGCATCATTTTTTCGAAATTAACTTGTAATATGGTGGTATTTGCAGAATTCATCAATGGCCGAAGCCAATGTGCGATCCCTTCACCGGGACATACTTTTGACTGAACTGCTCAACCACCGCCTGCACCGCAGATCCGTGATGGACGTCGCTTCCAGTAGCACAAGTTCGCCGGAAAGTTTGTCCAACGAGTACGACGATCTCCCGCCGCCGCCACCAGAACTCCTTCTCCCTTCGCGATCTCCTTCCCCCCGCGTAGACTACAGCCTGAACTCGACCCTTACGAAATCTCTCCCGGAGAACACAGCGCTGTGCTCGCTCTGCGGCCGGAAAGTTGTGCATGACTCGAATCTGTATTGCTCGGATTGCAATGTATATATGAGTCAATTTGGGGGTGTATGAAGTGCTTCTAGAATGTCTAGAATGTTTCTTGAAGGAATATTTTCTGTTGATGCACAAGAATCTTTTAGGAAGTACCTATGTTTAAATGCAGCTGTTTTACATACATGAAAATTACATATTAGCCGGTGATGGCAAATCGATATAATGTCATTGTTAACAACCGGCAAAACTACTAAACAAAAAAAGCTATGGGAGTATAATTGATGTTCTGTCGAACAGCTGTACTAACTGTAAGCATCCAAATATCGGATAGTTCAAAGTCCCGTGCTTCCTGTTTCGGTATCTTATGAGTTCGGAGTAGTGCGGACTGCGGAGCACAATATGCAGAATAAGGATCTGAGAACAGTAATCTGACAGCTGCGCGTTATAGCTAGTTGTACCCAATAGTATAACTTTGCGATTACCAGTTCGGGTGTTCATTAAGCGCTTTTCATCATGATGATGCAGAAAAATAAGGAAATACATACTGGTGTAATAAATAAGGAATTTGACAATTGGGTTATTGTAAGTACCTCGTAGTTGAACAAATCATATCAACGTTTCGGTTTTGCGGATCAATGTCAGTCCCAGGTTTGCATAGAATAATGCAGATCTATTGTTGATGGAAAGTTACGATGACGCTTCGTATGTATCGATGACATCTAACCATAAGTACTATGTCGTTTTTTTGATTTCTGACCAGTATGCAACAGCACCTGGATCTCACTACACTTTCGTCGATTCGGTTTTAAATACTATTTGTATAAGCTATAATGCATACATGCAGTAAAAGCACAGCAGGAATGAAGGCGCATATTAATAACAGACCTTCATTCCTGCTATGGTAAAAGATCGTTGTCTGTTTTGCAGTGGTTCCGTATGTATGCACCATACAAGTATTTTATTTTGTACAGTACTTGCGGCATTGTTTCGTTGATTTTAACTTGTTTAGACATCATTTTTAAGACTTCAACTCAATCGCGGTATATAGCGGAATTTTTAACAATCGAAATTATGACTTACGAACAAGCATTATGCTACTGCGGCACTGCCCAGGAGAATCACAGAGATCACACTGCCATCACATCAAACTACTGCTTTTTGCCTCCTTTCTTTGACTTGGCCGGTTTCTTGGCCTCCGACGACCCAGAAGCCGGTGCCGACGTCGCCGCGGCTCCAGTAGCGACCACAACGTAGTCGGGTTCGTCGTCCAGAAGATGAGAGTTCTCTTGGTACAGACGGCTGTTGGAGTAGTCATAGAACTGGCGCACCTTGGTGCAGTCAACGTTGAAGAACCAGTCGCAGATGAGGGTGATTTGGTTGAACAACTAAAAAGATGTTCAGAAATTAGAACGTTGCGCTTGTTTCACATTTAGCCCTGCCGCTGGTAACAAGCATACCGTCATGTTGGGGCACAGATAGCTGGTGAGGTTTCCGTTGATATCGCAGCGGTCGAAAGCCTGGCATTTGCCTTCACCATCGTTAGCATAGAAACCCGGTTTGACGGATCCGCAGTCAACACCGGCTTTGGGAATCACGGCAATAGTGGGGTAGTCCTGACCGGCTTGAGCGTGATTGTACAGCTCAGCACGCTGACCGGCATCCAGTTTCGTCTTGCCGTTGCTCAGGGTATCCAAGGCGGTGAAAACTTTGGGGTTCTGGTCACCGGCAGCACGCTTTGTACGCTTATTCTTTCCCTTGCCCTTCACACTCTTCTTGATGGTCACGGAGCCAGAGGCGGAGGCAGAGGACTCAGCAGCTCCGGTGGCAACCACAACGTAATCGGGTTCGTCGTCCAGAAGGTGAGAGTTTTCTTGGTACAGACGGCTGTTGGAGTAGTCATAGAACTGGCGGACTTTAGTGCAGTCGACATTGAAGAACCAATCGCAGATCAGTGTAATTTGGTTGAATAGCTACAAGGGCGTCAGAACTCGTTAGTTTGCTAACATTTGGCCGCCACCCATAAGAAACCTACCGTCATGTTGGGGCACAGGTAGCTGGTGAGGTTGCCGTTGATGTCGCAGCGGTCGAAAGCCTGGCATTTGCCCTCGCCGTCGTTAGCATAAAAACCTGGTTTGACTGAAGCGCAGTCAACACCGGCTTTGGGAATCACGGCAATAATGGGGTAGTCCTGACCAGCTTGCGCGTGATTGTACAGCTCAGCACGCTGACCGGCGTCTAATTTCGTCTTGCCGTTGCTCAGGGTATCCAAGGCGGTGAAGACCTTCGGATTCTGGTCACCGGCAGCGCGTTTGTACTGTAAACGAAGATATCGTTAATGTTTCGTTAAAGCCGACGAAATTAAAAAATATATAATTCCCCGTACCACTCCTGCATGGCACACAGCCGCCAAAGACAACAGGCCGATAAGCACTTTCATTTTGAACTTTGTTCAAGAAGCACCAACGGTAAAGAATGTTAACAGAGAATAAAAAAAATGTAGAAGCGGTGGATGCCGATGAAGTGCAGTGGCATTCCTCTTATATACCGCTTGGTGATTTTTATTGTCGTATGCATGCTGCATCAGCATGGCTCGTCTAGCACAATTATTTTGGTCAGGGAATCTAGCGCAGACAGATGATTGTAGATATACGATGCTAACGAACGAAAAGCCATTAGGAGAAGCGGTAAATCATTAATTTTACCGAGCAATTAATTCGAACATCGTCTTCGTACATCATACCTTCGCGGGGCCTTAATATTGATAACAACCTAGAAAAGTAACCAATTCCGTTTTGTTGTTTCTAGCACTGTGATATTAGTGATTTATGAACTTTGTGTGTTTATGCATCCTAATAGTAGTATACTGTACTAGTGCTTTACGAGCGCCAGAAAACAGCACAATACACCAAGATAGGAAAACCAAACTCGTTTTGGCTCTGCAGTCAGCATATGCAGCACAGAAGTTAAAGTACTTTTCATTGTTCAGCTATCTGCAATTTGGGGGTTTTAGTATTATACTTCGGCCAGCACCGTGGAATATGGGAAACCTGTGTGGGGAGCTTACGTCGTACTCCTACTTGCCCAACGTAATACACTGACCCAGGCCTTATACTGAGCGCAGCGGTGCCAGATGACCGCCATGCATGAAAAGGTCAAGTTTTGGTCGCTTTCACGAAGCAATGGCCAATGGAGCGTCACCTTTTGCCGTGGAATTTGAAACTTGACCGTTGTCCGCTTCAATTGGACGCTGCCTACTTGATAACGGTACTTCCAATTGAGAAATAACGACAACGAAGACGAAGACGAAATGCGGACAATCAGCGAATGTACATGTCTAGCTGCGCGCGTCAGACAACCAAACACCAAAATTCAGGGAGAAATAATGCATCGACTTGGGAAATCTATTGTACCATCGAGAATTAACAAGAAAAATATATGGAAAACACCGGCTCCAGTGTATAACTTAAATACCTACGATGATCGTACTCGAGCTTGATCATCCGTTTGACGCATTCTTTGAAGCCGGCAATCTATCGATCTCCCACATTGAAAATGTATTTTGATTTCATTTTATGATTAGTTTTATTTGAATTTAATGTAATTTACAATAAGATACGGTGTATCTTAAACGGCATGTGCATTCTACAATTACAGCAAAACATCTCACGGTGCGTACTGCAAGTTTGCGCCAATAAATGGACAAATACCCAAACAATAATACTGTGCATCAGTCAAAGACTCAAAAGGACACAGCCATTTCGTAATCATGAAACCTCGGACAATATCCGAATCGGTGTCTACAGTAGATCTCTGCTAATGTAGTTTTGCTTTCTGTGAAAACACAACCATTGATCAGTACTACAAGCTGTTACATCAGTCACCAAAAATCAGCATAACAACCTTCGACTGTGTTTTTGTGCTGCTGAAACCAATACTCGCTATTTACCGGTTTAATTCACCGGTTGCAGTTTCCGGCTCACTCGCAACAGTAACTGGTAAATGGTACACCGCATCCCCGCGGTCCCGCCCCAAACCCACACGTATCCGGGTTCTGAACGTAATCAATGGGAAGTAATTTGCAGTGTATCTCTTGTGGAAATACGAACGTTTTAAAGCCAGCCTGGAGTCACTCATGGTATGAAGCACTGTTTATTCGTACAGCACAGTTAACGGAACCGACCGCGCGCCAGCCGCTGGCCCATGATACTGTATCGTAAGCGGGCGAGCAGTGTGTCCACGACTCCACGTCACGCCAAAACACGCATCCAGCGCGTCATCCCCACAGCGTGTTCCTCTTCCGATGAAGGGGAGTTATACTAGGATGATATATCCGCTTGTGGGATCTGAGTCAAAGTCACACATATACACATACTGACGGCCGAAAGTGTAATACGCTGTAAGAGAGAGCTGAGTAGGTTGATTGATCTGGCGAGTTTTACCGGACTTTTTATTATTGGGGATTTCTCCGGCAGTACGGCGCTGACATACTGTATTATGGTATTCGGGAATACATGTGCCACTTTCGCCGACGTTGTGAATTGCCGGGGTAAATGTGACCGGAAACCGTTTTCGATGGTTTAAGCATCAGTGACTCTGGGATATGCAGTGCCGGAGAAGGTAAAGGCCGCAGGTCAATTGCTTTCTATCAAAATATATCGTTGCAAATTTCGGGTTGGGATTGCAACTTTGTGTAAGTGCATGCCGTATGTACTGTGCATGCCTCCAGCGTCTGGAAGATTTTAAAGCTTATAATCTTGCGGCAAAAGAAAACATGATCGGTTTATTCTGCAGAACCGAATTTAAACTGCGCTATGATATTGACCTATGATACCCCAATTGTGGATGAATAAGCGATTTCGGCCACTACGCGCTGCTTATTATGGACGGAAATTTTTGGTCTAGTTTTTAAACAATCTGCCGCATCCATCTGGTGGTTTTGCGTGCGTCTGGATACATTCCGCTGAATGTTTATATTTCGCGTCAAGGTAAATTCATGCAACCGCAAAATTATTTTGACAGAATCAATTCCATAAACTTCCATACGCACGCTCGAGATTGACCATAGGTTGAGAAAATGTTTTTGCGCACCGCATGTCAAAATTTTTTATGCTCTGTTTTATTTGCACGAGTTTGTGTGCAAATTGCGTATACCCGGATCGCTTGGAATAGAATTTCGGCAGGCTAATGATGTTTGATTTGCAGTATTTAAAAAATGTTTGTCAACAACAAATATGTTGTATGCAGCTCTTGTGCCGGTTAGGTTAACCGTAATTAAAACGTTTACGATGATTTACCGATGCCATTAATGTACTGCATCAGTCTGCGTGAGCTGGAGTTTTGCGTTTTTTTATTTATCGCTCACCCTAACGAATAAATAAATTTTTTTTGAAAATATTGGCAGACTCGAAAGTGTTTGTCGACAAGTAACGATCGTAAGAATATTACTTGCAAACGTTTCCCAGAAAATAAAGTTGAATTTTACTACCTCGATATCTGTATTCGAACTGCCAGATTTTCTATTACCGCTGCAAACAAATGCATTAAATTTTCTTGGTTTTTTGCCTTTTTCTGTTAACACTGTGAAGCGGAAATTACAAATAACGTGGCCCCATTAAGCAATGATTGAGTGATTTTTTATACGGCTGAAGAGCAAACAGCATAATTCCTCCACAGACATCCTTATTCCCTCGATGGCATGTGTGTTTTTTCCTCTTCCTTGGAAGAAAGAATCCACAGCTCAGTAGACCGGAAATATCAACTCTAGAACAGATCAACCGCACACGCAGGAGTACTGGAATGTGCATGGGGCTTCACTGATCATGGTTTTGGTCTGTTATAGACACGACCTTGACAGTCAATCCACTCGAAAATGATCCATTCCATTCCGCTAACCACATCGGCCGGGATCTGGCCAACACGACTCCTAACCAACCTTATCATTGTCAGCTGTCTGTGGCTGCTGTTAGTCTGTGTGGAAGCCCATCACAGCCCATTAGTGGACGGAAGGAAATCCAAGTTACGAAAAGTACGTTGGAATAAAGCCGACTGTGTACGAGTAGTGCGGTATGAACGCGAATAAACATGAATAAAAATGTGTAGACTGTAGAGCGCCCGCGCAAACAGTGTACGTGATTAACGTACTGATTTCTGACGGCCGGCACGCGCGGATGGCTGTGTCAACCGCTCAAGCACACACACTGTTAAAATCATACCCACTACCCAGTAATTGCATGGTGGCTGGATGAGGTGTACACTTGACCTGGACAAATGATTTAATGATTACGTTGGATGGGCCGAAGGAATCTTCCCTGTTCGTTGGCACATCCACACTGTTGATCTCTTCGTGCTGTTTTCCCATTCCACGGGGCACAATAATGGCATGTATCATTTGAGTACACAGTTAAAAGCAACACAAACGCCAGCGCGCGCGCGCCCAAGCATACTTACACACAGACAGGAAAGGCAAACAATCTCGTAAAAAAAAGGCCAGGAAAATTTTCATAGCCGCTTCATGGCATTATTTTGGAGAGACACTGCTGGACTACACCAAATAATCGATGCACTAAATACATTACAATAGAAGAGCCTAAATCGACTTCATTCCGCCGTCTGCCGGTCTTGACGCTCTGCGGCCGGGATAAATGTTTTTTCATTCGACCGAAATCTGCGCAACAAGAGACATGTATGACTCGCCTGACCAATATTATTTTTATGATGCAATTCGTATGGAAATTTTTCCCCATTTTGCGCTTGGCATGTTGTGGTGTAATATGTATGCAAATCCAATTCCGACGCGACGACCAAAAAATCAGCATGCTTCATAAACTGTCAAAAGTTTTGCTACTTTGACTTTATATTTTACAAAAGTTTTGATAAAAATTGTTTTTGTTTTCGTAAAATAAATTAAGGGGCAGTTTTAATTTATTTGCTGCAGTAATATATTTCCTCCTTATCTTACAAAGTATCTTGTTGTAAATATGTTGCAGTTGCATTAAACAATTAAACAAAAATTCTGCAGAGAGTGAATCATAAATTAATGTAACGGGTTAACGGTTATGTACTCCATGCCGATTGCAGACAGATGCATTAAAGCTTAATCTAGCCGTGGGATATTACGTAACAGATTATCTCTAACCCGTATTTGGTATAATCCGATAGGCTGGTGTGTATATGCGCAATGACCGTGCAAGTGTATAATGTATCGCCAAAGTGTTTTGCATACTTGATTGGCGTCGTTAAGGTCGGACTAATACAATTTTATCATGAAATCAACCAGTTGGAAGGTTTAGATAGTTATGAGTTATAAACCTTTAAAAAACCGTGATAAAAGAACAAAATTTTTTCTCGGGGCATTAATTCTGATATTTGCGGCTTCCTTTTATATTAAAGCAAGTATGTACACTGGTTTCTACGGACTGTAAAGATTCCTCTGTGCACGGCCATGATAATCATGGGCATCTTAGTATCTTACTGAGGCTGTAAAGATAGTGAAATACGCAGCTCCGGCCAAACGACCCTTTCGTAATTCCCAAGGCACGAATAAATGATGGCCAAATTGTTATGCAAAACAAGCAAATAATACATACACCCTTCGCTCAGCTGTAATTATTAGCGCGTGCACACCATATTTTTCTCAGCATCCACTCTACCAGTACCATCCTTTATAAAATATATATTCTTCACTCAGAGCGTACACAAACTTAATTTATGATAATATGCATCGATGCATATTAGCATACATAAGGTTTGTGCGAGATATCTTGCATAACTCGATGACCTTAACCACAAGTTTACAACTGTCACTGTCGGCTATTTACCGGCGAATCACTGTACATACCGGTCACAGGTGAAATGTAAATTTCAAAATTTTTATGTACGAAAAATATATATAGTAGTTTTTTTGAGATAACAAAAAAAGGTGCACCTTCGGGCTTTCTTTTTCTGTTTCTACGGATCTGATAGGTGAACACCACAGCTATAACAAAATTTTGAAAATCAGCTTGGTTTCAATGTGTAATCATACAGTTCTGCCATCAAATCAAGCATAAATCTGTTATTCTTGAAGAGTAACATTGTTGATGTGAACGGCACTTGATGGGTGTCCCAAAGCAACCGTCAATTACTGGTCTGACCTAATTTATTTCCGGGATAAATAATCAAAAATATCATGCGCCGTCGTCTGCATTTATATGTCCCCCTGGTTGCAGATAAGGCACAGTGACGCCCCTCGACCTCTATCAACTACACCCGGCTCACACGGCCACGCATACTGACTTGGATTACGATAAACTGCTGCAAAAGTTTGGTGTCCCGGAAAATATTTCCCTATCAACACCCCGTGTGGCCCCGGATGCCGATGTCACACCGCGTGTCGACGGAAATACTGCTCCTGGCGAGAGCGATTATAATACCGAGGAAACCATCATTGTTAATCAGCCGGCAGCGGATGCGCAACTGGATATAAGTAAGTAACTGAAGCCGGTTTGAATTGATTATATTTATTACAACTGGTTTATTTTTTACGTAATTTGTATAAATATCACGCAGCGCGATTATCAGCTAACTAAAATTAAACTGTAATTATTTTTATTTCAGTTTTAGACTGGCTTAAATAATTTTTGTTTAGCCTAAAAATCTATGACAATTTAGTGGAACTGGATTAGGCTCATATTGCTCGTATTCTGTCATGCCGTATCTTTTTTCTTATTGTTGAGATTTTTTCTTATTGTTAATTATTTTCACAAACAGCAAGAACGCATGATGGTGACTGCTAAAGGTCGAATTAAAAGAAACATTGTATAATCTGTCGATGGCATTTTTTTCTGGGCTAACGCACCCATCCTTAATCTTAACTCCAGAATCATGCGATCGGATACAATGTGACCACGGTCGGACATGTCACATATCTGCTGAAAGCGGAAATGCCGAATGTGTCTGTCGGGAGCACTGTCCGAAGCGGCATAATCCCGTAAGAGTCTTTTTAGCTTAGTTATTATTCATGCCGATTCCTCTAGTGGAATGATTAAAGCGTATCTCTTCACTGTGTGCATATGTGTACTAAAGCGGGGATGGAATGTTTTTATTATCAAAGTCAAGAGATTAGTCGGCATATGTAGGTCTGTGGATCGGATGGGATACTGTACTGGAATCATTGCGAGCTGCACCGTACCGGCTGTCGGGAGAATCGGATCATCCATGCCCGGAATTCTCATAAGGATTTCTGTGCAAATAAAAAAAGTATCACTTTACTTGCAATTGTAACTATACAAATCGTAATACAACCGTTTAAATACCGCTACGCACACTACTTTTAGCGTACAAAATCATATACAGTACATTAACTGCTTAACAAAGACATAACAGGCCACAGGATATAGAGTTAAGTCTACCTGACACCGTATTATATTGTTACCATTATTATTCTAGACATTCAAAAATTAAAAGTAACAAAAATTTCCATGAATACAAAATGGTAAATACAAATTCTTGTTTATAATAGCTCTGCCGGTAGAGGTAAACACGACATTTCCGCCGTCATCAACCGACCGATCCCCACCAATTTGCCAGAAAACCGATTATGCAACGTTCAAGGAGAAATTATTGATAAACTTCTACGAACGTTTGGTGCCGTTAGTGCGCTGGGAAGGATCGGCCAGTAAGCCGGCGCTTTTGCTTTATAAGCGATTATGACCTTAGGAAATGAAGGAGATTGTTAGCTTAAAAGCGCGACTATCTGTACATACTCGTATATCTGACTTGTGAGTGTGGCATTTTTGCTAACAGTGGACAAACGCACAGTGCTGCGGGATATGCTGGACAGTTTGGACCAGAATGGCGATGAAGTGTTGAATCAGCATGAATTGCAATCAGCCGGAAGTGAACTCAATCAGATATCGGAAAAGTGTCATTTGGATGATATTCTCCGCAATGAGGATGTGGATGCTGACCGCGCGGTCAGCCTTAATGAACTGTTCATTGCGTATGGTAAGAAGGACACCACAGCTTACAAATGAGAAATTTATTTACTTTGCTTCCTAAGTAATGCAGTAGTTATATGCTCCATATATAGTTATGCGTCACAATTTCATACTTTCGGCCATGCATGATAGCGATAACCTTTTAAAGACTTATCTGCTTTGCAGATTTCGCTGTTTGCGTACGTCGTTCAAAATCTTTTAAGCACGTTACGTAATACAGTAGCGTAATGCCTGTTACACATGCGATCCATTCTTCATTCCATCCCGCTTCGACCGTCACGCACTAATTTAACCGAGAGCCGGGTTTACTAAAATATATATAATTTTGAACTTGTATAATATTATGCGTTTTTAGTTCTACGCACTACATACAATATGACCGTACGAATCGCACTATAAGATGAATTCTGAAAATTTTAATAACTGTGTAAGTTCAAATCTTTGTTTCTACTGTATATGTGTATAGTGAAAGGTCAATGTTTGGAGAATTCCCACTTGCGATCTGGGACGTTCGCTGTGTTGCAGATTTATACGCAATGCATGACTAATGTACCACGCAGCAGGCAGTGCATATGACATTATTGAAAGTTTGACCACTTTTAGAACTGCAGGGCAATTCTTTCCTATAAAATCGACTGCTTCTGTCAGCCTAGCGATGATTTACGGGCTGAAGTACTAGTACTCCCCGGTTTAGATTGTATTTAGTTTGACACCAAAAATTCTAAATCGATTTGCACTTCCGAATATTGTCCTTAATCTTAATGCACGCAAGAAATTTGACCCGTTATAACACAGCCGATTACTTTTTCTCCCGGCTGACTTATATTATATGTATTGTAAGGTTTGCCCAATATAAACAGGACCTCATTTCTCCAGTTCGTGCAAACACCGTTGTCAGGCAGGGCAATGTTTTCTCGTTGTGTAATCTATCAAAAAGTGATAGATTATTTGCAACTGAAACACGAAACCATTACGCAATAAAAATAACTGACATTTGCTACTATGAAGGTAAAGCTAACGTACTTTTGCTTACGGAGAATTAAGTGCAGAGTAGTCGCACATGTACAACCCAGATTCAATACTGTAATGTTGAATTACGTGTACTGATACTGTTAAGTTATTGTAAACCAATAAATATCTTATGCCCAATAGAGAAATATAATAACAGCGCTGTTATTATATTTTATTTGTTATTATATTTATTTTCAAGCTAGCTTGAAAATAAATTTATCTACAGTTGGATATTTATGTGCATGATAAACGTGAACAGCCAATTAAACATAATGCAAGGAAATTAAAACTGTTTCCCTTTTTAGTGAGTTGTGTGTCATTTTCGTTCAAGCGGCCAAATACCTTTTCTACTTTTTGAAAATGTGGCACGATCGTAATTAACTACGAAAATCTATTAAAACTAGGATTGCCGGTGGATGAGCCGATGCCGGTGCACCAGACATGGACCGTGATTGCCGGAAACAGTATCGAAATTCCATGCGGTATCCATATACGGCGTCAGACCAGCAGTAGTGAAACAACCCCGGTCACTTGGGAGAGACATCATATCGTTTTAAATGATCTGGAGAATGAGACTGGCATTCGGATCGGGAGTTTTGGCTCACTGTACATTGTCCATACGCAACTGATCCATGCCGGCAACTACTCGTGCTCCACTCCAGCACGTCCGGCCACCGTACAGACCCACAGCCTAAGGGTGCTCCTTGCGCCCGAAGTGGAAGTCCAACCACGCCAGCAGTTTTACCGCCTCAAGGAGAAAGCCACCATCAAGTGTCATGCGGTCGGTATTCCACGGCCAACTGTCAGATGGTTCAAAAACGAACTGGCCATCGACAGCAGCCGCACGGGAAAAATATCCGGTACGTGTTGCTTAATAATTAGGGCTGGAAACTCCCAAGGAAATTAAGAAATATGTGTTGAGCAGTTGTAGTTATAACATCGACAAAAATACCAAAGCCGATAGATGCCGATTAATATTATTGTGATAAGTACCGCACATGTAGATGTATAGACACCATGATACTTGTCACGATGTATATTTATACATGCTTTACATATCTGTTTTGAAAAGCTTAATGTTTGTTTAATTTAGAAAATGGAAGCCTTCTCATATTGCCAAAAGTCGAGTATAAAGATACCGGTGTATATTCTTGCCGAGCGGAAAACGAAGCCGGTGTATCGAGCGATATATCATCAGTATTTATTGTGGATCGCACCAAAGAGAATATCCATTACCGGAAACTGGTGTTAACCTTTTATGCCAAAGGAATAGCCATTCATGAGCCAACACACTGCCATGTGCGCTATCATATTTACGGGAATGACATGATTCCCGGCACTTCCGACTATTTGTGTGGTCAAGATGGACATCCGTGTGAATGGGGTGACGCGGTCAACGTAATGGACAGGTAAGCGGCCCGAAAAGAGTCATTTGTTAGTTTAACATTTCTTAAAATAACCAATATCTTATAAAGTTTTGCAATAACAATAATGCCAAACTTTCTGAAATATAGTTGATTTTAAAAATAGCAGCAAGTTATATTGTGGTATGTATCGCAGAAAATTTAAAAATAGTTTGCTTTAAATGATTGTTTATACTGTAAATTCACACATTGTCTGATTCGAATCCAATCACAGATACGTCTATGCTTCCCAACCGTTGCTCAATCGCATTGTCGCGATCTCAATGGACCAAATGTTGGTTGTCCAAGTAAGTCAACTTCCGGTCTGCGATGGGAGCAGTTTTATATAGACCGGCGCGCGCCTTTAATGCATATACGATTACATCTGCCTTATCAGCAATCCCACAGCGTAAATGGCCATCTAACATTCGTATTTATAATACATATTCTAATCAAACTAGGTCATCAACACGGACAATATTCCCGTCAGATTAGCATATGTTCCACATTTGGATCAGTTATGGGTGCTGTGCTGGACGCGTGTCGGGGATACGAACGGCAAAACAATCCAGGTCATTCGTGATGCATCCAATAAACTCCTTCACACCGCCATCCATCCCGAACCCCTTAACGGCAAATTCCCTACCGTCGAGGATTTTTTTATCCCGCCTGTCCAGGAAACAGCCAATAAATTCACTCATGCATACGCTGTGAGCAGTAACGTACATCAACTGTATAAAATCGACATGAAATCCTTACGTTTTATTAAAACCCTGGATTTAACGCCGTACCGATGCCATCCCAAGACCATTACTTATTCATCATTCGGTAAATAAAACTACTATGAGAAATAATAATCAGATATACTTAACGTTAAGAAAAAATTGCAGATTTTGAGACTTATTTAATATACTCTGGAACCACTGATATCGTGTACGCACAGAAAAGCTTGACCTTTGATAACCCGCCATGGCAAAATGTTCTAGCTCCTGTATAATGTTTTGACTTAAATAATCGGGCGTTTTACATAACAAGCTACGATAAAAGTAAGTAAATCTGGGAAGATCGGATAATTAATCCGGCGGGAATTTAGGTGGCCTTGTTTTTTTGGATTGTGTTGATATGGTTCATGGAACGCCGCGCGGGCAAATCACTATGGATTATTTGACGGATGCTGTGCTGTTCCATGAAGAATCAATCAATGGTATGGAATAATCAGTTTATGGCTGTAAATTTATTAAGTCTAAAAAAGCGGGAAGAATCAAGTGAACAGGGCCGATTTCGATGACACACTTTCCATGTTTCCATCGCTGTGCGCCGCGACGGCTTGCTTATACATATTTATTGAGTTAAAGTTATTAACCATGTCGAATATGATTTATTAGCACTGTGACGAAGCGATTAAGTGGTCCAAACAGTCACTTCTGATTTCCGATGGCTTTCTACTCCTGAAAACACATATTCGGAGCGCTGCATATAAAAAAAACTCGATTTAGTTGTTGTGCATGTATGCGAGGCACTCAATCGCATGTAATATTATATGTATGCGCATGTATACGATTGACCTTTTACAAATTTTTCGTCGACAGTATTATTGTTAAAAGTAAGCGTTAATGCGATGATAAAATTCTGTGTCACGAGCGCTGCTTACAATTTGCGAACAAACGACACCAAAAATGTACAGAACGTACGTAGAAAATAAAATTTTAATAAATAATAAATCTCGTTATAAAAAAGAATGGTCCATGTACACGCAAGCGATACATACATTACAGTGGGCGCGAGTCACTCCTGCATCTGACGATGAATCAGTGTTTTAATTTGCAGGCATGACATTCATCTCTCCCGATAGCCGATACTGGGTCAATCTGGGAACCGATGTGATTCGCGTGCAGGAAATAACGGAAGACGGACTAGTTTATTTATACGATGTGGTGACACCTCTTCATCTTGCTGATGTCACTTTCCATCCATCTCACATTAACCATTCCTATGACCTTTACGCAGCTGCCTTAACGAAAGACAAACTCCTAACGCTGGAGCTCGGCACCGCCAAGTACGGATGATTATTTAAGATTACGCACCTACAATCAAACTGTATTTGCCTATATATACTCGTAATTTTAGCTTTAAAAGGGCTACCTAGCTTTGCGAGTATTTGTCGTAGAACAATTATGCACATGTTGGAATTCAGAAAATATCACAATACTCAAAGAGTTTTTAAGCGCATGCTTTTCTGAAATTTATTCTTTCGATTTCGCCATTTTGTATGTGGTTACTGATTGCAATAATCACACACCAAAGTTTAACAAATTCCAAAAACACAAATATGGATAACATTAAAGTTTAATGCAATTTTAGCTAAAACTAGATTTACCGCATAACCGACAAACATAACCTTTCAGTTAATTTATTGTGAACATTATGTAACAAATTAACCGTGTTGCTCGTAGTTGCATATTACTGGATTGTACTGCACTACTTGTGTGTTTGCGTAGGTTATCTACTGTGTCCGGAGTCGGTATGGGAAGCGGACGAAAATTCAACCACTGGGGCAATCCGGATATGCGATCCATCACCTCCAGTGGTATCTTTGGGCCTTATGTCGCAATTACTTCCAAAGACGCGCTGTTCATCGTCAACAGTGATACGAAGAGCGTCAACTGCCAGACAAGTTCCCTGGATAATGCGCAGAAATTGATCTGGGTGGAGTATCCTTCTTCCGTAATCTACAGGTGATTAGAATTACACGTACAGTACTGGACAAATCCATTTCCCTTACTCTGACGGTGGTGTGTCAACAGTGCATTTCCAATTTTGTTTCTCTTTTTCTGTTAAGCTATTTTTATGTACAACTGCCACGATTGCCGGCACATGCGCTGATCGGGCACTGGATTGTTTCCGAGATTAAAAACCAACAGTCAATTTGTTTCTAATTAAAATGTCAAAAGTTTGACGACGTATTGAACAAGATTAACGCTATCGTTTCGACACGATTGCATAATCGGAATCAGCAATGGGAAAATGACAATTAAGAGATCCATTACTATGCATCCAGCAGCGTTCCGCGTTGCCGATCTTTTTTTGCTTCCATTTGCTACAAAATACACAACACAAGAAGTTACTCACTGAACCTTTGAACAAACGAAAATTAAATTTATCGTGCATGCTAATTTCTTATTCCCATCTGCGATCCAACCTACTCATGTTTGATCTTCGTTTTCATATAAACTGCTCCATTCTAATGGTAAGTTACAACATTCACGCATCTTCTGTGTTCTGCGGTATGGATTAATTCATATTCTACATTAAGCGGATGCGGCCAGCTTCGTCCTTCATATTTCATAACTAATGAACGCTCGATATTTCTTAAGTGCTTCCTATAAGGATCATTGGCGGTAATCATTTCGATGGACAGGGACACAAAAAACAGACACAAAAAGCAGACAATCATAAAATGCATAGTTTGTTGTACCTCTTCCAGTGCCTTTCGCTTGTTGACGACGCCCTTCCTTTCCAGTTGTTTCTCGATAATCTTGGCGTTTGCGGCGTAGGAATCGGCCATATCACGCTGTAAAAATTTAAGAACAACATTCGAAAAACATCGCAAAAATCTTTTCTTATACAATAACGGCACTTCTTTAAGCCTGTCATGTATGCTCTTCTCGTTCAAAGATGATATTTAAAAACGATGTTCTGGCTTTTCCTAATGCAGCTGTTATTACTAACAGCTCCTTAAAATCAGAATGTCCAACTAATTACAAGGAAAATGACAAATATAATCTGTTATATTCAACTAACAACTTCGTAATTGTGCAGTTAATTCTTCCATGCGTGTGCAACGAAAAATACTGCTCATGTAAGCAGCAAAACACACAGTTTGAGTAAGGAAAGAGACGTGAAGTCTAAACTCACACATCAAAACCATCATATCAAAAACGTATAGCCTAGTATAAAAATAAAACATCCAACTAACCAATACCGAAAATTTTAACGTAAATAAAATTAACTTTTAAATAAATTCGTACACTGCATGGGACTATCACAACAACTCCGAGAGCTAATTCTTCGGATAAACCAACCAATTGTCGTAATAGAAAATACCCCGTGAAAACAAAGAACCAACAAAATGCACAACTTACAGCTTCGAGTTCGTCTTCATCCTCCTCCACTGTGGACACCGTAACCGAACTGGTTCGACCCATATGCGTCGTCGTTTTGCGAATAAACGCCTATAAACAATGATCGAACACTGGAGTCCAACAAAATTCACGTATTCACATTTTACATTCATTATTAACTGCTCCGTTTTCGTTTTAGCATTACACTTTACAGTCATACTATGATAACTATCCTAATTCCTACACAAATCAACGCACCTTTTTAACGGGCTCCTCAGCGACTTTCGTCGACACATTGGAGGATCCGGATTTGCACAGGGCGCCGGGCAGAACGAATACCACGGGAGAACTGCGCTGTTTGTGCTCGTAAAACGCCCAGATACCACATGTGCTGCACTTCTTCCTGTACTGCTTCTCTATTCCGTCGGGCCTATATTCCGATAAATTCTCAGCTTTTTGGGATAATTTTGTAATATTATTACAATCATACCGTCGGAGATAGACCACTTCACCGTCGATACATGTCAGCTTGTAAGCATGCTTCGCGCCGTCGATTACGCGAGAGCCGTCCGTGGAGCGCAGCGGGAGTTTCTCGAAGGGACAGTCTACATCGCGTACACGCGAATTAGTAAGAGACAATGTCTACGGTGAATGGCGGAGTGAGGATTACGCACCGAGAATACAGAGCATTTGCCCGCAGATACAATAGTAAATGTTGAGAGGTTTGTCGCCTTCGTATTCCTCTTGGTCCTGGATATCAGCTGGTTGATTGGGACGATGGTGTTTGTTGGCCATGTCGGATTACTTCCTTCGCACTAGACAAACGTGGAAACCTGACAATCGAGTTAAAAGATACGGATTCCAATCATCAAATACTAAATAATCAAAGATTTTTATGAACTTCTCGACAAATAAACATATGTTCGCAAATAAAATGAAAAATTATGAAACGCTCTTCGGATTTGCAGACTCCTCGGTTGTTATGCGACATGAATGCGATTGCGAGCACAAATACAGAGAAGCGCAGTAGAGAGTCTAACGCCAATACAGAACACTCAGTACTATTAAGTATTAAGTATGCATTTATTTCCGGTCAGCTGAGCTTTAACATTTATAGTATGGTGTACCGATTGCGCAAAGGTTTTACAAACAAATGCTGAATGACAAATGCTTTTTAGTTTTCAATCAAATGTTACTGACAAATGTTTTTTTGCTACCAGACAAATGTTTTTTTTAAAACATTTTACAGACAAATGTTTCTGACAAATGTTTTTACTCTCAGACTAATGTTTTTTAAAAAATTTACAGACAAATGTTTCTGACAGATGTCAGAAACTTTCAGACAAATGCTTTTGACAAAATTAATACCTGATTTGCGATAAGCCGCCGATCGAGAGAGCAGGCGCACAAGCCGGGCGCAGGGGCCATAAAAAGTAATTAAAAAGTAATTAAGACGCTGCTGTCTAAGACGTGGCCTGCTCCAGCAGGCACGGGCCCGACTCACAAAAGTGACTATGCGGAGTCCGGTAGTGGTCATGCGCATACGCGATGTAAAACAATGGAGGAGACACAGGAGGAGGCAGAAATAAATTGGTCTGCCCTGTGTCTGCCCGTGGTCGGTCCATTGCGCGTGCAGTTTTTCGCAAGGCGAAAGAGGCAAGCATCCCTTTCAGACGCAGGACGCGGTGCCTCCAAGTCATGCTATCTATAGCATGGGCACTGGCCGCTTGCTTATCGCAAATTCCGAAATGTCAGAAGCCTACCACGCAAATCGGAGTGTGGACTGTGTGGTTGCGTTCAGCACGTTCGACTCACCAAAATGCTGAGTCATGCTGTAAAGCGTGTAACGATAACTTCGGCTGTCATTCAGCGGCTATTATTATGAGTGTATTGCCAGTTGCTGATGGTGAATTACAGTGCTATCATAGCAAGTACAAGTCAAATTTATTTATTTACGAATTTATTTTCTATAGTACTATGCGAATCGATCAGTTTTTTAACCGGGGTTCTTTCAGTTGGTAGTCGAGAAGCGTTTATTTGCGTAAAATCTCTCATGCACCTTTTTTTACTGCAGCGCTTGATATGGAAGGCATGTTAGATCGGAAGCAGGAACTGGAGTCAAGTCATCATCCCGATCGTGGAAGACCTTCCACACCGTGTTATGCAGACAGCTGCTGCGTTTGTTCAGGAAGAAGCAGCTATCTTATTACGATCGCAACGCAGCGTTGCCGCCGCTTAATCTCTACAAATGCATAATCAGTCAGGTAGGTTTCTATCGTGACATTTCCCAAAAGGCAGTATTGCTGATATGTTATGCGTATCTTTTAGGCATACGATAAAAAGAAGGACTTTGTCTCCACTCTTCCGTCTGCATTTGTGCGATGTATCCGAATTTTTATTTGCTGCGGATGACGAACAGAGAATGCGGGAATGGATCGAAAAGATTTGGTTCCTTTCAGCACTGTCGCCCAACATGCAGCTACTCAGTCTGAAGGAGGCACGCCAGGCCGGTTTGGAGGCCGGTGATGACAGTGCGGAGAGGGCCATTGCTTATTCCAGGATCCTGTCACGCAACACTCCGTCGCCACTCTTTAACGGCTCGGAACACGCCGTGCCCGTGCCAAAGTCGCGAGTTGTTTGAGGCTTTTAGCTCGCCGGAGAGTAATGGACATTCGTCTAACGGAGTGCCGGACGTTCCGGAGCTGGCTCTCGAAAGCAATTCTGGTAAGGATTCTTTATACTTTGAGCTGTTTTAAAATTTGGTTGTGTTGAAGGGGTTAATGAAATTTACGATCAGCGTACCATAATTTAACGTTTTGTTTGTAGAATCGACTGTGCCAAAGCCACGTGTCGGACGCAGTGAATCTTTTGGTGGTGATATGGACAATGGTGAGAATATTGCAGTCGTAAAAAATATCCAACAGCAGGATAAATTGTTTGACTTTTTTCGATTTTTATTTAATTGAATTTTCTAATTCTTTTGGAATGCTATGATGAACGTGAAGTAGATGTGGTGGATAGCCGGGAGCGTGCCAAGACCAGTTCCAGTATCCTGGGCCACGAAGGGCCGAGTAAATCCCAGCGCAGCGTACCGGTCGGATCCAGTCTGCACGCGCCGGAAATCCGCCAATGCGGAGAAACACGGGAGTCGCGTGAGTTTGGTGGGCCTGTTTAAACGACGCCATGATAGCGATAAAGCGTAAAGAACGACAGGATACGAACTGTGTGAAGATTGTTTTTCCATTGTTGGTGCACAATACAGCGGGGTTGTTTTGTTTTCTTGCCAAGGTTGGTCAGGCGAGCTGATTTTGGGAGTTGGTGTCTCAGGATGTTGTTTTTGTGGTTGATGGGCACAGGATGGTGAAATGTTCCTAAGTGGTCTTGTTTGCCAGTAGATATAGTTTTTTAGGTAATTCCTTGCCGTTTATCGCGATAATTCCATTTAACTGTAATTCCTTTTTTTTTACTTTTTCTGCTAATATTGGCTGGCTTCCCTTTGCCCTTTGATCGTTAAGATGATTTTTCGTTAAAGACAAGACTTTAATAAAGTGTGAATTCCAGCTTGCTGTTGTGTCGAAATAATTCTCATCACACCAACGAAACTACAGACTTCTCTGTCCTTACTTCTCTGCGGTAGCTGCGTAAAAGGTGCGGCTTCTGTTAATGAGTGTTTTAAATTTTATTCATAATAAAACGGTACGGTCGAAGACAAAAGAAGTGAAACACTACAGCAGTAATCCATTAATTAATATTGTATAAGACAGAAAAAAATTCTTAAGTCTGCGCAATGTAAATATCGGATAACTCCGCAGTCTCCGCTTGTCTTTCTCCGGATCTCTAAGACCTGCTGATTTATGTTGCGAATTCTAATCAACTGAACACATTTTAATTACGCTTTCCGCACATTTAATATCACTTGACTGATTGACAGATTAATACTTCTAAGTTCTGACTGCTAAAGCGGCAAATTTCTAACTTCTCAGGCAAACGGCTGACGCTTTTCGGTGCCGTGTCGAATCGAGAGCTTCTTAATTATAACAAATTAAAATAAGTGGAATTTTTCAAAATATTAGTAAGCGTTATTAAGATTTGCATGCCTTAAGGACGAAATTGAACTTTTTTCCTTAATGGTGTTCGATATGTAATTAGCGAATGTTTAACTGACGTCTGCATACGAAAACGATACAAATGCTCGCTGACTGCTGACATGCTTTACTTGCTCTTGTGGCGGTAATTGTAATGCTTGATTCCGGCAGCTTGGAACTTTTTTAAAGTGCCGTGAAATGCAGGCTGTCAAGTATGAATATAATTTGTTATATGCTGAAACAATTTTATGTGGTAAATTATAAACAGCGTGAGAATTTTGGTACGATTTTAATACGATGTACCAATCAAACCTAAGCCGAGCTTTTATTATGGATTGAAACAATTATAGCTACAACTGAAAATACAAATAAACTGTTTACAATTAATAAACCGAAAGAAACTATAAATATTATTTGTTCAATGTTGCGCCCAGTAAATTAACATCCGAGACAGTCGGTAGTGTGGGTGCATAGTGCAGTACTTCAAATATCTAAACTAATATCTGTGCTCGTATACTTACACGAACACTTTCGGGAACTACAATCCGCCAACACCGCCGAATACTGGTGTTAACTGGTAAGCGTCCTGTGCCACCATATCCGTAACCGCCGCCGTAACCTCCGTAAGGGTCACCGTAACCAGCAGGTGGTTGTGGCACACTGGGAATCGCTAGATTTCCCATTCCGCTCGCATTACTGAACGCATTCATTTCTCCAAACATTGCAGCGTACAAAGGTACTGCAAAAAATCATTACAATTACTACGAGTACGCAAAATCCAGCTAATGTAGCCGGCCGTAAAACGTTGATATTAGCACAAAACTTTTGTCGTAATTCAAAAAAATAAAGGTATCAATTCAAAAAAATAAAAAAAGTTCATTTCTGCGTTTAGAGATTGCAAAATACTTGTAGGTGCTTAAAAATTATTAAGGAACTGCAGTTATTTGTAGGCGTCATAGGAGCCACAGGAGTGGTTTTTTGTTAAATAATGCTTGTACTCCGTACATATGTAATGTAATGAATATAATTATTGTACCTGTAAGGAAATTCTAGCGTTGCTGTTAGCTATAATCGCTTACTGTTTTCAGATAATGAAGCACTTGATTTGAGTAGCTGATTACTTCAACGAAGACAACAAGCGTTTGTCCATACTTAGAATGGTCATGCCGAGGTAATCGAAGATGTTGACATCTCCGTTTTCCGGGATCCCGCCCACTCCCTGATACACTGGGCCGTTGTATCCGCGAATACCCGTGCTGTAGCCGCGACGGCCACCATATCCTCCTGATACGTAATTAGACTTTGAACCAGCATACGATCGACTTTGGCGAACGAGCCCGGCGGTTGCTAGATTGTGTGTGGCACCTGGAAAGCCAACAATTTACCGCTCTGATAATACAAATAAGTATCACCAATATATCTCTGGGATTGTCATAAAAAAATCGCAGAGCTTGTATTAATAGCAAAAGCCCGATTAATCGCACGTTTAAGCGGGAATGCGTTAGAGAATTTGTCACCATGCATAAAGGTCACAGTGCAGCCCACGCGCCTAGTACATACCTAATACTGACTAAACGCAAATAATCCGAGCAATCATTTTTTCAATGAAACGAATATGCGCGTTAAACGGTCCAGTGCCAATGAATTCGATCGCTTAACAAGGAATCTGTCAAATAAAAATTCACCCGGCCGTGATTTTTATACTGCAAGCTCGTCCGATAAATAAACGCTAATCCCATAATTAGAACGGCATTTTGTGGACTAATTAATGTGCTGTACATGGAGTGTACTAGCTGTGGGATGGTTGCTTTTGCACGAAATAAAAGGCACACAGAAAACCAGGTTCGTAATAAAATACTAAATTTCATTACTGTTTTATTACGATTTAGACCTTGTCCAGAATGTAAACACAGGTATACAAGTACAGTTCGCATAAATTTAGCCGGCATTAACCATCTCTCAAAGAAAAATGCAAACACACGTACAGCTCGCTCAAATTTAGCCGGTAACAGCCGCACAGCAAAACGGAATTTATAAGCACAAATTCATAAGCGCACGTCCCTTCCAATTAACGTTGAAAAACTGAAAAATTACATTTCTGCGCAGATATCAATGCCATTAAAAATTATCTACTGCGATGGGAATTTAAAAACTTAAGAAAGCGTAACCTGCTCATTTTATTGGTAAGTCTAGTTAGCTATCAATGCCCGTCCATTAGTCGTTAACACGATCCGCTCGACATCGGAATTACTTCCACCCCATAATTCTGCAAGAAAAAACTGCCATAAATAATCCGTCTTCTGTCGGCTGACACTATCGAAAAAAACACGGAAACTAGCAGTACAAAATTAAGGCATCAACTAATTACCTTGCTGTTTTATTTGAACTGGAAATACCCCTGCATCTTGTTGTCGACGGCGGCAATGCAGTCCTGCAACAGTTCTAGAAGTTTCTCTTTCGAATGCACTCCAATCGGCAGCTTCAAGATGTTCGAACATGTTCGCGATGTAGGCCGACGGTTTCCATCACGTTCAGCGAAAAAATCGATGGAAATTCTCGGTACAGCAGGTATGATGTTCGATCCGGTAATAAATCTAAGCAGTTGTTTCCGTTCGCGAGAGTCCAGATCATCAACGCAAATCTCATCCAGCCACGCAACCATCTGCACTTGTTCTTCGGTCGCATTTGCCTCATTCAGTTGTCTGAACTGCTCTAACAAATCGCGGCCTTCAATCACTGATCCGGCATAAAGGCCTTCTTCAAAAGGTTTCCAGTCGAGTCGCATTTGTAACAGTTCCTGTAAACCGAATGTGTGAGAAGCAAAAATTTATGAAAAGATAAATACATACTTTCCCCATTTTCCCAGCCGTTAATCCTTCATACACGAACTTCAGATTTGCAGAACGCTTGGTGCAGAGCTCATAGACAGCCATGTAACGGCAAAGCGTTTCCCGACCAAGTTTAACTAATGATGCCCACTGCAAATAAGTTAAATAATAATCGATGAAAAGGCCGGTCGGTATTTGGTGGTTTTTTTATTTACCGGGAACGCAGGGTTACTCTCTGCCCACATGCTAAAATTCGCCATTTCTTCTAAGGCAATCTCGCCAGGGCCATGCAGAATGTCCTGGATAATATCTCCTATGGTTGGTGCGAAGACAAAAATGTCATTCAACTGGATTGGTAGGTTCAACAGATAACGTAACGCGGAGGAATTAAACCAGTCCGGGAACGGGCATCCATGCAAGATGCCCTCGCGAAGCAGAAATCCAAATGCACGTAGTGCATTGTGTCCTTCCTCCGTAAAAATTGGGACAGCGGTAATTAGCACAAACCCCTCATCATCCTCTTCATCTTTTGAATATCCATCAAATAAAGCAATGCCCAAGTTCGGAATGAGGTATTTTCGAAATCCGGCAAGCAGCTGCGCGATGCATTCTTTGTACGGTCCATTACAATCAAAAGCACTACAAAAACACAGCACTATAAAAACACAGTAATAGACCTTAAGCTATGAACTATGATTGAAATCATACTTACTCGCTTTACGTATGCTATGCCATGCTGTGCTTTACAGCAGCTGAATACAACATGCAGTCGAAGTAAATACTGGTCAATATAACGTTTTCAACAATTTTTGCTTACTCGTCCATGCGTACGGTCATCCTTCCAATCTTCGCTAAAGCGTCCGCCCGAGCCAGATAAAAATCGATGTAATTCTGAACATTGTCGTTTTCACCTGGGATCCAATCAAAAAAAATTTCCTTATCCGGGCTGTCCGGTTTGTCCATAGGGAAGACGCCGGTAACGTTAAAGCAAAGTTCCTCTCTCAAATCTCGCAGTGTTAACCGGCTGCTGGTTGGCGCAGGCAACTCTACAGTACCCATATCCAATTTCTGAAATTTATACGAATGAATTGTTAAATTAAATACTGCAGAACCAACGCTGATTTACCCTAGGTACATTCCGCCCGGTATTTTCAGCTTCGTCCGCACTACCGCCTTCTGAAGCATCCACTGTTATAACGTCCAGAACCGTTCGCCTTCCACTTAAGCTTTCGTTTTGTTGCGCTCTACTCAACGCAGAAGAACCTCTAATGCCACTTGGAGCACGCCGTGGAGATGACGGAGGAGAAGGTGAATCATCGAAGCAGAACACTCGTGGAGATCTACCGGTCCCGCGGTTTATCCCGGATGTACTCTGTCCAGATGTGCCAGGATGTCCGGATGTACTCTGTCCAGATGTGCCAGCATGTCCGGATGTACTGGGCTTAGATGTGCTAGCATGTCCGGATGTACTGGGACCAGAGATCGTATCAAACTGCTCGTCTAAGTAAAAAAACTGATCTGACCAAGTACAATCATTTGAACGATGTTCTTAATTTCGAAATGTTAGGCATAATATTACCTTCAATGCCATACAGCGTCAGATCAGCCACAGAAACACCTTTGGACTGAAAAGCAAAGAAATCAAAGTGCGGCATGTCAGATTTCAGCTCAAAGAGTCTAATTTCTGCATTGTACTCGTACTTACATCTGCTAACTGCTGCACAACGTCCAGCGGAATTGTTATCATCCCTTCCCTGATGGCGATATACATGCGACGCCGCGACTCTTGTGGAAGCTTTTCGGTGTATCTGAAGATCGTAGTGTAATTCAACATTTCTGAAACATTTCCGTGCATTTAAAAACAGACACATTTCTGTGCATGCCTGTGGTATTGTGACCAAGTAGTGGAGGAGAGCGGCAAATCCCATGAGTGAACATTGTTTCCTTCTGGTTTCAACTTCGACTTGTTCTTATTCATAGTATTCGTAGGAATGCGGGTGAGCCGAATCCACGGCCGACCTTTCAGAAAATGATTAAACGCGGCCATGATTTTGGCATTGATGAAGTCTCCAGTGAGATTCAATTTTTCGAAATTGATATCTTTTACGAGCCCAGCCAAATGCATCAGTTCCATTTCGTTTGCACCGTCACTGCAAAATGTACTTATGTGGACATATAAAAGGCCGACAAGCCATCGAAACACTATGCACTGGTGAAGCACAAAAAAAATAATTTTAAGTGAAGGCCATTAATAACATTTAAAATTATTTTCAAACATCAGCATACGAACGAAAGCTGTCATCAGTTTACATATCGTTCATTCGTTAGAATAAGCTTTAAAAGGCTGAACTGCAGCAGAAGTTAATATCCAGTACTTCAGTTTAACAGTTTAAAGTATCGAAAAACCATACTTATGATAGATTTTTTACATTACGCATTTTAAAAAACACTTACGTTTGTCTCGCAGTCGGAATCCCATGATTGTCATTATATCGAAAACAGTACACCGTCCACTTATGCACCCACGCGACTTCTGGATCCGTTTCTTCAGCAGGCGGCGCCGCCGGCGTCGGTGGCGCCGGAGATCGCCAGCTTTCTCCTCGGAAGCGCTTCGCCCCTCCTTGACCGCGGCCGCTATTCCGACCACTGGGCGTTGAGGAAGCGAAACTGGATGTCCCAAAACCGCCAGATGCAGGAAACCCATATGTTTTCGGCCCACGGACAGGGAATCTTGGAATCCCAGATAATCCCGCACTGACTGGACTGCCGGATAGTCCATATTGCTGCATCATGGTCGGCTGCAACACGTTTCCACGCATCCCGAACCACGTATTCGTATTATCAAAAGAGCTGCGGACCATACTTCCCGTTGCCGACCCACCGAATCCTCCGTGCACTTGCTGTCCACCCTTTCTGACAGTACTGATAGCATACTGTCCAGTTCTACTGGCATTCGTCGATGTGGCATCGGTTACGCTGTTGGCATTCGCTCCTTCTGGGTTTCTGGATCGCTGGTCCACTTCGGCTCCGATAATCGCGATCCCGTTAGCCAAAACATGCATGCCTAAGTAATGACCACATCCTTGATTGCTGCATCGGCTTCGTCCTACCGAGCCACTCCAAGAAAAATCCATTTCCTGCGGTAACGGAATTTGACAGCCGCACCCCTGACATCTATAAACGAATTCTACGGGCTCCGCCATAATGAAAAACCAAATGCGCACTGCGCAAAACAAAAAAGTCAAATACTTCCACTAAAATGCGGTTATGAGGCCCACTCAACATTAAATTTTAGAAATAATCAGGGAATTACCACAAGCATCTAATTTTGCCGCGTAATCCAGAGGCGGCAATCACGGTTTTACACAAGCATTAGTCAGAAGGGGCCAATGATATGCTACTAGCTCGTAATTAGCCAATAGCGATCCTGGCAATACCGGCGGTATACTGATGGGAACCAAAAAACGCACCCCATCGGCGGTAATTTTCATGTCCATATGCCGCCATTATCTGTATTGTCAACCATTGTGTACTGTTATCAAAATGCACTTTACCGCCAACCGAACTGCGATCATACAAATTTAAAACACTTAACTGCTTTTTCTTCTTCGTAACCAAAAAAGTACCACAAAACAATATCCTCATCATTGCAAATGTTTGTAAATACAGTAGTGAAAAAAAACAGAATATTAAGGCAGAAAACCTAACCAACCATTATGGAGGCTTAAAACAGAAGCATTTCGAATCACGCCGAACAAGCAAATACAAATATTTTGGCACTGGATTTCGATTCATATAAAGTCGACAGATTTATTCCATGTGAAAGGTCGAATTTCGCAATCCAGAATAACATCACTGGCATGCCACGACTCAAATGGACTGCTAATACTTACTTGCCTGCCACACAGCATACAAATCACTTTCCCATGTACAGATACTAGAGGGTAGTTTTGCATTATACTTCTCAGTTCCATCCAACCATACGGATTGGAGACTATAAAATACAAAAAGTAACCCTTAAGTCATTAGTTTCTGACCACATAAATCATGATAATAAACCTAAAAAATGACTGAATAGCAGCCGAAGTTTAAAAAAAGCTGTTAGAATAAGTACAGTCAATGCTTACTCTGCTCCCAAACTGAAGGCCGTAATGCTTTTCACGGGCTGGTGACTCTGTCGACTCTTTTACTTCATTCGTTTTTCGTCAAGTCCTTTTCTTTCCCTCCTATACCTGCATCATGCAGATGCATATATTTCCAACTGAGATGTTTTTATGTCGTACACGAATAATAAAAGTGCACCGACGGTCTTACACGGTAATTCACGAGCAGTTACGGTATATTTATCATTATCTCAACAAAGGGAAAACCACGGGGACTGTTACGGGACATCACCACAAGTTCATCATTTTTTGTTTGCTGATTGCTGACACCGCTCCTACTTACACGGCAACGGAAAATAGCCTTACCTTTGGATCCAGCGTGAACATTTGGATGATCTCGTTTCAATTGTTTGACCAGCTGTAGAGACCGATCACGACTCATTTCCGTAAACATCAGACCATGTTCTTTTTGGCTCAACTGAGGCAACTCGATAGAAAGCTTGTTGAAGGATGTCACACTGGCAAGGCGCTTGGCGGCTGAATTCACTATCAGCTCCACCGGTGACATCACCGTCCTCCACCGCTAAAATGCGTTAAACTTTGGCATCTCAAACCTTCCGCTCCTCGACTTTTCGTTGAGCTTAATTGTGATTTTTTGCTAATTTATCCGCTTCCCGTTTGGCCAAAAGCAGCTGCCTGCATCGCATTTTCCGGGCAGCTTTTAAGCCATTCCCACCATCTGGAGATGCGGCGCGGTCTGTTTCATCACAGCTTTTGCGCAACTCGTCTTCCACACAAGATTCCCGCGAGGAAGCCGGCCGAGGAGAATCAACACCACGATTAGATGATAACAATTGTCGTTGCGCAACGTCTCGTTTGCCGTAGTCCGCAAAACATCCAGTGATCTATTCCTGCTCTCCGAACCCGAGGAGACATCTTCATGTACCGTTTCCGGATTTAGACCAGGAGTTACCAGATATTGCACTATACAACAAAATAAAAATAAGATATAGTATACGACACAAAACAGAGAGGCAAGCAAAACAATCCAAGTAGCTTCTGCTATACGAAACAATGCAAGTCCGACTTTGTAATGTAATAGTGAAACTAACCATATACCGTACGCCCAGCAAAAAAAAGGCAGTTAAATGGCAGTATCCTGCCGTAACATTTTACTGCACTGTGGCATTTGTTATGGATACTTCTATCTCCAAAAACGACTAACAGAACAGCCCACAAAGGATTCCGTTTTGTCACCAATCATTACATAGTTTTTAATTTGTTATTAACGACGATATAAGGGTTTTGTAACCTAACGATTCTAACCATATTTTACGTTGTAACTGTAAAGTTACTGTACTATTATCAACATTTTACGCTGTTTAAACGTTTTCCTCTTTTCACTTACTGTTCTGTGATGTCCGAATTCCAAGATTCTACTCGCTCTTTCCTTTCCCCAAAATATCAATCTTCTCCACTCATAAGCACAACTACCACGAAACATGGCTGGCAGGAAAAACGCTTCATTGCTTTTATGCGCATAAAACCATTTACCGCGTACCGGATATAAGAATAAATGGATGCCTGGTATCATCCGCGCACTCGCAACGTCAACTCACTTTGCAGACACACAAGAAACAGTCTTTCTTCAATCAAAATGATGCTCTATCAATTCCTTAGCTGCACGAAAAATGTTGACTCCATAAACTCCATCATCCACTGTAACATCGATGCTAGTCCGTATCAAATGAGCTTCATCAGGAAAGCTACTAATCACATCCATGACCGGCACTGAATCTCTGGAATGGGATACTTGGTTCCGTATATATTCCGGAAAATTTTGAGGTTCATCTACATCAGCATCTGGCAATTGGTTATCTTCACTTAATACTTGGTGTAGCGCGAATCCTTTCAGTCCTTCTTGCTGACAACCGAGAAGGAAAAGCTGCCTTGGCGACTTCCCGCCTTCCGTTCTAAGCTTATGGTTATTGAAGAACGAAATGAAATGCTCAAGCTTTTCTTGGATCTTTCCCAGATAAACCAAATGTAAAATCATCATATCGCGGGGGCTCGTGAAATCCAAAATTCCCAAGTTTTCCATGTGTATAAAAACTGATCGGAACAGCTTAATCACAACGCGGCCTAAATCCCTCCACAGCCGTTCTATCCGCTGATTGTGAACCGACGGTCCCATAATGATGCTTGCGCGATTTTCTCCCATGTAATGTTCCATCCAACGTGCTACTCCAAAATTTTCCCCTAAATTTAACGATGAACAAACGTGTTAACCGCAAATTAGGCAACTGTCTCGCAGAATACTTAAAAAAACAAAATATTGGTGACGCATCTACGGTTACGAGTAACACGTGTACAGGATGACCACTGCATAATCTTCCGATTTTCAGCGCCGCCAAAAAAAGATAATAATATCCGTTGCTCCTGAAAAACTGTACTCGAAAAACTGTACTCGACGCTGTTAACAGAAATGCACATTTATTTTGAAATTCTTAAATATATTACAGCAAAAGAAATGTAACGTAGTATTGTAGAGAAATAGGTATCTGTAGCACTTCCCACTCACCACCACAATCGCTTCTCACTCTCGACGGTACACCCCACGCTTCAGCGCCAGCCAAGAATGCTTGCAGCACCGTGCTAGCGCGATTGTTAGTGGCAACGACAAGCGAAATAACCGATCGCGAATATCCGTCGATAATACCATGAATCACGAATCCCCATCGCACTAACTTATGATTCCCATCAATATGCCACAAAGCATTCGGTCCAGAATTTGAGTACACGCGTCGCGGAACAAAATGGAAAAATCGGTTGGCTACTCCGTATGGATCAAGTCGTTTCAAAGAAGCCAAAATTCGTCTGCGTTGCACCATCAGTCCGCCCGCTTTCAGCTGGCCATGAACGTAACGACAACCGACATTCGGGAATGAATTCAAAATATCCGCAATCACCAAATCCAAATTATCATCCGTAATGTCTACAAACTTCGACGCAAGCAAATTCAGTTATAACTAATTAAGCACTGAATACAGCTATGACTTACAGCCACTAAGCCTTTAAATAAATCAATGAAATTCTAGTCAGTAGTCTCAGTACCAGTGTCTAAAAACTAAAACCATTTACTGCATTTAACTGCCGTTCAGTATAACATAGCAAAACCAGCAAATAATACTGGTAACAAAACAGAGCGGCATAGAAATATTTTTACCGCAAACGAGCTGTGTGAGTTCATTATTATGAGAAACTAATAATAGAAATCTATAACGGTTTCAGCTGTGGATGATAAAAAATAGGCTTACCTTTTGATTGAGGTTAGCTGCTGCCAATCTGTAAGTAAGTGTCCTACGCGATACTCCATAAAACCCAGCAATATCGTTAACAGTGAATCCTTCTAATCGTAGATGAGCCAAAGCATCCTCCGGAATCAATATTTTCCCGTACGAATTAGTGTCCAAATTGATCGCAAAAATAGACCTCGTTCCATCCTCATCTTCTTGAAGTAACCCCCGTAAATCGTCAGCACAGTGTACCAACACATCGAATAACTCTTGAGCTTGCACAGTCTGTTCCTCCGGATAATTTTCGCAAATGTTTCGCGTGTATCTGTTAAAATGGACAGTTATAAAAAAACAATCTCGCCAACAGTTTCTTTTCCAATCGCTTCCTACCCAAGTAAATAATCTATCTGCGTTAGCGCACCGTCAACGCCATCCTGATCGTGATCCCCATTCGGAGCTGTCAGGAATCGCGCAGCACGCCTTACAACTGAGTACGCAAATTCATAGAACTGATCCATTAAAATGCCGTTAGCTGTACATTAAGAGAGACGATAGAAGAAAACAAAAGGAAAAAAAAGGAAAACTTTGAAAGAAGCTAAGGAGCCAGCGTTTCAACGGTAAAAAACCAAAACAATCCAGTACCGTCAAAAGCAAGATTCCAGCACCAACAAGGACTTCCAGCGAAATACGGAGATCCAGTAATTTCCCTGTAATTGGACGGGTGGAATTGGAATTTGGAAAATTGCGAAAAATGTCAGCGTCCGTAGTTTGCGCCTCCGGTGCACGAGACGGCACTTACAATCACATCAAGACATTTGTCAGAAACATTTGTCTGAAAGTTTCTGGCATTTGTCAGTAACATATGTTTGAATGTTTCTTACATTTGTCAGTAACATTTGGCTGTGAAATTTTTTTTAAAAACATTTGTCTGAAAGTAAAAAACATTTGTCCGAAACATTTGTCTGTTAAAAATTTTTTAAAAACATTTGTCTGGTAGCAAAAAACATCTGTCAGTAACATTTGATTGAAAACTAAAAAGCATTTGTCATTTAGCATTTGTTTGTAAAACCTTTGCGCAATCGGTACACCATATATAGCACACACATTTTTATCCTGGAAACAATGCCATTTAAAATACTGTCTAAACCCAGTCGGCTATTTTACTTACGCTTTAGTTTTTTGACATCAGCATGGCTGTGTTACAGAAGAAACACGGAAAATCCGAACACCAAAACCTGCGTCGGTGCTACTATGAGCGTGGACCTGGTGAAGGTTCACGCGTAGGAACAGAATTGACGTGATTCTGCCTACCAAAAAGCCTGGCAGTGCTATAAAAGCGCCTACGCTACAGAAAGCGAGAAATGGCGTGACTGCTAGGAATTTATGACAAGACTAAATTCGATAGAATTTCCTCATCGACAACTCCGCATTGCTGACTGCAGCAAGCACGTGGAAAAATGCACGTAGCCGCCACACAGTGCGGGTGCGTGCAGAACAACGATGCTTCCGCCACGCGTAAGGCGGGCGTGCAGCAAACACAACAGACTGCCAAAGCGAGGGTGTACGCATGTACGCCTGCGCTCACATGCCTCTGGGAGGCTGAGCTCCGTCGAAGCAGAATCCACGTCCAATTCCTTGGGATCCTTGACGGCTCGTCTGTGCGATTAATAAAACATCGAGATTTAATCTCTTTTAACATCACAAATTCCAATTACATGTGTGAATAAAGAGATCTCGGAACAAAAGTAAAAACAGTAAAAAATATCAACAGAATTCATTATCAAAACGACTAGGATCCTCCGACTCTAAAGGTCACTGGGTCCTGTCAACCGTAATCCGCTTTGGTCCATTCGCTCTTTTGAGCAATCTTTATCATCACAATGAGATCCGCTTCTTAGGAATAGGTGCGTATCAAGTACGACTTCGAATACTGCTGCTTCATCTTTGGATAATTCGCGTATCAAGTACGACTTCTGCAAAATGAGATTCTTCCTCGTAGACATGGAGGGACGTCTTGAAAGACAAACATGCTTCCTCCCTGGTAAGATCATTCTCTTTTTTCTCGATGACTCTCTTGAGCAGTGAAGTTCTCAAAGGTCATCTCTTTCTCTTGATGTGCGACTCGTTTGGGCCGTGACGATCCCAAAGGTCATCCATTTTCCATGATGAGTTCCGTATTAAAGGTCATGGAGGACTTAGCCGATTTTGGCTTTCAAGCAGTTCTGCTGCCTCCCTTGTAAAGGTCATCCTTCTTTTCAACCATTTTCTTCGGTCGCACATCCTTTTCTTTTCCGTGTAGTAAGTGCAAATTGGCCTTTACTTCTTTTCCTTACCAGGTTCGAGGGCCGGTTAACGCCGTAACTCCTCTTTCTTCTGAGGCCGGTTATCGCCGTAACCTCAACATCTGAAAGTTTTACTCTATTTTCTTGAACTCTTTCTCTTTTCACCTTGTGGCTTCTGTCATTCCGCAAAGAGTGTGCCGACTCAGTAGGCCGCAACTACACTCTAAAAGTGACGTTTTAAATGTAAAATGAGGAAGGCCGGTTAGCGCCGTTACTCTTCCTGCTTCGAGGGCCGGATGACCTCCGCTCCCATATTTCGGATCGCCTTGATCCTCTGCATAAAACTCTGAAACCAATAGAAACACAAACGATATGACAGTTCAACAAGTTATGTCTCCTTCGCCTGATACTGTACCTTTATCACCATTCTCGTGTTGCCGACTGATGGCCGTAACTAGCACATCAGCGATGCCTAAAGGTCATCACTGATCATTTGAACCATTGTCGCGGTTCCGATCGAAACGTCGTCTTTCTTTTTCATTACGATCAGACGTTCGATCTCGAGGTTCCCTTTCCTCTCTTGCAGCTCGTCTCCTTCGCTCCGGCTGCGTAGCACTGTGACGATTTCGGTCACGTCTGCGTTGGATACGGATCAGGTGATCTCTCGCGTCGACCATGCGCGCTTTCAATCCTTCATCGTATGGATTGTCTCGTGACCTTTGCACAATTCGACATAATCCAGTGCAGCTGCTGGTTTCTTCGTCCACGTCGACTCATTTCATTGTCCTGCGGCTGTCGCGCAAGTTCCGGTCGATAGCTGCTTTTGTTAACGATCTCTTGAATGAATTCGTAGACGAAGTCGGATGGCTGGATGAACCGTGTTCCCATCGTGACTCTGATCCGTTCCGCACATCGGTGGGCATGCATTTGTGCTTGACGTCGCAGGCTATCATCGTTTCATCGCCTTTTGGACGTCTTTTAGCTGCTTCTTGGCCGTTTCCGAAGAATTAAAGTTCGCAACTGGCGTTCTAACTTTATGACCTGCGCGGTCAGTGCCGGCGGTATCTCCGTGCCTCTTTGAGCGCTCTTTCTCAACTGGTGGTGCGTTTCGTAATGGCCAAGCCTTGCTGCAAAAATCTTTGGATCGTGGCACGGTGATCAGGTGGCGAATCTGGTTTCACCACTAATCCCAACGCAGCCCTTCCTGCGAGTCTCAGCGCCGGATTTACATGGCGTAACACAAATTGTGCCACGTGCAGACGTCTTTCCTTGATGTCTCTATACTGGAACTGTGTCATTCCTGTTGGATCCGGTGTGTCCAACGGTGTTTCAAGAGACTCAGGTCGATCAAACTGACAAGGCCGCATTCTCTCGTCGGGAAGTAATGAAGATTCGCTGACTCTTGCGTTATGATCAGATCTTCCCATTGCCCATACTCGTACTCCTTCGTATCCCGAATCGTTGATGACCTGGCGCAAGTTCATGAGAAGCCAGTACACCTTATCGAATTCTTCTTTATTATCCGGGCAATGCCCACTGAACGGCAAATCTCGTTCGTCTGTTCCATGATGTCGTTCATTTCATATACCAGCTCAATGGTTTGTAGGGATTGTCTCCTCAGGCCGTGACCTTTGATTGACTTTCTGTCGCCCTTCTCTGATTCCGATTCTGGCGGTGCATTGCTCGCCGTCTCTGCGCTTGTAAGTTGTCGCTCCAGATCGAAGATGATGTTTCGTCTCGACGTCGCATGTCCTCGTCTCCATGGACTTCAATGACATTTGAGGATGCTGGACATTCCATGACCTCATCCATCTGCTGTGCCGGTTGTTTCTCGGCTGACTTGAACAAACAGAATGAACTACTGATTGCATTCTGCGGGCTCTTAGGCGTGCGGTGGCTTTCTGAGCTGGATGACCTTTTACTGTTGTAAGATTTATCTCCAAACTCATAATCATCCATATTCAAGTTATCCTGGACCCACTCTTGATCATATGGCCTTTGAGGATGTTGATTTACTCGAGCCTCACTTCTTCCTTCTCGATTCTGTGAATCGCGATTCTGCATTTCCTTAGCAGCCCGTTCCTTCTCCTGCTGCCTATTACAGGTTTCGTTGATTTCCTGTATTCCTCCGCCAAGCGCTTTTCTTCCGCTTCTTCTGGCGGCGCTTTTCTCTTTGTTCTTTTTCACGTCGGATACGTTCTTCATCCTTCTCTTTGCTCCGACGTACGCGTATCTCGCATATCCACTGTATCGGTCGTTATGATGTCTTTCCCATGACCTTTCTCAGGAGCGGTCTGATGACCTTTCATAGCGGTTGCGATCATCTCTTTGAGGCGATACGTTTGAACTCCTCTTCTTTGAAGTTCCGAAGGGCCTCAACCACATCTTTCTCTCTTTTCGAGTTTCGCATCCTGTCGATTCGCTCTTCGATCGCGATTTTGATAACCTGGGATGGTCTGTTTCCTTTTGTTAGGTTGACCTTTTCGTCCAGGAAGATTTTGTATTCTCTTTCGATACCGCGAGTGGATCTTGCAAGATGATGTCAATCTGCTGTATCAGCGACTGTCTGATTACAGCTGCTTCTCCTTCATCTTGTTTCTTCAATATCGCAAATGGGGCAGGTGCGTGACCTTTAGCTGCTTCGGCTAGACCCTTCTCTGCCGCAGCTTTCTTTTCTTCTAGCCGCTTTCGCTCTGCCTGCGCTTTTCCTGTACCATTCTCATCGTGTCTTCTTCAAACTTCTTCCTGAACGCATCCGCTTCCGGTGTTCTCGGCGGTTCAAGGGTGATATCCCATCGGTCTGCGTCCGACCCACATTCTGTATTTATCTTCCAGTATCATCCGGTCTTCTGGTGACAGTTTCTTCCATGTGTCTCCCGAACCAAATGCCGGAACACATCGAGGTTACCCCTTCTCGCCTCTTCTGGTACCACTACTGCTTGGTTCGGTACTGCCACGACGCAAGTCCAGCATGGGAAACGTTCGTTCGACAGGATGTTATTTCGTTTACAATCCGGGCAGTCCTCGTTGTAATTCGTCAAAGGATCCCCGTGACCTTCTTTACCGCTGGTCTTGTCCTTTTTCGCCACGTTCTGGTTGGGTTGGCTCCGTTCAGCCATTCTGATGTCTCAGCCTGCAATCTCAAACATTATAATGCTATGACCTTTACGTTAACCCTTCTCAACGCCTATTTTTACGCCTATAGTAACTAGGCTATGCAGTGCTGAGCTGAGACTTTCTCGTTGTTTCATGATGACCTTTTGTCATCCTTCTTTGACTGAACCATTCTCAACTGTATGGTGACCTTTCTCATCTTAGCCCATTCGCTAAGTAAAATAGCCCCTTCGCTAATTCAACTCTTTTTGCAGAGTGTGGTTCAAAGTAAAATGAGAACTACGGTCTGCTCATTCTTTCTCTTTTCTGATTCTGATTCTTCTTTTTGTGTGGTGGACCTTCCTCCCACATGTTCTTCCGTTTTACGCTTTCGCGATCCAGTCGTATTGGTCGACTCCATCCTTCTTCCATGTTCTGATGGTTCCGTCTTTGACCAAACTGTCCAACGCGTTCTGGATCTTGAATCGATCCCCGTTCATATTTTCTTGGCCGGAATCATACTGAACTGCCATGTAATTGGAGAGGTCTTCTGCGGTGAACCCGTTAGTCCCGCCTATGTTCTGCATGGCATCTTTTAGTCAGCGTCCTTCCAAGCCTGGGGACCTGGTTTCGGTCTCTGCTTTCGTTGTTCTTCCGCCGGAGGAATGTAGTAGTTCGGTTGATTCGTGTTCGTGTATCGTACACCGATCTTTCCTTCTTTATACGCTCTTTTATGAGCTTGTTGACTTGTGTCCTGCTGACTCCGGCGTCGCCAGCTGCTTTTGAAATAT